TTATGGCTGAGGACAGGGTTGGCTGAGGACGAGTTGCGTCTGGGGACAGGTTATGGCTGAGGACAGGGTTGGCTGAGGACGAGTTGCGTCTGGGGCCAAGGTTGGCTGAGGACAGGTTGTGCTGGGGACAGGTTTGGGCTGAGGACGGGCTCGGGAGCCCATTCAAGTGCCTCAGTAGAGGATCCATTTTAGGACCCCTACAGAGATATTTAAGATAGTATGAACCTCTAGGCGGATTCATGTCCAGTATCGACACCAAAATGCCACGGGCTCGACTTCTGGGAAAAGAACGCAGCATCGTAACGGAAAAAGCTCTCAAATGCAAGGGCATGGTCAGTGTCCGGCTTGAGGTGCTGTCGTTTCCAGAGATTAAGACGAAAGATCCCACGAAGCTGAAGAGCAATGTGAAGAGGCTGAAGAAAGCATTTCAGGATGAAGGTTGCTGGCGGCTGCCGTTGCCGAATCACATTCCAGCTCAAATCGATAAGCAGAGTCTCGATGCCGCCCTTCGACATTCACAGCGCTCGAGCAAAGAACTTTTCGTGGGCCCTCGAGACGAATATCCCGAGCTCGAGTTTCCACCGGGTTACCAGCTCATATGCCTGGATGGACAGAGCCGCGCTCTTGCCGCCGCAAAGGTTCTTCCTGTCGCGGACCGGAGGTGGATCGTAGATTTATATGCTGCAGGTATGAGATGCTTACTCTCGTATAGCGAGACATTACATTGATATATGGTTGTTAGACCTCACAGAAGAGCTCAGGACAATTCTGGTGGAGGAATACTCGAATGAAGACCGTCTGCATCCTGGAGAGATCTACCGAAAACTTCGGCTGTATCACCTCCAAAGGGACTTGCGAATCGACAATTGGTGGTTTGAAAAACGGTGCTGGGCACGTTTGTCAGCTCATGGACGCCGCAATGTCAAGCAGCTCCTGCGCCACCGTGAAATAGCCTCGGCCTGTGATGCCCTGTTGGACGTTGTCGGGCTTTGGAGCGGTTGGAGAACAAGCACCTGGCACAAGATACTTTCAATGGGTGTTGACGAGGTAAGTTCCACCTTGCGGGCCATTCAGGTTCTCACCAATTATTGTAGTGCATCCTATACCGCCTCGATCTCATGAAAGATTTTTGGTACGAGAGCGTTGGGGTAGAACGGAATGCGATGCAGAAAGTCGACGAAAACAGCGTCAAAGAACTTGAGGGTACCGCCCCTGGGGCGTGCAAAGCGGATGCTCGGGATCTATATAAGAAGTTGAAGGCTGGAAAAATCTTCGGAGCTTTCAATGACCAAGATCGCGAAAAGATCTGGGCCGAAGTGTGTCGTCGGACGAAAGATCGCTTGGTCTCGTCATTTTTCACCTTCTTCGAGGATTTGAACTGGCTGAAGGGCCCAGCTGACTGCGTCAAACGGTTGATACCTATATCACCCGATGACACGATCCTCTACGCACTGGAACAGTACGTTTTCACGGGTGTTAACCAGCGAACCGGCCAGTGCTTGATCCAGAAACCGGATCATACTTTCGCTTCTAAACCAGGAACTGAGGCCGATCAAATGAATCTGGGAGTTTTACAGCTATTTCTCATCGCCATGCGTAACCACCTTAACATGCCGGCCGAACCCAAGAAAAAGAATTTACTCGCAAAGCCAAGACCAAAGAAAGCGGATCCCGAGGTCCTACACGAATTTGCCGCCCATGCCCACAAGCTAGGCTTTGAGTCCGATGAGATTGGTGAACTGACGAAACTTAGAACGACATCGCGAGCACCGCAAAAGGAGTCAGCGTCATCGGGTTCTGAAGACTCTAATCCACCTATCAGACGATGCGGCATCCCTTGGAGTTGTCATCACGAACAGGACAAACTAAGCCTCTTTCTGGAACCTTTGTACGCCGTACGGAGTGGGGAGTTTGAAGAGATGACATCTTCATTTGTGCGGCGGTCTGTCATTCTTGCCTTTTTTGAGAAACCAACAAGCCTCTGCTTAAGCGAGGCGACGTCTCACCCTTCCAACCCTACGGTAGATCAAGGGACGATTGGTAAAGAACCTTCACCGAGGCTTGGACAGCCAAATCAGCAGTTTCTGGAGCAGCGTCATGTCGAACAACACCAAGGTCCTCGCATTACCCAGGATCCCTTGCAACAGGGTTTGCAAGCTGGTAACACCGTGCCAGAGTCTGAAAACTTTCCCGCGACCCAGCTTGGTCAGCAAATAGTTACAAGGGAGGGCCAAGTTGAGTCGGAATGGCTATCCGACGTAGAGATGTCTGATGAAACAGAAGAAGTCCAACATAATACAAGGTGGGACAGACAAGGGAATAGGCGGTTACAGAAGAAGAAAGCACGGCGGTCAAGTAAGCAAAGAAAGACTGCTAAGAAGAAAGGAGCAGTCAGTGCGAAAAAGAGGCAAGACATATTTGACGTGGGAGCAATGCTGCTGAGCGTCGCTGAAGAGAGTAGTATTCAGTCAAAACAACAAGAGGTGCACAGGGAACCGGAAAGTCCGAGCCGAACCACGCAGATCAACCCTGACGGGTTCAAGGAAGGCAGCATTCCTATGCTACCGCAGAACCAATCTTCGACCCTGGATCATAACGAGATCATGGAAGCGGGGCAGCCCACAGCGACAGAGCGACAAAGCGAGGATCAAGGTATGGTGCAGACGGTGACAGAGAACGTCGTTCACGAAACCACCACATCAGATATTCCAACACTCCACGGAGAGGTAAGTGCGCCAAACACCGTGGGCCCAGCAGAAGCAGAGCGTCGTCGTGAAGCGCAAGAGCAACAAACGACCGAGCAAACCTTCAGGGAGCCAGAAGAGCGACAGATGATGGAGAGAACCCACGACGGGAACGAGGGAAACGAAGGGCAGCATGTCAACCAGCGAAAGCAGGACGCCACTGAGAGAGAGCGAGGACAACATGCTGCATGGGGGAGGATTGATGATGCGCAGACAACCCCGCCGCGAGAGATGGCCCAGACCAAGGATTCACCCCCTAGAGATCAGGTCTTTCTGGATGAAGCGGAACAGGAATCAATCGATAATCAGATGAGGCGCGATCGAGAAGAGTCTCTATTCAGTCCCGAATCAATGTCGCCAATGGATGAATCGACGAACGTAGAGACAGCGCCACAAAGAAGGATCGAAACGGCGCCACAGCATGAGGCAAATGGGTCGGTGAACGGTATCGAAGGGACTCCACCAATGTTGATTGTAGATCAGCAGCATGAGCTCTCGCCGGCCCAACAGGTAAACGCCGCAACAGAGGAGGTAGAACGCATCTCCACGGCCGAAATGAAGGACTCGGCAGAACGGGAAGCGATTCCAACCCTTCCACAATCCGAGATACTTGGGAGAGGGCAGGAGAAGCTCGAAGAGCTGGGTGGACGTGTGAGCCAGGACCAGGAACATTACGACGAGATCGGACTAGAGCAGAGAAAACGAAAGACACCGGATCTGGATTCAGGCCCAGCTATTGAAGGCCCTAGCCAGTTGCAGGATCTGAAGTCCCCACCCAAAATACGAGAGCCGGACCGAAAACGTGTCACTCAGATCAACTTTGGCAGACTAGAGGAATTGGAGAGCCTAGAGCGAGCGCAAGAAATGTTGTCTCCCGGACATGATCGGGATGGAGTTCGCGATGGGGGAGAACTCATTGCTCGAGAAGATGAGATTGTTCCCGACGTGCAGGAAGAGTTGAGAGGCGATGGCCAAGCGCGATACGAGCCGCTCTCTGGCGAGGGCAACCGAGCAGCAGTGGAGAACACCGAACGCAATGTCGACGACCGGCTACGGGAGCGGGAAAACGAAGAAACCGCCGCGAGAGTGCGGAAGAAGGCGGCGATAAAAGAGGTTGAGAGGCGAAGACAAGAGAGATTACGGCAACTCAAGAATGAGAAACCCGAGTTGATGTCGGAGCAAAAGATGAACAGAGAGCGAGCAAGGGATCAACAAGAGAGGCAAGTAAAGGAAGACGAAGGCATGCGCCGCAAACGGACCACACAGATCGACTTTGGGAGGCTCGGAGACGCTGTTCATGGGCAACCCAAGCCTAAAGAGAGCGCCAGTCGGCGCCCAATCACAGAAAACGACGCCGGGGGCGGACCAGCCGAAGTTGTCGGGCTTGATTCTGATGTCATCGCGACGACCAGTCAACAACCAGCAGATCCTCCGAAATTGACCATGGAAAGACCCGGCCCTCAGAAGATTCGAATCCATCTCAAGATCTCTGACGGGAGGCTTGGTGATGAGGACTGGAAAAGTCTATCCTCACACGACGTGGATCCCTCCGAGCCGGCAGACTTCATGCGATTCTTGAGGAAATACACCAGAAAGGACACCGAAAATCCGTGGAATGTGTTTGCCGGGTCCCACATGATCACCCCATTGACGAAGTTTGAAGACATCATCAAAGATGGAAACAGCACCTTATACATAACTCGAGAAGGGATTATCGACACTCATCTCCATCCTAATTCTCCTGCCGGCAAAAGAATTCGATCTTGAGTGTATAGAAAAGCGATTCTAAAATTAGTCCCCAGTTCATCTTCATTTTTCGACTCTCCCCCCCCCAAAAGAACCTGGTCAATGCCTGGGATGATAGTCCTGTCTATTGGATATCTTCCATGAAGGAGATGGCGAAAAGTGGTCGGACCGACGAGGTAGGGACAGGAGACCGACAGGTAACGCGGCTTCCCATGTATTGGCATGACCCCTACTGGAAGTAGTTAACCGTCTAGTCACCGGGCTGATATTCTAGTTCCTCCAGCTTGACTTTCTTATCTGCCAAGGGACGGACTAGACGTCGCAACCGATCTCGAAGGTCGTTGCTTCCAGACACTGGATTGATCAGTAGGCACCCGAAGTGGGTCAAGTGAGCTTACCCATCACCAACATTTCTCCTCTCTCGCCTGATTCCTCCTGTACCCGTTTGATGTGTTTTCCTGCCGCCTCTTCTCGGAAAATCGCTTCCACATCAGCCAGGCCACTGTACGCGATCGCGCGTCTCCCAAATGGCACTCGATCCTGGCTTGCCCAGCGGATGTAGATCGAAATACTGAGAATCTATGCGCCAAGTCAAACCGACGCTTCATGATGTAGATTCGTGTGACTTACCTTTCCCTTGGCCGACTTTTCGTCGCTCATATCGTCCGTACCGTTATCGACACTGAGTGTGTCACCGACGAGCGCATCATTCAACAAGTCTGCGGCGGCATATCCCAAATCTACTGCAGTTGAGCGTTGTCCTGCGTGAAAAGACGGGCAATTCGATGGTCTGCGTACCTTTTGTCTCCAACTGCCACACCAAATGGATTCGACGAGTGCGAATCTTGCAGGCATTATACCCATGAATGAGCTGCCTCAGGTAAGAAAGGTGCGAGACGACACCAAAGCCATCCGCCATCATTAAGACCGTCTCATAAGTTCCCGCTGGGACAGTAGTACCGTGAGGCCCACTGAACAAAGCTCGATATAAAGTGCCGCCCTCGCGGCTAGTGTCCGAATATCGCAAAAGCTTTCGGGTCAGGCCGTCACGTGGTTCCACAAAAATGTCCAAGGATCCTAGACTTTCATCCGACCAGGATGTTATCATGAAAGGGTGGCTCTGTAGGAGGCCAAACCATGGAATCCATAGGCAGATGTATTGCCCCGGCTCCACCTGGACTGGCGAGGTGAGGCGTACTTGAAGCGTCATCACTTCCTGCTGTATGATGACATGCTCTCTGTTCAGCATTTCTTTGATATTGGTGATCTTGACTCTGGCGAACCCGTTCCCGACCACTCCGGTTTGGTACACAATGAGTCCGCATTGGACAAGAATGGTCAGCAAGAATATACCAATAGTAACGTAAATGTACTTTTGCGGAAGAGAATGACTCTCCTTCAAGTGGCTCCATATGCTGTAGGTCGCCGTGACAGCCAGGGTCTGATGCAGGCGAAGGAAGAGCTCGTAGAACGGACGGCGAAGTAATGGGTGTGAGAGAGGCACGAGGATGCCCAATGATATTGTCCCCTAATCTTTGTCAATTCTGTCGACCGGCCGTAGGAATCTTTTAGGAAGCATACGATCAGTCCAAAGAGGTTTTCCGAGATCTGCAGGGGAAATGGTTTCTTCTCCACGAGCACAGTGAGAACGTGGAAACCCAACAGGGCCGATGACATGAGCCCAAAGGAGCGATGAAATCGCCGGTACGTGCGTAATGTGACGCCTAAGAGATCGGCTGGAAAGCTCAGATGAGGGCCTGCCATGAGAGGGATCAGGTTGATGAGCGAGAGATTGGCCGCTCGCAGACCGGCCACCCAGACAGAGTGCACTTTGAAGCAGACACAAAAGACGTTGACCCCACTGTACAGAAGCCCTGCAATGACACCAGCTGGGTGCCACGCCCCAGTCAACCGGTGACGAATCTGTGGATACACGAAATATTTGAGGGAGAGGGGAACGACCTTCTTCCAACCAAGCAGAAACCACTGGCGAAAGTTCATGAGAACGAGGAGAAACAACAAGCCGCCCAAACCGATCGCGTAGGCTAGAGTAATATCCATATTGAACGTTAGAAACGATAGAAATGGAATGACAACAACGCACGGATGGAAAAGCAGTTTCACAGGCGTTAAGAAGCTTGTTGAACGGGGAAAGAGAGTGAACTTGAAATATAATGAACTGTAGCATAGTATTGAGACGCCAAACCCTCAGAGAGGGAGCCGAGAATGGAACAAGACTCTGAGCAGTTGCGGCCAACTTTGGAATAAAGCAATTGGAGCCAGAATGGGATCCTCTACCCGACAAATCCACCTTCCTCTAACTTGGCGGTAACCTGTAGCCTCTGAATGGGGCAATCGAAGTCACATCTGCCAGCCCTTGGAGATTTCTCGTCCCCCAGGGCCCGCTGAATAATGGATTCTAGCCAGGTCAGGATCAAACCCAGGAGGAAATCTGAGGTCCGTCACTTGCCTTCAACAACTTCTCTGCCGAAGTCGCAGACGTCGTCTCAGAAAGGAATTCGACCGCCAGAGAATCGGAGGGCCACCGGCGCAGGTCATCTACTCCGACAGCACCATCAACTTTGGCATACTTTTGCATCAGCTCCATTGTGATGAAGCTTAGAGCCTTAAGATCTCTCGATCCAGGATTGCTCAGGGGACATGGTCGACAGAGTTCCTGATGTGCTGTGATCTGAACGTCAGCTTGACGTAGAAGTTTGTGGAGTGATTACGTGCCTATCTTCACCTCGCCAGCGACATTGATGAGAATACTCGAGGTGGTCAGAGAGCCGTGTTCTAGTCCTTTTTTCGCGAGGTACACAAGCCCGTTGAGGATCTGTCACAGTTAGTCGGTCCACTCAAAAGAGGTGAAATTCAAAACCCCCCTGTCCTAAAATGGACGCCAGTTGATCCTCGTCGAGATGTTTCGGAAACCCAGTGAACAGGCTCAGAGACATCGGCATGTGCTCGAAGACAACGTAGAATAACTCGTCATGGAGAAAGATGTCTCTCACGGACACGATATTCTCATGTTCAACCTGCTGCAACATACGACATTTTTCTTCACCGTCATGTATAGAGAAGCTCCTCACAGCGACGACGTACGGCGTCGGACCCTCCTTTTGAGGAGGGACAATAAAGTCGGCGGACCACGGATGTCTAACATCGGCCACATCCACCATGTCGTCGTCTTCCTCGCCAAGCCGTATGCAATGGCTTTTTCTGTACTTTTCCCACGGGGATTGGTGCTTCACGATCAAGGTATTCTCCGTCCCATGTCCGAGTGCTGCTGGGGGGTTCAGGGGCTTCGAACCAGTTGCTGAGGTGGTACGATAGGTTCCGGACGAGAGTGCCCTCGGGAATCCTGCTGCCGGATTAAATCCAGTCCCGCGGCGACTGGGAGTTTCACCATCCGTGAGGTGATCATCCTGGCGGGCCACGCTCTGAGAAGCCCCCCTAAACCCTCTGATTGCATTAAAGTCGATGCGTGTCCGGCGATTTAAAGATTGAGATGACATCTTGACAACATGAATGGCTAAAGAGAAGACCAGAGCAAACGTTACAATCTCTTAAGTAAGGTATGTGAGGTTTGAGCAAAATTGAGGCAGGGGTGGTGGTCAGTCCCAAGAGACGGGAGACGACGTTCGATCTGGACTACGAAGCAGATGAGGAACGAAGCGGCCAGAGCCGGCATGTGCAGCAATCGCACGCCTTCCTCCCCAGGCCCATTTTGGTCCTCGGGGCCCAATTCAGTCTTGATGCTGCGCTCAACGGAATGAGGCCCGTTCTGGATCCGAATGGTGAATAGCGTTGTCACTCAAGAGTACTGCAGAGCTCGATGGGGAGGTACGTAGCTTCATTAAATGATATCCGCAGCCCACCGGTGGGAAAATATCCATCGTCCCACAGGTTGAATTATTCATACTTACACCACCATGCTCAAAGAAAAGCTATGGCTCAAAGTAGGTGTGTCGCTCGCATTCGCGGCTGCATTAATCTGCTGCACGGTTTTGAGCTTTGAAGTGCTTTGCAATAAGGACGACATGAAGGCTGGTATCATTACCTTCACTGTGAGGGCCTTTCACTGTTCAATGTGTTAGGTGAGGTAGATCGCTGATATCTTCTTCCACAGTTTAGGGCGCCCCCCACACAGGTACCGCTCCGTGCAAGGGGCCTGATCCCAACGGCCGTGACCCAAGCTGGGAGCGTCGTAAGCAATGTGGCAACAGCAGCCTCCGGGGCTCCCAGCCAAGCAAACAGCATCGCAAGCGCCGCCGCGACAGCCGTCAATGGCGCCATCACGGCGATCCCCCGGAATCTCTCCATCGGCACAAAACAATACTGCGTGGGGTTCAGCGACCATGTCGAATGTCATCAATTGCCCGTGAACATATCTAGGATCGTACCCCAGGTTGTTGCAAATATTCTGAGCGACGAAATGGAAGATTTGGATCACCTGCGCAGCATCTTCGCAACAGCTACCCCTGGATGGATCGGGGATCCTTTCATTATCGGCATAGCGACGGCCCTGGTGATCGCTGTCGTCTTTTTCACCTCTATGTTCAGCTGGCCCTTCGGCGCTGGTACTCTGTTGCAGGATCTGATGTTACCATTAATGCCCAGATTGGTTATTGGGCTCTTTTGTTGCATCTCTTACCTCCTCCCAACAATTGTTCTTTACCTTCTCTACTCCAAGTCGAAGGACCTCTCTTCCGAGATCAGGGCTGATCAGGGCCCGGTCGGCGGCTACTGCTGGGGCACTCTCTTTTCGGCTCTCCTAATGACGGGAATGACAACGTTTGTTCACATCTTGGTCTGATAACACCCGATGAAAGGTCGTTAACTTTCACGGTGGCTCGGTCAAATACACAGGTTATCATTTCGACGCCATACCATACACTGAGAGTGAGGAACTTGGACAGTAAAATTGGGTGGTAAGGGCGTATGATTGGATGAGAGCCCACAAGATCACGTCCCTGAGCTTTACCGTGCCTGTGACCTGCTTGGCAAAATCAGGGGGCTGGATAGTTGCCCCCTCGGAACAATCTGAAGCGCACCCAGCATTCGGAGGAGCGGGTTTGATTTGCTTGAGGGCTCGGATATGGAGTGATGGTTCAATCGAGCAGTGCTCGAGTTTAAGGGCCCAACATTGCCCGCTCATGATCGAAAGTCACTTTCGAAGTCACTCTCTTCTACCTCACTTAGGCCCTCGTCCTGTTCAATTGCTCATGTATCTGCTGTATCCGTGACAGTCGCTTGAACTCCTTTTCCAGACGAGCATACCGTTTCTCGCGGTTGATTCGATCACCATGACTCCTCGCTTGCTTCATGGCAGGTCTTGCGCCAGCAGAGGATGCTTCCACGCTATGGTGATGATTCCGCATTTCAACCTGTCCTTCTGCCATTGAGTTAACACGTATGGAAGCTGCCGATGAAGTAGTCTGTGGCCCCGGTACGATGGCCTCCTTGGAAGGGAGGCGAGTTAGAGACGCACGAACGGGCTTTCGGGGTGTCAACTGCCGGTTTCTTGAGATGACAGAGTGTAATTCTGCAAGGGATTCTCTTGTGCATTTAACTGCTGTGGCTGTGTTTGTTGGCTCGGGCGAGGACTGGCTGACTGAATGTGAAGCTGTAGGACCAATGCCATCTTCGGACAATCCCGTCTGCTGGGTGATCGAGCCGTGGCGATTTTGGATCTCTTCGTTCGGTGGCTGGCCTGGCGGGGTTTGATACAGTTCTGCTTCTTCACAAGCTTTGTCCCCATCTTCTCTTGCTTTTTCGTCCTCTAGGCCACTCAGGAAAAGTATCCTCTGCAACAGCCTTTCAAATTCCTGGCCATTTTAGCATGAGGTATGATGTCACTTGGGGAAGACTTACCATGTTTTTGCTCACTGGTTGCCATGGTCCGTGACCAGAGGATCTGTATGTATAGGCCTCTCTAGCCTTTGGATTGATCATGTGGCGGGCCACGGAATAGATCCATATTGTGTGCAACTCATGGCCTTTGTTAATGGCGCCCAACTTTCCTTTTTCGCGGTACCTCATCTTACGATCTCTTTCGTTGGCTTTTTCTCAAGTGCAGTGTCGTCTGGCGTGTGAGATGTGGCGTCTTTCTGATCATCCGAAGTCTCCATGGCAGGGCCAGTGAGCAGGATATTTAAGTACCCAGAAAGAAACTCGCGTTTGCAGCCCCAGTGACCACCACTGTGCGATTTCCCAATAAACAATGGCAGCGCAGCTAACTAGTTGGTTCTAAATATAAGGCAACAACGGTCGCCCCAAGTTGATACGAAAGGGGATGGCTTCCATAGTGGGTCCCCTTCCACAACCTGCTGTTAATAGAGTCAATTTTTAGTTTTCATACCTGACTTACTGAGCCATTGCTTTGCCGCTCGCTTCTACGTTTCAGGAAGCGTCTCAGAAAATGTGCGCCTTGATATTCCCGACGGTGATTAGTGGAAAGCGGATGGATCCACCAGTCTGATTCGTACAGCAATGGGCTGGAGTTTGTCAGGCATTCCAAGATGGCGAAAGTCTATACAGTACTTTTGGGTGGAATTGAGCTTCTTGTGAGCATTCTCATCCTCGCCCTCAACCTCAACCATTCAACGCTGACCTGAGTGGGTATCCTGAAGATACTATTACTATTTTCGCAGCAAGATTGAGATCCAGTGGGCACCTGGGCCAGGGAAACGCATTCAAGGGTGGATAAGATCTCATCCCGCATGTTGCACAGCGCCGAAAACTGACAAGATACTAGAGTTCAGCCGCTCCAGAAGGTGGCATCAGCACCTGTACAAAATATACCGAACTCGGGAAGACTTGCATCACGAACGAAGCAAGCCACCCGAATCATAGAAATGATCCACTGGATTGCTCTCACCCGGGGCCAGACGAGGGTTCATATTGATTAGAAAATTACCGGACATTCTTGACTGTCTACTGTATTTATCAATGATAGTCCAACACAATTGTTCAACACAAAGCTAAGAGAGTGACAACGCAACCGGGCCTGCTAAGGTTGCGAGGGCCAGGTCATAGTCATTATCAGGCAATTGACTTGTTACCGCTGCAAACACCGCCCCATTGAGTCCTTGCGGTACATCCGCAACTCCCCTGCCTTGACCAACGATCGATAATACCGTATACACCGGCACATTCAGCTGATTGGTCCAGCCAACAAACAACTGTTTTCCCTGCTCGAAAACGAATGGCATCTGCATTGGATCCCAGGAGAATGCCATTTCTGACGGAACCACGGTGGTGTTCGCAGCGGTAGCGGGGCCCGTGGTGGTATTTTGATAAGGTGCGATGCTCGACGCTATTCCCGTGGCCGCTGAAGATCTGTTGTCAGCCGTAGTCGGGGCTGACACCGTTAATGTGGGCAGAATGGGTACTGGGAGTTCCGTTGGACACGATCCAGGCACGATAAATGGAAGAGCCAAATTGTACGCCCAGATACTGCTAATCCCGGTGTCAAATGGAGCTGGGTTAGGGACTCTGCCGCCCACGTGGCGGAAGAAGGCGTCATGGCGGGACTCGACTGTCACGATCGACGACACCGTATTGACAATCCCAGGATCAGTGTACGAGACTCGATCGGCCAGCCCGATAAGTGCGCTGATGCCCACTGAGGTGATGATGTCGCCAAGGGCGATGAACTCATCAATGGACGCCACCGGGAAGGAATACTGGCAAGGAGCAATTACAGGGGCTCCGTAGCCGTTGAGCAGATTCGCAATTGTTGCAACGTGTACTTCCTCCTGCTATAGAAGGCACAAATATTAGACTGACACAGAACCTGGATGGTCAACTTACCGCCGCGATTGTGCTGAGAACTTCGGTCGTGTCATTTGGGTAGCCCGCCGTTCCCCAGGTAGAAATATTTTGAAGTCCGCTTTGAAGATAGGATGATTCCAGGTTTTCGAGAAAGAGGGCCAGTTGGAATTCTCTGATCGCTTCCGCCGACACCATGGGAGGCTCATTGCTGTCCGGAATCCCGCCTCCTGCGGTGCTGATAGTGTCTGGACAGAGTGGTGCGGCTGCCGTAGTCGCCATTCTTGTCAAGATGGGCAGGACGAAACAGAAAATTGTGGAACGCGGAGGTGACGGCATGACCGCTCTTCAATGTCGAAAATTGTAAATCGTTTGAGGTGTAGAGATTGATCACATCCTCCCAGCTTCCGGGCTTCATGGAATATAAATCAAGTTGTGTCAGGTTGGACAAGTGCGCTCCTCAGTTCCGAAGGGACCAATTCTTGTTCCCTAGGTGCTATTCTTGTCTCGCATCTCTCACAGCCTCAGACAATCCTAAGAATAGTGGTGGGGTCTAGTGTGGTATACCAATGATCAAGAAGGAAGGTCGCTACGAAGCATATTGCCATTGCTTTCAAAGAAGGTAGTGGAAAAGGTCGAGTTCCGGCTCAAAATTAGCGTAGTGGGAAGTGACCGGGCGAGTCCTACTCTGTACTGGGCTTTGCATTCAGAAATAAAGTGCTGAACCAGATATGCACTTCAATAAGAATAGAATAAATTAAGAGGACAAAAGTATCCGTAGAGACTCTTGGGATACGGGTCTAATGGTTGTGTCAGTGGCACAAAGTGGCCGGTAAAAGGGGCAACAAGTATGGCTATGCTCGCTCGGACGAGGCTCCGCAAAAGGAGGCCTCTAATTGGCTGCTCCGTCATCCACAGCCCTTAGTCAGATTGAGATTTGTCCGACTACAAGGTCTTGTTAGGCATGGAAAACATGGCCGCTTGATTACAGCTATCTTCCTTGCTGTACCCTAAGCTCGACGGAAAGCTATTGTACGCCTTTAGCACCTGTTTGAGATGGGAGGTAGAGTCACCATCCGATTATATCACCCAGTACAATCGACGCTCACACGCTACATTTGCCTGGACCATATTGCCATCTGCCAGAAACAGAGTGGGCTACGTTCCTTAAAACGCTAGATTGTCACCCCGTGGGACATGGTAATCCAGTGGCACCCTCTCCTTGCCAGGCTCGTCCGGCAGAGAGTAATCCTGCCCGATACAGCAGTGCCCCCGCCACGACCATTATGTGCATGACCTGGTGGCTAGAGCCCACGATATCAAAAGCATCCTGGCAGAGCCTTTCTGGAATTCGCATGCAGGAAAAAAAGCCTCCAATGGCATTCAGAATGATCAGGTTCCTGTAGGATGCCAGGAGGACGGGGTGACAGGAACTCCTTTCCCAGGAACGAACATCAAGCGACATCGTCGGTAGGATTGCCGAGAGCCCGAGGGCGAGGAAGGTTAATGTGCGCGTGTGATAACTTTCAGGACCCCTGAATATTGGCTGAGACACACACAACGCCGTGACCAGGGCCACTGCCGTTGCAACGCCGACGTGGTATGCCTGTAATTGGCGGTCGCAATAGAAGGCGAAATAGAGAAAGGAAACCATTGCGCTCCAGATGAAAATCACCGTGCCGACGTGGTCTAGTTGCTGTGTCCAAATCATGACCTTTCGGCTGTGGTTGGAGAGGAGGTGATGGACGAATGACAGGGCAAAGCTGACAATGGCCCCAAGGAAGAATGTGACGACTGCCACCACATCCAGAGTCAGAGCCCCAGATTGGGCAAGGAATCGGATGAGTAACCATGAGAAGATGATGGCTGCAGACAGATGTGACCAGATGTTGACGGTCTCGTTATGCCATCTGGCCATGTCTCTCGTCGACCCATAGTAGGAGTAAGATGGTTTTCTGTAACCAGACCGAATGTACTTGTTCTGCTTTTGCCACTTGGGCAGGTTTTTCCAGCGTCGGGGCATAGTCGCACAGCGGGTGTAGAAGCAGCTGGGTGCAGCCCGAGCGCCATTAATTTATATTCGGTGAACATGGACTTCCTCGAACCGTGAGACCCATTTGAGCCCCCCTTGCTTTCGTCTTTGCCGAACCTGCTGCCTAAGATTTGGTAGCCCTTTTAGGCTCGTTCAAGTCGACTCGGGTGTACTGTGCCTCTGAAGGTAGTCATGTTTATTCACACGCTGGGTTGAAGCAGAGCATTGCGGTTGCACATCCCGTACATTCAACTCTGGCCAAAATGCAGGCACACAGGAGGCATTGAAAGACTCATCAAGCGAGCAGCAAGTCGCGGAGATGTCGGTGGATGATAGGTGTCTTGCAGCTGAGTGATATTCTCGAAGGGTCTCAACGAGGGCCGCAAGATGTATCAGGGCCATCAGAAAAGCTTTGAACAGACTTTTCTAAGCAAGAGAGTATATCCCGAAAAGTGATGAGTTAGGAGGAAGGCTCAGGGAAACAAATGATCATTCTCATCTCTTTGGACTAGGATACCGGGTTCCGTTCATGCCGGGATGTCCAACCTTTGGACGGGAAATTTCATGAAAGGGAACTCACTCGCTATCCTCTGGAAAGTTGAAAAAGAAAAACTCGTCCTCGCAGTTGGCATTGCGGGACTCCATGCCAGCGTAGGTCGCGGGGCTGTCGTGATAGTCGCAATATGAACGATTCACCGACGTGGATGCTTGATCTGATGCATCATTGCGGGGTGCATCTGCGGTCGGGGATGGCAATATGGGAGATTTCGCCAGGAACGCGTCGATGTCAACGCCCAGACCGTCCGTCACTTCATTCGGTGGCAGCGGGAAGCCATCATGCATGGATGTAAAGGCCGAACACAGGTCAGGAGCCAAATTTGTCTCTCCGGCAAGACATGCCAGGAAGGTGGTGTAAGGGGCCTCCCAAACGGTTTCGTGGGGAGCTAGAGCGAATTGCGAGGATGACTCAGCCATGTACAGGCCCAACTCATTCGCATCCATGGGGGGGTCGAAAACCAAGCCAGGTTCAGTCCATTGCTGGTCGACACCGCCTGATTGCCTCAGAGGACTCCAAGGTGCCGTGCCTCCCTCGCCAAGAGCGGACGGCGAATCTGGATCGGTCTTCCATATTTGTGCATCGGTCCTTCCACCCTCGTTGAGCCACGAAGGGCATTCTTCCGAGAGCCAGTTGCGAGGTAGGGCATGGTTGATGCAGATGGAGTCGACCAAGGGCGTCAATGTCGGCAACCAGTTTTCCCAGCCCGCCACTCGCCGCTCGACACGATCAAGAAAAGCTGATAGAGTGGCTTTTGACATGGTTCGCATGCTGTTCGTTTTGCGTCAGTATGGTACGCCTGATTGAGAGGGGTCATCTTTGAGCGAGAGAACTTACTATGCGTCCGACACTTCGTCCGGTATCAACAGTAGCATTCCTTTGCCAAAGCGCGTGATGATGTTTGCCCACGGCTGTCCTGCCGCCCTCCAGTTTTGAATCTTCCTGGCGGCGGCGTATCTGGTCACCGTCCCTGCTTTCCGCGCCGTTCTCTTCGTCTTGCTGGTTGGTAATGCGCCGGGGAATAGAAGGTTCACGAAATGATCCATGGCCGCTCGTTTGTGTTGCGAATTGCGAGCTTCGCGACCAATTGCCGTCTTGGGTACCCGTTGCCCTGGTCTCGACCGCGGGCGCGGGGCGCTGCCCTCCATGCCCATATATCGCAAGGCGCACGCGTCGTAGGCATGAGAGAACTCCGCCAAAGTCAATCTTTTCCGGAGTCGATATATCTGCTCGTTCGCCTCGGTGAGGACGAGTTCTTCTTTCAGGAGCCACAATTTCCGCATCGAGTCGGGTTGATCCGTCAGATGTTTCGGGATGATTTGACCACCACGTTCGTTGAAGGTGTCTCTATCCTGCCACGCCCGAGCTTCCAGCTCGGCGATCGTGCCCCTCAGCCCTTCCAGCACCTGCACTTCCCCTATGCGGTCGATGGTCTGCAGCATAGCGGCAGTGAGAAGGCCGTCGTGTCTCGCCACTTGCCTCGATTTTGGCTCCTTGACGCGGGAGTGCGACGTTTTCTGGAACGATGTTTTCCCCGGGCGTTTGAAGTCCGAGCCTGTGGCCATTGCATCCGTCGGTGATCCCCAGCTCAAAAGTACCGGCAGGTGATCTTGATCTGACCGTCGCTGGGCCTCTTTCGGCACCATCTTACATTCGTTCACTTCACTGATTCCACTATCGCCTTCGACAGCCGTCAACTCCACCACCCCCGAACCCTCCAGTCGTAGCGCTCGCACGCTCGTTGGAGGGGTGGGAAGTCCATGGGCGAATTGACCGTGAGGTTCAGTGCTGGAATGTTCATCCGCGTCGTCATTCCGCGGTTGATCGTGGCCGTCATTGGGAGCCTCATCTTGGGTGAGCACACTTTGTAGCACGGACAGCATCGCATCATGGTGGCCGGGGTTAGATTCCACCCACAGGCGAAGGTATGAATGGAACTGGTTGATACCTACGGGTCAGCGCAAAGGACCAACATGGCGACAAGTAGACTCACATCATCAAGGCTGAAGGATAGATCTAACTGAGGGTGGTTGGCCTGCGGCAGAGAGCCGATTTGGATTTTCAGGGCCATCAAACTCCAGGACGTCAACCAGCTCAAGGGTCGTGGAGTCAGGAGACAACGCGGCGTCCACGGCGTGTGGGCGGCTTCGTTCGCCTCGTGAATCAGCAGAGAGGCGGTTTCGGCTCGGTCGCGATGAGACCGAAGTGAGGCGTCTGCTCGCACAACAGAAGAGAGCGACAAAGAACGCAGCGCAGGGTTGGGGCCTTCATTGTCCCCCGAACAGCGTATGACTGCGAACCGGCCTTATCAACTTCGATGAAGTTGATGTGCAAAGGGAAGGCTTCCACAACGGGCCCCCTCCAAACCCGACCTTTGGTGGGGTCTCATCCCGAAATGGCCCTTTCAGGACCTGCTATTCATAGCATGATCAGGATCCCATTTTGGTGCCATACCGCACTGAGCGCGAGAGCAGAAGCGATCGATCGCTGAGGGTTGACGAAGGTCGTTGTTGAGTTATGCATTGCATGAGCCCAACCACGGGGGGTTTTCTGCGCCGCCGGCACTATTCCTTTTTCGTTACCCGGGCGGCTGATGAGCCGTGCAGGGGCGTGGGCAGCCCCAGCGCACAGCCCCCCGTGCGAAGAGCAAGCCGTGCTCACTTTGACATTTGCTCGACATGTTCTGTCCACCGAGTGAGTGCTTTTGGCCTGTCGCTCCAGCAGGGGCTTCAAGATTCCGCCGTCGAAATTTCCTCCTCTGTCGGCCTACAACTACGATCCTACCCAAGATCTCAATTTCGTGCGGCAGATCCGCCCACCAAGCCCTATCGTGACCGTCTTTACGTTTGATGTACGCGTGAACGACTCGGAGCGAACGGAATCTATTCATCACTACCTGTAACTATCAGAAGTCTGTGAAGGCGAAAGAATGACAAATATTAGCTGCCTTTGACAAAGGGACTCATCAAGAGAGTGGATTCAACCATAGACCAAAAGAGCGCGTGCTTGCGGATCAGAGCCCATTGTCGTTGGCCCTGCCCATGGTCGTCGGTGCCCGCCGGGCACTGACAAGCAAGCTGAAAAATAGACAACCGGAAGATGGATTGTCTGGAAGACGTGTTGGCGGTGAAAAGAGCGATGTGACCGCCGACGCTCAGTGTGACATACCATCACTCACTCTCCAGGTGGCCCGGGGATTGGAAGTGGCCATCCGCCAGTCGAAATTTCGATGAAGGTGGTCCATTTCCACAGATTCTTCAGGTTCGTCCAAGCTTTCCTCCCTCCGCCCTCCCTATCGGGCTCTTCGCCGCGGTTTTGACCTTTTCGCGTTCGACGAACGTCGGCTTCGCCCTGTTCCCTGTTCCAACCTTTTCATTTCCTCCCTCAGATATTGCAATCGGGTTTCTTGGTCTTCTCCTTCCTCATCAGTCTCACTTTCTTCCGCTTCATCCTCCGCGATGACGGCTCGAGGGAGCTGCCCTGCCTTCCTCCTAAAGGTATTCAGTTTTTCGTCCACCGCATCTATTCCAAATTCTTCCCCCAGATGCGACCGCCAGTACCAGGTCGGTTCCGTCTCAGGAAATGCCACCCACGCCATCATCATCGCCTCATCATCGAAGTCGGTTCTAACGGGAGCGACGCCAAAAATCTCCACTTTGTTCCAGCTCATTCCCCGCAATTTGGTCTTGTCCCCGGCCGCGATGTCTCTCCCACCCAACACGTGCTGGTTCCTCTCAACAAAGCTCTTCCCGAATTTGCTCGCCCGGACGAACTCGAAGATGTCGTACCCGTTGCGACCGTCTCGTCGAAGCAAGACTCGATGACCATATCCCGCCCTGATGTAACCGTACAGTTCCTTCTCGGCCCCTCCTTCGAGGACGTATCCATCCCTTTCATTGAAAGCCAGGGACTTCGGCAACTTCCCTGATCGGGCTCGAGCTTCTGTTGGGGCAGTTTGGCGGGCTGCTGTTGAGGCAGTTGACTGCCTTGGCCTCCGTGGGATGGACTGCGTGGACGGCTGTGGTATGTCGATTTTCCAATCTGTAGGGTAACCGCGCTCCTGAATGAAGTTGTCAAGCCACTGGTTCATCGCTTCGAGCTCCTCCCTAGCCTTTTCATCGGAGTTTTGCTTCCATTGAGCTAAAAGAGGGCGCGCCTTCTTGGACACCCCTTGATAGACTTCGAAATCGACCACGAATCGAGTTGAGTTAGGAAATCCATTGGCCGTGTTGATCTCCACTATCTTTCGGTTCACCTCTTGCAGGCCGTTGATCGCTCTCTCGTCATCGGGACTGTCCGAGAGGACTTGCAGCAGCCCCCCCGCGACAGCAAACGCTTTGCGGTGATCATCGGTCAGTGGTGGGATCGTGGGCTGGTCGGAGGCTTCCATGTCCGCATCTTGTCCGCCCGGTCGGCCCTCATCGGAGCTTTCGTGGCTTGCGTCATTTGCTGGCACGGTGAGAATGTCCCCTACGCCATCCCATTCTCTCATCGTCGCTATGGCAGCTTCGTTGATCCCGAGGTGCTTTGCCGCATCGTTGACTCCTACATCCCAGGCAGGTGTGCTATTGTCAGTTTACAGTTTTCCACGTCCCCCGAGATTCAAGAGTTCACACTTACTGAGAAATGCCTCCGCAGCTTGATTCGCCTTGTTATATTTTTCATGGGTCAAGCATCCAAGCTTCGTGAAGGCCGCCATCACCTCTCTCGACTCCTCTTCTCTATCTGGCTTTTCGTCTCCGAGGCCCAGAATCTGTCGGTAATCGGTACCCGGGCATTTCATCACTGTCTCTACGGCATCAATCTGCTCCTGGGTCACCCCATTGTTCCCCTCTCCTCCGGAAGGCTTCGGGCTCGCTGTGTCATCTTCCGCAGTAGGTTGAAGGTTGGCCTGCCGCCTCTTCTCGTCTTCCTTCAACCGGGCAGCGTCGGGCTCCGGGGTCGATTCTGGCGTTGGCAGGCCATGGGCTTGTCCCGTCGCGGGATTCTTGTCACTAACCACAGGCTCAGAGGGAGAGTCGTTCGCTGTCGCCATGTTTTGACACAAACTTGGGCCACGACTGGGATTGTGCAAACGCAGATGTTTCTGAGAGAAAACGAATTAGGACCGATTCGCCGTGTACCACTCGAACGCTGATATTTGAGGCTCTGGACGGACCGACGTCTAAAAAGACATTCAGAAGTGCAAGTCCCTGGGCAGGGATGCTATATAGGATGCAGCCTTGGAAGTGTCCGAATTGGGCTTCTCTAGCACGTCTCGGCTGTTGCCCATTTACACACAGTTTGGGGACTTGTTCGCCGCCCCCTCCAGTCCATGAGCCGAAAATGGTCCTGGGGCGCCATAACTTTCGACGCGAGATCCAAGTTCGGCTCCCTTGATGGGAGGGACGATGCAACCGCGACCTGATGATGCCGATGGCATCCTCCCTTCAAGGATTTCAACGTTCCGCGCATCCACTATGTACTGTAATGTGTCATGCTGCGAAGGAAAATGAATGTGTTTTACTGCGGTACAGTGGAAGAGGAGTCTCAAATTCACGTGAGTTGGGATGCCTTTACGAGGAAAACAGAATAAGACCGCTAGATTCAAATAGACAGCAGGCCCTGGGATGGGAATCAATCGCGGAATCTTAGGCCAAGAGCTACTCCGCACCAAGGAAATTTTATCTTCACAGCAAGTGCCATCCACCATCCGAGGTCAAACGTCACGGCTCTGGAAGCCAACCTTAATGCTGGCCGTGTCCGCGCATTGCTCCAAAGTCGTGTCGAAATCGTCACCAATCTCCTTCTGGGCTCTTCTCCACTCAAATACCGCCTGCTGAAGTCGGTCTAAAACCCGCCTCATCTCTTCTTTAAAGGCTCGGTTGGCGCTCTCCTGCCTCTGACATTTCGCGAGCTCTTTTTGTAGTGCTGTCTTCTCCCCGGTGAGTTGCTCAATTCTCTGCAATGGAGTAGGACGTGTGGCGCGTTTGGAGGCCTCCAGTCGAGACCTAGATGCTTCGAGAGCTACGGACGAGCCTTGGTTGTTGTCGATCAACGCGTCCATCGGGCTCAGCGCAGGGGGTTGATTCGGTGGGGAATGGCTGTGAACTTTGCGTTGACGCGACATGTTCATGGTGGCATGTAGGTTATGACACCCTTTGAGGATTCGATTTTTGGAGACAATGGTGGCTCTCAGTGACTGTCTCTGCAGATATACTCTGCCAGGGCCGGGAATTGGGCAGTGTTATTTTCCTTCCTGTTCTTTTTTTAAATGACCATCAACCACGCTAAGCGTTGGGGATTGGCGATGGATTGGCAAGAAGGGGGACCAGAACAAGCCCCCCTCGACGAGTGAAAGAAGATTGTTCTATTCTTGATATGCACGAAATAGGGTGCAGGAAAGAGTCTGCCTTCCATTGCCAGAATGATGGTGGTCCGCCACCCGCACAACGTTTGTGAGCCTCCCACATGCTGCCAGAAGAAATCGATTTCAGACAACTTTCTACTACAGACCGTACGAAATTATGCCGGTACTGAATGCGGAAAGAGAAATGAAGACGGTGCGTTCTACTAACCAAAGAGGATAAACGAATCAGGTCTCTCAATTTTACCTTCCCTCCATCCTCCCACGCCGTTCAATGGCATACTACCCGCAAGTCCGCATTTTTGGGCTCCAGCTTCCGCCCCCGTCGAGCTCTCTTTGGTTGCCTCCGACGTCCTCCCCCCGTGGTCTCGTTTTCTTCTATTTTGACGTTTTCGTCGATGCCTGACGACACTGGTTCCCTTTTGACGGCGGGCGAAAGAATTAAATCCATCGTCCGGGTTCTGTCGGTGGTCTGTTCAAACTGCTTCAACTTCTGATCTGCCACCGCCAGACGTGCTTCAAGGCTGGATAGTTCGTTCTTGTAGCGTCCCACCGTATGCTCATAGTCTTGTTCCATTTCCTTTATCTTGGCTTGAAGCTCCAGTGTCCTAACCGTGGTCATTCCGTTTTCGCTTGAATCCAGTTCGTGAATCGCCGCGGCCTTCGCATGGTCCATAGTGCCGGTCGTACATTCGTGCACGGCAACACCATTTTCCAAAGCACGGATCTTTTGACGAGCTTGATCTACTTCATGTTGCAAGAACCTCTGTTGCTCGGCCAGATGCCGGTTCCGGCCTTCAGACTCTTCGACCTGGCGACGAGCCGCCTCGGTCTCTTCTTGGGCGATCAGGAGCTCTTCCTGCAATACGACGCTGTTTTCGGCCATTTCGTTCAGCTCGTCGGTCTTGGAGTTGTATGCCGTATGGATATCCCACCACGACTTCTCCAAAGCGGTCTTCTGGCCCAGTAACGTGTGAATGTTGGTCCAGAGAGTACGCTGGATATCGCATGCCTCTCTTTGAAACCCGGTATACTGCTGGGTGACGAACTGGAGACGTGTCCAAGTAGCATTCAGGTTGTTGACGTCCACCGGGACAGGACCAGTCGGCATGAGCCGCCCTCCAGCAGTGCCGGGAGTGACCTGCAAGATCAATAAGAGTCCAAACGGATAATAATGGGTAACACGTACTCTCACCGCGTCTAGTCCTGCGCTATCCCTTCCGCTTGTGTGAGAAGCCATTATTTTTTGTCGACCGTTTTAAGCTGCCGTTATTCGTCAGACTTTACCGTCCAACGCGGCTCCTTTTAAAGTAGAAAACACCGAGTTCCTCTTCATCCAACAGCAATATCGGCGGCGACAACGGTGACGGCAGCGATAAAGGACTAAAATTAGTTCACAACGAGCGCACCATGTCCTAAATCTTGAAATAGAAGCGTCGCCCTTGTCGGTTCATAAATAGCTAGGAGTGGAGACATTATTTTGTTGTGACCTGCGGTCAACTTCAACCGCAGAATGACAACCTCTTTGCGCAACGAGAGTCGCTCGACCGTTGGCAGGATTGTCGCTAGGTGCATTGAGCGAGGCTTGGGGCTGTGGGCGCAGGGATGGAAATGATCTGCCCCTCAGGACTCTCCACCGAGCTGGTGGGGATCCAAACGGGCTCGGAGATCCCTGCCGTCGCACTGTCTGCTGCGAAATCTCTAATGCAGGAGCCCAGCTTGGACCCTTCGGTACGAAAGGAGTTTGCACCGTCTTCTGGAGGGACAGTTCCGGCCCCACGACAAGCGCCGCCGTTTGTCGGTTTGAGGTCGAAGGGCAATCGTCGCCCACGGTTCGCGATGGGCTAGGTATAGTAAAGCATACCTTAAAGGTACATTTCCCACTGGGTGTTGGTTGGGTGAACTTGAATGAGGAAATGACATTCAAGGGAGTGACATACGCAGTTAACCCCACCTTTGTACCATACTTCGATGGCCTTTCAGCAAAATACCCAAAACGCCACCGGCGGAATGTCGTGCGAAGACGCGCTTCAACTTCTCTTCTACAAACAGCCTATCACCAACGGATATGTCCAGGACACCACCAATTACCTACCCCAACAATCATCCACCGCTTTCCCATTTCGACAGGACAATACGAGCATATGTCCGCACATGTGCGCTGATACTACGTTTACACAATCGGCTCCAGAACCAGATGTCAGCTCACTAAAGATGCCTGCCGAGTTTGCAGCCACGTTGGAGGAGATCAAGCAGGGAGTGACCTCCCTCCACACCCGGAGTGATCAGATCGAATCTCTGCAGACGCAATGCAATCAACTGGAAATTCATTTCTCGGAGTTTCAAGATTGGTACAATCTTTCCGATGAACCCGATAATTTGTGACTGACCATGAGAACAGGGTGAAAGCTTCTATGGACACGATGAAGAAATATATTGAGCATCATAGACAGTGGTCTTTGATCTTCAAGAGAACGGTGGAGAGCCAGATCAGGGATCGACATTCTAATCACGAGGGACAGGCCAGATCTGAGGGCTCCGCAGTTGAATCGCAGGATACTTGAGAATGGCGCAGGCGCGTATCCAAATTGGCATGGTAGTTTGGCGATCGGGTACGATTAAGGAGTTACCGTCTCCGGGCATTTTGTACAATCGGCAGGCCAGTAAATTCACTAACTTTAAAAGCATTTTGAGAATGTCCTTTGAAAACGTACCTTAACCTTCGATGCTAGAAAGTGACGAAGCCCGAAGGTGTTCTCAATGAATTATTTACGCTTAGGCCATGGAAATCATATCGTCATTGAACTGAGATCTGATCGTCTGCGGGTACATTTGAAGCCGACTCTTGATTTCGACCCTCTGTCGTCACTAGATCCATTCCTGAGGCCACTCCATCGGTCGATACTCTAGAGCTGACCGAGTCTCGATATGGATTCCCCAAAAAGCTAGCCAATCTGCATTGGCCATTTCTTCCTCTTCATCGCATGCCTGGAGGGCTGTCTTGATAAGGACGGCTGCATCAAAGGCTTCTTGCAGCAAATTAAAGGTGACGTGCAGACTTCTCTGGTGGCATGAAATCTGATATCGTAATGACGAAATCTCTTTCTCCAGTTTCTCGATCGTAATCAATTCCTCCCTCCTCTGGAAGTCGTCTATTCTCTTTAGCAACGCCTCCATGGACAGGTCGTCGTCGTCATAATTGGAAATGGTGGGCGAGTCCGGCTGTTCTTTGTCCATGTTTATTTGCTGGGGCCAGAAGCAGATGGTTTCAGGAAGATGCGGTAGAGTACTCTTGGTAGTGAATGCCCTATGATCGATCGGCCAAACCCAGCCAGATAAGCTGCCGTCTTTATGTTCAACCGCTGAAGTCGGCCTGAAGGAGAGACCTGAAGAGGATCCTGGAGCTCGATTCGGCTCCCTATCCGATCTATATATACCGGAGGCGGAATTGATCAAGTGCATCTACAGTACCATGTGCATCTATCCTCGTGTCAGGTCTACCAGCACTCAAGCTTTCTATCTGCATTCTCCTCCACCTTTTTGTTGTCGCACGAACACAGCATCACATTTTGCAAACCCCTCATTTTTGGTACTTAACAGCAACGCGATGTTGTGCGGGTGTGGTATCGTCATCAAGCTACCTCAATGGTTCCGTCGAAAGGAAAGCCAGAAGATAGAGGACAACGCCAAAAAAGGGACAGCTGGGCCTCCAACATACATCAGTGCGATTGAAGCGGTTGCCTCCCAAGTCGACGAGATTGACCCGCAAGAAGTGATCACCGACGGTCGCAATTTTTTGAGATCCGAGACTCCATCACCCGAATCTCTGGGACAACGCAGCGAACAGACGAAGGAGTTTTTCAAGAGTGTCCAAGTTTGATGTCTCACTGGGTTGATTAGATAGAAACGAACTGTATTCAGATGTATGTCTCAACAATAACGATTAACATCGAGCTCTGCGGAGGCCAAACGTTCCTCTGGTGCTTTACGAGGTGCCATACTGATTTGCGTATCGAAAGGTACATATTCATAACATTGTTGGATAAACTACCTAAACTATCTAAGTCCCTATGAATTTGCCCGTAACAGAAGGAATACAGAAAGGAGAAGAATCCCTCGTCGATAGATCTGCCGTTAGAAATCGTCGCTCCAGACAGAAAGAGTCGGCATCAGGCCCATGAGCAACCACATCAGCAAAGTCGCTGGAGATACTCTCAATCGCCCTCCAGCACCGGTGAAGAGGCTGATCTCGGCGGACGAGACAGTGGCAGAGGGAAGACCAAGGCTTGTGCTCTGGGTTGAGCCAAGAGACCCGTCGTCTGTGGTGGACAGTGGCGACGGCGACGTAAACGGGTTGCCAGAGTGAACCACTGTCGCATTCGTCGAAGGAGGGTTCGTGACGGAGACGCTGTGGGTGGAAAGGGGAGGAATAGTCGCCCCAGAAGTGACATTGGCTGCGAATGGATTTGGAGAGCCGCAGGAGGTGGTAGAGGTGCTGGCGGCGGTCAGATTGACAGCTGTAAAGCCGTAATTGCTGGTTAAGTTTATAACACCGGAGCCGACCAGGCCGTCGAACTGAATCTCAACGGTCGCCTGCGGTGGTGCGCTGGACGTGTTCGTCCAGACAAAGTCCCTTGACATACTGGCCGTTGGGGTGATTGTCCCGATGTCAGTTTGAAAGTCATCCGCAGAGACCCCTCTCAGGGGGAAGGCAAGAGCAGCGAAGACAGAAGCCCGGGTGGCAGTGCGCAGCAGCATCGTTGGGAGGGTCATAGGGAGAATGAACCACGAGAGCGGACATTATCTACCACGTCCTTTATAGGAAGAGTCCAGAATTGGATCCTCAAAAGGCTGCGTCTATGAATAGGTTGACGTCGAGGAGCCATAACGGGCTCCTCATCTGCTGCTGTACGATGAAATATAAAACGGCCGCCGTGACGGAGGCTTCGCAGCCAGTCAAGTTCAACTGCCCAACAAGATGGCAAAGCAAAAACAAGAGCAAACCAGAAAAGAGAGAATCACACAGCGACGAAAGAGGAAGAGAGGCTGGGTTAACAAAACATTTCAACTCTGGGAGCTATGCGGGTTTGAAATTACGGCCTGTCTCCAGAACCCTGAGAGCGGGCAGGTCACATTTCTTCAGACGCCCGGTGGAGGATCGTTGCCACGTAACATCGAAGATCTGGTGAGGAGCCGGTTGACCTGATCTCCCATTGATTCCAGGCGCTAACTCTCGTTCAGAAGTCAACCGATCCGCAAGCAGAAATACTGTTGCCGAAGGATGTTGAGCATGTTGGGGGGAAAGGAAATACTCGAGCAAAACCGAGGCCAGGAGCGAGATCGAGGCGTAGCCAGCACGCGCAGGGCCATAACCAGAACAGAGCCTCGGCCAAGGGGAGAGGAAAGAAAGTTTCCCTCCACAACACTTCGTTGCCGGATCCACCATCCTTTGGAACTCCCAGTCCGAGGGACAGAAGATTCCCGTTCAACACTGAGCAGAACAAGTTGAATCTCGTGGAATCCGGGCTCCTGGAGGAGCTGAATCTAAACATAGTCCCATAGATATCAATGTTACTGGCGTTATTCCTGGCAATCTCTACAATCTTGCCATTGTCCTGTCCCGTCCCCCGTTCTGAGCCATCGGCGATTTGTCGCCCGGCGCATGGACCCGGAATCTATATTTGGTTATCCTGATACTGTACTGAGAGCCAGCCTCAACCACCTGCACTTTGGATACAGAGCCGTCTTCCAGCAATCGACCGGAGTCGAAATGGGCTGTCTCGCGACGTGCTTGTGAGGGCCAAGTCGTGGACCGTCGGGGGGCCTGGCTACGGATGGCGGCTAACAATGTCAGGGGATGATTGATCGACAGATTGATCGACATGACCCGGTCGACCCGAGTTGCAAGAAATGGTAAAACGGCCGCGAAGGGTCTCCATTCTGTTCGCTCTGGGTGACCAGGTCCGGTTAGTTGTGCTGCTGATTGCGACTTTCATGTGAAAAATAACCAGGGTTCACCGAAGGCACAACACCAGTCAAAAGGGCCCTGGTGGATAAACTAAGCTTTGAGGGCAACGCCACAATGCTTAATTCCCCACACACCCATCAACTTCTGGCCCCGACTACCTCGTCGGGCTCAAAAGGACCAGGGAGTAGTTGTGCGCACACAGACCCCAACGCATGCTTCAAGGTTTGAGGGTTTAGCTCATGCTGGCGTGCTGCACTGCCACGGAACTCTGCTCATTGCTGCCATTCGATCTTGGTTTCTACGGACAATGGTCAGGCGGGCGCGTGGTAAACTCGGCCAACCTCGGTCGACCGCGAACAGTGCCGCACCGCAGTTTGTGAAAGTGATCACAGTCTAAGACACCTAGCGAGTATACTTTTCATGGCTGTCGTCGGCTGAACTTAAGGTGCTGGAAGGTGCTCAATTTTTCATGCTTGGTACAGTGGTGGTTAGTTGATCTGTGGTGTGGGCAGTATGACCTTAGCCACAGGGACGAAATCGCAGAATGACTTAGCCGTCCCATTGATAGTTCCTATGAGGATGGTGTGACTAGCAATGTATGGTATAGATGTGAACAATATCTGAATCTCGTCAAACATGATCCGTAGCAAAACCTGCAACACGATCCACCAACAAAACCGGCCGGCGGTTCCATTGCCAATTCCATCAGTGACCATCATCTTCAGAGAAAATAACACAACGGAAGCATTCATTGATGCCTGGGATCCGTGATGATGTGGGTACGGACGCGATGTTGACCCATTACAAAAGCTCCCAGCTTAGCGAGGTACAAAAGTTGGTTTGGTCATACGATTGACCCATGGAACTTGTTGCTTGTCTTCAAATTGATTGGGGTTCTTCTGCGTCCAGGCCGACTTCTCATAATCACCACGAAGGAGCTCCTTTTGTCGGCCCTGCTCTGCTGCAGGGAGCTCGACCGTGAGAGGAGTTCCAGTGGAGTTATCCGGGAAAGGGTTCTCGTAGATATAACAGTGCACTTCCAGGACCATCACCGGTGGAGGCCTTTTCGATAGAGACCAAGCTCGTTTCTGGGCGCTGCATCCTGGTCGCGAACAGACCCCCGGACGCGGTTGTTCTCCCGGAGCGATGGGATGATCTCTCTGGTAAGCCGAAGACCGGGGCTTGTGGCAAAGGGCACATCTGTGCCTGAACGCGGGTGGCTCGGAGTATCTCTTCAGATTGGGGGTCGACCTTGGATCTTCAAGCTCGACAGGTGGTCGATTCACATGATGAACTTGGTTAGTGGAAGGCATCCTGCTGATGGAGTATTTGTCTGTCCTGCCCTTCGAAATTCCAGTAATGACCATGATTACTGCTCTGCACTGTATTCACCCGCGCAAAGAGAGGCAATTCAACGTGAATGGCGAGAAGAAATGGACGGTGAACGTCAATCACTCTGGATGGATCTTGTCGGGAGCCCAAAACGTCAACCAGAGTCATGCTAGATCCCAAAATCGGATCTCGAAGGGCCGCATTCGGAGCCTGTTTGAGTCTCTTCCCTCTGCTTGTTTCCTTTTCCTCGCCCGCTGTTCAAGGACCTGGATTGGGCTTCTCTCACGGGATGACGGTCATCGTGATATCTCAAAATCATCTCGTCTTGTGCATCTCACAGTCTCGATACTGGCTGTCGCATTTTGGCTGTCATGATGGCACGCTGTCATCACAGCGATTGGCTCAACCTCCGCATCGAACGAAACGAAGTCATCTTGTACATCTCGGATCGGCTTCAAACGCTTATCGACGAAATTCCCAGCCCTGACCTTCGGCAACCCAGCTTGTTGGTCTTCATTGGCCATACCGCCAAATTGTCAGCCCTTCGTGTGCTCGGCGCAGAGAAGCATAGGCAGAAGTCGACCGGCAGACGGAAACGTGGCGGCGGAGTGCATCTCCAACGAGGAAATCCCGACGTGTTCCATGACGTCCCCGTGCTTCTAGCCGATGGCGACCTTCCGTACCGGGACTTGAAAAAGATGTCCTCGGCCGAGTGCCACGAGACGAGACAGTTGATGCTTCCTCGCATCCGGGGAGGCGTCCGAGATCTAGCTATTGAAGATGCTGCCGATCACCTCTACTCCCGTCTCTTGGGTGCGTTTGCGGATGTCTTTTGCTTCTTTTCGACCGACGTCGGCGGGTTTGGTCCCGTGGTACGTCGACTCGCATCCTGGCTCGAGAATGGCAGGCCGACGACACTGCCGAAGGCGACATATCCGCGGGTGGTCGTGGTGATGGAAGCCACAGACCCTGGGGCCGAAAGCGACGAGGAGGCCGAGGAGGTTCTCCTGGGCGAGCTGAGAGAAGAGACAACCAAAAATCCTCTGGAGATGGTGTCGGCTCTCGAGGTGGTGACCGTCCCCTTCGGAGGACAGGACTACCGGCGACTGGAGGAACACTTGGTCCGGGTGCTGAATCGAGGTCGGAGGCAGAAGATCGAGGCGAGGACGCTTTTCTCTGGGAGGCACTTGACCGCATTCTTCAAATATGCGACCGACCACTTTGGCAGAACCACGAGGGAGCCGTTCGATTTCGTGAAAGCGTCGCGTTTGCGAAATCCTGTCGCGTCGGACTTAGGCACGCATCTGTGCAACTTCCTGAGGCAGATCAAATCGCCTGAAGAGCTAACGAACTTCGCGGTGCCGATGATTGCATCGAGCCTTCTGCTGGATCACTATCCTCCCGGTATGCACGGTAAGTCGGAGCTCCTTTCACGAGTGGCGGAACCAATCTGACGGCCCCGTGGCGTTCAACCCCGAAGATGTATTTCAGACCCTGTATAAAGACGCCTGCTATCAAGTGGGCAGGAGCGGTGTGCTTGTGTACGACAGCTCGATAAAATTGCTTCTTCCGTCTGGCTTCGTCCAAGCCGTCTCAGAGCAGCTGCGAAAATGTTTCGAGGACTTTGCCGTCGGCACGCCGTCCATGACGGTCCATCACAACAATCTGAAGAAGTTTAAGCTTCGCTGGAAGCGGGTGCGAAGCGACGACACCTGTCTCGTATGCTTGCGTCGCACGCCAGAGAACAACAACTTGCCCTGTGGCCACGCGGTCTGCGAGAACTGCCCTCGAGTCTTCGGACACCCAGATCAGAATGATCGGTGGGCGTTCGACATTCGGCGCTGTTTCCTCTGCGATATGGCGCTTCGAGATGTGACGGTAAAAGTAAAGCCTGACACCGCGGGTGTCAACGTATTGACCATCGATGGGGGGGGGCGTCAAGGGAATCGTACCGCTGCTGTTTTTGCAAATCTTGGAGGACAGGATGGGCCTACCGATCCCAGTGCAGGATAATTTCGAGATTTCGTTTGGCACCAGTTCCGGTAGGTGGACACGATCCCCTGAACGGGCCTCGCTGACGCGGACCAGGCGGACTGATCGTCCTCGCATTATTTATCATGGGGTGGCCGGTGGAGGACTGTGCGAATATTTTCGAATCTTTTGCGAAAAGGGCATTCAGGCCGCGCTGGGTCTCCCACGTACCCGTCGTGTCCCGCATTCCGATCTTGTCGCACATTCTTGGGTTTCTCGTGTCGTATTTGGCCGACGGTCTGTATCCAGCGGATAATTTGGAAGCTGCGCTAAAAGAAGTTTTCGGCGGCGACATGGGCATTCTGGACAACTCCCATGCAACTGCGATCGGCGCGAAAGTGGGAATCCCGGTAACCACGGTCCTGGAAACGGACCCGTGCCTCTTCACCAACTATAACGGGGCGGGACCGAGGCCGCAGGACTGCGGTACGCTGAGATTCGAACTGACAAGGTGAGAGCGACCTCTAATGGATGAACAGGATACCGCATTGTCCGGTCACAAGATGGGCGGAAAAGGATTCGACTGTGGGAGATGTGAGTGTCCATTTCCTTCCGTCACGGTTTGTTGGAGCATGAGAAGATGGCTGATATTGCAAACAAGAGCGATGAGCGGAGCTGCGGCACCGTGGTATGTTCCCTTCCGCCTCTTTCGAGGTTCTGATCAGCTCACAGGCCACGAGGTACTTTCCAGCAAAGCGCATTCCTGGGGTTGGGACCTTTCAAGACGGAGCCCTGTGGAGGAACAATCCCGTCGACCTTGCCCTGTGGGAAATCCCGGTGGTGTGGCCACTGATCCGAAGGCCCAATGTGGTCGTCTCCCTCGGTACCGGGTCCTCGGGACCACGCGTACCCACGTCACACTCCAGCAGACTACGTGCGATCTGGAGAGAGGGATTCCTGCCACGGTCATACAGAGCCTTCATGGAATTGATCAACGGTCAAAAAATTGCCCAGGCGTTCAAGAATGGAAGACGGGCAGAATTGGACGGGCGGTATTTCCGGTTTGACGTTGAGCTGGACAGAGAGGTCGACTTGGACGATACGGGCGGGATGCGCGGGCTGACAACAAAAGCTCGGGAGCAGTTCTGTCGGTCGGAGGATGTCGATGTCGTCGCGCGTTGCCTCGTTGCGACGCGTTTCTACTTTGAACTCGAGTCAAAGCCGAAGAAGATTAAGGGGAAGTATTCTGGATCGGGCCATATCTTCTGTCGTTTGCCTCGACATAGTCCCGAGCTCGAGGTGCTGCTGGAACAGTTGTCTAAACGGGCGGCGAGATTTATCGTGAACGGCTATAGGCTTCCCGGGTCGGTCGGCGATCGGTCGTTCATCGACCACCAAGGAACCTTTCGTAAAAGGGTCGAATTTGAAACCAAGGACACATTATCCGTTCTTCTTCAAGAAGGGCCAGCGGATCCGCAGCACATCAGTGGATCTCCATACGCAGTCCACGATCTACTGGATATGCAAGGCCTCAACAATGATTTTGGTACTCCGGATCATAGGAAGCGAAAAGAGCGCGAGGAGGATGAGGGAGAAACGAGGGTAGAGGAGCCGGCCAAGAAGCGTCGTCGGGCTTGGTAGAACATCAGCGGTGCTCGTGGAGGTGGTATCGCGCTCGAGGAGGGACGGATCGGACAAGGTTGTGAACCGGCGCAGCCTTCACAGTGACCTGGTACGGCATCTCCACCACCAGGATAAAGACAGTATCTGATTGGTGTGAGACGCGGCTGGAAGGGAGTAGGGAGGTTGATAAAGGGACGATGAAGTTGAGGCCGTCGAGGGATGGAGGAAACGAGTCACTTCACGCTAAACCGCGGCAAAACAACATTCCGGCGGCATGTCAGCCGAGGTCCACTCGGTCCAACCGTCATTCCTTTCGCAAGGAGATGAATTCTGGTATTGTTCAATCAAATCTTCTCATCCGAGATCTATCACAGTCTACTTATTTACATCAGCTAGAGCTAGCTTTCAGATGGACCACTACTCGTACAGTGACACTTGATCCACGTGGAGCCCGATGCTCCTCGACAATTCTCTGAGTGATGTTGATTCGACAGCGATCCTTGTTCTCTTCTTCCGCTGCATAGGAATAAAACCGTCCTAGAATAGCTCTAGAGCTCTCCTCAGGGCAACAGGACTCGAGGTATGAGCATCATTGGCCCTTCCCGACCTGCCGTTTCAGCCCGAGTGAGACATCGACGGCTGCTCTCGTAATTCGGGGCTTCTCGTGCCCGAGAGTTCAGCCATTACCCGTACAGTTGGCCCAAAGCAGAGACAACGCCACTACTGCTCACCAAGTTACCGTCCCCCGCGGCACACATGAACCAGGCATAGCCGGACACGTCGTCGTTGCCGTCGAGCCACGGCAGGACCGTTTCCAAAAACTGCATTTGCTGGTCAGTACCTCCGAAACCGCGTAACTCTGTAATCCAGAGAGTTCCTACGCCGTTTTCTGTTGCCAGTGCCGAGGCATTGGATACGAACGCCTGGAAATCCGACGTGTCGACTGCCGAGCCATACCAGTGGATGTTGACGGCATCGACCAAGCACCTCCCTGCACAGGCATCGAAGAATGATGATAACCACTCAAGACCGAGCGAGTCGCCGAGTCCATTCGTCACTGACGGAGTGGCCAGCTCGGCTTGCTCATGGAAAGGATTCATATATTGTATGAACCCATCGGCCGCTTCGGATGCATTGAGATTTGCTTGTGTTGGGATATCGGGTTCATTGAAAGAGAAGAGATGTTTTGATCCATAGCTGATGGCGGAGGAGGCCTGTGTAAACCACGAAGACGTCGCGTCTTCACCGAGACCCCAGAGCGTCGGGATAAATTCGAGGTTAGAGGGAAGGGAGCCGTTGGCGAATGAAGCCCAGTTATAACCCCAGCTCACGGAGGACTGGTTCGCGAAGAGGTACGTGAGGGACGCATCGTTATAGGCCAGACCTCTTTTACCCCCTGTTAGACCTCCTGTTTTCTCCGGTGCAGGACTTGCAACAGAGCTCCTTGAAGGGTTATCAGCTCCTTGAGGAACTGATACGCAGGTATCCTTTTGAAAATAGGTATTTGTCGACGACGCAAGAGAGCTGCTTTGATGACGTAGTACGATGAGTAGGAAGCCCATGAGATACCTGAGGCAATTCAGGACGGACATCTTGATCGAAGCGGTAAGTATTCAACTGCGAATTCTGACTCGCGGGTGTGAGGTTCAAGGTAAAATTTCGCCACGGAACGACAAAAGGGAACTGCGTTGGGAACAAGTATATTTCCTATAGCATCACCACCAAAGAGACTATCATGGGATTGGGAGGGAATTCGACACCCAAACGACCCGTCGAAAATAATCCATTCAGAAAATTCCATGCCAGCTAATGTGAGCTCCCTTTTGGGCTCCTCAAATCTCCCCTGGGACGCAAAAGGGACTTCAATAGGCTCCTCTCTTGCCTAGGAGAATGCCAGCACATCTCGAGCATAACCTTCCTTAATACTGTACCAATGTGGCAGAGTCCCGAATTTCTCAGATTTGTTCATTGCCACCTATTTCTGTGTGTTGCCTTTCAAGGCTTGAACCAACAATCGACCAATTTCCTCTAGGAGATGTGCAACGATGTCGGAGTGGGAGCATCCTTTCTTCGGCTCTTCTTTCGTCGATGAAACATGTATGGCCAGATAATCAGTGTTGTGAATGAACTAGTTGATTTTAACGGAGGGCTTAGGTGTACTTGGATGGCTTCTGCCCTGCTTCCTCTATGGAAAGACTCAAGCCCGTCTTCGGAACCGACGACTCTCGGATTTCACCTGGTTCAATCGCGAGGTGAGAACGTCTTCCTTTTGTCGGAATATTTAACTAATGTCTCCTTGAGTGCTGCGCTTGGGCTTTTCTTGCCTGGTGTGGTTTCTCATCGTGTATCCAAGGCGCGAGTCGTCATAACCTCAGGAAGAGGTTTGGACTGCCAGGCAATATTTGTTTCGATTTTTGCGGTTCACTCTGCTTTCCATGCTTCGCATTAGTCCAGGAAGAAAGAGAAGTCGCAAAGAAAATGCGCAATACCGACAGAGCTTATCAAGAGCCGGAGGGAATGATCTACACCGGAAAGGACTATTTAGACAAAGGGCTGGAGAAATTGGTGTAGAGAGGAGCATTGTATTGGCTATACCGTAGATGCTCATAGAGTGCTCAAGACGGTGGTGGTGTCTTAATGAAGAAGACTAGAGCAACAAAGCCTTTGGCGGATACTATCAGGACCGTCGCCGCAAATTTGCACAATGGCACTGAGGACTATAGTAACTGGGACTGTTTGTACTGTATCTAGCGTACGTCGTATTGACGACGACTCGACGCCTGAGAAAGAAGAAGAGCCAGTTTCGGGTGGGAGAAGCTTCTTATGGCTTCCCCTTTTCATCACGTGTGTAATACGGCTGTAGCCAGAAGTCTCCTGTCTTCCCAGCCTCGCTTCCGAATCGTCTGCTACCTGTCCTCCCACTCGAATCGGGTGGAGGTCTACAAGGAACGGTAAGTTCGTCAAGGTAGGTTCGTGACAGATACGCATATACTCGATTTCTTGTCAGGCAGACCCAGTGGAAAGGATCTGGTCGGCGGGGATCAATTCGTCCATGGCCGAATACTGTAGTTTATTGGTGCCCAAAAGGGTTTCTGAGAGCCATTTTGGGACGAAAGTTGGGCCCGAATGCTCGTTCAACAACATAAGAAAGTGCGCTTGAGCCTGCTGAGCTCGATGTTGGCTCTATTCAGTCTCTGAAGTAAGTGCAGCGTGTCGACGGTAGAGAATCTATTCGTAGAATTTATGGAAATTATCAATAAACTTCCCCTCTGTCGACTGCTGTCATTGATTTGGAGAGGTATGTAAATCGAAACGTGCTCCATTTAGTTTATCTACTCATGTACTGCAGGATGGCGCCACCAGAAAAGGAAGGGAAGGGGAAGAATGGGTGCCCGGCAAGAGCGAGCTCGACAGCCGTTTAGCTTCCCAATGCGACGGACTCCCCCACGAAGAACCTCTCTAGAGAAACAAGTTTTCGACAAGATGTGGAATGTAAAACCCGGATGGAACTGGAAAGAAACTGGCCGAGGCAAAATATTCTTCAACAATACGAGGACATGTGTTGAGGAAAGAGAAATGTCGAAAAAGCGTTTGGAAACCTTTGGCGACATTGGACCATGGAGGGACTTTGTCGAGGAAGTTGAGGCGACCTTTCACGAGATGAAAGAACCATTAGTTGAGGGACGCAAGTATTCGGCAGCTTTGAGTTGAGGCACCGGTCCGTAAAAGATCGCAAACAGTATCAAGGGATGGCCGTTGCATGGAGCCATCGCGCATCAAGCATGTATCTTCGCCACTGCCCAAATTCGACCTTGTCACACTGGTTATGGGCAGTGTGCCTCCCTTTCGGGCAGCCTCGGGGTGTTTTTTTGGGTCCCAAACGGGTCCATTTTTGGTCCCAAACGGGGCCATTTTAGTCCCTCAAATATCGGCAAATCCATGCGTGAAAGCCTGCTCCCAGTACATCAAATTCCGATTCGGTTAAGTGCTGTAAAAGGGACCGAGATAGCATTATAAGAAGTTTCAATGTATAAGACCTTTGATTCTTCTCGCTTCCATTATCGCGTCTACAGTACAACAACTTCCATGTTTAATAGGTTGACGAGTTCTCTTACTCTATATCGATTGTACAATACTCGATGAAGATGGTCGCTACCTTATCTTTCCTGGCTCTTGGCCTCATCGGTGCTTCTGCCGCTACTCCCTCTCTGCGATTCGCAAAGCGCAACTCTCCCAACGGTTGTGCAGACGGCGCCCCGAGCCAGGCCGCCATCACAGGCGCAATTAACCAGTGGCACAGTGATGTCACCACCGTCAATGATTTTCTCGATGTCGCGACTTCTCTGCAAGGGCTTTACTTACAATTACAGCTCGTAGGTTAGTATTAGCAATTCCTCTCTGTACTTCCTATTTTCTGCGAATTTCCCCAGTATTTTACTACTTCTTAATCGATAACTACGGGTCGACATGAAGCTAATACAATTAAACTTTGTTATAGTCGCCCTCAGAGCTGCTAACGACGAACCCGACCAATTACAAATTCTCGCGTGTGCATCAGATGTGAGTCCCAGCACGGTTGCGCAGGCCGCCGCAGACGACTTATTCACTGGGTTCGGGCCCAACGTACTCACGCCCCTAAGCAACATCCTCAACGATCCATCATCGATTACGCAGAATTTGCAGCTAATCAATCAATTTCGCTGCTGCCATGTGCTACCGGACCTTGACACCTTATGGAGCTTCACTGCCGAGGACGACGGCGTTGCCAATCAGGTGCCTTTGTCGGCTCCTAGACCGGCAGCCTGTGCGTCCATCTATTGCTGAGTGGACATGGAAATACGACGACAGGGGGTGAACGAGAGCTAGTGGCGCAATCGAAGGTAATTATTTACCTGGTCGGAAGGCAAGGAGTAATTCGCGGAAGTGAGATTCTTGGAGGGCATTTGAGAGAGCGAACTAGTTTTCTACATGGCTCGCTTCCACATTAAACTCCAGTTCATCCCTACTCACACTTACGGCATAGAGTCCTGGGGAAAGGCAAACAACCATGCCCGAGGAAGGCATGTGAAATAATGCCGCCGAACGGCGTTATATCACGTGTTGAGCGACGTTTACCCGATATTTCGCCAGAGCCAAGTGAGATCTCCAGCGATATTGACCACGCTCTTCGCGACCATTCCCGTACCTTCAGCAACTGCCACGACTACAGAAGTCATCCCCTTTCAAATTACTGCGGCTAGCTGTGCTATCAACACACCGAATCCTCGACGAGACAATGTTTGTCTTGACTTCCCCAGCAATGTGGACGTGTCGATGTGTTGTCCTGAAGGAACTGCATGTGAAGCTGTTACTGGGCCGGCACTGGTTTTTTAATGCAATTAAGAAAAAGCATGGCAATCAATGATCCATATTATTACGTACTCCCCAAAGAGAGAAACTTGTTGTGGCAGATTTATCGGCTTGAGAAAGGGTGGAGCATCTTGATGGCGTTGAAGGCGTGGTATTGCTTTTCATTCCTCTTCAGAGTTTGCGATGCACTCTAGGCATCTATGATGACTGCAAACCCCACAAACTGAGCCTTCTCCCTTCTCATACACCGGGCTGTCGTCCTCACATGCGCAGCAATAGAGATTCCCTATTCTTCTCCTCCTTTGACGGATGGGTTTCCTAGCCCAGTGGTCCTTCTTTTTCCTTTCCTCGTCTTTCTGATCTGCTCGGGCTTGATACTCCTTTTCTAGATTGTCCTCGCTTGGTCGTTTGTTGAGGGTCATGGATGGTGGGTGTAAAGCAGATTGAGATTTGCTGTCATCTAAGCCAACGCTCAGCGCTATCGTCGTAAAGGACTTTGAATCCCTGTTTGAACATACCGGCCATCTTATTTGCTAGATTTCGTGTCTCTATGGCGCTCAAGGAACACTCGCATTCGCGTTTCCACACCCATAGGGACAATGCACCCTAGCAACAGGAGATGGTTTCTTCTCTGGAGAGCCTGCTCAAAGCTGTGCCATAAACCCACCCAATGTTGAAGGCGACAATGTTCACGTTTCGAACGGCAATGAGAACACATCGATCTGCTGCCCAGCTGGTAGCGCGTGCGTCCAGAGTGCGGTAAGTCTTATCGATTGGAACAGAATACGGACGGGCTTTTGAGCAATATCATTGATATTTAAAAAGGATATGCAATTTGAGTTCTTCTGCTTCTGAGTCCATCTACTATCATTTCAAATACGAAATTCCGTCTCCGGACAGACCGATTCCAATTATCTACTCTCGCAGTCGGCGACTTCGGAATACACAGCAGCATTCCTGGAGATATTTTGCCACACTCTTACAACCGATTTCATTGTCCACATTCTCTCCCAGAAGCCGACCCAGATTTCTCGGTGTTTTGGAATCTCCTTCTCTATCAGGTACAGATCTCAAGACCGGGGTTAAAAACGTAACCAAACCAGTCTATCCGAGAATGAAAACAATGTCGATTCGGCAGAACCAACAGCATTCTGAAAAGCCTGAAATGTTGCCCTACTTCATTCGTCTTCGAAGGCTGCCATTTTCCTGTCCTATTACACACTTCTGCCTAAGCACGGTCACTCTATCCCATATCGTTTATGTGTAGCTTCTGATTGGTAGTGTTTGGTAGAGGGGTTTGATCGATGCTCTGTTGCCTCTCCGACCTGAAGCCGATATCGCATTACCCTGTCTGAAAGACCATGTAAGACTGGGATTATTGTTTCTTAAAATGTCGTTACGGAATCACCTCCCAAAAGCAACAAGTTCTCCCTTGTTCCGGCCATAGATGGTCTTAAACACAAGAACCTTCGTGAACCAAAGACGTCTACCCGTTTCCGGGCATTTCCATTTTTCTAGTTACTTTGCGACCTCGGTCGTGCTGTTGCCATTCAGTTTCATAGACTGAGTTGATCACTCAAATATTGAATATCCGAATTCGTGATGCACAGGACTCCCAGATATTGGTCTGATTCACGATGGACACCGGTGCTAAAACGGCAGATCCCATCGCCATCGCAATTTTCATCAGCGGCGAGCACCATCCATATAGACAAGATGAGTTGGCAGGCTTTCAGATCTGCTGGAGAAGTCAGGTTATTTGATGTGGACTGTGGGCTTCATTCTTTCGTAGCTCGAAAGGGTGTAAGATGGTTAGATTGGCTTTTTGAAATATCGACTCCGCTTCGTCAATAAGGTCATAGAAGAAAATTGACCCTTTGTCGTAATCTCTATGGAGCATTGCCTGAGACGCCATTGCTAGGTTGTCCACGATACCTATTAAGTGGCCTAGTGAGTCCATGTATGAGGCTCCATCTATGTTCTGGGCAGCAATCGCATAGATATCCGGAAAAGCCTCGATGTATGCCTTTTTCAAATCTTGGAGTCTGATGGAGATGGCATTGTCTGATTGAGCATCCGAGGTATGCTCCATCCGTTGGATACGTGCATAGAGTCGCGAGAAAGAACAGAGAAATAAGGTCAGATTTGAACTCTTGTATGATCAGCAATCACCACAGAAGCTCGAGGGATGGGATACCTTAAATTCATCCTGGATATTGTCGCTTTTTGATTGTCTTAAACATTCCCCTGTATTGCCCAACGTACGGGCTCCCAGTTGGTCTCGTGCTCCTAAGTCGTAAGGGTTGGTCGTTCCCATTGAGCACGAACAGTCTGTTGAAGGTGGTCTGGATTAGATTCGACTCTCAAGCAACGCTTCACTTGGCTTCACGTTTAATTCAGTTAGAGCAACTAGAATAGAGTGAGGTCTTATACATGCCTGTTTCAAAGAAGTACTCAAGGGAGAGCTCGACGGATTCGTGCAAGAAAAGTCACAAAGACAAGCAAAGTGGGAGGGTCAACCGCCGTAAATCTTGCCTCTCCGGCCTCATAAGTTAGAGCGCAAGGGACAGTTTGGCTAAAGGCAAACGGACAAGGACAAAACATTAAGGCCTCAAGTCCAGGGATTGGGGGAGAGGTCCGTGTAAGTTCAACTCTCATCCGTAGGGCGCACGAGGTGCCACAGGCTGACAAGAAGGGTGGCAACCGGACGAAAGAATTTCATCGCGAAATCTGCCGTCCGTTCTGCTATGACAAAATAGGGCGCAAGCTAAACAAGCCCTAATTAGAAACTGTCATGCAGTGATTTGCATTCGCCAGGCACCCTTGTTCCATCCTACACCGGTCGCTATGAGGCTGAAATGTCAGTGTTTATCGAAAGATCTGTCTGCCGACCTCTACACCGGTTATGCGTTTCCAATCTCTTGACTTCAGGAATAAAACGCCACCTGGCCGAGATAGATTTAAGCCCAAAGCCAGCGGCCTTTTACAGATTGAAGCTCAGCTTCATGGCGTCTCCATATCTTGTTTTGCTTCTTTGCATACTTGGAATCTCAGTCGCAGTAACAAGTGTTGTAACGGCAACATTACGCCTAGGACGCAGGCTGCTAAGCTGTGATATACCTGATCTTCAGCAGGGATACTCTCTGGGAGGCGCAGCCTCCCGTAAGTGTACCCATGATCCAAGAAAGCCTGTTATCATATTATCTCACGAAATACCGGAAAGATACTCGGGAGGCACTGTGTCTATCGTTTCTTACTCTACGAGGCGCCATATGAAAGCGAAGCGAAGAGGGTTCGAAGAGACGACGATCAAGAGACAATAACAAAGAGATAAGGTGCTTTAAAGCTCGCCAGTCACGCAAGATAGAAATACTCGCTCATCTACCTGTAAGTAGCAAGAAATCGTCTCCCGGACGAGTATTCTTCAGCAAGAGAGCCAAACACTCACAAATTTTAGGGTCAAATATTCATTAAAAGTTAGACAGACGGTCTTCCTTGCTTGCTCTTCAAACCCGGAAACCGAAGTTATACCTACATCATAAGATGCTTTCTCAACCTTTACAGGCGAGATCGATCCAAAGCTTCCTTTGGCAACAACCTCGGTTTCTCTTCTTGCGGCTTCTTACTTGGCGCAAACCATTTAAAGCCGCCGATATCGGTTTGTTGCGGAATCGACGAGGCTATAACCGCTTGCTCGCTATCCGGTCTCTGGGGGAGGGAACGGTAATAGGCGCCGCACATTATGAAGGGATATGATCTTCTCTTGTCCAACGGTCAACCTATATCTCTTTGAATGGTTGGTGGAAAGGAATTCGATGAGGTGGGAAATGTTGACTCCCAGTAATGTTCTTACCCAGCTCCAGTGCTTCATAATTCCTGTAAGAACGCCGTCACACTTGTTACCCCGGCCGAGTATGAGTCGTGATGTTGGTAGAGACGGAGAAGGAGGTCTTCGAAAATGGCGTCCGACTCTTTAGCGTCCAATTCCTCATGTAGTGTCAAAAAGCCCTCGCACAATGCTATAAGATCGTCGGCGGCTAGTTGGGCATGTCCCTGGTCCTGAGCGCCGGTCAGAGTGCTATAATTCGTCTCGACATCAGGGCTTGCGCTATTCATGATTCTTGCCCTGTGCCAGATCGTCGCAAATAGTGCCAACTGCAGGCGGATAGCTCTTCCCGAATTTCTGCTCTTCAGTTCTCGTATACTCAAGTCAACACTGGAAGAGGGTGAGAAAAGCCATATGAGTTTGGTATCAGCCTTACTCTGCTCCTGATTCCTCGACACCTAGCCAGTGTCTCACCAGTGAGTCCTGCAAGGACTTGTCTTCCTTAAAACTTGCCAAAGCGAACTCGTAGCCGTCCGAGGCTATCCAGTCGACGGTAGACCGCGTGGCGGGTTGGCGATTCAAGAGTTTCATGGCGGCATGAAAGACGGCCCCATTTTTTTGGTCCTTGTTAGCTTGAACTTGAATCGATTGCCTACATGCGGACTGCTCTACACGTTAGTACCTCTGAGTGGATAGTTCGACACATTTCTTACCATAATATCGTCGAATTGTTCTATCAATCTGCTCACCTCCGCCCTCCGGGCCTCGTTCTCCTCTTCAACGGCCTGCATTCTCTCAATGCTGACGTCGGTATGATTAATGAGGAGGGTGGCGATGTTATATTCTGGTCTTCGCAAGGACCAAAGACTTTGAGCTATCCCCTTCGTATATCTGTCTTTTTCTTCCTGACTCGCATAGTCAAAGACGAGCTTGACGAGTGACTTGTAATATCGAGGAGGTGGGTTAGAGTTGAACTGGCAGTGGAGGGCAAAGAGAACTCTCTGTTGCTCCAAATTGAAGGCGTTGATCATGGCGTTGAGGTCCTTGTCAGGAATGGGACAGATTGAGATAGCTGTGTCCTCGGGAGAGAGCAGAATGTCTGGGGAGTAAAAGACCGTTGTAAGGATCTTGAAAAGATCCATAATTGGTTGCCGGAAAAACGGGGTTTGCGATATCGAGTGCGGTCTCCTTTCGCTCCGTGCCTGTGGTGATGAGACAGTGATCATCAACTCTCCATAGGGATTCTTTCTCCCGGAGAGAGACAGATCGGGATGACTTACCTCAGGTGACATGGCCATTGTTGCAATGCACAAACAGGAATTTCCTGGAGGACGGGGAGCAAAACGAGGGATTGCACGGACGGAAAGGAAAGTCTTCTGTCCTTTGGCAGTAAAAGCAGTACCTAGAAATATCGCGAAGGAATGAGAGAAATAAAGTTCAAAGGGATGGAAACCACAGAACATGAAAAGCAGAGATCGGTGAGGACAACTATGCAACCGATGATATACTAGCACGTCTAGGTAGGACGTAAGAACAGTTTCAGAACAAGCTGGAGTAAGCTATTCTACCTCTCGACATATTCATAATCACTCAATCCGAAGAGAATTCGTGTCTCGACTATGTTACAGCATGAAGATTGTTGACATCAAGTTCCGTGGATGTGTTGTTTAATGTTGGTCGCATACTTCCCTAATTGGCCAGGCGGCAAACTATCACTGGTCTGCCGCAGTATTCGGCGTGCGGTCCTACCTGAACGACATGCTTTCGCTCCGATGACATGTGCTAGTCCGTGCTGCACCTGATGATTATTTCGAATAGTGTGCATTAGATATATGTCTGTCGATAAGCGCCCAGTTTGTATGACACATGTGGTCGAAGCTAACCGCTTACCTAGCTTCACATCTCTACATTATTTGCGAGGCTGGAAGCCGCTTCTACCTGCTCCCTAAGCTTAACCCCTTTTCAAATCAGGCATGGTAAGATACCTTGCTCCAACCTCTAGCATACTATTATTGCTCACTTCCCAGGCATCCACACCTACCCATTGGAAACTCATCCGCGTGCGAGCAGAGACAATTGATCTTCAACGACTTGTGGAAGAGTCCAACTCAAGAATCTGCATTGTTCAGGAATGTGATGACAATGGCAAAGCTTTCGAAGTGGCTGTCGAACCATCTTACCTGGCAGAGGTCCAGGAGCTTCAATCGCACGCAAATCTTCCTTACAATCCTACACACCCGAGAGAGGCTGAGAAAGCCATTCTTGGTATCTATCAAGCGAACAGGAAAGCTCGCGAGCGCTGGCTCCAACGGGCTGTCGATGTAATCTCCTCCGAGCATCACCACGAAATCAAGGAAGCTTATCGCAATCTTACTCAGCTCCTAGGGTTGCAGAGAGAACTGGACAGAAAGATACTAATCCAGAATATATCGGTAAGTGATTGTGCGCAGTCTTCAGAGCGTTCTCTGACATATCTCACAGGACTCTCTGGCTTCCGTCCGCCGAAAATTGGCAAGAAATCTTGTATTCTTGTTTCTGAATCTAGAAGCAGACCATACGTCTGCAGATGCCCAAATTTTCCTCGCGAGCAACGAGGAGGAGCTAATTGACAGTCTCAAGTTTGGACTAAAACCTCCAACACCTTTCAATCGTGACGAATGCCAGATAACATCACTTTTCCGGGCTCTGTTAGAGCTATCCAGTGGGAGAGTCGACTTCTACCAACATAATTTCGCAGAAAACTACACAGCAAAGCAAAACAGTGAGCTCTGCGCTAGGATTTTTGACATCAGCGACATCAAAACATTCGGAGAATTTGATGTACGAGAGATTTCCAATTCACTCTCGAAGTCTCCTCTTTTCGTTGGGGAGACACTGAGTGCCGAAGGACTGGGACAATGGGCAGCGATAATGAATAGTTCCCTCCAAGTCGGATTTCCCTCAGGACACTTGGTAGGATCACGGCACGCCGTCTATCGCCAGTCTAACGAATATAGAATCTTCCGTCACAAATATTGAGCGGATTTGGTGTTGGTCAGATCAAAATGTTCGAAACTATCCTGTAAGTCTTTGCCTCAGACGCGTACACCACACTTGTAACCGGGAACAGGATAGATACATATCAAAATCTTCCACCACTGAACAAGCCAGCAAATAACACTCTCCTTCTTTTGACCTGGAGCACTTCCGTCTCTCAGTGGAGTGAACATGGTCCCAATGGTCCACTCAAAGTTCTCGCGAACTGGGCAAAGTCAGAAGAAGGCTGGAATCTATATGTGCGAGTGGCTGAAGAATTCCAAGGCCATCAAACCGTAGAGCAACTCACTTTGACTATGTCTGCACTATTGAGCTATCGAAGACTTTATCCTGATTTTCTGGATTACTCCGAGCAACCAATCACAGCTAACTATATAGCTGACCTCGACGCACTTTTACATGGGACGTCGATCGGAAACAGCGGAAAAGTCGCTGAACGACTGTTGTTTGCTTTGGCAAGGCAACTTCAATCCATGGGAGAAGATTTTGGTGATATCCGACAGTTCCTCGAGACAATCCTTGATCGGGAGCCGCCTCAGCGGCATTTCTTTGACGCACTATCGGATGAATACGTGCAATTAAGAATGAGCGGTCGATCTCACGAGACTACGATGATAGAATTGACGCATGGCACATCGGCGGAACTGAGATGAGAGCTGATAATACTTCTGGCACAATGGAGGAGGAGTTATCGATTCAGACCCTTCAACGTTCAAGGGCCATCAGAGCGTGGATAAGCTTTAAGAATACACGCATATCGGGGAAAGTGATACTGTATAATGATGACAATTCTTCATGGTCCATCGCGCATGAAGAAAGCGGTTTGAGTCCTGGATGTAGATTAGCTAGCAGGCTGCGTTGCTGCATTTTGGGAGGGATATTCTAGCTCAGACTAATTTTCAATATGACTGAAGGACGAGTGTTGCACTGATAACTGCACCTGGTCTTGCCTGCTTTATATACTTCTGGTCTCGGGCTGCTGCCGCCCTTCACAATGCCATCGGTAACGTTGCAGCTGGTACTCCCAAGTCTCGTCACCTGGTGTATCAAACTGTGCATGTCGAACACCATGGCGCCCTTGCCATCGGACGAGGAAGGCATGGCTTAAGTGCTGGAGCTCTGCCGGTCAGAGGTCTCTGGTTCAGCTACATCATGAAGCCCTCAAGGATATGGAAGGTCGCAGGCTGAACCGAATATCGATCCAATTTATATCACGTGCATCTATGCTACGGCCAATGATATATGCTAAGGAACGGTGCTGCTTCTGCACGCAATAGAACAATCGGAAAGCCGAATCACATTCTTGTTTTAACAAATTATCTCAAACGATGATAACACTGCCAGCATACTATAGAAGTAACCAATGTAGGCATCAATCTTTGTAGGGCACGGAATGGGCTCTCCATGTTTGCCGAACTTTCCACTGTCGTTCGTCCAGCAGTGCTCTCGAAGCTAGGGTCCCTCTGTCGGATACGTTGGGTCCGGGGCATGTCTTGTTCCGCAACACCACAACTCAGTGGTCGAATTGATCGAATTGAAGAATCTGTCCCGCTGCAATCTTGAAACTTGTGGACATCTATGTGTCTCTGCTAGAAGCAACCCTAGAAATCTCGGAGGGATTGTCATCTTTGCCTGTACTTGTTTTTGATTGAATCGATAGGCCTCAGGGTCCCGCTATCTTGCATAGAATAGAGAATATCGAATGCAAATCCTCAGATTGTACATGAGGACAATATCAAACTTGGAATGGTCGGCGGGTTAGTCTAACGGAATAACAAGATCGTCAGGGCAGATCGTCAGGGCTTAATAGCATCGCACATCTAACACCTTCCCTTACCCATTGTGTCGAGGTCCCTTTCCCCGTTCGTCGTCTCCTCCAGCACCCTTTCCCTCATATGTTTGTGGGAACTTCGCGCTAGGTGCAACTCATCCGGCCCATTCACAATACAAATTATCCATGTCGACAATATTGTCATCCCTTATTGTATAGGCAAGCTCACGGCCTGCCGGCTTCGAGCGAGTGGTGGATACCGAGACGAAAGCTTTGAGGAAATGAATACTTCCAGACAATCTGTAGACACTTTCAACTTTGGTAAGGAGCACGGTCTCGTCTTCGAAGCTTCGCCGTCCTAAGAGCTCCTCTAAATCCCGCATTTGTTGGAGGTAATGGTTTAGAGAAGTTACGGAGTCTTGTGCGAGATGACTTTCGTATACTTCACTCAACGCTGCGTGTGCCTTACATCTGAAAAGGAGCAATTCTCGGATAATAAACGGCTAAGCAAACTTAGCACTGGTATCAGAGAGTTTAGATGCCACTCACCACATCCAGTTTGATCATGATATTCAATAGCCCAATATAGCCAGTAGTGACTTTCAAGTGCCTGTAAAACACGTGGAGCTCAAAGACTTTCTCGCCTCTACTTATCCGGCCGACTTTGAGTTGAACATAAGGGTTGTCAGCTTCTTGAGGTCGGAAGACTTTGAAAGTACCGGCATCGTCTTCACCATCTCCCAGCCAATCCATGGGTGGTGTGAGAACATCCTCTCCGCACTGTATGAAAGTAAAATTGACTCCGTTTGAGAACTGCCGGTTGTATTCTTCCTGAACCACGCGTCTCGTCCGGGGAGCATTGGTGGCGCAAAAGTCCCCAAGTATTTTGAGATCAAATATTGTTTCTGCAGTGCCAATGTACGAGAATGCAACTGTATCTGAGTCTTCTGTTGACATTCTGATTCGAGTTGCTTCTTGTGGATATCCGAAACTCCAGTTGTTCTGTAGAGGGAGAATATGAAAATTTTACACAATGAAGATAGCACGACATCTCCCTGGTTCAGAGGATTATATTTCCATCTGACAGCTATATGATACAGGAATTTTGAATTTCACAGACAAAGCAGCTGAATTTTGGCACGAAAGACTAGGTCTGATTGATACAATGCGGTAGAGACTTGCTCGAACGCCGCCCCAATAAAATCCTATGTTCAGCGGCAAGTTACATCTAGTTTGCCGCAACTCAACTCAGTTTGCTACAAGCCTTAACGTATCCAGCGAGAGATTCCACCAACGAAAGGTGTAGATGTCTGACGAAAATGGATGGAAAATATAGTGACATCTAAAGCTTCGTTGAGGTCCTCGTGTCGGAGTGTTGTACCCTTACCTTTAGTCGGCTGCCAGGGAATGCTCGAAGCAGCCTTTTTTCGCCGCTAAATGACGACATGTCAAGGGGCAAACTCTAAAGGTTCGAACTTAATTGGAATTTCAAAGGCTAGGGCAACTAGAATATCATTGTCTATGGGTGCTCTGGGCAACGCACAGGGGACTTTAGCGAGAGTATTCTGACCACTGTTCTGCGGTGCCTGTACAATTTACGAACCGAATGCTTTCGATTCAGTGGCGGATGAACTGATCTGTTCATTTGCCCGGATTAGAAAGTCTTTCGCCATGAAAGTTCGAGCCTGAATGATCTCTAGCGGGTAGCAAAAGCAAAGACAACACTCGCGGCGCAAAGAAAGGAAAACAGTCTGGTCTCGCACCAGATCAGCTCGGTTTCTAAGCATCAAGCTCAACATTCTGTGCCACTGTCGAAGGGAGGAAATGCTCCACAGAGGCTAGATCATTGAAGGACTCCTTCAACACAAGATGACTTAGAGAGCCGTTGATGCTATTGTCATCGGTTTCTTTGTATTCATAGTTTGGTTTTACTAAATTGGGCTTAGAGTTCGTGGCTGATAGCATTCAGGTTTCACTTACTTGTTTTCTCCAGTACGGACTTCAATCTCTGGGGGACTTGGCCAGCAAAACGTACACACGTCACCAACATGTTGGAGAAATGCATATTCCTCTCTATCAACTTCTCAGGGGACTCAGGGTGTCTCCAAACATAGCGCTTATAGAAGTTAGCGGAGTCTAGCAAAGGCTGCATAATAACTTACTTCTTGAGGGTGATATTTCCAATATAATAGCCTCCAACTATCTTTCTCGAGCACATGCAAAAGCACAATTGTGGTCAAGCAGACAAGATTCCAGGAGTAAGTCGATCGTTTCAAAATTGCTTCCTGAAGATCCTTCAATACTCTCTTCTCATTTTCAAAAATAAAAGCCTCAAGGTTGCTGTCCAATTGATTTTGCATCACGCGAGGAGCTGGTATTCTGTGATAAAAAGGTGAATTGTCTTTGTCGATGGGGTTCATGCCCAATGATTCTTCACCGGTCAGTTCCCAACCTTTCATTAGGAGGCGGTTTGCAGTCCATAGTTGTAATGTTCGAGCTAAAAGGTCATCCTGCCGAATATCAGTTGAGTATCCTCTAGACTAAGAGCATGCTGACCTCAGAATCCAACTTCACTTTTTGTTTGGCAAGTATCTGTCCAAGATAGCTTTGGCTTTCTGTATGTGAGAGGTAGTATGATAGATGTTGATTGATATAATCTGTCAGATCTACCTCGCACGCTTTCAATCCAAATGTCGTTGTCTCTGCACAATCCCAGCCATCTTTCTCTTTCCAATAGATGAGCATCTCATCTGGAGAAGATCCACAAAATTCATATGCATCAAGCGTGATTGTGGGGCCGTTTTCTTCATGTCGAAGTGTAGCAAGTCTCGTAGATGGTTTCCAGTGAAGATGTAACCATTTAAGCCTTACGCTGTAGGTCGTATCCTTCCCTGTTGAATTTCAGTATTAAACCACGTTCATGGGAAAGAACTCACATTTATGGAATACGGGGCAATTCGCCAGTCTCGTTCGTATGCAGATTTCCTGAGGGATTTTTGCGGCTACGCAAGTTTTGCAATGGCCACCGACATTGTCGCACTAGACGGGTATAAGCACTTGTAAATTTAAGAAGAAAGGAGTAAGCAGTACTGATCGTTTAGAAATCCAACATTTGATGCACTGCTTGGTTGATTTTTGTCTCTTGTGACCAATCGCACTTTCTGCAGCGTCTTGGGCGGAATTGCGCTTCTTATGTAGAGTGGTTGCAGAAGGTGTCACATAGCTTATTTGGGCTTGGTCAAAATGCTGATACAATGTTTGTTGCCTTCCATTAGGTAAACGTTCACCCCAGGACGATATCTGTGGTAAAGGGGTCTGAGTAGGCAGCTGCTCGGCCAGGATCGAAGTATCCCCAGGTAAGATATCCAGGTTGTCCGAAACAGGTTGAACTTCTGGCATGTAGGCCACCTCCGTATTGTATCCACCAACAAGTATATCGCCATCGAATAGTTCAATGTTTGAACCTCCAGAGATAAAGTTCCCATCTGTGTTTGGCTGAGGGTTGGAGCCATTGCCGATGGATGAATATCCTGCGTCTGCACCAATCATTCCGTCGAGGAGCCACAAATCCGTGGGACGTCCATCCAAATCCAGTGGCTGACTCTGAGGGAATACTTGGTGGCTGATACCGTTGTGTCTCTCGAGTTCTGCATCATGTTCAACTGCGGCAAGGATGCCCCAAAGCGCGTGGAAAGCTTGTTCACTAATGTCATATCGCTGTTGCCACTTCCGAAAAAGTGCATCCGTCCTGGGAGACATTGCACTATTGAGTGTGGACGTCAAAATTGTGACTTTTACTGTGACTTGCTGAGGAGAATTTGGGCATGAGAAAGTTGGAGGGATATGGGCGGAGACCGCAAATATATGCGGCGGGCCGCACCGAATCGGAACGATATTCCCCCGTCGCGCCAAGAGGCTATGAAAAGATTGCGCAGGCGTGTTTCCCTGCTTGTCTTGCTTGACCTAACATCTTTATCTCACGACCCTGTCTGAATCCACGAGAGTCACCAGTGATGGAGTCAATCTCGCCGTTTGAATTCCTTCGAGTCCTTGAGGCTTTGAAGAATATCCAGCGTCAGGGTTGGGCAAAGCGGGGAATTCAGTCCCCAGAAAGCGTGAGTGATCACATGTATCGTATGGCTGTGATGGTTTGGATGATTCCCAAGGTATGTTCACAGAGGACAATTCACAAAAAGCCTTACTGCCAACTACTAGATCGACGATGAAATTCGAATGCGAGCGGTCAAGATGGCATTGGCCCATGATATGGGCGAAGCGATTGTTGGAGATATCACTCCGTCAGATGGCGTCCCAAAAGGTATTGTCTGTTATTCCTTATCAGTCTTGAATCGCTTTCTGATGTTTTCATAGACGAGAAGCTACTCAAAGAACGCCTCGCCCTTGCCTACCTTGCATGCCTCATCAGACCGGTGAATCCATCTTTTGCCGATGAAATAGAGGAACTCTGGTCAGAGTTTGAAGCTGGTGATAGCAAAGCAGCGCAGTTGGTCCGCAGTGTCGATGCTCTAGAGTGTATGCATCAGGCTGTGGTATATGAAGAGCGCTCGCAACTGGTGAAGGACCTTGGCGAATTCATGGAACTGGAGACAAAAGTCAGTGCGCCAGAGCTCAGAGACTGGGTGAGGAGTTTAAAGCAAGAGAGAGACACACTATGGTCTTCCAAAGTGACACAGGATCTGACCGTCTTGTTTATCCTGGGTATATTACAACTTTTCCAAGTCTCTCCTCATTCAAAACTGACAGCACTACAGGAGGCCCCGGCGTAGGGAAGGGAACGCAATGTGCTCGAATTACTCAGGACACATCCTCTGTGCACATTTCAGTCGGCGATCTCCTTCGTGAAGAAACAAAGGCTACCTCGTCTGGGTTCGCCGACTTTATCAAGGACAGCATCAGAAACTCAGTTATCATTCCGGCAGATTTTTCAGTACGTTTAATACAAAAGCGAATTGGAGAATCTCAAATGGAAAAAGGTTCCATTGTTATTTTGGATGGATTTCCGAGGAGCTTAGATCAGGCCCGTGCTTTTGAGGAAAAGGTTGTCAGTTTCGATACGACATCAAACTCCTACTTACTGTCAATTATAGATCCGAGGAAGATTCTTTACCATACTTCTAAAATGCTCAGAAGAAGTTCAGCTACATCGCTTAAGCCGACGCTCGGAGTCATCTGGCCGGATTGACGATAATGACGACTCCATAAAGAAACGTTTACGAACATTCTCTCAGGAGAACTTGAAAATTGAAAAGTATCTTCAAAGCAAGGGTCCATTTTGGACGGTATGTAACTTGCAGATAGGGTATCCGCCAGGCTAACTAGCAAAAAGATCGATGCTAACGGTTCCGTCGACGACGTGTACGCTTCCATCAAGGTTGTTGTGGACGAGATCACGAAAGATGCAAGTCAATAAAACGAGAACCACAGTTGCGCGCAAACAATGCGGTGCGATGTCGGTCTTTCCTCTTTACGGCCGGAAACTTTATTCCGATCTGTTGACTACATATACGCTTCTGTCAATGCTGTTCTTGAAGGAATAATTCGTGATGCGGTTGCGTTAACCATCTCGTACCGAACTCGGACAGCTGTCCAATCAATATGATGCTTACTAGACCCGTCAGTCCCATTGCCCTACTTTTGTACTTTGCACCGTCCAGGCCGCAGCGGCGCCCGTGACAATGCGCATCTATTGGATTTGCGGCAAAATGTGATAAACTGGCCGCACTGGAGCCAAGACGGATGCACCCTTGGTATTATGTGACTGGACTGCATGATTCGTTGTCCCCGGTGTGCCATGTGACAGCGGACCAGAAAGTTTTTCGTTCTCGGGTCTTTCATCATGCATAACTAGGTGCACGACTAAACGGACATGGGTTGAACAATGCTTGTGGCTCCGCCTTGTTTGTACTGTGGTATGATGTCCAAGCCATTGGTCCACGTAGACAGATAAGATATTCCCATGGCCTTTATAGTTGAGTACTACAAAGTATATAGCAGTTACTACGGAGCAAGAATTGAAATCATCTTCACACCTACCATTGTAAGCGTCGCAGCCCTTATTCTCCAGTAGAATTCTATTCTCACCTACACATTGCAATCAATTTCATACAAGCCCGATTCCGCCATGTCTAACGCTACCAACGCTCGCAAGGAAGTCAACGACGCTATCATCAACTCCGGCAGCAATGCCATCGGCCAGATTGTCGATACTGCCAATTCGTCTAAGCGCAAGCGCGAGCAAAACAAGCTTGAGCGCGAGGCGCGCGAGAGGGCTGAAAGGGAGAAGGCCGAGAGAGCGAAGACGGGCGGCAAATAATCTAACCCATGGCCTACCCACGAGCATTTCCCGCACCCCTCCGTTTGATGTGCGCATCGTTCCAGCCTCTACAGGTACCTTATTGGATCGCAGAAAGCCGGCTCGAGAGGCTGACTACGGAGACCCTGATTTCGCCTGCCTCGGGCAGCTCGGTCAGATTGATCGAACTTGAGGGTTTGTCCCGTTATCTATCTTTGTGGGCTGAAGCTGGAACGCCTCTCCTCCCGCCAACGTTGTTTAGCGTGTTTGCGAAGATATCGGACATTCTTTATATACTTATGTATCTAAAATCATGCCCCTCAGCGCTAGAACTTGAATCAAATCCGCCCAGTCCATTGTTGGTGCCACTGTAAGAACTCTGGCCGCTATATCTGAGAGGACTCCCACACCACCTCCTTTCGTGCAATTTTCTATGCTGTGACAAGCAACCTGATTAGTAAGGCATCCCCGCGAAAATTCACGTGCCAGCTCCCTCTGTCATTTTAACCTTTTGCCATCCACCGGCAGACCCTTTTTAAGGCCCAAGCTCTGTCTCACCAATCCTTAACCACGGCTCACCTCCTTCGACATTATGGACATCAACAAGCTCGTCGAACTCATTCACGACGTCCGGAAGCGACTTTGGGTCGAGCGAGTTAATCAAGCCCGTGTTGCAGGCCATATAACGAGCTGGATATCGTCCTTGCATCCCCAAAAGCTTGAGTGCAAGCTGGACGGTAATTTCCTCAACGGTTCGTATAACCTGTGCCAGAAGTTGCGCTTTTGCGACGGCATCACCTGGCTGCTCCGTATGCCCATCATCGGGAGCGTCTGCGACGAGTACGCCGACGAGAAGATTGCAGTGGAGGTGGAGGTACTGAGCCTCCTCCGCGATAGCAATGTCCCCGTCCCGGGCATCATTGCCTGGGGGCTGACAGCCGCTAACCCGCTCGGCCTGGGACCCTACATTGTGATGGATTTCATCGAAGGGGTCAGCGTCAACACGCTTCTGCGGCAGCAGCACAACACGAGATTACTCAGGGATGACATTTGCGATGATGATATTAAATTCCTCTACCGACAGTTCGCACGCATCCTCCTTCAACTTTTCCAGATCGACTTTCCTGTGCTCGGCAGCCTTCCGACCCCTGTGACCGGCTTTAATGCTCCTATCCGGCCCTTGACTTTCAAGGCGCACGACATCCTACAGACCGGAGGAGTTGACACTTTTGGTATGGCCTTCTTTATTTTTGCTTCCTTTTTTTCTTTATGTTCTCCTGTTCGCTATCCTAGTGGCGATATCCTCGCTTACTCAAGAACAAACAAACAACTAATTTCATGATTGTTCTAAGGCGACCGTACTATAGGCTTCTCTGACACCGCCGATTATTTCTGCTATCTGGCTGGCCAAGACTGGACCCAATTCCAATGCCAGCCTAACTCAGGTGGCGGTCCCACCGTCACCCAGGCCAAATATGCTGCCCTTCACGCACTCCAGGCCGTCGCCCCGCAGCTTGTCGAACCTAGCTACGCGTCTGGCCCCTATAAGCTCGTTTGTGACGATCTAGGCCTCGCTAACCTCATCGTCCGGAGCGCAGACGACCTCACTGTGGTCGGTGTGGTGGATCTCGAATGGTCGTACGCCGGGCCCGCGCAGCTATTCGGCTCGGCCCCCTGGTGGCTGTTGCAAGACCGGCTGAATAACTACGACACTTTCCTCGACAAAGAAGAGGCTCCCAGGGTTTTAGGGAGGTATCTACGGAACCTGGACATGTTTAAGACCGTACTCGAGGAAGAGGAGGCGCGGGTCCCAAGCCAGCAAGCTATGGACCTATCTCGCCTGGTGAAGCACTCTGAGGAGTCAGGGAGTATGTGGCTGCACATGTTACTGTCGTGGGGGTTTAATCACCCTGATAGCCTACCCTTCACACAACTTCAAGCGCGTCTTGGGCCTGAGCGGTGGAAGGAGCTGGAGGAGGGCCACCACGGAAAGGAGGCAAGGGAGTTCACGGAACGGAAGCTAGCAGAATTAGACAAGTATGACGAGATGGTGGAGAGGATGGAGTGCCTACAGGATGATGTTAAGAGTGGGAAGATGACGATAGAGGCGTTCGTTGCGGTACTCAGAGAATCAAACGGGTTTCGAAAAGCCTGATTTACTATATGGTTTTTGGATTTCTCCCTTGTCTCACACTTTCTCCAGGCAGCAACACGAAGACTACTGCAGACAAGAGAATGCAATCACGATATCAACCTGTTTGCAGGGGCAGAGATAACGTTCAGGAGTCATGCCCGAAAGGACGTATTGCCCCAGCGAAGTAATTATATCGCACAAAGCATTCACAATAAATCATATCCAGAATTTCTCTCAGCCATGTACCAGTGACTCTCCGTTGGGACCAAACTTGTGCCCGAACACCATGATAATAGCAGATTGTGAGCAGTAACATCGTCGAAATGATTTTGCCCCAATCCCACCTTTCTATCTCGAGTAGTTCTCTAGCCATGTGAATACCGAGTCTCATCTCTTCTTTGGTTTCTTGAACGTCGCCTGTTCTGATGTTTTGGAAACAGAAGTTTCTGGTGTCACTTCCTGGGGATCGAGGAGCCTCAGCTCTTCATCACCTGTAGTTTCTAGGTCCGAGAGGTGGTGGCTTTCCAGACCCTGTGAAAGTCCTGATGATGAAGGGAATTGTAGATCCGATTCCTCCGAGACTTCAAAATGTATATCTGGTGGTATTGCATCGATTGCAGAGCAAAGCCTTTTGAAGTGAGCAGGCATCCAGGTATGGTAGACACTCTTGGTAAACTTGTATGCCGTCCATTTCTCCTTCCCATCCAATTCAGTAAAGCTGAAGTCACGGATCGCATGACGGTAGAACGTGGTCTTTTTGCCCTCAATCACGGGATAATGACCATAAATTCTCGCCGATCGGTTGTCGTGTGAGATGGAAAAGGCGAGGATCTCCCGATGAAGCTCGTTCTCGCGCTTCACGAGCCTGAACAGTTCCACGACTCCTCGAACAGCGAGCGTCATGCTGTGCGCGTTCTGTCGATCAGCTACGTCAAGTGCGGCCGCACCGCACTTCACTTCGCTCGAGAAGAAGGGAAAGTACATGTACCATGTCCCCATGAAAAAGGAGTTGTCGAAGAGGTCGCCCACGAATGGTTGGAGTTTCTGAAGTTGATCTTCTGTGAATGCCGAGCGTTTGAACCCCACAGAATAGTCTGGTTGAGGTCGTGTTTTGGTGACTGGGATAGAATTGTTCCACCCCTCGTTGACGCTCTCAATGAGACACCTTAAACGCTTCGCCCCTTGAACTGCCAATGACTGCGCGGAAGGTACTATGAGTCTTGCAATATCCTGAATGACCTTTGCTTCGTTTCTGTTCTGTATCATCTCGCAGGTATCCTCGAAGAAATCATCCTGAAACAAGGTATGTTCGGGAATTACCTGCTCGGCTTCAAGCAAGGACTTGTACTCTTTCTTGCTTGTTGTTGTAGGACCCTCTTCAGTCCGGCCAACATACTTGCCCATAAAGCTGCCTTTCGCCTCGAGAAGCGAGTTGTAGCGTGGGTCTTGATAAGGAGCACTCTTCTCCTCTCGAGGCTTTTGGTCACTCGGTGTATTTGAGCTTAGTACGCCAGACTCGCTATCCGACCGCTTTCGGCGAAGGGAGGTGGCGGATTTCTTTCTCGCCAATAAGTGACTCATTTCGCCACTTTCGTTGAAGTATCCTCGCGGCCAGTGGTATGTCTGCGTCCAATATGTAACAGAATCCACGTCCTGAAGAGAGGGGCTGGGACAAGATGTTCGCGATCGTTTTGGAGAGGGCGGGTTTAGTTGCTGTTCAGTTTCTCGTTTCCGCTTCGGAGGCTTCGATGGTAGAGGGTTACGAGGCGTGTGGGCACGCTTTATTGGGTCAGTCTTCCGTCACAGAATAACATTGGCGACTTACATTAGGACTTTGAATGTCGCTGACTGGAGATGGTAGAGGCTGCTCCCTGGCTTTTGGATGAGCCTTCTCAACCAAGCGGTCCAAACGGGCGCTCCGTCGAGGAGGGTTTTGCTTTTGTCCCTTCTTGATGCCTTGAGGGCGTTCCGCTTTGCTGGTGAGTCGAGTACTGGAGGAGGCGGATAAATGACCTTGATGTGGTAGCTTCACGGGCTGCCTTCTGGTCTTCTGAGCGGTGACACTATCTCGTGGTGCCATGGTTACTCGAAATGAGGGTGAAAGGAATGGGCATCTTCATGTAGTTGCTAACGAGGGCGCAGTCGCGGTCGAAACCTAAGCGCCCAGAGGGGGTGGCATGTGACATCACACGAAAAGCGGTTGGTTGGGCCACAAGGGCTTCTTGGCGACCACATGATTCTCGCTAAACCTACCAAAACACTTCTCTCACAAGTGGACGGCAGGGGAACCACAATTCGATGGCATGACAACCCATACACACTCAATCCATACTACCAGCCATGTCCTTGCACTGCTGCAATCAGAAGAATACTATGTCCATGCACTGAATGTTTTTCTTCAGCGCAATTGGCTACTTTCCCTATGATGATCCCCGTAGACCAACCAACATGCCAGGGCTCTGTGGGCCCAGAGGACTGTTCCACGGATCCCGCTTTCTTAACGCACAACCTTGAGTACGTTCTACTCAAGAAACTCTCCTACCCTTGCTCAACTCATGTTTGCTAGCATTTTGACTACCCAACGCAGCCTCTCCCCTCAAAATTGTCAAATGACGAGTGTCAAGCACTCCCTGGCTGAAAGTTTCGGATCCATCACCGCTAGCACATGACGCCGATAGTGAATATCGCTCCGCGAGGAAGTCCAAGTTCAAGTAATATGCTAGGAACTGATTTCGCGAAAGCAACCCCGTGACGAACTCATTAGCTCACCCCTTACTGCGATAAGAACATCGCATGGCATCTTCTTCCCTTCGATAAGACTAGGCGAATCGATGCTATATGTAGCTCAGGTAATCAAATGATGGAAGATCGAGAGTTTTGCGCTGGCCGATGGTAAAGGCCGCTGGGGCCTTTGCGTCGCTGTTGCCTACGGGACGGAGTGAAGGTTTACCAGGTACCCATACTCTTTGTACATCCCATATCCTGGCAGACCCCTGCAGCTCGTCCCTCCATACTCTCCAAATCCTAAACGGCAGTGAATGGCCCCTATTCTCTCACCTGGCCAAAAATCCCGCATGCAAGAGCCATCCTATCCAATTTCATTGGCTCTCTGTCAAGGATAAACGTCTGCACAGCTCCTGCCGGTTCCATGTCGATTGGCCGTACGTGGCCGTTGTTATCAGGTCGGCCAATCAATTTCGACAAGGTCAGTACCGTTCACTCCAATCCAATGTTCTCTCACATAGCCGTGCTTGCGTGAAACCGCATCCATCCTGGTAGCGAAAGGGTAATTGCTGTTCGGTGTCCTGCCCGCATGGGAGGAACCAGCACGTGTTAAGCGGGATAGAAATCAAGGCCGGGACCAAGGCCTCATTACGGGGAATGAGCTGAAAGCAGGTGGCAACTTTTGGCGTCCCTCCTGTGAAAACCGATTTCGATGACGAGGCGATGCTGATGGCCTGGGTGCAATTCCCTTAGAGAGACCCAAAGTGGTACAGTACTAGCGGTCGCCCCTGGGCGAAGAATTCGGAATAGATCTGGTGGACGAATAGTTGGACACCTTCAGAAGGAAGGCAGGGCTGCTCCCTTAAGTGGTCATAGACGAGGACAGCGGCGAGGTTAGAAGAAAGCGATTATGATGAAGAACAAGAGGACAGAGAAACCAGAATGCAACAATTGAGGGAGGAAATAAGAAGGTTGGAACGGGGAACAGTGAGAGGCACAGGCAAGCTGAGGCTGAAGCTGAGGCTGAGGCCGTGCTGCAATGTGGTCGGTGCCGGTGACACCGTCTCGATGTGCCATGGTTACTCGAGATGAGGAAGAAAGGAATGGGTAGCTTCAAGTTGTTACAGGAGATGTGCCGTCGCGTCCTACGATTCAACCGCGCACCCTGTCGCACGTGTAGGCCCAAAGTTGAAAGGAAATTTAGGCAGCAGCGTAAGGGCCCCTAACTCCCGCCTGAAATAGATGCATAGCCGAGAGGCAAGTATAGCCGATCGTAAGGGGCCAGATTCGGCCCCCAGTGCATTTGCTCAGGGGCGTGCTCAGCCGAGGCCCAAAAGGGACCCCTGATCCCGAACTGGCTTCTAGGAACGGGCATCAGGCAGATGCTCCCTGCGGCTCGCCCAGTGCTCGGGCGCGCTCCTCCGTGCTCTGCCGTGGCTCCCTCGACGCTCTCCCGTGCTCGGCCGGGCGCCCCCCATGCTCCGTCACGTGCACGATTAAAGCGGCCTGGCTCCCTTTCCTGAACCAAAAAGGTAATGGATGAAGCACAGTTCGGGGCATATATAATATATATATAGATACATATATATATGAATACCTTGTAGCAGTCCACCAGCATCACACATTTAGGCAGCCAGTCTTTCTCGTAATGACTAGGTTACTGACGTCCACCAAGCTAATCACCATAATCATTATCAGCTTCCAGGTCGTCCATCCACCATAACGGATACTGACTCTTCTCCCTGCTCACCTACAAAAACAGGCAGATCGTGACACCCACGATCGAGGTCAGCAGCGCGAAGAATAACCAAGAATTCAAAGACTTCACAGACGCAGCAGCATTGCTTACTGGAGCAGTCCCATTACCATTGTCATTCCCGCTGCTTCTGCCGCTTCCACTTTGACCTTGACCCTCGCTCTCAGTCACTTCTCCCTCCAACTTGGCCAACCGAATCTCGTTGGCCCCAAAGTCAAACACGGTAAGCACGTTCTTGAGGAACGGCGAGCCAATGATATTCAACGTGATCTGCCCATACGTTCCCTCGCTGAAGTCCGAACTCAAGATGTTCGAAACGCATTGCGCCTCACCGCTGCTCGGGTCGGCGGTCTGATAGACCAGATCGCGGCCGTCGAGGAAGAATGTCTGATTGCCAATCTCAAGGCCGAATTGCGGTGGCGTGGCAGCGCAATCGACGAGCCAGAAACCCGTGGTGGGATCGAAGAGAGCAGGAGGCGAGAACAGGGAGTTCACAGTGGTGATTACTGCGTCGGGGAGGAAAGAGAAGTAATTGCCGTCGTCGATGAACGCTTGGAACGAGGTGGCGTTTGTGAGGGTGGAAGAGGTTGTGATGTTGTTAGGTTGGGGAGCAGAAGGGCGTGTGGTGCTATTCCCGGGCCCGTAGACAATAGAGGAAACGTTCAGTGTCCAATAGGCGCGGACGCGCTCGTTGGATGTGACTTGGACGGGGACGGAATCGTCAATTTCAACCGAGACACTACTGAATTCGTCGCTGTGCTGAACGGGCGGAAGACTGCCGAGAGACAAGTAGCCGCCGAAGCCCGAGGTGGCGTTTTGTGGTGTCCGTGCTAGGGCCAGACTGAAGTATGGGTCTATCAGCCCTTGCTGGTGCATGGTGAACAGCACGGGATCGTATGTGAGGCGGTTGTAGAAGTAGGTCGTGTTGTCCGTGACATTGGCCGGATGACCCGATGTCAATGCGGGATACGCAAGGCCCAGAAGGCCGGAGTTGACGCCGTCGCCCATGGGAGTCGAGCGATTAGCCACTCCGATGGTTGCATTCTTGACCGTGATGCCGGCGAGTGTGACATCTTCGTCGGCCAAGACACCGGAGGCTATGCCGTCGCCGTACTGGACTCCGAAGATCTCATTGGGAATTTCAGAGTATGTAGGGGACGGAGTATACGTCGCATTGCCGTATAAACAGGCCGACTGCGGGAGCTCGGTGCCGTTGTTCTTGTCGAAACACTGGTAGCCGGTTCTCATCACGTACGTGTCGCTGCTTCCGGTGTCGACAAGGAGGGCAATTGTTTGGCCGCCGATGGTGACATTGACATCGAAGATGGTGCCGAATGTCGTGGACAGCAGACTCGAAGTGGCATTGCTGGGGCCCGACGAGCTCCGGCGATTGAGGACCAGATGTTGAGCAGACTTCGAGGACGAGGCGAGAACGCCAGGTTGGAACAAGCCCAAAGCAAAAACGAGCGCGGACAGGTCTCGCATCGTGAGTAATGTGACAAGCAAGGCAAAAAGTTGAAGTCTTCAAACGAATACAACCGAAGGGGGTATCCTCTCATCGACCAACTCGAGCACCTACCGCAGCGTCTTTATACATGTACCTCGCGGGCTGAGAAAGCACCTCTGTTGATTGATAATGTTACTAGTGGTCGGCCACTGCCACCGGGGAACCCTCATTGACAGGGTAAGTATATTTGCGCGCTATCTTCTGGTGAAACCCTCGACCAGGCAACGGACTTCAATATGGTGGCCTTGCATGGGCTGAGGCCCTTCTGCGATATATAGACCCTGGCCATTGGATAGCGGCAGCATCCTGGTCGCCACAAAAGGTACTAGTAGTATGGTTCAAATGATGGCATGGGGTTAGTTTAGAGAGGAACGAGAAGAAGCGAATGCTCGCTTGTCCGTACGCTTGAACTTCGGGAAAATGGGCCCCTCGGCGGGTGGCCCCTAGGATTGGCTGGTGGGGAGGCCATGGGAACCTAAGGTACTGTAAGTCTGCAGCTGCAAGGCTGAGCACCATCATCCATCTGCAAGTTCACCTGAAAAGGGTCCGAGGCTCGTGTTCTTCTTGATCTTCAGCAGGGTCTTCAGCTTGTTCCTTTGTTCTTCTTGCGTCAGCCAGAAATCGTACATGCTTGACCCTTTTCTTGAATCGAGGTCCACCGACCGCCCTCAATTCTCGGACTTTCGTCTCTCCCAAGGTGTCCCTTCTTGTCCATACCGCTTGCGTGTGCCCCATTGCCACTGATGCCAACATGGACAAACTGTCTGCTAGGAAGCCACGGAAGAGTGCACCTAAGACTCGATCAGGATGTTTCACGTGCAAGTAAGTATACCCCGTGGGTGTTCCGGACCCAACATTGACGTCCGTTCTCCCAGAGCCCGCCACATCAGATGCGATCAGAACAGGCCGGAATGTGAGAACTGCACCTGGTCAAGCAGGAAATGCGAGGGTTATCCGACACCCCCCACCAACTCTGCTTCAGGGGCACGGAACTCGCCTCACAATCCAAGCTCCGTTGCATCGTACAGCATCCCTTTTAAAGTCCCCGGAAGTCAAGCCGATCGACAGCTCTTGCACTATTATTGCTGTCAAGCCGCATGGAACCTCTCCAGCTACGCCGACCCAACCTTGTGGACCGAATTGATCCTCCAGCGAAGTCAAGATCAACCCGTCATCCGCAGTAGCCTTGTCGCTGTGAGCTCTTTGCACAGGGACTTCGTTTCTGGATCGTTTTCCGCCAATGCTAAGGATCAGCCGAGTTTGAACGTCGAGACCATAACTATGGTCGGCAAATGTTACGGGCAACTGAAGAATTACCTCGCACGGTCCGATGCCTCACCAGATGTTGCGTTGATCTGCAGCGTCATATTCTACTCCTTGGAGTCGCTCCTCGGCGATACGCGACAGGCGATATCGCACCTCGACAGCGGGTTGAGGCTGCTGAAGCGAACTCAATCCGAAGGGAATGGGGCTGCTGACCCGCTGCTCGTGCACCTGACATCTCTGTTCGAACGTCTGGACATCCAAGCGAGTTCGTATGATGACTGTCGTCTTCCGGCGCTGGTACTCGTCTCTCCTCAAGAGACGCGAGGAGCATTGTCGGTTGTGCCTGATTCGTTCCAAGATCTTGACCACGCTGAACGCATTCTGGCCAAACTTCAGAATTGGACCCTTCATCAATTGATCCTGCATGTCGAACACAAAGGCAAATCATCGGAAGAGCTTCCTCAGGGTTTATTGCACGAAAGGGCAGTGTTGCGCCAACAATTTGAGAAATACCATCAGACACTGAGAGGCCTTGATAGGACCCCCGCTCATTCGCCCTTGAACGTCCCAGAGAGCAGTACCCAAGAAGACGGGTGGCAGCTGCGGCTGCGGCTGCAACAATTCCTGCTCTTGCAGATAAGCTTCCACATCTTCCATAATCTGATCGAGGAGAATATTCCAATTTCTGCCGATGCCACAGGACACACTGATAATGACGAAGACACCCTCCGCACAGCCCTTTCCAAGGTATTAACCCTCCTCTCACTAGCAAGCAACGCAGCATCCCGCTCCGCAAGCGCTTCTTACCCGCTACCTCTCCCGTCGCAACGAGCCTACACATTGTCCACATTCCTCATCGGGACATTATACTTCCTGTGCATGAAAACCACCAACCAGGAGATATTAGCCACGGCTTGCCGGCTGTTCTCCCACCCTCTGATCAAGAACTCCCGCGATGGGCTTTGGGATTCCCAACATGCGGAGTTGGTGCTTAAGAATGTGATGGAGATCCGCGATCGGAGCATGGGTATGGGTGTGCCTGATATCGCCGTAGGAGAGACGTCGCAGGGAGTAATAACATCGACTTTCAACATTGAGGATATCAGCTTGGGCGATGGGACAGACCATCTCAGCACGGACTTGATGGTTGATGCACTTGCATTCATCGTTACCGGCGATTCTTTCCTGCCCCCAATTGATATGGCGGCGCAGGACACATCCATGTCAACGTCGGGCACAAATTCGCCGTATCCCTCAGAAGACTCGTCCTCGACAAATGCTAGCGAAACAAGTCTACCATACCCGCACCGTCAGCAAACCAAGCAATTTGTGCAACATCTAGAGCACGGTCGTTCGCATGCTGGTCTTGTTGCCCAAAACCATCCGAGACTTGAGCGAGCCCGAACACAAATCGTGGCAGGCGCGGCCCCGACTTCAAGTTCCGGCCAGTACACGCAGACTCGACCGAAAACTCAGCCTTGGTCACATCTTCAGGGCAACAATATCCAACAACAATGTGCGGTGTCGACGGATGGGTTGCATTGGAGTAGCAGGTTAGAAGACTTCGCGCTGGGTATTGTGGACGTGCAGGGCGGAGTGGAGGAAGCTGCCAAGAGAGTCTCGCTGATGTCTATATAAATGAATGAGCAATGGCAGCGTCGATGAACCCTATTACCTGGTAACCAGCAGGAGACCATTCCCCCAACCTTGCCGCCCACGTCCTTCTCGGAGACCAAATCCACAAGCCCCTCATCGTCGACCTTGACACTGACCGGCTCGCGCAATGTATTCAATGTCTCTATCCCCACGCTTGCATGCAGGCCTAGGTGTCCCGCCTTGCGACTCATCAAGCCAAGCATAAGCAATTCGCTGATACTGTCCCAGCTGGGGCCCGTGTGTCCAGTGAAGACAAGTAAGAATACGTGCGTCACCACGAAGACACAGTAGGCGCCGAGTACCATTCTCGACAGCAGGACCGCATCATGCTCGTCGTGCGCTTGGTTATATCCGAAGTGCATGCCTCCCCAGGTCGAGCGTCGCCATCCCATGCCCGATTGCTAAAGCGGCACATTCAAATCACGGGCAAATGGCATCACCAATCGGCCATTTCCTTAGTTTTTGCAATGCTGACGCTCACGCTGACACTAGCATAATCCTGTCCAAAAATGTAAAATCATCGCATACATCCACATCCTTCCACGGACAGGCCAGCCCCAATTGCTGCGCTATCTCCTCCGTAAGGCGCACAGTCGCGCGGAGCGTTTCGTGGCTTGCGCCCAGGTTCAGAGAGCCAAAGAAATGTCTATCACGCCGCTTGGGTTAGCGCGTGTTCGCTGCCCTCTTCCGAATTACCCTCGGCTCAACACAACACACCTGGAGTCATTTCGCAGAGTGACAGGCGCGTTTGGCCTTTGCTTCTAGACTGGATGGGAACTTGCGTGAAGGCTTGGTCTGACGGAGAAGATTTGGGAAATGCAAGAGATCGGGATATCTTGACTTACCCTTTAGCCTGCGGCCCACAGCCATCGGCCAGACAGCACACGAATTCCAGTAGGCCGGTCTCCTGGGCGCCGATGATGGTGTGCTCGCTCAGAAGCTCACCGTAGATGCAGTTTATCGCGAAATGTGTCAGGTCGCCGCCGGAGGTGCTGTCCATGGCGGAGAGAACGCGTGTGGTGTGTTTGGTGTAGATTTGCCGGAAGAAGGACATCCCACGCTCGTATTTGGCGGTTGGATCGAGAGGGGCGCGGAGGGATGTGTCGGTTGCCAAAGTGCTGGAGAGAGAAGGGTGGGTCGTGGTGATAGAGGTCTGTAGAGAGAACAGGGCGTTTATTGCCTAGGGGTATTGTCAGGTTCCAGTATGGTCAGGACAGGATAAAAAGAAGTCGCCATTAAGATCGGGTCGACAGCGCCGGGAAGGAGCGGACAAGTGTGCAAAAGTAGTGGAACAAGGGGATGCTTACTCTGGGAAATCCAACGAGGGTACTTGCTTTGAGGCAGGACTCGCGGATTCGGCGTGCGATGCCGAGGAGTTGTTCTTCGGTTTGAGGAGACTCGGTGTTGGTGGCGAGATACGTCCACAAGGCTCCTGTGAGCCTTTCTTTGTGGAACGATAGGAGTACGGCCGTGGTTAGAATGTACCATAAGGACGATGGTTCAGGGTGTTCGGCTGAGGATTGAGCCAGGGGAAACAGGTCTTGAAGGCTAGAAAAGTCCAACTTTCTGACAGTGTGGATGGTGGCCGCTTCTTTCTCCGAAACGCTGGAAGCGCTGGTCTCGTCAGTTGTCGATGACATGGTAGAAGCTGGCGTCTGTGTGCCGCTGGTGGGTATCGATTCCATGTTGCCAGTTGAATCCTATGTGGTTGAGGGCTGCAGGTATGGTTGCCCACGTTCAAGCGGTGCGGGAAGGACGAGAGATGAATGATGCTGGCAATGGCTGTCGAGAAGACCGAAGGACAGATATTCGCCGAAGAAGTATAACAAGGAATGAATGTCGTCAAATTTGAAATCTAGGAAAATAATTGTGCTGGGACTGGATGTTGCGTCGATGTTTGTATCATGAATAAAGATAGAACAAGGCTGTCGCTCCTCGGTCATTGATTTGGAGCCGAGCCCAAGAACATTTCGATCGGTTGCAATCTTCTTGGGATACTCCGTACAGATAGAATGGGGATACTAATTAGTGTCCTTCCAATCAGTGGAAGCGGTAGAATCTTGATCTTCTCATGTCTGACCCCCAGTGTTCCTCGCCACGGTTTGAAGGGCGAAGAAGTGAGATGAGATGAGCCGAGACGAGATGGAGGAACCTGAAAGCCTCCGAAATGACTCGGGAAAAGCCGGTTGGGCTTACGGGCGATATTTTCAGGTAATTCAAGACCCATGAACATGTTCAACTCTCTGCATTCCTGGCTGAGCACATGGCACCATCATGCACTGTGTTGATGCAGTCTGCTAAGGGTCTGACGCCAGCGTAACATGCTGTGCGTCCAGGACGAGACTGGGTCGGAGACTCACAGCGACCTGCCTATTCTCAAAGAAGTGCCCGTTCAAGACTCAGGATCTTTGCGATGTCGCATAAACGCATTCCGAGACAGTCTACGGTCTTCATCTTTCAGAGACAGCTTCAAGTGTGTTCCCATCAGGACCAAGCACGGCGGTGTCTCCTGATAAACATTGCTATATCAATCAGACGGAAATGACTTTCCGCGTTTCAGGCATCGAGAGATCGCCAATTGCTCTCACACCACGCCCAGCGAATCATGAACTGCTTGCCCTCCTGTCACGTTCCTCATTTCCTGTCCAAACACGAGGAGGCCGGATGGTCAAATCAACCCCGCGTTGACCCTTGACTCCCGGGCACACGACCCCTCAAGGTCACGCTCACACCATATATGACTGCAGCAGTCGAACTAACATTGGACTGAGAGACATTGACAGAGACAAGTGCTCAATTTGTTGACAACTTGCAGAGATACCACACAGACTACTGTTACCAAGATGACCTCCAAGCATGCCACACCAGCAACCGCTGCACCTATGGGCACCAGTCACCGCCGCTCAAGCAGTGGTATCTCTGATGACGTTGCCCAATCCGCTCACGACTTCATGTCGGGCACCATTCGACGCTCTAGCAGCGGCGTTACTGACGATGCTGCAACAGCTGCGCACGACTTCATGCGAAGCGCAAAAGGCACCGGTCCCGGCCTGACTGATGAACTCGCCGAAAAATCCCATAAGTTCATGGACGGGCCTGCTACTCACCGCGAAAGTCACAGCAAGTACGTGCCAGACGTGACCGTCCCAGGGTTGACCGATCAGATCGTTGAGGAGGCATTGGAATTTGAGGACAACGTTGAGAAAACGGGAAAAGCATAATACGGAAAAGTTGAGGGGTTCAGGGAAGAACCCCCTGCAAAAGACGGCAGAGAGTGTAATACCAAATTGACACATGGTGCGAGTACCCTTTGTATCTTCCAGAAGCAGCAGAATCAACTGCGTGGAGGGGATCTCCTTATTGCAGACTGAGCACGAGCTGATGAGTGGACAAGGTGGTTGCACAGGCGCGTTAACTAGTGGCATGCAAGCAGATCTGAGTCTCCTCAAAAGCCCAGCTTATTGTGTTTGCAATCGTGTCTCGGTCTCGTCTGCCTTAGCTCATGACATCCGTCCGTCCATCATGTCCGTTCACCATGTCGCCCAGCGTTGATACCCTGCTCGTCGAAAATGACAATCAACGAGTAATGCCGAAATCAGTCTTGACTTTGACTGGCTATATCAGATATACTCATTTTATGCACGCCGAAAGTGACTAAGAACGAAACGGACCAATTCGTCCGCTGGCGGAAACAAGGCCATTATCACTCACAAGGCATTATGGAGCCGTTGTTAGCGAAACGGCACGTCCTTATGGCTGACATTCACTTTCTCGACCATATTTAAACTGAACACACGTCGCTGCAGAGATGGAAGGCCCTTCAACAAGCTTCCGACTCGCCTGCATATTGCCCAGGTTGTCACAATTTGCACCTTGAGACCTAGGGCAGCTAAAAACATCCAAACAACTCGTCACAACCATGACTGAGCAAAACAGTTGTCGGGTCTTGATCGTGGGGGCAGGCTCCATGGGCCTGGTCGTTGGTTACATCCTCAGTCTAGCGAAAGCCGAAGTAACATTCCTCGTTCGCCCCCATCGCGAAGAAGAGTTGAAACGTCCCCAAGTACTCTACTCCTACGACGACAATCAGCTCAAGACGTACACGGACTACAAACATATTACTGATCCGTCCAAGATCATAGGGGCGGATTACGACTATATCTTTGTCACACTGGATGCCCACGCCTTGAGGAGCGAAGTCGGTCTAAGTCTGGTGAAGATGATAGGGGATGCAGTGCGTGGCACCCAGACCAAAGTTGTTCTCGCCACCGCTTTCATCGACTTGAGGTCTTGGTTCATTGAGGTCTCCGGCATCAGCGGAGATCAAGTGACGTACGGTCTGCTCCTCATCCACGCGTATGCGCCCAGGGCTGTGACATTGCCTCTGCATGAAGGGACAGACTCAACGCTTCTCGAACAGGCCGATCAAGCCTACAGGGACACGCTCGGCCCCGGCTTCATCGTCGACGACAGCTCTCCCGCCGTGGCAGAGGGTTTCGCAGAGTTGTACAATGCTAGTGGACTGTCAACGTGCGTGGTCATGCCTGCGGCGCAACTTGCTGTGTTCGGAATTCCATTGTTCCCTGTCTTTGCAGCGTGCGATCTGCTTGGCTGGCCGAAGTACGAGGAGATCGACAGTATGGGGGAAGTGTGGAACCTTGCTGTCGAGGCTGCGAGAGAAATCCAGGGGCTTAGCATTCTGGGAGAGCCAGGCCAGAAAGCGGCAGCGACGATCACCGGCACGGGCCTGGCGGCGCAGTTTGCGGGAATGGAGAAGCAGATGCTTCCTCTTGACTATTCGGCCTTCAACAAGTATCATCACGGTGGTAAGGTCAATGTCCAGGACCGAGAACTGCTCAATGCATGCGTCTCCTACGGCGAGGCTGAGGGAAAGACGATGTCTGCTCTCAAGGAATTGATCAAGCGAGTGGAGAGCCAGTGAGGAAATGAGGTAATCAAAGCTTACATATTTAACAATCAGTATCTTCGTACAGTACATTATTGTAGCATGTCCAGCAGGTCAGGTAGATTTCTGCTTGCCACCAATCCACCACATAGATGCAACATACAACAAGCCAGGATGATTGCTGTAGCGGTCCACAACGGCCAAAATAACATACTTAGTCAGCGGGGAGAAAGTTCGTCACGTGCAATGACGCAGCCTCGCTCCCACTGCGACTCGAACTTCGATTGCTGCTCCGCGTGGCCGTGGTCTGTCCGACTTCAAGCGCAGCTGCCTCCTGCTACAGGATAGCCTTATCGACAACCATGCGTTAACATTGACTTGAGCGGCGCGCAATGGCGCTGGATCTGGAAGAAGGATACGTGGCCAAAGGCATGGCACAAGGAGGTGTCGAAAATGCCCTGCCTATTTTCAATGTCGAACGCGTCCAACTGCAGTTCAACATCGCCTCGGATTTCGTCGCTGGCCAGGTCGCCAACAACGTGCTGATCCTCGCACTTGCTACGGGTCGCATCCTCCGAATAGACCTAGAAAGCCCCTCGGACATCGACGGTCAGGACCATTTCAGTCTTCAACAACGTCCGTACTGCTGACTGCTTTTCCCAGATGTTGACCTTCCTAAGAAGACCAGCGAGGTTGGCCTCATTCGACGCATGTTTCTCGATCCTTCTGCCTCGCATCTTATCATCAGCACCACCCTCGGAGAGAACTTCTACCTTCACAGTCAGTCCAAGCAGCCAAAAGCTCTGTCGCGATTGAAAGGCGTTTCTATCGAATCCATTGCCTGGAATCCCTCCCAACCCACAGCTTCTACGCGCGAGATTTTAGTTGGAGCCACCGATGGAAACATCCACGAGATCTACATTGAACCGGCATCGGAGTTCTACCGCCGCGAAGAACGGTATTCTGCTCATGTATGGAAAATACCAGAAGGAGCCGTGACAGGCCTCTGGGCTGAAACGGTTCAGGGCAAGTCTGACACGCGGAGGGTCATGGTTGCATCGCACTCAAGATTATACCATTGGATCGGGAAGACAGGTGGACGAGGGAGAGAAGGCTCTGCATCGATTTATGCGGATTTGTTCTCGAAGGAAACTCCTAGCACGCACGAAACAACGGGCGCGTCCTCTACGGCGCCGTCTTCCTTATCAGTGTCGCCCGAGTTGCCAGATGCTGCAGCAGAAGAGGACAGGAGCTTCGCTTGGTTATATTCTCAAGGAGTACTGACAGGCAAATTGCTTACGTCTCCGGCGACATCCGACTTAGGCGGCCGAATTTTCAGGGAGGCTAAATTGCACCCTCGTTCCATCTTCCCAGAAACAATGTCTGCTCGTGGAGGGAGAAAGCTCATTCAAGACCCGATAGCGTCGGTGATCTTATCACAATGGCATGTTCTGGCCCTTGCCGAGGGTCGCATCGTTGCTGTCAATCGTCTAGATGGTAGCGTCGTATACGACCAGACCGTTCTAGAAGCGGGACAAAGTGCTCTTGGATTGGTTGCCGACCAGAAGAAGAATACGTATTGGCTTTTCACGAGTCAAGAAATCTTCGAAGTTGTGGCACACGACGAGGAGCGAGACATTTGGAAGATCATGCTTCAGAATCAAGACTATGATGCTGCTCTGCGATACGCCAAAGGGACCGCACAGAAGGATTCCGTTGCTACTGCTTCTGGAGACTATCTCTCTAGCAAAGGACAATATATGGAAGCTGCCAGCGTCTGGGGAAGAAGTAGCAAAGCCTTTGAAGAAGTCTGCCTCTCGCTCATCGACAACGGACAAGAAGATGCTTTAAGGAAATATCTCATGGCCAAGCTTGGGACGTACAAGAAATCCTCCATCATGCAGCGAGTCATGATTGCGACATGGCTAATCCAGATATTCATGGCCAAGCTGAACTCTCTCGACGATATGGTGGCTACCAAAGCAGAGCTGCTCGAGAATACTGACGCAGGCGGTGCGAAGCGGGACTTGGAGCAGACACGAAGCGAGTACCAAGATTTTGTGACCAAATATAAATCGGATCTGGACGCCAAAACAGTATACGAGGTGATAGCGAGTCACGACAGAGAAGAGGAATTTCTCTTTTTCGCGAACACGATCACAGACTATGATTATGTTTTGTCATACTGGGTACAACGAGAAAAATGGAATGAAGCGCTCTCGGTGCTCAACAAGCAGAGCAACCCAGAGACATTCTACCGGTACAGCAATGTGCTCATGACTCATGTGCCCACTGGGCTGGTTGAGATTCTTATGCGACGAAGCAACATCGATGCACAAAAGATGATTCCGGCGCTTCTCGCATATAACGAAACAGCCAATGTGCCGCTGGCCCAGAACCAAGCGGTTCGATATCTGAATTTTGTTGTGACAAACAACTTCGAGCTACCGGCATCTGTACACAATGCGCTCATTTCGATCATGGCCTCACATTCTTCGTCTTCGGAAAGTGCGCTGCTGAGTTACCTGGAGAGCCAGCCGTCTCCTCCTCTGTATGACGCGGATTTCGCACTGAGGCTTTGCATCCAGCATGGTCGGGTACAGTCCTGTGTGCATATCTACAGCGCGATGGGACAATATCAGCAAGCTGTCGAACTCGCTCTAGAACATGATGATATTGACCTGGCTGCTATCGTAGCAGATCGACTGGAGGGAAATGACAAGCTGAGGAAGAAGTTGTGGTTGTTGATCGCGGAAAAGAAAATCAAAGAGGCTGAATCCATCAAAGAAGCCATCAATTTTCTGAAACGGTGCGAACTGCTCAAGATTGAAGACCTGATCCCGCTATTCCCTGATTTCGTGGTCATCGACGATTTCAAGGAAGAAATCTGCGAAGCTTTGGAGGAATACTCGCGGCACATTGATAGCCTGAAGCAGGAAATGGACCTCTCCCAACACACGGCCGAACAGATCAAGGCCGAGATTGCCGCATTGGACCATCGCTACGCCATTGTCGAATCAGGTGAGCGATGTTGGATCTGCACCCTCCCGGTGCTGAGCCGTCAATTCTTTGTGTTCCCATGTCAGCACGCCTTTCACAGCGACTGTCTTGGGAAGCGAGTATTGGAAAGCTCGGGAACCAGCAAACGCAAGCGCATCAAGGATCTTCAAACCGAAGTCAACCAGGGGTTGAGCGTCGGGGTACAACGGCAGAAGCTAGTGCAAGAACTGGATGGGCTAGTCGCCGAGCAATGTGTGCTTTGTGGGGATCTTGGTATCAAGCAGATTGATGAGCCATTCATCCATCCGGGCGATGATGTGGAGGCATGGGCTATCTGAAATGGCTGCATTGGCGCACTTTACATAATGGCTTACATATGTCGGAGGGAGAGGTACTACTACGTAGTACGCTCCAGTGCAGCGATACCTGTTTCAAGACAGTCAAAGAGTCCCGAACACGTAGTCGAGGCCCGCCAGGCGTCCAGAGTCCAGACTCTATGCCGGGCTCGACGTGATGACTAATGTTCTATATCATCCTGATCTGGCAAGTATTTCTTCTTGGCGGACAAGATACGGCCATTGACCAATCATCGCATGCTGACAAAGAGTGGCTGCTCTTGGCGTTCGTCATCGGTCAAACCCTAATTTCGGCCTTGTGATTGGTCATTTTTCGCGCGGTCGAACCTGTTCTTGAGTCAAACCCTTTCGTCCTCCAGTCATCATTTCTCTCTTCCTCGTCTTCCTCCTTCGTCTTCGGCCGGATGTATAAGCTAAACGCCTACTTCCATGTGCTGTAGTGCATTGTTCGACCGACTGGCCATTCCCATATCGGCATCGAGCTGCATTAGCGAAGCCTACGGCGCGTTTTGATGCTCCGGCTGGCTTACCCTCAACCCGCCAACTGGGTCTTGCACCTTCCCGCTGCTCAATGCCCTGGATTTGATTATTCAGAACACAGCAATGACTGTCAATGTCTGCGAGATCCGACAGTGATCATACGGCACCAATGACACGGTCGAGCTTCTCAGGGTTGCTTACCAGGTTCTAGTAGGTATGGATTGAAAGGTATATAGTATCGTTCCCTTTGCACCTTTGCATCCGGCTCCCATCTTCATTCTCGTATCACTCGTCGTCTGCCTGAGAAAGGTCGTACAGAGCCTTACCACCTCTCCTGTGCTGAAGTGTCGGCTTCTCTTTGCAACCCACCCCAGACTTCATCATCATGTCCGCCCTTTTACGCGATGCCCCTGTGGGCCAAGTAATCCGTTGGGCGACTGGCAACAAGTATTTTCGATATGCGGAAGAAGAACCGAACTTCCAATGTCCGCAATCCTACCAAAGAGAGTCCAAAAGTATCACGTCCGGCTCTACAACACCCGCTGTTACATCACCAGCCGCCGAAAAGGAGCTTGAAATTCCACCCCAGGGTCAGGATGCCCTCACCAAAGCAGAAACAGCTGCAGACCGCGAGTCACTAGCATCCTTGTCGGACCGGACGATTTCCAAAATCATGACAAGACCTGAACTCAGTCAAGTCAACACGCGCGCAGACCTCGAAGCAGCTTACACCAATGCGACACGACAAGAAACCCTGAAAAACCAGCCCAGTCGACCTATTCAGCCTGCCGTGACTTCCGACGGCACAATCCTGGTCGACTGGTATACCACTGATGACCCCGAGAACCCTCAAAATTGGTCGCGCGGCAAGAAAGGTGTCGTCGTGCTACAAATCTACCTCTACACTCTGGCTGTCTACATGGGTTCTGCAATCTTCACACCCTCAGAGCCATACATCGTCGAGAAGCTAGGCGTATCGCCTAATGTCGCCGCACTAGGTCTGTCAATGTATGTGCTGGGCTACGGCATCGGACCGCTCATTTTCAGTCCACTCTCCGAAATCCCCTTGATTGGCCGTAACCCACCATACATGATCACACTGGGTATCTTTGTCATTCTCTCCATACCCACCGCCGTGGTGAACAGTTTCCCCGCCCTCGTCGTTCTGCGGTTTCTGCAAGGCTTCTTCGGCAGCCCTTGTCTGGCGACCGGCGGTGCGTCGATCGGGGATATCTACTCCTTGCTCAAGCTGCCTTACTTTCTCACCGGCTGGGCCGCTTTTGCCACTGCAGGACCTGCCCTTGGGCCTCTCATATCCGGCTTCTCCGTCCCCGCCACAAACTGGCACTGGTCGCTCTGGGAAATCGTCTGGCTCGCCGCCCCGGTGTACATTTCGCTTCTTTTCTTCCTCCCCGAAACCTCCGCGAGCAACATCCTCCTCCGTCGCGCGCAACGCCTGCGCAAGATCACAGGTAACCCGAACCTCAAGTCGCAGTCCGAAATCGACCAGGAGAAAATGTCCGTCAACGAAGTCGTCGTAGGCAATCTCTGGCGGCCGGTGCAAATCAACGCGCTCGACCCCGCCGTGTTATTCACGAGCTTGTATACCGCATTGATGTACAGCATCTTCTACTCGTTCTTCGAAGTCTTCCCGCTCGTGTATGCGACGGGCAACCCTGACAGCCCGACACACGGGTACGGCATGAACGCCGGGCAGATCGGGTTGATCTTTTTGAGTATCTCGGTGGGCGTGAGTATCGCCATCGTGCTGTACGTTTGGTACCTGCGCTATGTGTTTGAGCCGGAGATCCTGACGAAGGGTCTGGGTGAGCCCGAGAGACGCTTGATCCCTGCGTTGCCGGCCAGTTTGCTGTTACCAGTTGGTCTTTTCATCTTTGCTTGGACGGGCAACTCGTCGCCCAAGATCCACTGGATCGTGCCAACTATCGGTGTCGTCATATTCACAATCGGTATGTTTGTTCCCGTCCCCCTCTTTTTTTCAACAACTCGGTTGGTAGAACGAATTTGGGGCTAACAAAGGATCGATACAGGAATATTCATACTGTTTCAGTGTATATTCATCTACATCCCGCTCACGTACCCGCAGTTCGCGGCGAGTCTGTTCGCGGGCAACGATTTCGCGCGGTCATCCATCGCCGCGGGCGCGATCCACTTCTCACGTCCGTTGTTCCACAATCTCGGCGTCGGACGCGGTGTGAGTCTGCTCGCGGGTTTGACGGTCGGTGGCATCATTGGCATTTTCGTCCTGTGGAAATTCGGCGCTGCGTTGAGGGCCCGGTCAAGGTTCGCTGCCAAGTAGACACTGACTGTCCTCCATTTTGTCTCTCGGCTCTCGCCCTGTATCTCTGAGGGCAGGGAGTGGACCGGAAATGGACGAGATTGAATTGAGGGAGCCTAGAGTTGATACGATGAACCGTTGGTTGGCGTCCAGGAGAAAGAAGCGAGAGATGGCTCGTTGCTAATGAGCGCAGCTCAACTAAGCCTTATCGTGCTATATGTTATGGAGGTACTCCGTACTGTGTTTTGTGTTTTGGGCAAAGCAAGCGATGGCGTTGGAGAGAACCCGTCTCATCTCATCTCATCTGATATATGTTGTGGTTGCGAGTTGAGACTTTTCAAATACAATAATCGATATGGAGAACGCGTTCAAGTTGACACCGATACTCGCCCTGCGTGATGCTCGATATTGTGCTCACTTTGGCGTCTGCCCAGAAAGAGAAAGCTATACGAGTAGCATTCCTGGACCAAGTAGGCCATGGCCACCAGGCCCGCCCGTAAGCGTCTCCCTTGCGAGCATGTCATGTCCAAACGACATCGACCGGCTCCTTTCCGGTTCCAGTGATCAAATGTGGGATAACGCATAGCTGGCTTTCATAGAACAAGATGACACACGCAGGTGGCTGGCAGGCAAAAGAAAAGGGCACGACCGTTTACTCTTGAACACGATTTGAGGTGCCTTTTGCCCTCTAGGCACAAAGCAGTTTACCAGTTGGTTTCGGTATTCCTGCCCTTACAGAGTCTCAGGCGGACCATACGCCCCGTACCAACACCCTCTCTATTCTTGATATTGACAATGTTCCTTTTCCTTTCACTCACTGTCTTGCAAAAACCGAAGCTTCAGCCTCTTGTCCAAACCCCTTTAACAGGTTCAAGAACAACTAGACCCTTCGACAGGGGGACAATGTGCCATGGCCGCGACGAGCAAGCCCGAAGTCGAGCATCCAACTACAAGGACCATCTCAAAGGGAATGTGAAGGCCATATCCCCACGCGGAAGCAAGAAAACGACTGCTTCAGAACCCAAACCCCAACCAAAAAGCAGAGAAGGAAAACGACCAAGACTCCCAGATGCCATGTAAGCCTTTTGACCCAAGTCTGCAGTGCAGCAAGACAGTGATGATTTCCTTCCGGCCATGGCCAGGAAACAACTTCGGCACATGCAGTAGTAATACTATTCACATGACACTTCTTTTCCCTCAATTTTGGGCGCCGTCATGCTTGGATTGCCGCATCTTAAGAGACTGATTGGCCAGGGTCTTTGCGAAGAGCGTTTGTGGTTTTGCGTTCCTATGGTTGTAGAAATTAGCCACTGACAGGCCTGTTGCTGCTTGGTAATGCACATCTCAAGTCACAACTGACCCAACATATGCGTGTCCAAATCGAGGGGCCTTATAGCAAAAAGAAGGGGGTTTTATAAAACGAACAGCAAAACGTACATAAATCTCTTCCCCTTGATCTGACTCAACTTCTTCGTCGTCGGGCTGGCGATCGCATCCGACGGTGAAATGTACGTCTGGTTCTGCCCGTGTCCGACCGAGTACTCCTGCGCGGCGCAGTCGAATTGAGGCATAGCTTTCTCATCCATGACGGTCTTGTTTGCAGAAGATTTCTCGAGGAGTTGGGACTGTGATTTCGTGGGGGAACAAGTGTTTGGAGACCGCTCAGTGAGCGCCGAGGCGGTCGAAGTCGAGGGCGCAGATTTTGTGGGAGACATGGTAATCCGGGTGGAAGGTTTTGTTGGTACAGTGAGGGAGGTTTTCGTGCTTTTGGCGAGGCTTGTTTGTCTGTTCGCTGTCGAGGGTAGGTGTGAATTCTGTACGTCGTCCGGTGCAGAAAGAAAGTGGTGAGAACAATGTTGGCCGTCGATAATCGAGGACTTGAGACCCTATGTTTTTCCTTTTTTGCACGGTTGCCCAGGAGCCGCGGGGTCTAGAAGCGATAGTCGAGATCAGTGCGCTGGGCAAAGACTGCGAAAGTCATCAAACCGAAGCAATGGTTTGTTTACTTTTCGACGTCAGCCAAGACATCCAGCCGTTGCTAGGCAAGTTTGCCGAACACTCAGCCTCGTGCTTCGTTCTACCATTACGGCCCCACCCACAGTCCAGGGGCTGGTACGAAGCTTGGACACAAAGGTAAGGAGTTTGACTAGATGCGTTCCCCGATATATTGTCGCCAGCGTCTTGGGACGGCTGAAACTCTATATCTACGACACACCGCATTAGAACCCGTCTTCACCCCGGAAACGTCCTGCCCTGTCACGCGAAAAGAACATGATAGCAGATGATAGCAGCTCGGAAGAGGTACCATCCCCATTGCTCATTGCTCTGGCGGCGTCACCCTACCGGGATGTCTCAGCCATTCTTCTTTGGCAAAGTTATCAAGCCAAACCCCTCAACTTCCACACTGCTCGCAGGGTCCGAATCCATCATCCATTCTTTCTCTGCCTGAATCCGACCATAGCCTTGTCAGCAAGGTGGCTGCTGAAAGAGACCGTCACGCAGAGGGCCCGAGAATTCATGCTTACCGGTGTGGGCTGTCTGGGTGACTTGACGTATAGCCGCTGATTGAATAGCTGTGCCCGGTCAGCTCAATCTCAGGCTTCTCAAAAGAAAAACGACCTCCACGTACCATGTATTTAGCCCTCTGTGGTCCAAACAATGTTGTTAACCAGTATTCCAACTTCTCAGGTCGGATGTATCCTCTGTGCTCAAATGTGTACGTGACGCCGTCCTTAGGCCACGATACCTTTTGCACCACGCTAGGCCAGGCGTGGACGTCCATTGACCTTTTCTGCGAGGGGGAGGAACTTGGCTGTCTCTGGGGGTTTCCAAAAGCCAGGTATGGATGTGGGGTTCAACACGGTTTGACGGCTATGATAGCCTTTATATCTTTGCGTTGGGAAGCTGAACCTGAACCGCGTTCCCTGGGAACGACACGATGACCGCTACGGCCTGCCAAGGTCATGCAAGTGCTGCCTGCAAAGTGCCTAATTGGACGAGGCTAGACAAGGGAATGATTTGGCGGATCGAATTCCGGTTCTTCTCGATTCGCCTCAGACTTGCCACGAGTCTGCCTTGCGACGAAAATTCCCAGGACTCAGACATTACACCTGGTGAGCTGAGCAGCATGTAGACGCCAGTCGGTCGATGCCCGGGGGTCTAGGGGTTGGAATAAAACGGTTTACGTTGCACAATGACATCCATAGTACTACGTTCTCCTGGGTGTATCGTGTGATTTGCGCTACGGTGCCATTCGAGGATGAACAGCAGCCAGAGGCGTATGCTAGAGTGCCCACGGTGGCTACAGTATTTGGACCTCGGATTAACAGGAGACCCTCCTCCCGCACAAACTGTCCTCTCTGCTGTTTATCGCGCATTGACATCCTAGCGCCAAATTACACGATTTACCCATGAGACCGTTGGGTGACCGTAGTACCCCGTACCTTATGAATATCGGGTTCTCTTATCGTCAATTCCATTACATATCGCGAATAAGCATTGCATATACCTCTTTCCTGTCATGACAAGGGCCCTTTTCAAAATAAAAAGGCCTTCAACCACTATCACCAATACCAGTGTGTCCACTAGACTCTAGAAACCAAGTTCATAACCTTGCAGAGAGCTGGGAGCCGCGAACGGGCAAAATCTCTGGAGCCAACTTTGGGTATGACCAGCCAGCTCTTCAGGCTTGAACCAGGGGTCTCGTTATTTCCACGGCGTTTTAACTGAGGAACCGCGAGCCGGTCAAGTCCCACCTACTCGTGGGTCCGGGGGATGTTCTCTCTGTTATCTTACTCCTCTTTCTCCCTGCCTTCTCTTCATCATGAATTGTGATCTCTGTCATCAACTGTGACCTCGATGCGTGGCACCATTGCAGATTCTGCGATTGCGCTTCCTGAGTGGGCCAGATGGCCTGGATCTTCACCTTCGAGATCGGGTCGAAGCTGCCGACTGCTTGCAGACGAAGACCTGCGGTGCCTAACAGGGCTCGTTGGAGTTGATAGGTGTCGCTCCGGTGTCTGAGGCCGCTCGCTGCGACTGTTGTCGGATGGGTTGGACGCAAAGGGAGCACCAACTTGGCCTGGTCGCTTGTAGAAGTCTTCTTGGCCCTCCCTCAAATTGGAAGTGACCTGCAGTTCGATGGTTTTCAAATGACTGTAAACATCTCTCGCGCTCGGCCTCTTACTAGCATGGATACTGAGCATACTCCTGACGAGTTTCGTCAGAGCGCCGAATTGATCATAATCCTCCGTCTTCCGCTCGAGCATGGCGAGCCGTCGCTCGACTGGCTCACGAAGACGACAATTTCCGCTGGTTCTGTCTTCGTACCAATAAGAGGCAACTCCACCAACACTATCCTGGACGGAGTCGTGTCTCTGTGCATAGAAAACGTCTAATCTGTGGTGTGCGCCACTGCTGACGACGTCGAGCTGGTCGGCGGTTCCCTCCTCGAAGAGCGTCAGGAGTATCTCCAGTATTACGCAGCCAAAAGACCACACGTCATATTTGGTTGCGCTTGGTCTGTTGAGAAAGCGGTCTGGTGGTCCATATACCGGATCTCCCGACTCCTGATCAGGTACGCCAGAATGACTCTGGCCTGAGATGACTTCAACGATACGCGCAGTGCCAAAGTCTGAGATCTTCCACGACCCGTCATCAAAGACCAGGATGTTATCAGGCTTGAGATCATGATGATAGCCCTTGATATGGTCCCTTGCTCTTTGTACACGGAGGGATGCGCCATCCCCCAAGAGGCCCGATGGCGTGAGTCGGTGAATGTGGTCTAGCCCGCGAGCCAGACTGCAAAGCTGCTGCATTAAATTGAGGACAAAGTCTCTTTCCAGGACTGGTCGCTTCCGAAATTGTCTCAGGTAGTCGTTGAGATTTCTCCGTGCTCTGGGATACAGCATGTAGAACTGGTCGTGTTCCGGGGCCGGATTGCTCCTGTTCTTTTGTCGCCACATCGCCAATGGTAGCAAGATGGCCGGATCGCGGACCTCCATCAAGTTGGAGAAGACATGGCTCTCGTTCTTGAACTCCTTAGAAACAAGCGGTTGGCCTGTACGTAGCTCCTTGAGCGCAAAGACATCCTGTACATATATCAACGGCCGTTGCGAAATCATAAAGGGCATTCCATCTTACCTCATCGAAGTTATGGTGGTCAGGGTGAATTCGGACTTCTTTGACAACGCCAAAACTACCTTGTCCTATGACAAGATCCCCAGTTATCGGAACCACTTTCCCGTCTGGAATCGTCTCGTACCCGCCGGCGTGCATTTTTCGCTTCAGTGCCGTTTGGTCAAAATCGTAGATGGTAAAGCGTTCCTGCTCTTTTCGGAAATGGTGAAAGTTATCCTCATTACAGCTCTCTGGACAGGTATGGAGGGGTAGGTTCACGTCCCGTAGCTTGGATACGCAAACAAGGCTGTGCAGGCACGAAAGTGGTATCCTTGCATTTATGCAAATTGCCAGTAGGCGTGTAGCGAAGTTGGACACATCTCTCGCAAATTCCCTCCTGTCTGGGCATGTGTCACTACCACCAAACAAGTTAGAGAGGCTGGTGTCCATTTTGATCAGCTCGCGGATGATCTCGTCCGTGAAGATGGCATCAAGTTCCGTCTTTGGCAGGAATTCTTCAAACCGCCAATTCTTTTCAGATTTGGTTCGAACTACCCCGTTTATCTCTGTCGCAAGGTTTGTGCCGTCTTGAGTATTGATTGTGACCACGCGGAATTCCCAAGCGATCCGTAGCAGCAATTTTGCAAATGGATTCGCCGCGGCATGGTGTCCGATGAGCAGGGGAATGCGCTCCGCCCAATGCTGGTCATGCCTCACTATCACTCGGCCTAGTGGAGTCTCACTCCCGTCTTCCGCCATTTTCAGAAGCTGTGTTGTGGTGGAAGCCCGATACACCTTTTGCCTATAGACTTGTTGTTCTGCTGGCTGTGTAACTTGATGTAGTTCGTAAGCGAGAGTCCGAGCCGTGTTCTTGACCCGAGTGTACTGGCTCTTTTCCAGCCAGGGAATTGTCAAGGTCTCCTCTAAACGCTTGTCAAAATCATCACCAAAGTATACGATGACATGACAATCGATGTTTGCAGCCACTGATAATGGTATCGCTTTGGTCTCGCCGACTCCAGCTCTGATTTCGTCCTCAACCACGTCGTCGGCTGTCTCAGACCACATCCGACGCAGCAATGAGGGTGCCGGTGCCACGCCAGATTTTTGCTCAAGAGACCGTCGCCGGAACGGCCACTTTCTTTTGCTTCTGACGCATCTGGTCACTTTTGCCAGGATACTATTACGATCCATGTGAAAAGACCGTCCGTAGACAGAGTGGGCGCGGAGAGTAGAGCGAAATCTTCCGCCCTGACGCTGGGGCTATCATGGTTCTTCATATCGCCGGGTTGGGTGCAGACAGAGCCTCTGTGACGAGAAGGCTCTGTGCATATTGGCACACCCTCCTCTGGAAGAACTTCCAGGTTCAGCTCGGTCATGACCATGGTCGGAGGCGCTGGACTAGCCAAAAACCTCAAGCCACACTTGGGAGGATTTTCAGAGAAGATCCTGGTCGGCTCGTGTCTGTCAGCTGTTTCTGGTAAATGCTCTCTTCGGTACGCCTCGGGCGTCAACGGACGCACTGCCTGTTCCAACGGCGTGAAATAGCCTGATGGGCTGTGACGGTCAACTGGAAGGGCGGGTATTCGCTGGCCCCTGCTTGCCTGTCGGCATAACCATTCCCAGAGCCTGTTCGATCATCGAGGCTAACGAAGTGACATGAGTTGCTGTGCACTTTCTACAGTACCCAAGCAGAGCAAAGCAAAGTTCGCAGCACGTTAGCTCGCTTGAAGGGACTTTTCGAGGTTTGGTCATGGATCACCTAGCAACCAATTTTCATCCATCTGCAGCAGGGGCGGCAGTGCATTTTGCCACCCTCTTCAGGGCAGATTCTGGCCGACATTCCTGAGGCTGAGACCTGCATGCGTCCATCCACGCTAGCACTGCCTATCTGTACTGCTACGCCTGAGAAGTGTTGCTGGAATTTCGGGCTCCACTCGTGGTTCCCGCCTCAGAACCCGCATACTTCCCGGACCGGAGACCAGGTACTTCCACCAAGGAGGATACGTCGAGTATACCTTTATCCTTGTCCAAATCCACCAGGCGTAGAATGTGAGGCCCGTCAGTGGCATCGCAACGGCTACAAGAATCCACCAATCGCTGGTAACGTAGATACTATTCGAAGATTCAGAAACACCTATGAATGACGTCGAGAAGATATTCGTAACGACGGTGAGGGGCAAGTATCTGCATATCGCAGTCAGTATAGTCAGGCGCGGAATTCTGGGAAGGAGGGACTGGTACATCAATCCCACAATAGTAAGGACTTTCATGGCAGCCGCATCCTGGGTAGATTTTTCCGCCAGTATATGCATCCGCTGGTTGAGGGCACGCATATTTTCATTCTCTCGTCGGGACTCTTGGCCCAGTTCCTGCAGGGCGAGGCCGTTGCTCAAGTCTAGGAAGCTTGTCACTAGATTTGCAACTCCTGCTAGTCTCGTTCGAAGTGCTTCAAGTTTGAGAGACAAGCTCTCCAGCTCTCTGAGCTTTTCAGTGATAGCGAGTATTGCCAGATCGTCGTGGGTTTGAGCAAGTCTACCTTGCAAGCTTTGCTCCAGCAGGGATCGCAGATCATGTTCAGTCGCTTTAATTGCCACTGACGAATTGCCCATTCTGTCGTCGAGTAGCATCATCTGTTGTCTCTGCGAAGTGTCTGCGAGGCCAGTTGGGCCTTGGTTATCTGGAGATGCACCCAGGAATTGTGTGGCATGGGTTTCGGTTTCAGTGTAAAGGGCCACCAAGTATGGCCTCCAGTTCCCGATAACAGTATCCAGAATGAGCACCATGACCTCTAGTAAATTCCGGTCCAGCCCGAGAGCACAGTTGGCAAAGTAAGCATCGATGCGTCTCTTAGCAGCCTCGGGAATCGTCACAAAAATCCAGCTTTGCCCTCCATAGAATGGCGAGCGGCCATAGTAAATGGCGCTTTGCCTCAAGGACCATTTTGAGCTGACAGGAACGTCCGTGAGGGCATTGTGTTCGACAAACCGAATGCCATACATACACTCACAGGAAGGGCCCGTGGTGTCACTGTAGACGCGAAGCCGCATCGCCGGTGGCGTAATTTCGACCTCATTGTCCCTTGCTCCGCTGTAAAGGATATAATCATTGAATTGAGGGGAGATTCCTCGCCGACGGCAGAGTGCAGTGTAGAGCTCATGACTGATTTGCAGCAGCGAAAACGAATTTCTCTGGGAAATGAAAAAGGCCTGCAGGTCTGTCTCATCCGACATGTAATGTTCAAGGGCTTCGACGTCGAATATCAGCTGAGTGGCAAGTAGTCGATGGCGATGGCGATCAAGCGACACCTCGTACCCTGCTTTTGACAAGCCACCAGATCCATCCCGATGATGCTGCTGTGACCTGTATTCGGCGATACAGTTGCGAGTATACACCTCCAACTTCCCTCTTGTACTGGCTGCAAATAGTCCAGTGGTATCAAGAACCGTTTCGAAGGCTTCAGCTAGTCCAGGCGTCTGCTCTCGGAATAATGCATTTGCGAAGGTTGGGTCCACCATGATCAGCCTGATCGTTGAAGAGAGAGAAAGGGGTCAGAAGAAGAAAAACGACGGCTACTCGTGCATAATCTTAGCGCTGTCTCGATCCTCCTCTAAGCGAGGGCTGCCTTAGCTCCTGTACGTTGGCACTGTTATTATCCAGAGCAAAAGGCGAAAGGCAGGGGGATGATTTTTACGAGCAAAAGTAGCCTGAGTTGTGCCAAAGTTCCCACCAAAGTTCCAGGGTGGCACCTTGCATGGCTCAGGTAGGCAGTGAATGTGGTCAGAACAGGGGCAGGCATCATTGGGCGGGCGTGAACAGGGGCGAATGGTGACCATGACCTGCATACAGACCTTGCCTCTACTAAAAATGGCCTGAGTCAGCCTGACTGACAACAATCGTATCTGGCTCCCGTCCGAGTCAGTAGAGTATAAAAAGGTGATGTGATTCCTTCTATGAAATGGGAATGGCCATGCAACCATCTTCCACACTCACGCCAGATCGTGCGATTCACCAGTTTTCGCTGAGTATTTTCTTTACCAGCCATGACAGAAGATACCGTCCGTTCCTCGGAAGAAAGGTCGAGACCCTCCTCACCACAACATATTCCGGATCTCTTTGTCAACGAGCGCAAGCTGCAGGCCAGGCTGAGGAGTATTTACAATAACCAACCAGTACAATGCTATTGGCGCTTAGGACAGTGGCATATAATTGACCCTCCTTGGCATCTTGCAAAGGTCAGTCCCCTTTCAAGTATCACCGCAGAAGAATCTGCTCGATCTGACACGGCACGTAGGATGACCTAGATAGCCTGAAGTTATGAGACATTATCAGGCTCATACGTTTCGACCACTTACACCAGGACCGTATCAGTTAGCTTGGGCTGATTTATTCCCGTCGCGCCGAAAACGGATTTGACGCCAGTAACGCACAATATTGGGACACAGGACGTCTAGCTTTGATATTCGACAAGGACGGAACTACATGAGACGTTTGCACGGCCAGTCTCGAGATGAATGATGAATTGTTACTGTAATTTGAAGATACATTTTCACTTTCAGCAACGTTCAAAGGTGGAAATCCCAGTGAATCTGCCCAATACCCCATCTGTAGCAAGCCAAACACGCGACATCATGGTCCTCAGTCAACATGGACCAATGCTCAAGGGACCCTCAGCTCACCCCCGATCTCATCAACGTGTACGCCAGTCGTATAATCCGAGCTTTTGATCCAATCTTCCTCATCCTGCGAAGATGGTCAGCGACCCCGAAACTCCACCTGAATGTCGGCCTTTGTGCAAGTGGAACATACCGTATTCCACTGGCGAGGCGCCGTTATCTCGAAGATGGAGTTTTGTTTCTGTGCACCATAAGCTGTCTGCTCAGAGGGTTTGAGTGCGTGGAAACCCACACGGTATTTTGTCGTTCCTGCTGGAAAACAGGCAAGCCAGGCCTTGAGCTTGGTTTCCTTAGGATAGCGTCCCTTGCTGGTGAACGTCACCATGATGTGCAGCGTAGATTGGGCGATTTCAAAACAATTCCCAAGACAATGAGCCTGCCGAACCACTTGCGAGGTAGCGTGGGAAACTGGAAACCCAAATGACTATATGCACAAGTGACATCGTTCGACTGAGTGATTTGGACGACAATTGGGCTCCTATCTGTCAGATAATGGCCAGTCGATGTTGCTGGTCGCAGGAGCAGTGATTTGGCAGACCCAGGGCAAGAAAGTGCAGCGCAGCGAAGCGTTTGGCTTGCCAGCATGCGGCGAAAAAGGCAACCATCTGACCTTGGTCTCAGCCCTGTCAATACATTGGTTCATCCCTGGTGACCATCTTCTAATCCGGTCTACTGGAGTCAGCCTATTCGTGATTAGATCAATATCACAGTGATGGTGGCTTGGAGTCAGCCTACTTGGGCCAGCCTCGACCGGTGAGTCTGTTACACAAGTCAGAGCATGAAGGATTCTTTGGGCGCAGGGTTGAAAAGCCTCCTAGCGAAGATTCTAGGCCATTGGCCATTGCACTTGGTTGTTTGCGCCCTTTCATGTCGAAGCCTCAAAGCCTCGAACCCTGAAGAGCCACTGCACGGGCACACTGCCTCTAGACTGATGCTACAGATTCAGCATGGGCTGTCGGCGTTTCCTCTGGGCATCAGATTGGCGCAAAATGCTCGCAGCTTCCCAGATCGCAGCTTCGTCCAGAGCCACCAGCAGCCCACCGTCGCCACTGTTAGCGGCAATGATATGGCGAGCATGATGGGCCAGTCATGGTCTACGACTGTAACAACATCGCCGTTTTGCGACGTGGTCTTACTGATAAACTCCGTTGAGTAGAAGTTCTGGCGGCAAGTCAGTCTTCGCTGGTCCGGTTGGGAGGTTATGCTCACGAGGACTATAGTAGCCGGCAGGTATAAAAGCATAATGATGGTTAGAAGTTTGACAGCAGCCGCATCTTCCATGCTCCTTCTCGCTATGCCCTCCATCTTGATGTTTTCCTCTTGAGCTTGAAGCGATAGCTTTTGAAGAATGTAGCCACTTTCAAGATCAAGAAAGCTTGAAAGCTAGTCGCCGAATTACTTTACATGTCTGAAATGGACGATGCTATACTGGACTTACCAGTTGAATGGAGCTTTTCAATTTTGCATGCAGATTATCAGCACGTTCGAGGAGCAGTGAAAGCTCTTTCAGAGTATCAGTGCGCCAGACGTCCTTGCGACCCTGGGCGACCTTAGCTGAAATATCGTCTCCTTGCATGCGAGAAAGGACGGTGTCAACCGCACTGCTGGTATCCTCTACCGTTGAGCGCATCGATTTCAAGCACAGTAATGTGTCAAGGATGTCGTCTTGTAGCATTTTCAATCGCTGGCGAAGGCCGAAGTCGGCCAGCTCAGCAGCTTCACCTTGGCCGTGAGAAACAAGTAGAAGTTTGGTCGTCTGATTTGCGTCAGCGTGGTCCTCCATCAGTTTTAGTCCCGATTACATGGTCACTCAAAATTTCTGAAAGGTAAACCAGGTATGGTCTCCACTGAGCCACAGCCCATTTCTGCACTGCTTGATGGAGTTCGAGTGCGCCTTTTACACCGACAGCATCTCCTTCTCCGGATAATTGGTAAGATAGCCGCTGTGCTGCCGCAGGTAGCGACACAAAGATCGATAACATGGAGCATGTCGCTGAATCAATTCTCTGGTAGACGACAAACTGACGAAGAGACCACGGACACGGTGCATCTTTCCTTCCGTTAGGTTGAATATACCTTATACAATATGCAAGTTCTGCAGAGGTGAGCTCGGTATGAAACGGTTTCACAAGCCTTACCAAAACCTGTGCTCGACCAGCGGCTCACAGATTGTGGCAGCATGTTCAGCTGTACTCTAGGAGGCGCAACCTCTATCTCGTCTTGCCGCCGTCCTTGGTATAGGAGAATGTCTTTAAATCTGTTGAAAATTCCAAAGCGCGTCCGTAATGCTTCATAGACCTCTTCGGTCAGCAGCAACGGGCCGTGTGAATAATCTTGTCGTATGTGACTAGTGCGGTCAGTTATGAAACAAAAGCCTTGCTAAAACTCACAAGACGACGGGACCTTGATGAGTCTGCGAAGCCAATTAGTCTTCAGACACCGAGGATCGGATAGTGGCTACCGTCAAGAAATCTTCAAGGTCTTGATGGTCTTTCAGAAGTCTCAGCTTGTTGCCGTCTTCATCTAAAAGCACATCAAAAGAGGCGTCATTCAAGTCGCTGGGAACCCCGTCGTGCGAAGCCTTTGAGGAGGGTTGAAAGATTTGCATAGCACTCTTTTCATCTTCCGGGTCGGCATCCGAATGCATATAGAGCGTTGCCTCTGAGCTGCATGCCTCTGTTGCGATGGCATAAAGCCTAGAGTCTCGGCCGTTGGGCAGGAAAATGTTTCGAATGTTGTCACGATACTGGTGATCGTAAAGTTGATCGGAGCAAATTAGAGACTCCATAATATCCTCATCAGCTACCCGATCATGGACGGTCGACATGTCTAAGATGTGCAAGATGCTGGAAGATGTTGTAGGAGTGACCATTGCTTCTTCTACACATGTTGTTCGCTGGGTGAATCGAACTGAAGAAGATCTTGATTGGTACAGGGTTAACCGGTGGGCTTTTCAGCTAGTCCTTGCTTGATTGTAAGCGTCATTGGCTCGCCTGCGTCTTCGGCCTTGCGCCCATCAACGCCCATCCACCCATGATGGCACCTTCGATTCCGCCTGGCGAGCCGTAAGGCGCTGGGCTCGTGACATCGAGCCATCCAGCCTCGCCAGCCATCCACTAGCGAGATCAGTAGGGTCAGATCCCGAGTTACGAGGTTGCCTGATTAAATGCGCCTACGCTGATTAGATCTCAGCCTGATGCTTCCAGCCGAAAAGTCATTGCCGCTTGTACACAATAGGCTTCAGAACAAGTTCGGGCCGTGCAACATTGCCATGGGGGCAAAGTGACCACCGACAGTCGGTCGATTTTTGATGTTGAAAAAGTGACCCGCCGCATTGCCCTCGACCCAGTAGCGGTCGCCGAACGGAACAGTATTCAGACCATTCGAGGCGTAAGCATGCAAGTCATTGATATATTGGCCTGCTACATCGTCATCGCTCGCGACAGCTGCCAGAAACATGTTCCAATCGGACTTGGTCCAGGCGACGCGACTGTCGAGCGGGACGCCCGCAGCGCCGACGCGAGCTTCACCACGCAGCCATGCTGTCTGCATCTCGTACGCTGCAGAGGGGAAAAGGTCGAAGCCGAACAGCTTGTCCGAGAACAAGTTGTAGCATCCGGACCAAGTGTCACTATCGTGGTATGACAGCACGAAGTGGCTCTTGTCGGCGTCGGTGCCCAGACCGGAGGCGTAAATCGCATCTGCTAGCGCGGTCCCGTTGGCCACGAAGAACGGGTCCGAGAACATTTTTCCGTACGCGACCATGCCGACGGCGGATTTGATGGCCAAGTTCGTCTGGTTCGCGGCCGGGCCAGCCTCGTCACTGGACGCGAGCTGGAACTCAGGATACCACCCGTACTTGGACAGATAGGTGGCGTAGCCTTTGAGGATGGCTTGGTACTGTCGGGCCCAGGTGGTATCACCGGTGGCTGCCTGGTAGGCGTAGACGAGTAAAAGAATGTTTCCGGATTCCTCCAGCGGCATCTGTTCCGCATCCCCTGTGTCGTGGCCATCTGCATTGGGATAGCTAGAGCCGATGTCATGGATAGCCCATTCGCGCGGCCACCTCCCAGCCTGGAGATATCGCAACACTGGTTCGAGCAGAAGCCTGATGATATCGGGATTTGTCACGTAGTAGATCGGGAATGTAGGGAAAATGATGTCAAGTGTGTTGACGTTTCCGTCGCTGGAGATTTCTTTGATAAAGGCCATCACGTCCGTAACGTTGTGGTCGCTTTCAGGAATCGTGAATTCCACAGCGGCAAACGATTGCCGGACGGAGAGGGCGACAATGTCTGCATAATGTTTTGAAATGTTCAATGCCTTGTCGGTGACGGCACAGTCGATATCGGCAGCTTCTGCGTAGGCATCACCGTAATCGTCCATAAAGTGGACCAGAGCAGACGCTACATCAGGATACGCCGCCCGATAATATCCTGTCCTGACCTGACCTAGGTAATTGATCGACTCAACCCTATGATGTCCAATCGCAAACGCGACGGACGTGAGTTCCTGGACTGCGCCTAGGTCGTGAGAAAAGCCTAGGACAGCGCCGTGATCCTTCCAGACGCTCTGGACCTGACTCAAGTTTCCATACTTGGCAAACCGATGACGCACCAGGGGAGCTTCTCCAACCTGCGAGGTGAGTATTGAGCCGCCAGATGGACGAGTTCCATAGATTGCTTGACCCCACAAGGCTCTGTCTCTCGATTCTTGGAGACGACTTGGCCAGACTGGAGAGATCTCATAGTATTCCGTTTTATTGGCCGAAGTGACGTGCGAATACTGCGCAGGATCTGGACCAGCCCAGGCTGCATCGATATCGCTGTATATCTGAACCTGCCCCAAGCTAGGGAGACTCACAGAGACTGTAAGATAGGAAAACGGCAAGGACTGCCGGAGAATGTTGTGGGGAGAGACGGGGGAGAAAAAGTCCAAAGTGACGATCGCGAGGTCGGCCGAGAAATTGAAGATTGAATGGGTGGCGCTATACTCGGCACTGTTGAGCACGGCTGGTGTGCCGATTCCGGGGTTTCCAAAGAGACTGTATGCAGTACCGTTAACGCGTACAACCACCGACCATCCTAAGGGAGATCCCTGCCAGAACTCCGCCTGTGCGGTGGGCAGTGATCTCACATGTGAGCTCGGGAGCCATGCTTGAAATTCGATGTCAGCGCATGTGGAGGAGCCATGATCTCAAATACTTACCGGACAGGTACGGCGATCGAACGGCAAGTGGATATGATGGAGGTAATATTGGCGTAAACCGCGGTTCTGGAGTAGACTGCAATAAAGACCGCCAGGATCGAAAGTTTGATGGCTGCAAGATAAAGCTATGCAACAGGAACAACGTTGCTAGAAGGAGACTTCCGAGTGCGAGCCGTTTGGAACGAGCATATATTTCCATCTTCTGGATGTCGTCGTGTCTCGCAGAACCCGAGAGAAAGGACGGAAACCCGCGACACGTCTTTGCGTCGTCGCATTTGATAGTTCCAGATGTCGGTTCCCGCGGAGCGCTCTCAAGATCGCCATGAGGTCCGCCATGATAAGGCATCGCCGGCGATTCCAATGGCATAATGACTGCTTTGTCCTTCATCACGATTCGTGGATGATGATGCTGGACCACTCAGCATTGCCACTGTTCGGAGTCCGATGTGCTGTATCCCAAAGTGACGTCGTGGTAAGTCTAGTGGTGTTTTGTCGCTCTGACGATGCCGAGCTCGACAAGTATTCGATAACGGCAGAACAACTGTCTGAAGGAGCACGAACAAAGTGCGAAGATCAACGTGATCAGAGGAGGCTCTGAGGTCGTCGGGCAGGAGACTGTTGGACGTGGGCAGGCTGACGCGTCACGCCATAGTCGGGTAAATTTGCATCAGACTGTGCGTCGCACAGTATGAAGTACTCCGTACTTGTCCATAGATACTGTAGTACCTCACTTGCCCCCTAATACGGTCCGACACCCTCACTCGGTTAGCTCTTGCTTCACAATTAGTACAGTACCTTATAATGAACTCCTTCACAAAGCTGTCAACCCGAAAGTACATAGTGAGGCGGAGCTCGTATGAAGTGGCGGCGCGGGGGAGACGCGATATCGACGTACCTCTGTGCCGACCCCATGAACCGTAGTAAGTGGTACTTGATGTAGGACAGGCACGGGGGACAACAGACTTCCGTAATGCTTATGATCCTTCTGATACGGAGTACAAACCTATCCTACAAAACAAAAGACATAATACTCCGGCATACAAGCCCAAATCATGACCGCCCTCCTCGACTGCCTCACCCACTCTGTGGTCAACCCACAAAAACACAAGACGTCGAATATCCAACTCAAGTCAAAGACAAAACAGCAAAAACTTTAGTCCATCCTACCAGGGTTTCGAACATTGGATTCAAAAGAGGTTCGCCTGGGTTACTGTTACCGGATGGGGTAAGCGAAACTCGGCAGCCTCTTTTTTGAGGCGCTTGGTTTTTTTTGATGGTTGGGATAGCAAACGTAAGTTTGTAACTGTTAGACTATCAAGGCTCACAATCATCATCGGGCAGCCGCAAATTTGCGGTGTCACTCCGATTGTTGAGGACAAATCCATGGGCCAGGTATATCAACCGACGAGAACGAAAAGCGGTCGACGATATTTCCTGCCGCCAAGCTTACACGACGCTGTTGTCGGCGATAGGACCTTGCCTAGGTATCTGCAGGTGGTGAACTGACACAAAAGTGGCTCTGACACACATGCCGAGTCGCAATGCCAAAGGCTTGATAACATCACAGGCCATACCCGGTCGTGGAGGCGTGCAGCGGCAACGGCAACGGCAACAGCAACAGCAACACAATCTGCTCTTCAGCTTCATTTCAGGCCTTTTCATGCATGGCTTGGCGTAAAGTAGAGGGGCCTTTCGTTGTCCGAGATCCAGTGAGATGCCGGGTCCCGCATTCTTCAATCGGCCCTGGAGCTCACGCGTGGTGAGCCTTTGTAGTCCTAGTACCTCTGGGCTTTGCGATTCTGCTCGCAACATGGTCATCACAGAGAATAGACGCCACAGGTAGTGTTTACCGAATCTGAAAGCCAGTGGAGCATTGTCATGGAAATATGCTAATGTGGCAATTGTTGGTCTAGGCAGACACCATCTCCCCATTATATTCTTTCGTCCTCAACAGCAACCTCGGAATACTCCCCCTCGTCCTTTTGGTACAGGAAAAATTGTACGAAGATGGCCAGATCCAACAGTAATGTCCCCAAGCTCCCAGCTATCCAACTGGCGTTCACCGCAATATATCGAAGATAGAGTGACTTGGCCTCTCCAGGTGCGCAATGACCGGGCTTGTGGCAGACTGGGGCATATGCAAAGATCGACATATCATAGGTCAGATTTCCGAGGCAAGCGAAAAGGAAGAAAAGCAGCGATACCCCTTCGGTGCTCTTGCGTTTGTAGTTGAGAAGGAGCTGGGGTACTCTGGACCCCAGATAGAGCACAGCGCAGAGATACCCAAAAACCTGACCCAGCACGTCGAACTCCAACGGCTCGGGGTCCTCGTCCTTGACATGGTGGTGGTGTGATCTCCGATTTCCTATCCACCAGCCCAGAACGCCAGCTGCGCAGACGAGGAGAACTGCAAAGGTGTTGAAAATGGCAGTCTGTACCAAAGTACTGGGTTTCAGGTTGCTTAAGGCCGGTGCATCACTGGGCTTGGGAGGGTCGATGAGAGGAACAACTGGCGACAAGTGTCTCCCATCGACGGATGAATGTCGATGTGCCAGAGGCCTCAAGGCGGGTTCGTCCTCGTCTCGTGACGGAGGTTGCGTTGCTGAGCCGCTGTGCAACAAGGGACGGGTTTCAGCGTCGCCATTCGGCTGTCGATGCTTGATCTCGTCACTCAAAGTGAAGCCACGGTAATAGAAGCATTGTCCAAGGAGCACAATGTCGGCCAGAGTGTAATAGACGGCCAGAATGATCATGGTTGGCAGGACGCCCTGGAGAATGGCACCTAGAATGTTGAAGACATCGCCGGCTAACCAGACCACGATGAAGACGATGGACAGGCCTTCAGCCGAACCTCGGCGAAAATTCTCAATGATTTGCGGGGAGAAGACGACCACCCAGCAGGCGATCGAGATGGAGCCACAGATGCCTGAGAGAGCTTCGATATCGAGCGAAGAGCCTTGTTGTGGAGGGAACATGATACAATATTGGTCTTGAAGTCGGTCCTCCTCTTTTCTTTGCCTTTGTGTCTGGTCTGGTTAGATACAACAACTTAAGGCCACAATTATAAAGAATGAAAGAATGTTCAGCCCTTGATTCGAAGAGATGAAGTTACTTCGTGCGAGTTGTGTCAGTGACTAATGGAAATATCGGAAGTGACGATGGGCGAAAAAGTCACCTCGACCACGTGACGCACAAAATATCTGGGGAAATCTGACTCCGTGCAAACTACTTCCGTACTACGGCAACTACCACACACACCTCACCGTACCTGCGCCATTAGCGTCATACATCATCTAGTGAAGACAAGAGTGAGATGGAAGTGCAAGAGAACATGATGCCAGCAGGGTACCTGGTATAATCGTCGTATCAGGAATTTGGAAGCCACTCAGAATTCATTGCTGACCCTTGCTCATCAACACCTTGCAGTCTTCCCAACCGTGCTTTTACTGACCGTGTCCAGACTATGTTCATGTGTCCAAATCCCCCAGATGTATGCCAATGCCCATCCAGCCGTTGCGTCAGAAATCCACTCCTTTACACATGACAGACATCATTACTTCCTCTTCCCACCACATCCAAACAATGCCAGAAAGCCCGACGCCCCTCCGCTATTGCTTGGGCCTGTCTGCGGCGTCTCCTTTTGCAGCATCTCCTCCTTCTCGCTAAAGTCAATACTGCTTAGATCATTCTTGTTCTCTTCCAACCACTGCAAATCCTGCCTTATCTCAATGCCCAAGCCAGCCTGAGCACTCGTGGCGGGCTTGTGTAGCCACTGCTTCAACTCCCTCGTCGTCGATTCACTGGCCCTGTTCGCTTGCATTTTGCTCCAAGTCGTAAAAAGATGATCTTTCCAAGGTTAGCAAATATTTTCCTTCTGTCATTTCCTACGTCCCAGTGAGATGACGTGCTTACCATACTCTGCAACCACTCTTCTCAATTCCCTCAACACTCTCATCTTCTGTGTCATCTTCTCGGCTGGATAACCATGACTTGTCGGGCTTTCCAACGTCGACAGCTCCTTCTCGAGCTGAGAGATCTCACTTTGCAAGCACAGCAAAAGTCGCACATGCACGTCATCGAATCGGCGGAAGACAAGGGTATTTTTCTCCGTCATGAACGATGCTATCTCCGAGTGCTCTGAAGGTCGCACGGTCGGCGTAGTGGGCAGAAAAGGTTCATTCGCCAATGCTGGCGTCGAGTTTTGCGAGGCATTGTTTTCCCGAGTTGGCGGCCGTCGAGCCTCGGGGGGTAACTGGGGGAGAGGCGTCGTGGGTGCTGGCGTCGGCATCTGAACATCGTAGATCGTAGACCTGACTGACGTAGCACGAGAGTCGGTGGACTTTCGTGGCTTGCGCACGGACGGTGGCTTGAATGGGATCTCTGCGTCGTCGGAGCTTGAGTTACGTGGTGACCGGAGCGAGATATTCGATGGGTGAGAATGCAATGCACGTTGGCGGCGCTCCGAAGCACTCGACTTAGCCGGCTGCAGTTTCGGCACACTGTCTGGTTGTGGTGGTGGAGGAGGTAGAGGAAGTTCGGTTGGAATGAGTTTTGGGGTCGAAAAAGGCTGGACTAGAGGTGTCGACGGTGCGGTAACAGGCACACTGGGATTTATCCGGGGTGACTCTTGTGGTGTTTGAGGCAAACTTGGTACGAATGACGGCCGTCCGATGGACGTGGCCATCGAAGCCACAGGTTTGCGGTTATATTTAGAGGTCGGTGGAAGCACTGCGGGTTTTCTGCTAGACGATATCGAGGGTGTTGTGCTCGTGATATCTTCATGCTGCTCTTGACGTAGGGACGGTCGCACCTCGCCTATACTTGCACTCCCCTCGGTGCTTGGTACGCTCACCACATCTCCTGTAGGGGTGTCTGTGCCCACCGAAATCTTCTCTTCTGTTGATCTTGATCCTAGCGAGGTCTTCCGCCGATGGTGTGCGCCTGCATCGCTCTGAGCTTGCTGTATATTGGGTAGTGGCTCGACATTATCGCTCGGGCTTTGCGACCGTGAGTCTGATGCCAGACTTTCAGGTGCTAAGGAACTCTTGGAGTAGTTGTGAGAGAGCGGCGGCCGAGGTCTCGGCGAGTTTGATTGCGATTGATTGGGAAACAAGGAGAATGAGCCGGGTGTGAGTGGCAAGGCTTCTTTCTCAGCTGAAGGAGAGGGTGGCTTGTATCGTGCGGAATCGAGTACGGGAATCCAGTTGGGATCATGAATGTCTGGGCCAGGCGCCGTATTCAGATAGGAGCGTCTGTCTGTAGGCAACTCGACGGGTGGTATAGTTACTGCCATGGCGGACACGCACGGGCAGGTGCGCAATTGATCACGAATGTCCTTTCAAATAAAGAGAGGATAATGTGGTATCTGGAGGGTCGCGTGCAAAAGCATCCGCGTTGATGGCGATACCTGCTTGCTCACCTTGTTTGGTTCACTTGACGAGGAGTCAAACGTGCTAGGCGAGAGAACTCGGAACAGGGACCTCCCATCCACCACCGTCAGCACCAAGGCCACGCAAATATGTTATGATACCATACCAGTTTGGTCATGGTTCGAGGTCAAGGAGCACATTTGGACCCCGGCCGACGGCTCAAGCGTGAAGCCATGGGGCGGGAACGCAGGTACCAGAGACGATCATCCTCGACCTAAACCCAGCTGGGATTCGAGACAGGAAGGATGGGCGAGATGAGGTATCGAAGCTCGGGACTCAAGACGGTCTAGGTTGGGGGTACTTTCTGCTGGTGTCGAGATTCGAGATTTTGTCAGGAGATGGGAAGCTGACCATACCAACCCTAATGCGGCCAACGCGCCATGGAAGGCCTGAAGGAATGAATATAAGCGATATTGCTTGCCAGATTGATCTCTGTGGCCTTTTGTGCGTCAGTGTCTGGAGGAGCGTGCGGTGGCAAAAGACACTCAACGACACTGAACAAAATCATTCAACTGTCAGATATGCGGATAGGTGTGTACCTAGGTAGATGAACAGCCTCGAGCGCGACAAAGTTGACAGTTCAAACTCATCTCTTGAAACACTCCACCATGAAAACAAATCAAGACATCATCATCAACCACTTTTCTTTCCGACCCCCGTGATGCCCCCAAGCGCCTCAATCTTGGCCTACTAGTGTGCCTGGTGAACCCTCTTCGTTTACCCTGGTCCCGCCCAATTATGACCTGACTAGGCTAATTGGGCTTGGGCTCACTAGGCTGGCCAGGCTAGAGTTAGGTCCTACACAGTAGTCAAGAACACAGCCAAAGCCCAGCATGATCTTGCAATCTCGGACCGTACAAGTAGCTCGAAGGATTAATGCATGCGCTGAATACGGAATACAAAGGTAATAATAATGATTCTAATGGACAGTCTTGAAAAAGCATCCGTACCTCTTCGCCTTTTCCAATGCAGGCTGGACGAACGAATGCTTAATCTGCCACAAGAAGATCAAATATCCCACAATCCGTCGATGTACTAGCCCGTGCATTTGCGCCTCAAAACCACGAAAGCGAGTCCAACCGTTCCTTCTCGAACAATAATATGTACCGAGCCATTTCTGTTTCTGCATCCTGATCCATCCGGCTTCAATCCAAAAAGGGTATCCACAGACGTCGTCATTTGTCGTCGTCAAACCATGTGCCGGTTGATAACAAGAGTCAACCACACCCCATGCCATTCCATCCATTTGCCTGGCAATATGTGCACAATACTTACCGCCAAACTCCGTACATTAACACAATTCGAGTCGTCCAAGCAGGTGGATGCCAACACCAACACAATTCTATAGAGACTTTCGAATCCAAAGCCAACCGCGCGCCGAAGCAGTATAACAGAAATTGGAAATATCGTGAAACGCAGCGGACACGCTAAAAGGTCCTTCTCGACTGACACCATGCAATCCCTCGCTTCCGGGAGCAACGAAGTCGGAATGGGGGATGCCCTTCTTTCAGCTTTCGTCTATTCGCCTTCTACTTGGTGAATCGCAGCTCTGTCAACTTCGCCGTTGGTGCTGGTGCCGGTGCTGGTACCTATCAGGACCGAATCTGGGCTGCCTGTCGATGCATTTGACGAACTCTGGTCGGGGTATACGATCCTGTGGATGGCGGTAACCTGCTTGCCATAACTGGTTCGACGAAGAACATCATAGTTCTTTTGCATATCCGCCAAAAGAGCGGCCAGCTCTTCGCCTTGGAGTCGATTATATACTCTCTCTGTTTTTGTTAGTGGTTTCAAGTCGAACCAAGGGAGCAGGGACTTACGGAGTACGTAATTGCCATACTGATCCCTCATCAATCCAAGCACTGGTGTGACACCATGCTCATCCGGAGCGGTCAGTCCCCGAAGAATCTGTTGTCGTTGGTCTTCATCGGCAAATTCAATACTCTTTTCCACAATGTTGCTGGCGAATTTGTGCTTCGAGAACAATAAAAGCGACCGGAGCACAATGTTGACGACATGGCGCCGATCTCGAGGTTCGCCGTTCTGAATAATGTGCTGTACCACGTAATTGCCATACGAGTCAGTAATAAGCGGCACAATATGTTCAAGCAACTCATCCAGGATGATTCGCTTGGCTTTTGGTTGGCAATGCTCCAGCATGCGTTGAACCACCCGGCATCCATATTGATGGGTTGACATCTTCGCAGTTTGTCCTTTGAAAGCATCCACAATGAATTGAATGTGTTCCCCTGGAATGCGTTCAATAGCTTTCTGGACAACATGATTGCCGTTCTGATCCCTGACAACTTTCAAGATTTGCAAGTTGGGACCGTCCAGTTCCTTGACTAGGCTTGCCTGTTGGTCGGTCAACACATGTTCGAAGGCTTTTTGTACCACTCGACAGCCGTACATCTGCAGTGACAGATGCATGATGTGTCCTTTCATCTGGTTGGCCAGAACTTTCTTCTGCCCCTGGTTCCCATGCTCAAACACCTTTTGAATCACATAGTTGCCGAAGACGTCACTCATCAGCTGGAGCAGATTGGGCTGGATCTCCTTGAAAATTTGCTCCTTTTCATCACTGTTGGCCGTCTCCAATTTCTGCTGGATGAAGCGTGAACCGTGCTGATCTCCACTGAATTCCACCACATGGTCATAAATGTCCTTGAGCTCGAATCGCTTGTTGGTTTTGCTGTTCATGCGGAACTCCTCAAGCCGCGCGCTTCTGACGACTTGGTTCTGGTCGGGCTCACGAACGGACATGCGGGTCGGCGAAGGATAATGGTTGATAGCCGGGTGCACAGACATCATATACGGGTTTGCAAGAGGGTTCATCTGCATGGTGTGCATCGGCCCATGCATGTCATAGTGGAACCCATTACCAAGCTCCTGGTGCAGAGAGGCTGACATTAGCATCCCCTGTTCCAAGCCGTATTGGTCGCTATTGGAAAATTTACGGTCCATGTTCGAGGATTCTCGATGGGACGTCCGGCTGGAGACACCGCTGCCGGCAGTGCTTCGTACCGACAAGGGCCCAGTTGGAGGGGTGCCGAGCTGGGAACTGTATGGACTATGAAGGTTGCTGCGATAGTCATTGGCCAAAGGCGAGAGGGTTGCTCCGCCGGCATATGGCAAGCCTCCAAAATGAGGGACAGCTTGAGGGTTCAAGCGCGTTGGCATGGTTACATTCCCGGCTGCTGGGTGAAATTGGCTCTCGATGTTGCCGAAATGTGGCCTTGGTTGTGACGAAGATTGCATGGACTTGGGCTGAACAAGACGCTGGTATTGAGGTTGGATGTTGCAAGAGCGACGGAAAGAAATCATGTCAGTCGTGTCGTGCAATTGGTCAAGTCCGAACGCCTGTAGAGCTTGGAGAGCTTCGTCAAAGTTTTGGGCCGATGAGGAATCAAACCCTTCCACCCGGGCAGCAGCCCAAGTACGGCCGTTGGCTTTTGCATGTTGCGGCAGAATCTGGTCGAACCTTGACAAGGGAACGGGTGGCTGCTCAGGCAATCGGCTAGTTGTGTAGCTATTTGGGACGGCGTATGGTTCACTGCTGACTGGTGTGGTTGCATATCCGTTGGAGAGACGGTCCTGGTCAGGTTCGTACCCATTCCTGGACGCAAATATGCCGTTAGCGTTGAAGTTGCCTGCATTGATAGCCTGGAATTGAGGATCGTATAGAGTGCGACCGAAAGCTGTGGCTCGGGTAGGAGATTGCATGAAGCGAGAACTGTCAAGGACCGTACGTCGGTTTTGGGTGGATTGATATTCCATCAGAGGCTCATCTTCCACATCTGGAGCGCTTCCTTCAAACAGACTCGACTCTTCACCACTCCCGTTGTGATCGTTGGTCACGAAATCCACGCCATGACTCTGTCTCGGTTGGGTCGGCGATAGAGGCTGCGCTCTTGATCTACGATCGTGGCTGACGGTGGTCGAGGCGGCGCTCCAGGGGAGTTTCGATTGTGCGGGATATCCATGTTCAAATTCGGTCGGCGTGCGTATCGAAGTGGTGGCTGTTCTGCCTGGACCAAAACTAGTGGACGAGGTCTGCCGAGCGGGAGATGCTATACCAAGTCAGCATACAATATCTATTGTGTTTCATGTGTAGACATACGTCTTGCGGGCTGCTCATCACCATAACCAGGTTTTGTACCCCATATGCGGCTTGTAGAATTCCAAGCACTCTTTCCCCTATCAAAATCGGTCCCGACGCCCAGTTGGGGTCTCGAAGAGGAAGTTCGGTCATAAGCTGAAATGCGACCATTCCGTGACTAGGTACCGTTTGTGTCAGCCCCCAATTCTGCTTATGGCTCGGAAATACTCACGGTTTCCAACGTCGTCCCGCCGTCCATTGTGAGGGTAACACTGTGCTAGACAGAAGGCCAGGCTGAAATGGTTGGGAAGTACTGAAGAATGTGGAGGTTATGTAGATATTCAGTCGGCGCCTTGGGACGCAAATATAAAAAAAACCACGACCTCGAGAGAAAGGTACAGGCTGTATGAACTGTGGGAAATATATCAGTGTCCGTTGTCTGAAAAGGTCCTCACGCAGGTCCTCTGTAGACCCACAGTTAGGCTGCGTACCAGTATTTCGAAAGTATGTAGCGGGAGGATGTACACCGTCCCGAATTATAAAAGAGGCTGTCGTAGATACAAGGAGGAAACGGAAGCAAGGTCGAGAAATTAAAGAAGACGAAGGAGTGCTGGATGCGAAGCAAGGTTGGCAGAGTCATGTACCCCTTCGTTCGCCAGCAAAGCCGATGGATGGTACAATTCTCAGCAGGCAGCCGCAGGGCAAATGAGAAGCATGGCCCTAGGCAGTATTCGCAGCGGGCGGATAGCGACAGAAGGAGGAAAAGAGGAGCATCTGCCAGCAGACATGAGCCTCGACCGCGGATTGCGCATGGAGCAAGGGATAAGAAAGGAATGGATGTCTGGAAGCCGTGGAATGTTGCGTCGCCGGTTTTGTGTAAGGCGAGGCGCAAATCTGACGGGATGAGGTGGATCGCTTTGCGGTGAGGGAGACACGGGCAATCGCTCGGGTGGAGAATTGGGGAGGACCAAGACAAACAGAGGTGAGTGGACTGTTACACGAAAAGAACCAGCAAAGCCGTAAAAAGGTGCATATATCGGATAGAACCTGACCCCGGATGATATATCGAAAAAATGGTGGTGAATGGCAACAATGATGATGCGCAGGCAGAAAGACCATGAGCGAAACCCCAGATCGACCAGGTCAAGTGGGCTTCGGTGGAGTTGAAACTGTAGGGACTGTAGGGACTGATGGGGACCATCATGGACTTTTGGGCAGAGACGCCTTCGCTAGGCCTCCGAAGTTTGGCGGGTGGCTTATCGAGACAGGCGTGCCCGGAAGTACCCAGTGGGTGCCGAGTGCCCAGAGGCTTTAGGGCTAGGCGGGCATCTGCGGCATCCAGAAGGAGAATGGTTGGATTCGTGGCATGGCAAGGGAGGGGAAGTGTTTCAGCCCAAAGCCCTGTCAAGATCCGACCTTTTCTTGGTTGCGCGCATCTCTGAGGTGGCTTGCGTCTTTGCTGTACTGTAGATCTTTTCTTCTTCGCTTGAGGTTGCATTAGCACCATCGCTTCTGGAAGACTGGCATAAATCATGTATTGTTAAACCCGAATTACTTTGCAAGGGCTGACTCAGAATACCTTGTCGGAAATGTCTCTCGTAACTCTGTCAGCTTTGTCTTCCGACTGGCCAGCAATGATCAGGCTGGCGAACAGTCACTGGGTCAAGCCAGAGAATTCGAAGCAGGGGATGCCGGCGGAACCTCATTTGATAGCCTGTTCGGATCATTCCAGCAAAACGATACGATGGTGGAAAGCTCACCTGTGACGTGGCCAAAGTGAATAGATGGTATATACGGAGAGAGCCAGATACCAAGACTCTATATCAGCGGCCTGAAGGGATGCGTAGTCCTGCAGGGATTTTGCAGACATGTACTCTTTCACATAGGCATCCAGATAGGTACCAGGTAGCATTGGGTCTTTTACGTTTCATAGATCGGGGATGAAAGAAAAATATCTTTGATATTTTCGGCTATGTAAACCTTATGACCAGCGGCCAGATTGCGTTGGCAAGCAAAGAGCTTGGGCTGTACTGTACAGGACTGCTAAGGCACAGTGCACTTCCTCGTATGCGAAGGGAAATGAGCGACCCACGGTTGAACAATTTGATTTGCAGGTACTCCGTAAGCCTCCATGATGCCTCTATCAGATTACTTTGTTGTGGACGCCAGAGCCTCTGCACACAGCGAATCGATCTCGTTTCGTTGTTTTTGGTCATCTCAGCACCTTTGAAATTAAAAGTGGCGAGTCCCTTAGATTATGAGGCCGAGGTCAAAGCACTTTTTGAGGCCGTGATGGATATCTCGTCTCATGAGGTGCAAGCCCTCTCGTCTGCGGCAGAAGCAGATCATACTGAGCAAGTTCTAGTCTCGTACCACTCCCTTATCAAGAGATGCTGGTTTCTACTCGCATGCTGCGGTGCCGTGGAAGAGGCTTTCCAACATGGCAAATTTGTGTTTGATTTGTTTGTTGATTATCCAGAGGAAACTGGCAGAATACAAAGTAGTTGGCAAATGGTTCAAGCTCCGAATCACCGACGCTGCATGTGTGGCTCTTTTGTATGTTGTCCTCATTGGTAGAGAAAGACGCCCACCGAAATTGCATGCAGTGATTGGCATTGGCGGTCCACCCAACCTGTAAGCAGCGTGGGCACCGGCTGCTCTTGGGCGTCGTGCGCGTGCGCCTAAATGCGGGATTTGGGGCTGGTGGATGCTGAGCCTTGGGCGCTGACAGCACTCACTGGCCAGAAGCCTGACCGGTGTGTGGAGCGGTCGAGATGGCAGGTCTCACTGTTTTTTTCGGGACTGGCATCACGGTGGTTCCCCTGGGTTCTTGCGGTCTTGTCTACTCCGTATTGCTTGGTTGTTTGTTGAAGGAGTGCTTCAAAGAATCAGTTTTGCACTTTTCGTTGCAACTCACCCTCACCTTCTCTTCACCTCGCGACGTCTTCATTATTGGCAGTGTTCAGCTTCATTCTTTTGCTGAACTCTCGCCGTCCGTTCTTTCCTTCCAGCCACATCCCACCTTCGGTGACCCGCCTGGTGCCCATCACTGCATATCCGCAGGAGCAGCTGGGACGGTGCGTTCGACGCGCACACGAAGCCTCTCCAGCCACCTTACTCCGATAACACGAACACTCTGAACCTCTGAGGCCCAAGCATCCAGATCCGAGGATCAAAGACAGCCCCGAGGAGTGCAGCCCTCGTCGCAGTACCCAGACTCCGATCTCCGACCACGCCTGACATCAGCCTCATCCCTTAGGTCTATATTCGTGCGCGCGTCCTTGAGGGACGCCTTATAGGCCTCGACTACGGCTGCAAGCAAATAATGGATTCTCCAAAACCCTACACTATTCACAACCGTCGCGATTCTTCAGACTTGATGGACTCTAACGGACCGTACTCAGGCTCCATGGGTCATCTATTGTTTGTCTTCTTCAGTCTTCTGTTGCTAGCCTCGCTGTGCTCGCTAGCCTTATTCATCCTGCGCCGGAAGCGGCTCGCTAAGAAGCAAAGCATGCTACCAACATACCACCCTGCTGCCTCGCACCATCGCTCTCCGTCAGTCAGCAACTTCAACACCAGCAAAAAAGAATCCATATTTGTCTACGATGAAAAGATGAATCTCATTCACAACTCTTCAAGTCCACCTACAACGCCCGTCCCAGAGATCCACATCACCTTCCCCGACGAAGAGGGCAATGCTGGCAGCATGAAAAAGGGCCGTGTTGTCATTGTCCACGTCACGGACTCTGGAAGTGTTGGCATGGAACCCGTCGGTCAGGAGAAACTCCCGCCCTATCAACAAGAAGATGCCGACCGCTTTCAATCGCTCGACCTAGAGAGAATAGGCGGATTGAAAGAAAAGGAGTCATTGGACAAGCGCTGGTCATGATCAGCCCCTATGCTTGCTTTCCGCGATTGGGAACTGATGCTGTAGGCATCCTCCCTAACGGCACTGAGCCATTTGGCATATCTCTGCCTACTACGACGAGACATTGAATACAGCTCGGCTGGACATATTCTTGGGGCGGATCAGCCTTTCTCGACGCTCTCTGCGCGTTACTCCACGATGATGGTGTGAACCTTTAATAATTATGGGCGGGCAGTGTTTATTAGGCCCCGACTAGGCTGGAGTTTGTACATATTGTATATTGAGACGAGGTATTGATCAAATCAGTGACAGGCAATTCTTGAGCACGAAATGTCGACTGGTCAAGCCTTCCAGTCCATAGAAAATTCCGTGAGTGTCTGGAGGTATTCCTCCTCATAGCTAAGCGAAGGCACTCTTGCAGAAGCCGAGCTCTTGATGACCACGGCAATCCCTTCCCTTGCTTCTCTCCACACCGCAATATTCATCGTTCTCTCCGTGGTGCTTTATTGAGCTCATGGCACTTCCAAACCATGCATCATTGATATCCTTATGACTCTCATTTTTTGATCGCTCGAGTTACGAATATCGTTTGGCCTAGATGCACTCCACGTGTTCAAAGCAAACAACTTGAACCCGGTTTTTGAAGGAGTTCCAAGCGACCGGAAACCCCACCCAAATCTGGCACTTTCAAGGTCCAAAACGCGTCAACAAGCCTTGGAGCCAATCGTTGCAAATCACCCTGACCGAGTCCGCATTTTTCTGTGTTGATTGACAACACAACTGTGGTCAGAGTGAGTCTGCCTCCTACAATCATTTCAGTTCCTTAATTCACCATCCTGAATTAATGTCTATCGTCACTCCGGTCCATTGCGCATCGAGATGATCACGACCACCGAAAAGATCCACCCCTAGCCATAACACAATTCTGCTCATCATCGCACACCCACCGCGGCGGCCATGGCTACTGCTGCGATTGCTGGCAATGATGAGGCTCTCAACAACGGTCTACACGCTTCAATGAACGACTTGTCGGATCCCTTTATCGATGATGACCGACAGAGACAGCCGAGCCATGCCCACCGCTACTCCAGTCTAGTCGATCCAGAATTAATCACATTGGGCACCGCTACATCGCCTGCCCAGGTCAAACGAAGTATTATCGCGCACCTTACGGAGACGGAACGCCGCCTACATGACACTCAGAAGCTGGGAGAGTCACTCTTACTGCAACAGTCCGAGTTAAATGAGAAGCTGCGCGAAGTGGAGGAGCACCAGGAAGATGCAGAAATATCACCAGAGCTGCGGCGGAGGCTGGCTGATTTAGAAAGAGAGCATAATGATGTTGGTAAAGAAATCGCAAGAGCTTTGCTTGGTCCCAAGTCCAGAGCTGTCAGTGGAGAAGAAAAGCCGGCAACTGAGCAATCCACCTTCACAAGCCAGGCTACTGCATCGCCTACAAAAGTCACAGCCCCTAGCCGGCGGCACCGCAACCAGCCGAGCAACCGCGCAGGTGATCTACAGTTTGCAGCGGATATCAGCACCTCCCTTTTGGCACAAGTGCGACAATTGCAAAGCGCCGTGGCAGAACGGGATGACCTTCTAAAGCAGGCCAATTCAGAAAGAGATCGATTGGAACAAGATGCACTGCTATTCACTCAACGATTGCGCGCCCTTGATGAGAGCGAGCAAAAGTACAAAGATGAGAATTGGAACCTCGAAACCCAGACGCACGAACTTCTAGCGTCAGCTCGCGAGGCTGCTGATCGAGAGAAACGCTTGAATTCCAGTCTAGCTGCTGCAGTTGCCGAGAAGTCCAGACTGCAAAGCGAGATGGATGAGATCAGGGTTGCTCATGAGAAGGTGACTGAAGAGTACGCCACGGCGAAGAAAGCCCACGACTCGGAGCTGCACACCTTGAAGCGGAACATCGACGTTGGAGAAAGTGAAAGAGCTTCCATGCAAAGCAAGCTTGACGAGTTGACTGCTCAAAATCATGAACTGGCGCGGGCTGTTGCAGCTCGGCTACGCGGTCAGCATCCGGGGGGCGAAATCTCTACAGGGCAAGATCATGATGAAGATCTCCATAATATTGAATCTCCGGAGCATTCGCCTCCTCCTTCTCCCACGAAAGGGACTCCACGACACGGTGGCTTGGAGTCTGAGACTCTACGAAGCTCGTTACACCACGCTCATAGGATGATACAAAACCTCAAGAACAACATCCACCGTGAGAAGACGGAAAAGATTGAACTCAAGCGCATGCTTCAAGATGCCAGGGATGAGCTCGAACAGCGACGCGGTGACAGCTCCATGGGCAGTGGCAACAAACGGCAAAAGACAAAGTCTGAGACATTCAAGAAGCCTCTTCGACCTGATATGTTGGGGGGTAGTCGACGGGCACGAACCGATATCGAACTCCAAGACGACGACTGGGAAGAGAATTTCGTAGACTCACCGACTCAAGCGCACGCTCAAAGACATCTAAGCGTGCCAGCTGCTCCTGAAGGACGCCTCACAGATATGAGCGACGCATACCAAACTGCAAACGAGACTGAAGGGGCCTTTGAAACGGCAGATGAACGGCATGCTACAGAAAGCGAAGATTTCCAGACTGGAGCGGAGAGTTTGGCCGGTGATAGCACTGATGATCTAACCGAGACCGAAGACACGGCATCTCAATTTCAACGAAAGGGAATATCCCGAGCAAACAGACCATCTCTTGCTTTCAAGCCGACTGGCGATCGACAATCGTACATGAGCACCGCTTCCACTTCTGCCGGAGAGGACGAAGATGAGCTCAAAACCCCTGTGTTGAATCAGCCGCAGAAGTTCCGTCTAAGGAACGGGCGTAGCTCATTTGCTCGACAGTCGAGAGTTCCGACGGATGCTACACCTACCAACTTGTACTCGGAAGGCGTGTCACAGGATTCACCCGCCACTATTAGCAGTGAGCGCAGCCTTCCAGGTGCTGAGCAGAGTCTTTTTGCAGAACTCGGTGACTTGGACGATGCTTCTACTTTTGGAACCCCCGGTAGAGCAAGTATTGCTTCAGCAACATCTACCCCCGGTATTCCTACTTACACTCCGAGCAAGCAACCTGTGCCGCAATTTGAGCCTCCGAGCGTCGTGAAGCCAACAGTGGTCGATTCTTCAACAATGACTGACCCGTGGGAACCCAAGCAAGAACCATCTGCAGGTGTTACTGTCCCAGCCGGCGATGTCGAGCAGCTGCGTTCTTCCTACTACGAGCAGGCGCCTTCACCAGTTCCTTCCGACTTTCCTTTACCTCCAACTGTGCCAGCATCACCCATCAAACACATTGACAATGGCACCCAATACACGCCGCAAAGATCGTTGCAAGAAAGTCCAATCAGAAACACTGCTTTCATTACTCCACCCAAGACTGTATGGGACGAAGCCCACAGTCCTGAGCCAGTGCAGCCAGTCATCGATTCCGCACCACATCCTCAAACACCTAAGCATCTAAACTATTCAGGTCTATTGATGCAGGACACGAAACCCGCCAGCCCTGTCGAAGTTTCCCCAGTTGTACCTCCTCAGCCCGAGCTGCTCGGAATCTCCAACATTCATTCCCAAGTCACTCAACCGGTTCAGACCCCTGAAAAGAAACGCCCAGCTGGAGTTGCGGTCTCTACTCAGGTGGATGATCTTCCGAGCCGACCACAGACCGCAGAAAAGGTGGTATCGTCGGGTCTGCTTGCATCAGCTGCAGCTGCTTTAGGCATTTCCAAGGCGAAGAACACTCCTGCTCCGGTGATTGCTGAGGATGATACGAGTGAGCAAGAAGAAGCTGCGCCCACTACAGCTGGACAAAACATGCCTTTGAAAGACGTGTCTGGAAATAGTGTTGCTCCGAGGCAAGCAACTTCCGCCAAACCTGTGGAGCCAGAACACCCTGCTGAGCTCCCAATACTGAGCCAAGACCAAGCTTCTCAGACACTCCTCACGGCCCAACAGATCGAAGAGGCCTTGAGGCCAAAGGCAGCTCTACACATGCCGCTACCTCATCCTAGAGAGGATGCAGAGAGCCTTACAAGTCCGCTAAGCCCTGTAACCCCTGCAGAGACAGGTGACTCCCGAGAGGCGTTTGTACCCGGCACGATAGTCCCCGTGTCGGAAATTGGCCAGGCCATTCCACTACCATCCCCCACCAAGAGACCATCGAGTTCTTCGAGTCGCCGGTTGTCCAATACGCAGCATCCGCCCCTACCTCCTGACCACAGAGCTGCCATTGCTAAGGCCAGCGGCCGAGTCGGCTCGCCGACCCAGGAGCCCACGAGTTCAAGTCATGTGGCAACGATTATGGGTCCACCTGCACTCCCGGCATCGGCCATGCGTCGCCCACGAACTCCAGGAGATTCTATACGATCGCCCACTCGCGACAGCGATGCGCCACGCACGTCCAATGTTAGCCGTCACCAGCGGGGAACCGTCACTTCTCAATTGTCACACCGGTCGTCCGTGTCTTCTTTTGCCTCTGAAATCGATGAGCGCTTCAACATCCATGCCAATGGTCAAATTGCTCCTCATGGCTTTGGTACGAACCCCAAAATCATTCAAGCCATAACACAAACCATGATCGGGGAGTTCTTGTGGAAGTATACTCGCAAGGCTGGCCGTTCCGGAATGTCCGAGACGCGGCATCGTCGGTACTTCTGGGTGCACCCGTATACGAAGACGCTGTATTGGTCCGATCAAGATCCACAAACAGCTGGCAGGAACGAATTGAAGGCGAAGAGCGTTCTCATCGAGAGCGTGAAGGTTATCCCTGACGACAACCCTATGCCACCGGGGCTGCATCGAAAGAGTCTCGAAGTCGTCACACCTGGTCGCCGTGTGAGATTCACCGCAAGCACTGGACAGAGACATGAGACCTGGTTCAATGCGCTGAACTACTTACTTCTCCGGGCCGATGATCCGAATGCTGGACAGTACCATGCTGGAGGGACTGAAGTCACGCACGACGATGTTGACGAGTTCAACGTGAATGCTGGTGGATATGGAGCTAGACTTGCACCAACCGGCAGCCGCATGAGTCTCTCAAGCTACAATTCCCGAACGACTCGAGGCACGAGCACCAATCGAGCCTCTGTTGCTCAGCGAACGGCGCCAGGGGTCGCCACTACTAGTTCCACACGTCAAGCTCCGGGCACTGTTGATGAGTCGACTGTGCGACGAAGTCGGGCAGACCAGTCTCAGGCAGCTGAACAAGACCGAACGTTACGAGCGAATAGTGTCAGCCGGTTTTCGCGCATGATCGGATCTGTCACTGGAAAGAATCGGCGAATGAGTGAGGTTGCCAACGCTCACGGCAGTACACGAAGCGAAGGTGGTAGCATCTACGATGCCAGTGTTATTAGCGACGGACGTAGAGATTCTGCCGAAGAGCTTCGGAGAGAGATGCTGAGGCAGGAGCAAGTTGGTTTCGGAGGACTTGAAAATGTCCGAGCGTGCTGTGATGGTTTGTTGATGCATCTCTACTCTCAAGGAACTTCAACTAACAGAGTCGTCTAGGAAAACATGATGTCTCAACGTTGAGTCACAGCCATCGCTACGGCACGCCGCATGGACACGGACAGCGGTCATTGAGCATGAGTCTACGAGGCTCTGCTCGGCGAGGTGGCCCATTTTCCACTCCTGGCACGGCCGCAGCGACGCCCACTAGGCCAACAGCCACCACCACGGCGCCTTGAAAAGGGCGTCATGCATCTGAAGCAAGCAATGGATCTTGATCCTTGACGTTGTGCATCAGCTCTCCTTTGTTGACCATGCTGGAGAACAGGCTGACCTCATGCTCTTCTGGGTATGTGTCTCGGTTCTGCTTCACCTAGAAATCAAGAAAAAAAATAGGTTGGGTAATGCATAATGATAAGTACATGGCAGGCGTGAGGAGCGAGGTGTGCTGGACGGGTGTTACGAATCCTAAGTTGCTATCAGAATGAAGTAAATGAGTGCATGTACTAATGACTTTTTGGCTTCCTCATTGGACACAGATATTTTCCCTATTTTCCTCTTTTCTCGTGGTAGATGCCGAATCCGTCCTGAAGAGTTCTGTGCAATAAACTATGCTGCCTGTTGGATGGATAACCGAGCGGACAGCCCAGCAGCCTCAGCCTCGTAAGAGCGTGTATGCACGGCACTTCGCCATTCTGCTTGAGGCGGTTCCGCTAACCCAAACGGTCACTTGCTACGAAGGCTTGTCGAGCTTAGCCAATGCTTGTTTTCAGGCGATTAAATGGGCATCACCAGCATTGGATGGCCACCTAGTAATTGAGCCCATACATAGCCGATCACGCTGATCAAGGCACGAAAGAGAGGAAGTGGTCCATCGCCGGCCATTGAGAGGGCGATACGATCCCGGACACTGCCGCTCTCAGCCACACAAGGCCAGTTCTCTCCACGTCATATTCCATCAGCGAAACGCGTATACTATTTCCAAGTCTAGGAAACCATTTCGCCGGTTTTTCACAGTTAGTGCATACGAAGGTTATCGGTCTAGGCATCTATATCAGTCAATTCTCTCTCTACCTCACTTTGCGACCTCACTCAACCAACATCTAGAAGAATTCCAAAGTCATCACATAGCACCGGTAGACACGAATACTTCCGTCATGGCAGACCAGGGTTACTATCCTCCAGCTCCGTCTCATCCTTCAGAACCACAACCCTTTGCTACACAACAGAACGCAAATTATCCTCCTCCGCCAACCATGCCTCCACAAGCAAACGACATGACTCAAGCTCACGAGGGACAGCCATCAGCAGTGTACCCGCCACCAACAGTCCCCCAGATCCACGAACCTCCGCCACCAGCACTTCCTCAACGACACGCTAATCACGACGTTAAGGCTCACGCCATCCAACAGCCTCAACCTCCATCTTACAACCCGGGTCAGTATGCCGGTCAACAATCCTTTCAGCCCGGTCAACAATTCCAACCGCCTCCACAGCGCATTAAGCAGGCCTTCTCAGCAGAAGACGACCCATCAAACCCGATCCACTACATCCGAGACCCGCACAAGCTAATCGGCTATCTGGTCCCTTTTCCTAAACCGAGACTCGCCAACGCTCAGCCGGAAGAGGTTCCCTCCCGATTTATGATCTACACACCACCACCTCCACCACTGCAGAAACCCACCGAAGGCGGCAAGGAAGGCAAATTGCACAAAGTCCAACGCAAATGGCAAGAAGAAGTCCGTTCTGCCAAGACTAGCAGCGCCAAAACTGCATCCTGGAAAGGTCTCAAGTCCAAAGCGACCAAGGGCATCGACTGGGCCATGAACAAGACGACATCTTCAAACCTGGACTTCTTAGGACGCGTGTCCCCGGCACAGTCGGACGACGAGCGTGAAGGCGACGAGACTCACAAAACTGTGGAGGTCGAAGAGATGGTCCTGATTTACCCGCCGACTATGCAACTGAATGACCAGCAAATGCGGGAGGAGTTCGTCAATACGATGCTGCGGACCAAGTCGAAGGCACAGCGGGACACAATTATCGCAACCGGGCTGATGCCCGTAGGCTATGGGATCGATATCCTAGCAACCTTCATCTGGCCGTTTGGCGGGCTCGGCGAGATCGATACCGTGTGGGCCTACGCAAGTTTCCGTGGGGCGAAAACGGCGCGCAGCGTGACCAAGAGACTCAGTAGCAGTAGTTCTTCAGGCGACCATGAGAAGGACCAGTTGAAGCTCAGATTCACGCACAGCCAGCGCATTGACGTTCTGAGACGGTACTTAGACGCCGAGTGCCACAAGGTGGATAGCAAGTTGTTCCCGGGATATACGACGAGTCCTACGGAGAGTGATGTGCTTGAAGCGATCGGATGGACGCCCAGTGAACGGCGGAGAGCGGGTGATGGGGAAGATGAGAAGAGAAATTGGGAGGACGAGGCATGGGAGATGGAAGAGGTCAAGGAGGACCTTAGGAGTACTTTCCACAAGGCAGCCAGGGAATGGAGGAAGTGGTGCCTTCTGCTTGAGAAAAATCCGGAAAAGGCCATGAAGAAGTGAGGTGACATGAGGCAGACCGGAGTGACTAGGGCGAGGTCGTTGATGACACCGGTAACGGATCTAGTCGATGGACGCCAGGACTGACAGGTTGGACGGTAATATGCTTTCAATACCTAATGTAGAATCATCGTATTGCGCCACCGATTCAAGTCCATTGCGATATCTACCTACCTACCTAGCTCGCTAGGTAAGGGAAATCAGCCTTGCACTGACGGGACAAATGCGCCACCGTGAAGAGCGGAGCAAAATTGCCATTGATGACATTGTCGGCCTCAATGCTCAGTAGTCCTCCGTTCTCCGCATAGATTTACTTGACCACCTTTCCTCTGCCGGCATACGCAACGCAAAGCATTGGACGACTGCGCCGTGAGAACTCGGCGAGACATGCTTCCTTGAAGTCGTTGCGTTGTCCCCATATTCTATTTCCACAATGCGGCTCATATCCTCGTTATTTCTTCTCTTCCTAGCGCTCCTGGGCGCAGCGTCCGCAAAGAGCGCAGTTGGAGACAGACTACTTGTTGTCCTGGAGGATGAGGCACAGAAGGGACTGTATTCCAAGTTCTGGGCTGACTTGGAGGGTACGCCATTGCTCCCACCCAAACATTGACAGCGTCGATTTTGCTGACCTGTTCTCTTTCTCTTTATAGCCCGTGACTTTAAGTTGACATTTGAATCACCGAGAAAGGAAGACTTGTCGCTTTTCAGACACGGACAGTTAGCTTACGACCATCTACTTCTGACACCACCAAAGTCGAAAGGTGAGCACTCTCTCAAGGGCTGGCTTTGGTGTAAACTCACTGTTAATAGGCTACGGGCCGTCGTTAACCCCCAAAATCCTCCTCGACTATGTCAACGCAGGCGGAAACGTCCTACTAGGTCTATCATCGGAGTCTGGCACTCCTTCAGCCATTGCCTCTCTCCTCCTCGAATTCGACATCTCTCTTCCTACAGAGAAGACTTCGGTGGTCGTCGATCACTTCAACTATGACGCGGTATCAGCGGCAGAGACGCATGATGTCTTGCTGCTCGATCGTCCAGGGCCGCTCAGACCGGATGCGGTCAACTTTTTTGGCGGTGATGGCCTTATAGCAGTACCAAGAGCAGTGGGACAAACATTAGGAAACACCAGTCCTTTGATTGCGCCAATCTTGAAAGCCCCCACCACCGCGTACGCATACGATCCGAAAGAGGCGGTCGACAGCGTGGAAGACCCATTTGCGACTGGCTCACAGTTGGCGCTCATCTCAGCCATGCAAGCTCGAAACTCCGCACGCTTTACGGTTCTCGGTTCGTTGGAAATGCTACAAGACAAATGGTTTGGCGCTTCTGTGAAGTCGGCCCCTGGCAAGAACGACAAGTCCAAGAACCAAGAATTTGCCAGGCAGTTGACCGAGTGGACATTCAAGGAGGTGGGCGTCCTTAAGGTCTTGGGTGTTCGGCACCAGGAGATTATCACGGCAAGCAAAGCAGCCTGCAGTACCTGCAAACCAGTCTCCAACACTACAGAGGTTGCGGAATCCGGAGAGTACAACCCTGAAATCTACAGGATCAAGAACGATGTAGTATGTGCATGCCTTTTCTCTGGCTATGATCTCTGCTGACGTGTCCGCAGAAATATAGCATCGAGATCGCCCAGTACGACCATGATCACTGGGTTCCATTCACCGTGCCGGCAAATGACGCCCTTCAGCTGGAGTTTTCCATGCTCTCGCCATTCCACCGTCTGCCGTTGACCGCGGCTGCGACTACCCCCAACAGCACTATCTTCACCACGACTTTCACTACCCCTGACCAGCACGGCATCTTCGCGTTCAAGGTCAACTACAAGCGGCCCTTCTTGACGCCCATTGAAGAGAAGAATCAAGTCACAGTGCGGCATTTCGCGCATGACGAGTGGCCACGCTCTTGGACCATCTCGGGCGCTTGGCCTTGGATTGGAGGGTTGTGGAGTGTCATAGTCGGATTTGTGTTATTTACAGTACTGTGGCTGTACTGTGAGCCACCAAAAGAAGAGATTGACAGGAGGCGCAAGTTGAGTGTGAGTTCGTCAAGATGAGAGCCATGACTAGGACTGCCCTGCACTCGGGACAAGGAAAATGTATTCTACGGGTTGAATCAGGATGATATAGAGTCGACATTCGGTCAGAAAGGAATCAAAAAGCCAATGAGTTTGATCATGGTTCTAAGTGAGTGATTGTACACTTTTGAACAGAGTGGTGATACAATATCTACACCCTCGTCCGTCATTTTGAGTCTTCCTCCTTGAGAGATTTGCCCGTATGTCTCTGCATCGTGAGGTATCGGAGATCGAGCATGGCAGAGCGACATGTGCGCTCATTGCTTTCGTCTGCCACCACTGCCCTTTGGACCCAATCAAGCGTCTGGCACTAGTGGCCGACTTCATCGAAATGTTCACCTTCTTCGGGATTGTTTGCACATGGCGGTCTTCCGGCCGACGCCGCATGACTCGAGGCCCGTATTGAATCGCAGGCGGCTCTCTTCGTCTGACGCACCTCCGCGGGCACAACCTGACCATTGGTTTGGGAAATCTCATTCTTGCCGCCTTGCAAGACAGCCCGGAGTATTGGGGAGGCCAGGCAAGTGCCATCTCGTCTCGCCCCTATTTGTTGAAGTCTGAGGGCCTCGCTTTATAGTCCTCTCGTCTTGTCCGGGTCGAACCCCAAACCCTCGACTTGGCCTTTCTGCTCTTTCTTCATTCCCTCGACGACATCAAACGCGGGCTTGCCACCGTACAATTGGTGGACTTTCGTACCGCCGCTGCCTTCGAGCTCTACGCTTGACGATATGGGCGCATTGCCCCGGAAACGTTTTCTCATGTCGATCATGCCCCGCCTGCAATCTCGAAACCCTCTTTTGAGTTGCTGGCATTGCTCCGGGAGCGTTTCGAGAAGCGGAGGGGAGAGGCATTCCACCGGCGTGTGCCGGTCGATCATGATGCAGTCAGAGTTCTGGAGGCAAGCTGCCAAAGCGGCGCCTGTAGAGGAACGTCAGTGTCAGGTTCGGAGGGCAATCGGTGGTTAGGGGAAGAAACGAAAAGACGTACGAAGATCTTTACATGAGGATGGCATCTTACTGACGACGCACAAAGCAGAACCCGGCTTTTCTATCTCCACGCCTTTGGAGTGAATCAAATCATCGCATAATTTATTGGTAGCAAAGAATCTCGAGGAACAGTTGTGGCTAATGCAGTCGCATGATGGATGAGTCGCCTCGGGTGACCTGCCACTCTAGGCAGCGCGGCGACCGGCAACGACCTCGTCTTCGCTCGTCGTTTCCTGTGTCGTGTCGAGGGCTCTACACGATACTCCCATGCATTGCTGTCAGATGCCTACTTCATGATAGGACCCCTCTTCAGCCTACCTTGCTAAATACTGTGCCAGCCCCAGGAGGCGAATGTGCATCAATGTCATGCGGCGAAACGCCGCGGTCTAGATCGCTGGGCGTGTTGTTGGCTCATCTACCTGATTATGGCTTGATCATTTGCAAATCCTGCAAATTTGCCATACAGCCGAAAGCTCTTTCTAGCCATCTTCTCCGGCATCACATCTACAGGGATAAGCGTCAAAACATACTTGACCGAGTAGCAGAACTGACTCTGCTGGAACCGGATCAAGTGTCGCTACCGACAACCAAACTTTCGGCCTTTCCTCATCTCCCGGTAGCCTTAGGATTTCGGTGCCAGTTTCAGCTATGCAGCCACTTGTGCATCTCCCAAAAGCGTATGAGCCAGCATCTCCGTGAAAATCATGGCTGCGTCAATGTCACAGACGTCGATGGCTATGCCGAACGTGCGTATCTCCAAACCTTCTTCAAAGGAAACAAAACCCGCTATTTCGAAGTCAAAGCCAAGGACGAGAAGGCTTCATCTGGCTCGCCACAAGAACCGCCCCAATACCGGTTTGTTGAGACATCGCAACGAGACGGAGACGGAGGCTTATCCCCAAAACCACTGAATGATTCTACACCACACGCAGTAGATGTAGCTCCTGCAACCCACCTCCCAATGGCGGACTTGCTCTACCTACATCATTACACTACGGTCACTGGATTATCACTCACCCGGGGTGCCGAACCTACTAATCTGTGGACACACGATCTTCCTCTGCAAGCTTTGGCCCAACCCTTTCTAATGCATGCAATCTTAGGGGTGGGAGCCTTTCACCAAGCACTCCTGACATCTAATGCGATCGAACGCCGTCGGCACCAGTCTGCAGGCTTGCTGCATCAGACAGCTGGGCTAGCCACTTTCCGAAGCATGGTCGGCCATCCTACGCAGGAGACAAGCACTGCATTCACTGCATTTTCCCGACTATTAGGAGTTCAGAGTTGTGTGCAAGCTCTTCTCGAATCCGAGGATTCCGCTTCACAGGCCGTGACTAATCTCGGAACATCCAGAATCTCAAAGATCCTGGAGTTCTTCTTGCTCTTGCGCGGCGGCCTCCAAATACTTTTGAGCATGCAGGATCTGCTACCAGCGGGATCAGGTTTGATCTTGTCGGCTGAGATCCTGGAAGGACTTGACGATCTCGAATCCCCTCCAGCAGCGCTCGATGACTCAGCGCCGTATCTTGCTAATGAGTTATGTACTCGGCTGGTGTCTTCTGATGTGTCCTCATCGCCTGATGAATGGCCCCTCCGAATGAAAAGCTTGACTGGCGTGCGACAACTCATGAATTTATGTGTTGCCGTTTCTACCAGCAAGAATACAGACCCAATCACCGACAGCTGGATCACAGCTACCGTCCCAGACTTGACCCGGACCACAGACGACATCCAGCACGTGACCCGAACGCTTGCAGAGTCTCATCGTTCAGCAGACTTGTTGTATCGTCAAACTCGACTCGATCACCCAGCAGCATTTTGTCCTCCTCTTTTGTGCTATCCACATATTCCGAAAGCCACCTACGCCAAGCTTGTATCACTTCCTTCACGACTGATGGCCAGGGTCGTCACACCTACCCCAGCCGAAACCAGAGCCTTCGACCAAGCAATGGCTGCTTTGATATCAAGTTTTTCGCGAAGCTATGCCATGGATGCAGTATGGGCTCGTTGGAACGGGATTGAGAGCTGGCCACGCATGCTATCGAGATACTTTGACGACATGATCAAAGCCACAAATCCCTTGGCGCTGGTGCTGGTTGCGCACTGGTGTGTCCTTCTCTCAATGCAGGAGGACCATTACTTCTTCTTGCGCGGACAGTCCCAGCGAATGCTGAAGATCATCATGGAAAATTTGAGCGTCGATATGCAAGAGTTTGTGGAAGATTGCGTCTCCTCTTTGCTTTAAATATTCCAGACGGGTGGAACAGTCAGAGATTCCCGTACTACCAAATCCTACGAGCCATTGTATCATGCTACACAAGCGCTCCGCAAATGTCCACGGCGCCACTCATCGATGATAAGCCTCTGGTCACAAAGTTCAACTTTCAGACAGCTTTTTCTTGAACAGTATGCGCCTGCAGCTTTTTTGTCGTCAGATGTTCCAACGGGGCGTCGACCTTGTAATTCATCGTCGTTCGCAGGTCCGCGATAAACCAACAGGAGATTGCCGCCACTACACCAAATGGCGCGGCAATGATGAAAACAACTCTCATGGAGTCGGCGTACGCCTGCTTGAGCGCTGCAGCACCGGCTTGAATAATCTGGGGATTGATGCCTTCGATATGAAGCAGAGTAGCTTCGTCTTTCGCCGCCAAAGCCGCCACAAAGGTCGATATGGAAGCCCCCGGAAGGCCAGCCTTGGCAGCCGCTTTGGCGACGTAGCTGGGCAATTTCTCCTTCAGCTGAGTCGAGAAAGCTGTGACATAGATTGTGCTGAACACAGCTGCTGCCACAGAACGAGATGAGACTGTGACAGCTGTGGCTGTAGCAATGAGTTCATGCGGCACAGACAATTGTATGCTGGCCAAAATCAAAATAATCAATGCTCCGAAGCCAATGCCGGCAAGACTGGCAAAGATGAGCGACTTTGTGTCGTCGTCCGGCTGAACGGTAGCAAGTCCGACAATGCCTCCCGTAAAGATCAGGAACCCTACAGCAAGAGGTTCCTTGGTCCTTCTGAGACGAGTACTGATAAGGCCCCACACAGGTGTCGAAAAAAGGCAACCCAGCCAGTAAGGTTGCTGACGAGCGGCCTGCAAGAAAGGATCCTCCTCGAACAAAGCTTGATCCCTGCAGTAATCAGTCATGTCTGCTCGCGAGCCATCGAAAGACACACTTACATGATCGGGTAAAAGACAACATAAGAGAAGAGCATGACCCCTTCAACGAAGATGAGCCAAACACCAATGGCGAAAGTTGGGCCTGTGCCGTCTTTGCCACGGAACAGGTCGTGGTGCAGAAATCCTGTCGAGGTACCTTTCCATTCATACAGTCCAAAGCATACCATGATTACGAGACCAGTCACCATTGTACCGACGACGCGTGCACTGGTCCAGGGGTATTCGAACCCCCCAAGGTACAGCCCGACGAGGAACAGGCTCAAGCCCGTTGCAAAAAGTGCATATCCAAGGAGATCGAGGTGACCTATCTTTTCCCAAATGGTAAGATGATCGAGTCGCGTGTGTCTTCTCGGTGGCCGGTAACAGACTAGGATACCCAGCCCGCTGGCACCCCACAGCCCCATTTCAATCCACTGATGATATCTATTAGCATTTCGCAAGCCACGGTGAGGACGAATCAACTCACCCAGAATTTACGCCAGCCATCAACCCGATCTGCCCTGGTAAGAGCACCGATGATCAAGGGTCCTGAGCAGGAGGCCAGTGCGGCTGCTATGTTGATCCATACCTGTCCCACTGCATGGCCATCAGTAACAGCTTCCTCGAATGCATCTTGTCGTCTGACTTACTTGGTCTCCATCTCCTCGGCAATATCTCACTCGGAATCGCATAACCCAGTGGGGCCGCAGAGAATCCAAAGGATATCAGTATTTGCGCGCCAATAAGCCTATATATGGTTTGCGAGCCAGGAGCAATGGCGGCACCAATAAAAGAAAGGATGATCAGGCCGACCATAAGCGATTTTCGGACCTGAAAGACATCTGACACCGAGGAGAAGAGAGGCGCAAGGACCGCTTGAGGAAGGGTGAGCGAACTGAGCACCCACGTCTGCTTGTTCCCGGCGTTGAGACTCGCTCCAATGTATGAGACCTGAAACACTGGTTAGTACTACGGCCACAGCAACCTTCACTGGTACTACATACCACCGCTGGAGGGCTGAGCAAAGTCAAGACAATGACATAGTTGTAAAGCCACATCGCCGCAAGGGCGACCCAGGTCCTGAAGTGCAACTGGGGCTCATGCTCTGCATCATCATAAACCAGGTCGTCACTGATTGTATTGATATGTTCTAGGTGGGCCTTTGATTCCGATTTGTCTTCTCCTTCCCGCGACGGACTGCCATGGTCGTGGGCACTGCCTGAACTGGCTGCAATTTTGATTGCTTCCATTGTGGTCAATATCAAGCCCTGCTTCAACATTGGCGTACAGAAATATCATGCGACTGGGGTTCAATATTTATGCATCGCGTTCTTACTGAATGTAAGTGCCCCGGCCATTGTGGGGTAGAGAAACGAGTTTGTGGGACTCTGGAATCTGGAGAAGGATGTGAAGAGCCTCCGTAGCGACATCTTGTGTCTCCTGGGGAGTTGGATTTTGGAACATGATATGTGGTTCTCCAGAATTGGTTAGTGCTCAACTACGCCCTGTCTCGATAGTCAGCTGTTGGCGAACCCTCGTTGGTGGGACTTCTCTCTTCGACAAACTTACCTGGATTGATACGAGGTTGGTCCTGCGGCCAACATCTATTGCGTCTTTCTCTGGCGAGGTGTCAACAGAACAGGAAGAAGCCTGATGGTAGCCCCTCAAAATTGTCAACTACGTTGCGCAACATTCTCATCGCCGATTTGCCACCAAGTTCGCGGACACAATGACATTTGCACGGCCAAGCGATATTGGACAGACTTATATCTAGTGTATGTATCGACATAGCTGCAATCCCTTTATTTGGCGGCGAAGGTGAAGTTTTCGAAAGAATGGATAGCACTCAGGTTCTCAAAGTTGATGTTCATCATCACTCTTTCCCACCTGCTTACACAGAATATCTTGTCAAAGCAAGTCAGAAGCCAGCAGGCTGGGTCACAGAGCCGTGGAGTTTGCCGGTAGCTTGCGACTACTGCAAAAGCAAGAACATCGGTTTCGCTGTGCTATCATGTATACCAGGCGGGCCACACTCCGACGTGGATTTGCAGCAGGCTCGAGACTTCACCAAAAGCTGCAATGAATACAACTCCAAAGTTGCGCGTGAATCGCGAAACACACTGGGCTTTTTCGCCCATATCACCAACATGTGCGAGGTTGAAGTAACACTGGAAGAGATTGATTATGCATTCGACACCTTGGGTGCAGCTGGAATCGCCCTTGGGACGAGCTACCACAAGTCTGGTCGACTGCATTACCTTGGAGACACCGAGTTCGTGCCAGTCTGGGACGCTCTTAGTGCAAGAAGCGCGGTTGTCTTTGTCCACCCGGTACCATCACCCAACATGGATCTGATCAATCAAAATCTTCCACCACCAGCTTACGATTTCCCCCATGAAACTGGCCGGACGGCAATCGATATGATCACCAACACCAGCAATATGCTGCGAGATCATGCGACCAACTGCAGTATCATTCTAAGCCACGCAGGTGGGGATTTGCCCTACTTGATCGATCGAGTAGCAGGATTGATGTGTCATGGCCCTGAGGCTTTGAGGCTGAAGAAGACTTCCGATGATGTCTTGTCTGAGGCGCGTCGATTCTACTACGACACTGCACTGAGCAGCAGCCCTATGCAATTGAACGCGGTGGTCTCTCTACTTGGACCTGACAAGCTTGACCACATACTCTTTGGCACCGATTTCCCGCCGGCTGGGGCGGCGGCTATAGAGTACTTCTCGAGGCAGTTGCGTGGCACCAAAGTGGTAGATTTCGCGGATCTAGGGCACAATGCCTTAAAGCTCTTTCCGCAACTGCAGAGGAAATAGGCCTGAGTAGCTGCTGGTCAAGTCTGTTAGAGAGTGATGCGGAGCACGAATATCAGAATATGATCGTTCTATGACAGCCTTCGTGAAGTCAGTGTACGCATTTCGAAGGCATAACGGCTGAGCTGGGTGTTAGAATCTGCTCGGGAGGTATCGCCTCGTATGCCTTTGATACCAGCATACTCAGCGGCGAATCTTGACCTCACCAAAGTCCATTTCCGTTTCCGGACCTGAGCACATCGCCAATTGACCTGAGTCATGACTAAGCGATTCTGAGCTGTGGCAGTGCAATACTTGGCACGGCTTGGTGAGCAGCATGAGCACCTCCGCGAGCCTGTGCAGGCACCCATATATGGCCCCCGGTTCCCAGTTTTTGGTGTTTCACATGCTCACCGCCCAAGTTTCGGGGCCCCTTGCTCGGTTATTGTTCCGGCCCTCCTCCCTGTCTTTCACCGTTACGTGCCCGCCAACGACTGTTACTGTTCATCCACTGGTATCAATATAGCCTTTCCCGATGAGCAAACCCTCGTTGTGCTCAAGATTAAGCTGCTGACAGCAAAGCACAGGAACGGCAACAATCTAAACTTCCATGTCCTGAATTTTCGAATGAACGTGTCCACAGCCTATTCCACGGCACTTGCTCTACACTCCTTTAGTTACAGGAATAGTTCGAAGCTCCGCATGGGGACAGATGCACATCGACGCTTTTGGCTTGCGGAATCTGTTCAATGCGATCCACAATCATTCTACAACCGAATAACCCCGGCGTGCCCGGGCTGCCTTGATAGGTTGCGAGGCTGGAGTTTGCACTTCTCGATTCCTGTTGGAGAAACTCGGCATCGCCAATGCAACCCCTTGGACTCTACCTGAGAAAGAGGTGTCCACCTCTCTATTTCATCCATTTTCGCTCAAGAGGTAGCTGGTTTGCACTTGAAGAACAGCGCGCCTTCTTCGAACGGAACATTTTCAACTCTATTCCCTTATCGTCCTCTGCGGAGTCTAATCCACGCAGGATGTGGATAATCGTGGCCCAATGTTAGTGCAGAAGTGACTGTGAATCCATACAGAGGGAAAAAGCTAATTGACCATTAGCCGACGGCGGCGTCCATACTCTCGAAATCGATGACTTGGAGCTTGGTTCGGCAGTCTATGCAAAATATGAGGATGCTTCGGGTGCAGAGAGCGGATCGTATTTTCTGACGTATGGTGGAAAGCAATTGACTGACACGGATGTCCTCGCATCTCTAAATATTCGCGAAGGCGCAACTCTACATGCTGTCCCTGAAGCAACCTCCAGTCAGACTGTGCCGAACCCTTCTCTCTCTCTCTCTCTCTCTCTCTCTCTCTCTCTCGGAGGTCGAACAACAAATTAAGAAATGGCAAGACACAGCGAGAAAGGGGAATTTTGATGCCGATATGCACATACTCGACCCTGCATCCCACCAGGCCTGGCTCCAATTCCTGGAGAAGGACATTGTCGACAACTCCGAATTCTTTCATTGTCGTGGGTATTACGACCTTAATGACCACGGTATCCCGGTGCAAAGCTCAAGCTCCTTGGCGTACCAGGAGGTAGCCGACTTCATGAAGCCACTACTTGTGCTCGAGTACGGTGATTCATTCTCTGAATCTGACAACACTCGGGAGATTTCGCGTGCCTTTGTATCGTTACGCAAGACTTACCTTATCATGTCTCGCGTCCTGGCCGGTTTCAGACACCTTCGCCGAGCCGGCTTCTGCGGCTCTACATTCAATGTTCTACTCCTACAACCAGAGAAAGACATTACGGAGATCGTTCGAATTCCAGAGACACTTCTTGCTGAGATACAACAGGGAGTTCAAGAAGTGCTAGTCCAAATTTCAGACCATGGCCTTTCGCCAGATGGGATGTATGTACAGTTGCTTGTGCATATTGAGCCGCCATTATGCCAATTCTTGGGGGTGTTGGGACATGGCCACAATCCTGGCGCTGCGAGGTCCGGCGACTCGATCCTGGAACTATGCAGATTGGCTTCTATATTTGTGGATCTCGGCCTGGTCTGTTACGTAGGCTCCCACGGACGACGGTTCGATTTGGATCACTTGGAGAATGACTTGCCCGCGATCACGGTATCATCTAGTCACGCGCCATCGTTCAGCTTCTGCTGCAGAAGAAGTCGCTTGGCTTGTTTGGACAAATATCTTGGCGAAAAAGAGGTTTGGACGTTCTCAAGCTCCATGGATGGGCAAGCATCTTGTCACCAGCAAAACCAAAACACAAAGCGGTTAATGATTTTGACAACTATTGAGGATTTTGCAGACATATGGGGACCTGTCTGGGCCGCTAGCTCGGATCACGGTGTCCCGAATAGTATCCAGTACTACCAGCTGGCGAGAGGAGTCATCTACGCGGACGACCCGGTCAGGAAATCGCAGTACGAAGGCTCCGTCCGATGCCATTGGACCAGTTCATCCGACTTCCAGAGACGGCGTGAGACGAGTCTACTTCAAGGAGAAACCTGGGGCTCGCTTGCAACCGATGCCCTCCTTTGATAGGTGCGACATTCCGGGAGAACTCGAATTGTCAATATACGCTGAATGATTTCGAAAATGCCTATGGGCATGCAATGTCCCCACTGGGTCCTAGAGCCGCTAAATGGACGCTTGAAACTTTGAGCGGAGTTCTCAGCTTTTCGAAAATTGTCGGAGGCTCTGTCCAAGCTACCTCAAAGCTGATTCCTGGCATTAGCCTGAAAGAACACCACCTAGCAAAATGGAAGTTCGACCCGGATTTTGCTCAAGTGAATATTCTCCATCAGCCCGTGGCAGTCAAATCAGCCACTGCACTGGAAATGCACGACGGACTCAATTGAGAAATGTCTTCTTAATGGCTCCAGTTCAGAATCTGCTGGAACGGATCAGTCCTCATTGGAGCCAGAGTGGGTGGGGTTCTCAGTTCCTTCGAGCACTACACAGTCAGAACCCGGATGATATGAACAAAGTCTGGTGTGATAATCAAAAGAAGAGGGGAGACATAGCAAAGTTGATTACGTCTGTCTTGGAAATGCTGTCGCAAACCGGCAGCGCCGGCGACGAGTTCAATGTGGGGTTCTTCAACAGCCACCAAGAGCGGTATCTCGCCCTTCAATGCCGATTCAATGATTGGGCAAGAGTTCTCCAAGATACATCCGAAATTGCTGTGTATGCAGTATTCGGTGAAAAGTGCCTCGAAGCTTACACATACGCCCACAATACTGCGAGGTGTGGTGGACATGATGCCTTCACCGTCTTGCATACACATCTGGCATCACCCACCAACTTGCCGATCGAAGGCTTCATTGAGATCAATGCATCCGGACGTTACTACAGCGAAGACAGGAAAGAGTCTGGCACAAAGATCAAGGTGATGACACCAATACCGCATTCAGTATCCCCTTTTGCCTCCTTCGGCAAATACGTTTCAACGGAAGAATTTCAGGGAAATCCCCCCACTACCGAAACCGTCGCCTAGGCATGAGGTGTTCCTCAGAGCCAGTAAAGTGAGCTCGGGTGGTATGGCTCGCCCAAGGTCAAGGACACAGTCATCAACGGATATGCGGAATTTCGACCTCTCATCCTTGCCTTTGGAAAATGGTAGGATCACTTGGAGCCAACGGTCCCAATGAGGCTAACTTAGAACATAAGAGGCGGACGGCGGTAGCATCCACATCCATGTTTACACCACCATTCGATTGAGAGCTCTAGAGACGTGTGTATCAGTACGATGCCTCACCCAGCGCAGGACCACATCCTCCACACAGCTGTCACTTGAGTAAAGAATAAAACGAGTGCATTCCCTGGCAATGCATTGATTCCAATGTGAAAGACTTGACCAGCCAAAGGGGCTCGATTTTGCTAGCTCTTCCTTTATTGGACATCAAAAATATCGCATTCTTGATGCATGTCCTGAGACTATCCTTTCGACATCATAGCCATGCAGAAGCTGAAGTAGAACCGGACGGTGAAACCATCTATTGAGCAGCGCTGATTTGGTCTGCAATATGCTCGTATTCCGCAAGGAGCTGTTCCACCCGAGAACGAAACGAGTCGGTGTCGGTTCCCACTGGCAGGTACGCACTAGAAGTCGCAAGTCCGATAGCAACAGCGTTCCTGATGAAATGCAAGATTTGCTGTAGCTTGTTTCGCAGATCGCCGAACGTAGACTCGAATAGTCCGGACAGGCTGTTCCCCATAGCGGTCTGCATGGCTGGGAACAATTCATCCATGATCTGGGAGCGCACCATGCCCTGTTGTCTTCCCGCCATCCCAGAGCCTAGATGGTCATCAAAAGGGTTTTACGTCAGAATATCCCCGTCATGTCAATGGGAGAGACCATGTGTCTGGGAAGACTGTACCGAATTCCTGGCTCGCAGAGAGATATGCAGGCATCATTTTTTGTACCACATAGCTTGCTCGATTCGCTTCCAAAAACGATCGACAGAGTATGCTGGCCTGATCTTAGCAGGATGATCTTGGTTGATGGAATATAGGCCAATGCTTACACCAGCTCACGCTGGAGATTCTTCTGTGCTTCCCGAACTTCAAACGCTAAGCTCTGGACGTGCAATTCCACCCCGAACAACAGCGCTCGTGGCAGTCCCCCTTCTAAAAATAGTGATTAGTCTCTGCCTCGCCGGCGCTTATGGACACTAACCTTTGTACGTCTCCTTCAGATCGTCTACCTCCTGTTGTATATCTTTCAATAAGTTATCAAATACTCCCGATGCGTCCTCCCCAAATCCGGTCAAAGGTAAAGCTAGTTCTTGCACCATCTTCCATATTATGTCGCGATTCCAGTTGGTTCGTTCTATCTTCCTAGTCTCATAGTCCCCATAGTGTAGGCAGAAAGCATCGAATTGCTCTGCTCATTTTTTTTTTACGTCAGCTTCGTTTTCAAATTGACAGAGAGACTTACTCCAATGCCATGACAGCCATTTTTGAAATTGCTGTAGAGCCGCTTGCTTCCAGAAGGTAGTACGATGCTCTGCCAATGGTCATCATCTCAGTTCAATGGAGAGCCTATGAACAACAAACCAAAATAATCCGTCACAGTTTGCAGGCATTGCTCTTTTGTTTTATCTTCCGCGGTAATGACCAAGTAGTCGATCTGCAGCTCCGATTAATGAACGATGATTGTCGAATTTGAGAGCAACTTCCACCTTTCCTTGCGCGTCTTTCCACACCTCTGCTGCAGTCTCGCCATCCATCCGACTTATGACCGTGTTTGGGAGGAGGCCTACTGTGTTCAGTAACCCGCGTAGATCTGACCAAATGAAGTTCGAAATTTCCTCTTGCCTGTCTGAACGGTTCAGCGAGCGACAGAACAGGCGCAGCAAGGGTATGCCACTCAATTCAAGCATCCTGTCTGCCCCATCCTTATTGACCGACTTGTTATACATCTTGCTGGACACGCAGAATACGTTTAGTTGGCTGTTTTGGTTCTCCAACTGGTAGCTTTGTCGGAGCTTCGACCTCACGCTGTTGTTTCGCGCCTTGATGAGCAGACTCTTTATCCTAGACGAAATTTCAATACCATCTTTCTTTGTACCGGCGAGCCAACGTACTGTGTCTGCAAAGACTTCTTCTTTTGCTCATCGTCGGTTTGCTTTTTCTCCTTCTCTAGCATTTGGATGCAAGACCTGAACTCTGGGCTATTGTCCGGAATGAACGCGCGCTTATTTGCCGGAATATTGATCTCCTTGAGTTTATTAGTGAAGAGAGGGAGAACCCGTTCTTGAACGCTCACGTCAGTCTTGGTGCATATGACAGTAACTTGAAGCCTTTCGCCGCGGTTCATCTCCCATTCAAGAGGCATTTCTTGGGCCAACATTTCATATACCGATGATTTCAGTGAGTCGTCAGTCACCGCGCGCGAGATGTTCGAGAGGACAAAAACGCAATCACATGTTTTGAGGTACATCTGACCGGCCTTGATCCTTGCGGTATTGGTGTCGCTTCGGCCTGTATGAACAGTGTCAGCATCACAAGCGTTCATGCAGTGTAATACTGACCAGGTAGATCGGTAAGCACAATACCAGACCTGAGTATATCTGAGTCTATGAAGATGCTACAGTACACGCCAAAATCAGTACCTCGAAATCCTTGAACTGTAGCAGCGCACACTTCTGAAATAGGGGCTGGGTTGATCAAGAGAAGCATCGGGAGGATCGTACTTACCGCATAATCTTGGTAAAAGGCCAGAACTTATCCTGCATGAAGAGACTTATGTTCTCTGCACAGTCTTCTTCGTCGTCTACCGAGATTGAATACCTTCCATCTTTTGCTTCCTCTGGCCACTGAAGGAGCTGGGTCCACTGGTTCAATTGTGATATAATTCGGTCAAATGCCCCTTCAGTTTGATCAAGAAGGAAAGATCTGCCGAATAATTCATGGTGTCCGAATGCAGCTTGGAGAGCGGACCAGGCCTCTTTCGACTGATTTTCGGAGTGCTGTCTATTTCGGGAGAGGGCTTCTTCATCTTCTGTGCTCGGTGCTTCGGGGAATAATTGTACCTTCCTGAAATTCCCCACCAGATCTGCTAGAAGCTCTTCAGTTTCCACTGCTGTGTAATACTCAACCTCAAGAGTGATTTGAGAAGCATGGCGACCGTCTTTTTGTCGAAACTCAGTCACGACAGAGGTACATGCTGTACCTATGTCTCCCTTACAGTATACATGAGACGTGCATTGCACACGGACTGTTGACCAGATTCACTTACTGCCGGTGCTAGGTCGGTGAATCCTAAGAGCGAATTGATCAAACTGCTCTTTCCTGATCCGTGTAAGAATGCGAAAATTGGCATCTTCGAAAGTATCTCACCTTCTCCAGACCGTCCAAGTAGACCAACAATCTTTTCATGCGTAGGCTTGAAGGTGCACAGTTGCTTAAGGTCCTTCAGCAGCGCGTCGACTATTTTGCTATCATCTGTGTTATGTTCCTTGATAGTATCACATAAGGCCATAGTATCTTGCGCCAAACGCACACCTGCGACCAAGGCTTGTTCATAGCATTGATCCGTGTGTAACGCGTTGTTCGAGAAGTCAGAGAGGACATCATCGGCTGACAAAGAATTGAATACTGCATCGAAAGAATATGGAGAATCTCGGGCTAGCAGTAGAGTCGAAGGCGTCGAGTCTGGACCGTCTGAATCTATGGGCTTCTGGTAAGTTGTCGGGAAGGCGTTCTTGGAATGCTCCGTTATTCGCAAAGACTCTATGTCCGGTATGCTTTGGAGGCTCCGGGGTCGTTGATCACCATTAACAGGTTGTTGCGGGACACCTGCATGATCATGTCGGCGGTCCCTCGCGTCTGTTGGTACGGAATATATGTGGCTGTCTTGAGATTGAGTTTCTGTCTTGTCTAGCGACGATCAGCCGCGACGAGATGGTAGCGGTCTGAACACTATATCATAGACATACCTGCCGTCATTATAAGCTAATCCCATTCAGTTTAGATAGAATGTCTCGTCTCTTTGGTAATGAGGCACAGAAGCAGGATCAAAGTGTACACGTGAAGTTGTCGAAGAAAAAGGGAAAGGAAAGCGTGTAACCCTCGTCGAGAATGGAGAATATTTGGAGTGCCTGGCTCTGAACTAGCAGACAGGCGGCAGGCCATTTCCAACAAGGCAGAGTCGTGGCACGCCAGTGGGCGACCATCCATGACTCTAGCGTTACTGCAGAGGCTCGCTGGGACAGGGGTACGACACCGCTTGGAAGAAGAAGGCGTCAGTACCTCATAGGTATGACCCAGAAGAAGCGCTGAAGGTCGGCCAGTACAGAGTAAGCCCCTCTCTTCGCTCTTGGGTGGGGATAACAAAGCCAATCGTTGTAAGCTGGATGTCTCAGGCTGTCCGGCAGTAACGCTTACTAGTAAACCAAGACCGCGCCGGTCTATTGTCATGGTGCAGATTGAGGCACTCTCCCCACCCACCGCAAAAGTACCATCATCGAAGTTCGGTCATGTTGAAACTGCCAATTACGGATAGCTCCGGCGAGAATGAACATCTAGCGAAACAGGGTAGAATCAACTCGAAAGGCGGAGACGATAGAATGAGGCTGAGGCCAGGATGCTCAAGGGTTCTGAAGCGTGGAGAGTTTTGGAATGAAACATAGAACTAGACCTTCACAGGGGCATTCCGCGCCCTGACTTGTCTGCAGCTCACCACATCTAGTTGGGTGCAAACGCATGCGCCTGCAAGAATCATGGCAGAGTGGAGTATCACTCCTTGGGCGATGGAGGGGATCCTCCGGTTCACGCCACCGGCCCGTGTCCGGTGCCAGGGTCGGCACTCCGGGTGAGGGGCGAGCAGTTCTCTTGGCGCGAACATATCATTTCCTTATCACATTTCAATGCTGATTGAATTACACAATGAAGCATAGAATATCAGATCCCGTGATCGGCGGCACCATCTATTCGTTTCTGCCCGTAAAATTCACCACCGGCCACTTGCATAACGTGCGGGTCGTCATCAGGGGGAGGGCGTCAACTAGATGAAGGTGTCATGGGAAACGCTATCCATCTCCGCCAAGGAATCGTGCGCCGCCAACTTTAATCCCTGTTTCGAATCTTGGGTCCCAAAACTGTTCCCTCGTAGATTCTCGTGTAAAGTTTCCATATTCTCGAAGAGAGAAACCTACAAAGCATGGTAGGGTATCTAATGCCAGCGGGGTGCCAGAAACAGGACTGACTGCGGTTGATGAGAAGGACGAGGAGTTTGAGCTGCAGCCTGAGCAGGCTGAACAGATCACACTGAGGCTGAGCCCGAAGTTAAGCCAGGTCACCTGTGTCCTGAGTAAGGCGGCAAGGGCGTTCTTCAGAACGGGTGCCAAGGCAAAATGCATGGTCGCCGCTGTATACCTTGGTATTCACTGACAACAAGACGTACACAACCACCCAGATTGAACCAAATGACCGCCAATTGGAGGACCGGTACCTCGGCCACCCTAATGTCAGGAATTTTGAAGCTGGCGACGTGGGTGTACATGGGCTGGAGGCGAACCTCGATAACAAGAAGCATGTGTTCCCCTGGAACAGGTTGAGAGGCTTTGTGATAGGGTTGAAAGTCGGTGGAGTGGCGCCCGAGTGGTTCATTGACCACATCAAACTCGAAGGTATCACTGCTCAAGGTGAGAAAATATCCCTGTACAACGAATACTACCGGAAATGGCATGGAGGAGGAACAACGACCGAGTTGCTGGTCAAACGTCCGCCAGTTGAGAAGACTCCACCGACGGCCAAGAAAAGCAGAGATACCGCAGATTTACTAGCGAGAGATCTGCTGATCGAGCATCTGGAGCGACATCGCCATCATTATAATCGGTGCCTGTGGTTAGCCGAAGACCCGAACGCTACAATAGCGTGGCTGGAGGACAAGACAGTGCACGGGCAGTCGGTTCTTGACAGGATTCAGGACAGGGCCATGGAGGTTTCAGGTCGTTGGGCAGCCTTCCCACTGCTCGAGTCTGATGAGTTCGCGAGGGCGATACGCTCCTACCAGCAGCAGGGTTATTCTTCTGCTTACCTGGAGCAGTTGGTTTCATTACCCACGCGGGGCCTATTCGCGGAAGCCAAGCTGGGCCACTGCAATGTGACTGAGGTCATCGACGATACTCGGTTTTGGAAATGGCATGAAGCTCCCATACCTCACCAAGCACCAGACATCACTGGAGCCGACGCCGGCGCTAGATATCAAGCACCAGTTGGTACAGATCCGACGCCATTGCCTCAAAACGTGGTAAACGTCGTTTCTCCCCAGCACCTACCAGACCCCACAGCCCTCGTGGAAGCCCTCAAAGTTACCGGCACTCCGAGATTTTTCGAGTTTCGTCGGGCATTCAACAAGCGGCTTCACTCCTAAGCACTCTTTCGCAGAACGCCACCTCGCTTACATCGCAGGGCCTGGCGACCACTAGACTCAACAGCCTGTTGAAGTCAATTCGAAGCGATACGAACCTTGATGATGGGCAAAAGAATGAATTAGCATATTCTGCCTACAAAACTGCGATCGGTGGTAGTGCGTCAGTTCCGGAAAAGCCCGACAGCGCTGTACAAATCCTGTTCCACCTGCTGGAGGAGGAGCTGCCTGGGGCGGCACGGCTAGCCCTCCGAACCCTGTCCCGATTGATGGACCCAAGCCGCCTATGAATCCATCACAAGCATCGCCTTCATCTGGCACCCGAAAATCGCAATCTCCCGTTCCAAAGCCATCTTCAAACAAGCCGAAGCCCGCACGGAGCAATCCATCCCTCACAGACGCCCTCCTATTCCAGTTCAATTTCAACCATGGCTTCCGGACAACATATGTCACAGGTGACATCGACATTGACATTATCCCAGGACCGCCAGATGCGGCAGCCGCTACAAAGGGTCGCATCGGATACAGACCCGGGACAAGGGCTCAAGTGCCCGAGGCTGAAGGCAGATCTATGGAGCCTATCTTCAACGGCAGTGTCTTCATACAAGCCTCGAAAATCACTACATCAGGAACATTCGAACTCTATATTAGGTACACCATGGATGAGTTCTCGCAACCAGAGATTCTAGGCCGCGCGTTCGAGCCAGCCTCGTCAATGCGATTCGAAAGTGGACCCGGGTACTACCAGTGGCATTTCAAAGACAATTACGACCTATCAGCAGCGGGAAACCGTCTAGTATACGAAGTCACCCCGAAATACAAAACCGTGAGTCCCCCTAAGCCTCTCCACCCTGCTCACCCTCCACCACTGACTAAAAATATCTATCAGATTACGATCAAAGCGAAAGAAAAGGTTGAGCTTGAGGCTGAGCTGGGTGCGAAGATCCCTTCCTGGGCGAAGATCGTGGACGTGAGTCTAGGCGGCAAGGTCAAGGCGACAGGCGAGGCCGAGTCGTCGCAGGAATTTTCTATCACTTACCCTACAGGCGATATCACGGTCGAGGCTCCTAAGAGAGTGACGCATCCAACGTGAGAGAAAAAAGACTGGTTAGGTTCTACGAGGGATAACCCATGCCAGAGGTTTTGTCGTTGCTATTCAGGTCATGACGATGAAACAGGGCCTTTCGTATTTGCCCTCAGCTTCTGCCAATTCTTCATCTCGTGTCTCAGCTCTCGGGATCCCAAAGTTTGTCACTCGTATTTCCCAAAGTAAGGATAGATCTCTGTTCACTTATCCGCAAGCTGCTTATTCCCATTGAGCTTTTCACCCATCATTCATTTCCTTCATTGCGAGTTGATGAGCCGTACCTGATTAGTGATGATGATGGTGGTGCTTCCTGTGTTTCTTCTCATCATCGGAAGAGCTACTAGACGAAGATGACGATGACCCAGAGCCCCGGCGTTTATGATGACCTGACGAGCCGCCACCATATTTGTCGCCCTTGGACTTTTTCTTCTTCTTCTTCAGAGCGTCTTCGGCGATGGAGCCCGTGATTGCGCCACCCACCGTGCCAAGGAAGCCGTGGCCAACTTGATGACCACCAAATCCGCCTAGAGCTCCGCCGGCGAGAGCGCCCATCAGGCCTCGGTCCTGAGAGTCGGGGTTGTTGGGATTGAAGGATGCTCCGCCTGGCTGGGCTGCATAACCTGCAGGAGCGCCGGGGTAGCCGCCGCCATCGCCGTACTGGGGTTGATGTTGTTGGTACTGTGGTGGGTTTGGGGAGTGGCCGCGCTGGCTGGGGTCATTGTAGCCATAGCCCTGATTTTGCTGGGGATAGGATTGACCCTGTTGGTGGGACGAGTATTGGTCTTGGCCGTGCTGCTGATAAGAATCCTGTGGGCCTTGATTGTAACCGCCTTGGCCCCCGTAGCTCTGCTGTTGGTATCCCTGACGTGGGTCTTGATTGTAGCCATACTGCTGTTGTTGTCCCTGGCCCTGGTTGCCGTACTGTTGACCATATTGAGGCCCGCCGTATTGGGAGCCTTGGTGGCCGCCACCTCCTCCGTAGCCTTGCTGGTCTTGAGGGTATGGATTGTTGTTGTAGTAACCTTGATTTGACATCTTGATGGATCTCGCGTTCGGGCAACGAGACAGTTGAGGGCGTCAATCGCTCGTAGTTTGACCAAGGTACCAGCGCTCGAGACAATGGAAAATCTATACGATCACAGATTCGTTTGGCTTTGGCCGTGAATATTCTTTCAGATCTGTCAAAGAGCCGAGCGATGTTCGTCCTGACAGACAGTGGTGAGTAACAACAAGGCTTAAAAGAAGGTCTCATAGAGCTCGATATTATGGCGGGGCAGCGGGGTGGAATACCAGTGGGATTGGCTGCGTCAGGCCGGTGACCTTTGGCCTTTCCGCCAACGAAAATTCGTTCAGCCTTGTAACTCTCATCGACAGCCTTGCGCCCCGCCAAACTGCTCCTACGCTTCCACCGTGCAACTCTCACCTCCACCTCCACGACATCATCTTCCATATCGACTTCATTGCCACTTTGCAATTCGTACTCGATCAGATTGACCCAAGCTTCGGAGACACGCATATTGCTACTTCGAGCTTTCGACGCCTCTCCAGACGCTTGTCCTCCCTCCTGCTGCCGACAGAAGCTCTGCAGGACCACCGCAAGTTCGAGTTATGCCCTTCGAATAGCCAGCAGGAAGGATCGAGCTACCATGGCTCTGTCCTGGCCTGCCCTGACCTCCCATGTCTCACGAAGCAACATCATCAAACGGAAACTACTCGTCCCACGATATCACGTACGAAGACGTTCCCTGCCCGTCACCCAGCCAGGCCTCCACCACACGTCTTAGAAGTTCAAAGAGATGGACACAACCTGAAGACTGCAATGCCGACGGCAAATGGGTCCCAACAGATCGCCTGGAACTGCGTGATTCTCATCGTGCGTGACGCTAGATGACGCTACCGTAATTTACAATCGCCTTTTGCGCTCCGGACCTCTTGGGTGTTGTGGCAGAAGGAGAAATATACAATGACTTTTCTCGCCCAGAGTTGAATCTGGTCGATGTCAGGAGTGACACCACGCTCGAGGATCTGGTTATCCGTGCGGCCACCAACAATGCAGTTGATTACAGAAATGTCGCGGCAAGTCATCTAGGATCTCTTGACCCCCAAACCTCGACTGCTTGTTCATCCGCGCTTGACGCTGGTCGGCCTGGAGCAAGAACTCCAACTCTACTCCATCTTCTTCCGAAGCCTCCTTGAGTTCGTCCCATCTTCAACGACCCGTCTCCCTAAGATTGAGACTTGCCCCAGCAAGACGATTCCTGGTTTGGTTGCCGGAGCTTGAACAAATCCAATGAGATATCACCCCGCCTGCAGCCGCACTCTGAGACCACGCCTCATGATGACATGTCCTCGTTGGGACACCAGGCACTTCTGTATCCATCTGGCTTCTCCTGTCCGCAGCTAAGGTGATATGAAGTTTCCACCCATGCTGATATCTGCTTTGGCTTCGGTGGAGCTTCAAGACCATGACAGGCATACACTGTCTTCGTCCTCGAGGAAACTGCCCGCGGTGCAGACGCAGCTGGACATCCGAGACGGCCACTCCGTCCAACCATTCAATCAGGCAGAAGGGAGTCTTCACGTCGTCGTTGGGAGATCCGACTCTGCCACGCTGTTTGGTCACCCAGAAGAAGTTTTGACATCTCTTCTGGGATGTCAAGCTCGGCCGTGCCTTATGGCCACCACGACAGCTTCGTCAGAAAGGAACACTACCGCGGGTATCTTGCACTGTTCGACGCTTTCCTGTGTCTCTCTGAACACCTGGGTCAGTCCATACACCGTCACCCCATCGTTACCGCCGAAGAGGGCAGGACTTGCTCTTTGACATTAGGGATCAATACGTCGCCTGAATATACCCATTACGTCGGCGATTTTCCATTGCCCTTCTTGGTGGTGGACGGATGCACAGAATTTCCCCCTAGCGCACAGCCACAACCAGAATGCATTCCGGTTGTGGTCCGTGCACGCCAGTAACACCGCGTGACACCTTTCAACTTTGATTCACTTTGACACTCTTTGACACTCTGACACTTTCTAAGTCGGGGTATAAACCCAGTGTACATTTTTTGAACAACATTCCATTGCCACCAAGCTTAGGGCTGATCCTGATTTGTAGAATTGACTAAACTCATCTCCAAAACTCCGACTTATGTGGGTAAGGTGGTATGATTCATATATATATCCCTCTCCTTCAGGCCTCTTTCCGTCCCACTGCATACACATTCTTGGAGGTGCCCAGAATAGGGCACTCGCTTGAAACGATAAAGAGTACTATATCGTCGCGCTGCTCCCTCGCCCATTCAACAAACCAATTCCCTGAACTTTGTGAGGGTTTAGACGAGAGTTCTGCAACTAACAAAGTCTGCCTGGTAACAAGGAGGACAAATCTGAGGAAAGGAAAGGAAGATGCCTTCTGGTCCTTCCCTTATATCGCACGCCCTCAGTTCCTCAGGGCCTCGGTCCATGACTTGTTGAGGGCCCTTTCTGTAAGGGACCTGCGAGGGAGGAATATTGTTTCTCTCCCTTACGCTCTTGTTCCATTTCCCTTGCGTACGACCCCTTGCTGAGAGTACAATAGTGTCTTCCTCCCTTGCCGACCACGTGACCTAAAGTTAGCGTGTCTTCAGATCGTACGGAGATGCGTCAGGGTTCTTATATACAAATCTATAGGGTCTCATTAGTAAAATGTCCTACCACGGATCTAATGTGATATACGCATGCTAGAGATCTAACTGTCTCTTGTAGTTTTTCTCCGTTCCCAGCTCCAGTTTCCGGAACTTAGGTTTACCATCGACAATACCAGTGTCTCGTCCGGCTCCCTTTTCTTTGGCTTTGCGAAGAGTTTCCTCCGGGGTCTTTTTTTCCCCATTATATAGGATCAGAATGGGCTGTTAGAACGGGATTGGAGTAAATAAGGACTTGGGGCAAAGATAGAAGAATCTGCGGGCTTGAGCGAAGTGGAAATGAAAAGCAGGATCAGAGTGACGGGAGAAGGTACGTCCGAGATGAAGGACAGACGGAATGATAGGAAAAACCCGACGTGTACGGCGTGTAAGTCGCTATCACGAGAAAGGGTCACCAGAGTGAATGCAACATAGGGGACACGCTCCATCTTGCACGGAGAGCGTGGGTTACGAGAGATTGCACCCACCGTCTTTTGCAAGGAGTCCCAGTTTCGAACCTTAGGTTCCCAAAACTGTACCCTTCGCGGATAGTCGTCTAAACTTTCTATATCTTCGAAGGGAGGTACCCACGAAGTACAGCGTAAGTATCCAATGACGGTGGGGCCCAGAAACGGGACTGAGCACAGCTGATGAGAAGGATGAGGAGGGTGAGCGGCGGCCTGAGCAGGCTGAGCAGCTCACGCTGGGGCTGAGCCGAAGTTGAGCCAGGTCACCTAATACCTGAGTAAAGCGGCAAGGCATGGTCCCAAACGGGTGCCAAGGCCAGGTGCAGATTCGCCGCCGAATACCGTTGGGACACTGGCAGTTGAGTGTGTTTCCCAGACTTGCTGATGGCTGAACAACGCAGACTCGATGCGAACTCCTCACAGTGGATACAGCACAAGCGATACCATAGCGTCTGACACAGCTGGGCCTCCAAGAGAAGGTATTATTCACGCTTTTCGTGTTACTTCCCCCCTAATTCCAGACCCGGGTCCGGGGAACGCACGAACCGAGCATGAGGCTAGGTAAGAAGTCTTTCCGAGGAACATGATATGGCGTTCTTGCAAAAGGGTTTAGTTCCCAGGCCGTCTCAATATCACTCAACCCCAGACATCATCTCAGCTGCAGTCAGTGGTTTTGAGCGATGCAGCCCGTAAAGGACGGAGACGAAAGCCCCACAAGTCAGTCACCTTTGCTCCTTGCGGGACCCTTGGGTAATGTCGGTAGCTCGCTGGCCGTCTGATGAGAGGAGCAAACAGATGCCTTTGAGATCAGAGGCTAGTTTCTGGAGGGTCAACTCAGGAGGCTATATGTATAACACGGGACTGTTGTTACTGTCTTTTTTGGGAAACGATCTATATGCCATTCCCCGACAGTTCGAATCATTACACCCCGGACGAGAGACATGATTGCGAAAGAAATGACAGAAACCGTGGTTGACGGCGTCCACAGACTCCCAGAAAATGGCATTACAATCGTCATTATAGGCGCGGGCAACGCAGGCTTGCAAGCAGCGCTCGAGTGCTGGCGAAAAGGTTGCGATGTCGTGGTTCTGGAAAGAGCCGAAAGGATGTCGGGCTTGGGTGGGTGTCAACACATTGGACGTGCAAGGCGACCACTGTCGCGCTGACATACGGTTTCCAGGCGATTATTTTACCATCACTCCATCCGGGTTGACCACGCTGAAGGAATACCCAAGTATGCATGCCGACTACCACAAATGTGTCTACGACTGCTCGATTCATGCTTACACCCCTTCTGGGATGCCAATACACTCCACGGTTCCCGAGTGGAAGCTGCCTGGCGTCATCCATGCCGCGCCCGATGTCGACATATCATTCCTCAAGAGGCGACCAGTCTATGCCCAGATGCAGCTGGATCAAGTCAAGAGGCTCGATATCCCGGTCCACTGGGGCGAAGAGGTGGTAGCCGTCCGCGAGCAAGATGATATTGTGACCGTGACGACGGCGTCTGGGAAAGAGTTTGTCGGCGATTTGTGTATTGGGGCAAATGGAATCGGCTCGTCGATTCCTGGCTTCAAGGCTGGTCCCAACATCACAGTGCAGGACAGTGGCTACGCGGTTGCCCGTGTTGCCTTTCCTCGGGCTACTATAAAGGATGGTTCTCCAGCATCGGTGCTCCTGAAGGACGTTGAAATTCGACCCGAGTTCCGAACATATCTAGGGCGCGACATTCACTTGATCCTCTTCCTAACTCCCGACTGGGTGGCATTTGCCTTTACACATCCGGTGAGCACCTCAGTACTGCGCACATGTTTTTGCGTTTTAAGTCGTAAAGAGTTCTGACTTTCGCACCCTTTCATCAGGACTACGACCGTGCCCAGGAGTCGTGGTCGAATCTCAAAGATCCATCCGAGCTCGTTCCATACCTCGAGAAGGCGGCCGACGAATGGGACCCGGCCGTGCTCGATTTCGTCCGGTCGGCGCCGACTGGGATCGTTGACTGGAAGCTCAGATGGCGTGACGGTACGGAACAATGGACTTCGGACAGCGGACGTCTCGTTCGCATCGGAGATGCGGCGCACGCGTTCTTCCCCACGGCCGGAAATGGCGCAGTACAAGGGCAAGAGGACGCCGTGTCCTTGGCCGAGTGTTTGCGGATCGCGGGCAAGAAAGGTCTGCCACAGGCGACCAAAGTCCACAACAAATTGAGGTACGTCTTTTGACTCCCAGCGAGATTCTTTGTTTTCGTTTTGGAAGATTGCGCAAAAGGCGTTCTACGAATGGTTGTTGTTGTTGTTGTTGTTCCCTTGGCTAACAGTTTGATCTACAACAAAAAAACACAGGTTTGAGAGAGTAAGCATCCTCCAACAAACGGGGTTCCTGAACAGGGAAGAACTGCACAACGCCGACCTTGAAGCGATCAAAAAAGCGGAGCAGGATGGCAAGAACGCGTCCGCGGACGGGATCGGCTTCTTCAAGATCGGACGCTGGGTCTGGGATCACAACCCGGAGATGTACGCGCGAGAGAACTACGCCGCATGCCTGGCACATTTGATTGAAGGCAAGCCGTTCAAGAACACCAACGTGCCGCCGGGCCATGTCTATCGGCCGTGGAGTCTGGAGTCGGAGACCAAGCGTATGCAGGCTGGGATCAAGTCGGATTTGAAACGAAATGGGGATTGGAGTGTTTGAAACGAGAGTACATAGTATAACGATGTAGTTGTGAGCATTGTGCTTGTTTCTAACTTGGATAGCCGGACAAAAGGGGAGGGGGTATCCAGCCTTGCATGCAGATCCACTGCCGCAGGGCTCTGATCCATTCGACACCACCTGTCTTACGCTACGATGGGCAGGCTTGCTTGTTCAATAATACCAGATTCACGCAAATTAGATGCCGATGCCATCCGCACAAGTGTTAATCGTGTGGTAAGGTATCTCTTGTTGGTACTGTATGCTAGATTTACCACGATAGTACCAAGTCACTCATGTGGCGACAGGTCAACCAATGTTAGCGATCTCACGATATATATCCCTGAGGTAGGCAGTTTCCAATAGTGCTTGCTCAAGCTTTCCTCGGACTCAATCTGACAGGTAACTCGTCAATGAGGAGGACCAGTTGTTGCACGGGCATTTGTAAAGGTTTCTCAGGGTGGACGAGCTCGATCTAGTCGCGAACATTTTGTTTAGCGCGCCAGCTCGTCTTCTTGGAGAGACTCATCGGGAGAAGGGGCCCCCGGGATGGGATGCGGACAAAGGGCCGGGGGTTTGATTGACTTACATCGAACTTGTTCAACACCTCGGGCAAGAATTTCTTCATCTCGATCCACGCGACGTGCTGGCCTATGCAGCTCCGTCGGCCTGCAGAAAAGGTCATGTCGGCGCGCTGCATCTTCATGCGTTGCTCTTCGTCGGCGTCGAGCCAGCGTTCTGGGCGGAACGAGTCGACATCCTTGCCGTAGATGGTTGGATCGCGGTTCAAGGCGTGCACGTTGACGGACACGACGGTCCCGCCGGGGATGTATGTCCCAGCAATTTCGGCCCCTGACTCGGGGACGTCGCGCTCAATGGGATTGAGCAGGAGCGGGTTGAGGCGCATGGACTCTTTGAAGCAGGCTTCCAGGTAGCGCAGGCGGGAGACTTCGGACCAGGACGGTGGAGAAGAGAGGTTCGCGGCGTCAAGTTCGGCGCGGAGTTTGGACAGTGCGCGTGGGTTGCGCAGGAGTTCGTACAGGCACACATTGACTGTCGAGGCGGTGGTTTCGGCGCCGGCGTGGATCGTGGAGATCAGGATGCCGATGAGCGTGGAGGTAGTGAAGGTGGCGGGATCGCGCTCGGCGGCTTGTAGATATCGGTCCAGGAGGTCGGAGTGCGTGCCTAGGCCGCCCTTTTCGAGACGGGTCTGGAGGCGTTCGCTGGCGAGTTTGCCCAGGAGAGATGTGCCGGATGTGCGAGTTGCGAAACGGTTCTTGAACAAGAGGCGCTCGAGTCGCGCGAGCGGTCCCCATAGGTGCCAGTGCCGGAAGCGTTGGCGGGCGCCTTCGAGGGTGTTGCCTAGGTCGGATTGTTTGGCCATGAAGCCTTGGTCGTCGGAGAAGGCGATGCGGCAGATGGTATCGAAGGCGAAAAATATGGACCATTTGGCGATGTTGACTTCTGGGTCGGAGTCTTGGAGTTTGGCGATGAGGAAATTGATGTTGTGGTCGATATGCTCTTCGTAGTCGAGGATTGCGGTCGTGGTGAAGGCAGATATCACTTGCTTTTTCATGGCCGAGATGCGTGCCTCGTCGCGGGTGGTGGCCCAGCTGCTGATGAGTTTGCCATTGACGATTTGATTCATTACTTCGTATGATTCGGCCTATAGGGGAAGAGGGATTAGGGGCGGGACGAGAATGGTGGGAGAGGATTGTGAAATTTGGTATAAAGGTACCTTTGGGAGGGCATTTCTTGTATTGAAGATGACATTGACGGCGGACAGGTCGCTGAAGAGGACTCTCCGGGGCCCATAGCGCACGATGGGGCCATAGGTCCTGTGCAGGTCCACGGCGATATCTTTGAAGAGCTCGCCTCTTCTGTATTTTCCGGCGAGCCAGAAGTCGGTCAGCCTGGCTCCCAGTGGACCAGGAATATGCTTCAAGTCGCGTGACTGCAGGAATAGTCGTAGAATGAAGAATGAGGTGGCAATGCACACAAAGGTCAGAGGCAAGAGAACAGAAACTTGGCTGAACAAGGTGGCCTCCATCTTGACCTGGGAAATGCCTTACTTGAAAAGAAGGAAAACGTACAGTGAGACGGGCATCATGAAGAGGTATGAATGCATCGCGTAGATCCTTTATATATAAGATATGGCTTACTCAACTGCTTACCCTGGAGCCAGTGATTTAGCCAGGCTCATCTGAGCCGCTTGTTGCGATACCCCTGGAGGCCTGAAGATGGTATGCCCATGATCACGGTATCCTAGCCCATTGTGGAGCTGAATGGCAACACGAAAGGATAAATGTCCCCCACTTACTGGAGACAAATGCGATCGACGAGGGTTTTGTTTTCGGAAGGGTTGTCAGCTTACTATACGCAGTTAAGTGATTGGACTTTGCTATGGTACGGAGTATTGTGGGAGAAGAGAGAGCTGACAGGGTGGTTTCGGGTGGTTTCCAGGGCAGTGCACGGTCACGTGATGACGCACAGCTATGGTCACGTGCACTAACGGGCATCCAGCTTATATAATCAATCACGTTTTGCCCCAGGAATTCCGGGAATTACTATGACGGCCTGGCAGTGCCTGGAATGCTGGCTTGCTGGGCGTCTTCTCCACAGAGTTGCAGGCTGCTGTCACCTAATCCACGACTTACTCCGTACCTCGGCTTGCTGTATCACCTTTACCTTTGACGGCAGGTACGACGCCGTCTAATTCTGCCAAAACTTCATCTTTGCAAGAGCATCTCCATCGCCATGTCTTTCCTAGGAGGTGCAGAGTGCTCAACTGCAGGCAACCCGCTTACACAATTCACCAAACATGTCCAGAGTGACAACAGCCTTCAGCGGGACCGCCTTGTTGGGCGGGGTTCTGGTGGCCTCGAAGAGGGCATGCGCTCTCGTATGGCTCCCAATGGATCGGATCAAGTGAGTACCATTGTCCCGCAAAGTTAGGCACTGCTGACCCTCTCGTAGATGATGAACGACTTTATGCATCAATCCGGCCAATTGCCACAGCCCTTCGCAATGGAACAACTCCGACAAGACCTCCCCAATCTACAGAACATGACTCGGCGGTCCCCTTCACCCGGCTGGGCAGCAGAATTCGATCCTGGCGAACAAGCAAGAATGGAGGCTGCGTTTGCAAATTCCAAAATGGGGACCGCACCACAGAGACCGGGCGCGTTCTCACCTCAAGAGTTTGCACGATTTCAGCAATCCAGTCCTCGGACGGCAAGCCCTGTGACTCAGACACCTTCGATCTATAGGCCTATGGGACCGGGTTATATGAACGGCGGCATGGGGATGGGAATGAATTATGGAGCCCAATATATGCAACATCAGCCAGATCAGATCACGGACAAAGGAAAGGGCAGAATGGTGGAACTCGACGACGCCAACTGGGAAGCACAGTTTAAGGAGCTCGAGTCACAACATGACAACCTCTCAGAGCAAGCCAATCAAGCCATGGAAAAGGAGCTCGAGGAAATTGACAGGTCAGTGGAAGCCCCGATGGACAATTTCGAGGATTGTGAAAAATGTGTGGCATGGAATTCTAGCTGAACATTCTGCCAGACAAATGACCGAAGACGCCGCCGATTTTGAAAATGCCTTCTCAAGTGAAGATTATGCCGCTTGGGATCAGTTTGATTCCACGATGGGCTTGGGCACTCACAACCCCTTTGAGCGCGAACCTATGCTCGGCGACTATATGTTTGAGCCTCAGAATCCGTATTTAGAGGTGGACGAATCGGAAAAGACAGCGTTTGAGTATGGGAAAGAGATTCTCGAAGCTCACGGCAACCTCTCCCTTGCGGCACTGGCATTCGAAGCAGCCGTCCAAAAAGACCAATCCCATGTTGAAGCATGGGTACTGCTTGGTGCAGCCCAAGCACAGAATGAAAAGGAAGCACCCGCCATTCGAGCTCTCGAAACAGCTGTACGATTGGATCCGAATAACCTGGATGCTCTGATGAGCCTAGCGGTGTCCTACACCAATGAGGGCTATGATAGCACAGCCTACAGAACCTTGGAACGTTGGCTGTCTGTGAAATATCCTCATATTCATCCTCCCGAGGATCTGTCGGATGGTGCCAACATTGGGTTTACAGACCGTGCACTCTTGCACGCGAAGGTAGTAAAGCTTTTCATCAAAGCGGCTCAACTCTCGCCTTCTGGAGAAAAGATGGACCCAGACGTACAGGTCGGCTTAGGAGTACTATTCTACGGAAACGAGGATTTTGAGAAGGCCGTTGATTGTTTCAGAGCCGCCCTCGAGTCAACAGAGACCGGCCTTGCGAACAGACAAGGCCAAGTCCATCTATTATGGAACCGATTGGGGGCAACATTGGCGAATTCCGGGCGGTCAGAAGATGCCATTTCGGCATATTGCAAGGCACTGGAAGTCAACCCCAATTTTGTCCGAGCACGGTATAATCTGGGCGTTTCATGTATCAATATTGGTTGCTATCCTGAAGCCGCTGGTCATTTACTCGGAGCGTTGAACCTACATCGCGTTGTTGGAGACCAAGGCATGGACCAAGCCCGCGAAATCATGGCTGCTGAAGGTAATGGTGGAATCGGTGATGCCGAGCTGGAGAGGATGATACAACAAAACGAGAGCACGAATCTTTACGATACCCTGAGAAGAGCATTTACCGGCATGGGAAGAAGAGACTTGACGGAACGGGTGGGTGCTGGGATGAACCTGGATCAATTTAGAGGTGAATTCGAGTTCTAAAAGTGCCGGAACCATATAAAGACGCAAAATGATCATGACCTGGGAATGAAGCACTGTTTCTGTCTAGTTGGTTTCGTTCTAGATGAGTCTGTAGGTTGCAAATACCTCAAGACACTGTCGGGCTGCTGCCCTCAGCCTTGTCGATCCTTTCAACCTTTCAGCCTTGCCGCCAAGCCCCGGCGTCATCGCTTCCGTTAAGCCTGCAGTCGTGGTTGTGGTTGGGGACCGTGTCAAGCTGCGATACCACTACAATTCACAGACTACACGCACTCAGTCAAGGCTCATCTTACGGTCATTAGGCTCAACATAACTTACTTTCGCAGCAAAGAGGAGTTTAATCCGGCGCATACCTCACCGCTCAGCCATCTCGGTGGTGCCCATCACGGACCCGCAACCACATCACCACAACAGGGCTGCCTGCGGGCATCAATCACAGCAAAATGGACGAGCATAACGATTTTGACAGCATTTCCTGGCAGCGGGAAGATGCTGCTCAAGCCGAAGGATCCGCTGCCTTTGAAGCAAACCTCCCAACAAGACCTGTGACAGGTCGCAGAAGTGAGAGCATGTCCAGTGAGCCGCAGGCCGGTGATCAAGCGGACAACGTCGATCTAGCAGGAATAGGTCGCGACGGCGTACTAGAGGTCACAGTCGATGCTCCGCTGAAAGAAAACGATGGCACAAAAGACGCTTACGTGTCATACTTGGTTACCACACATGTGAGCTTTGTCTCCTATTCCGACAACGACGTCTCCGCTGACATTCTTTGTAGACAGACTTCAAGACGTTCCAGAAAACGGACTTTTCTGTCAGGAGACGCTTCACAGACTTCGTCTTCCTCCGACAAACGTTACATCGAGATTACCCAGCCTGTGCCGTTCCTCCGTTACCCGAGAAGAACAATATGGCCTATGTAAGAGGTGACCGGTTCAGTACAGAGTTCACACAGAGACGAGCTTGGTCATTACACCGCTTTTTGAAAAGATGCACTCTTCACCCAGTCTTGCGAAGGGCGCCGATCCTGATTCTATTCCTCGAGACAGCCGACTGGAACGCTCAAATGCGCATGAGACCATCGAGAAGTAACACAATTGAAGGTGGAAACGCAACAGCACCAACGGGATTCTTCGATAATGTCGCAGATACCATGCTAAATGCCTTCTCCAAAGTGCACAAACCTGACAAGAGGTTCATTGAAGTAACCGAGCGCGCGAATAAGCTCGACGAGGACTTGTCACATGTGGAGAAGATCATCACGAGAGTGGCACGAAGAGAAAGTGACTTGGAAACCGACTATGCAGAATTGGCCACGAACATGCGGAAACTCACTCCCCTGGAGCCGTCAATCGAGGCTCAGTTGCAGACATTTGCCGGTTGTGTGGAAGAGACTTCGAGAGGCTGGAAAGGGCTGAAAGACCACACCGACCAGAATTACTTGGGAAGCCTGCGAGATATGGAAGCCTATATCAACTCTGTAAAGTCGCTTTTGAAGACGAGAGAACAGAAACAGCTCGACTTTGAGGGTCTCACTGAATATTTACAGAAGGCAACATCGGAGCGAGACTCCCTTGCCTCGAGTAATCCGTACCATCACGGCTCGAATTTGAACCCAGCTACTTTCATCCGGAACAAAGTCGAGGACATGAGGGGCGTGGACCACGAGACATCACGCAGAGACCGGGCGCGAAAATTGGAGCTCAAGATTGCCGAGCTGAACCGCGAAGTGGACAGTGCCAAAGGCACCAGCGAAATGTTCGATGAGCAAGTGGTGCGCGAAGTCGCCGATTTTGAGAGGATAAAGGGTCTCGAGTTCAAAGATAGCCTCGGAGCAATGGCGACTCAACACATGGAGTTCTACCAGAACGTCATTTCGACGTGGGAACGATTCCTTGTTGATATGGATGCTGATAGTAAGGACAAAGGACGGGCAAGCTGAACTGAACAGGGGAGTGCGCGTGGCTAATATCAGGGAACCACAACGTGGGCTATTGCTCAGATAGCATTGAACGATACCTTAATGAGGCAGATTACATGCTCCATGTCCCACGCATCGAGTGCCTGTCTGCCGGCTTTGCCCTAAAGTACTTGTCCCGATCTTCATCGCACTCTCTGCCTAGCCAAAGTGTTTCCATGCTTTTGCTGGCCGAAAGCAATGTGTTATCAGCTGGCCCTACCTTCGACAAGCGGAGTATTCCGCTCCACGCTGAACGACAGACCGATTCCTGGCTATCTATATCAGCAATCGCTATGGAACATGGAATCATTCACCCCATCCGCCGCACGCCTGTTCTACTAAGGTATAGCAGAGTCTCCTGATGACAATAACAGGACCAAGCACGCAAGCCGTAACCAAAACGCCTGAGTGATCACAATGTCCTCCAACTTCCCCATCATCGACATCTCCGACCTGGACTCACCGTCCTCGCAACATCGCATCGCCGACCAAGTCACACAGGCCTGTCGCGAATGGGGCTTCCTCTTGCTTAAGAACCACCCCATCCCTCCGGGCAACATTGACGAAATGTTCAGCCTGTCCAAGACCTTCTTCTCTCTGCCCGAACCTCTCAAGGCCCAATACCCCATTACCTCCAACTCCATCGGGTACATGGGTAGCTTCCAGGACCGCGGCAAGGACGACAAGATGTCCATGTGGTTCGGGGGCGTGCCTGGCTCGTTGCTGGCCGCCCAGAACCGCGACAGTCTCCCACCCTTCTGGCACGAGCATGCCGGCAAGGTCGAAGCGTTCAAGCACCAATGCCACGGCCTCGTGATCAAACTCCTCGAGTGTTTCGCCCTGGCCCTCGACCTTCCAGATCGCAAATTCTTCGCCGGCGCGCATAAGGAGGACGTCGGCAACGGCAACAGCCTACGCATGCTCCTGTACCCTGCCCGCCCCGAGAAGCCCAACTCACACCTCGAAGACGTGGGCTCCCGCATGGCGGCGCACACCGACTCCGGATCCGTCACGCTCTTGTTCCAGCGCGCCCCGGGGCTCGAGGTCATGTCTCCTAACGGCGAGGAGTGGATCAAGGCGCCGTACATCGAGGACTGCATCCTCGTCAATCTGGGCGACGCGCTCAGTTTCTGGTCCGGAGGCCAGCTCAAAGCGACCATGCACCGGGTCACATTCGACGGGCTCCCTCACGACCGCGAGCGCCAGAGCATGGCATACTTTGGAGCCGCGAACCCGGATACAGTCCTCCAGCCGATCGTGCAGGGGGAGAAGATGGAGAAATACTATTCCAACGGAATCGAGTTGGTGCCAGGCATCACCGTTGGCGAGCTGAGCCGCACGATCATGCGCGATATCTATGGCGCGGCGTTTCAGCCGACGAAAGAGAAAAAAGCGCCCAAGATGGAAGGAGCAAGGCAGGCTACGGCCGTGGTATGACATTCACTGTAGAACAACTCAGCCTCATCAATGATGAGTCGCACCCAATTTCATGACTCCTGCTTTTCGTTGTCCTGCCCATTCAACATCATGAGTATTCGGCGTTCGGTTGAGCTCTCACATAATCCGCCCTTGTGAGAGCCGGATCATCGTCGAATACAAGCTCCGTCGAGTTCCCTTTGTTTACCCGAATACTGACCGGTCTCCGATAAGTCGACAAAGTCTCCACGCCGACACTGGTACCTGGTAGATGACTCGGTTTTGCCGAATTTAGAGCCAGCAATGTAAACTCGCCTATCGTGTCCCAACTTGTTGCTATTACCCTGGTCGACATGGTATACGCAGTAAATACAGCCACGACAAGACAGGAAAAGGTGAGAACCGCCAACGAAAGCTGAACGGTAGTTTCAGAGGGATCGTACCCGTACCCGCGCCGAGACATCTGCACCGAAATTCGGGAGAGCCGTGCGGGATCGGTCCAGTTGTCGAATGCGTAGTTGTCCACTTCGGCGTAACGGTCAAGAAAACCTTGCTTGTCTATGAATCGGAGCAGTGCATCACGTTGCACCTGTGTCGTGCGCCAGTTCTTTTCCGGGGTAGGCAATATGCCACCAACCCTGTCCGGGAACACCACTGGCAGAGTGCCTGGGAGATATTCTGAGCCGGCATCAGAAACCGCAATCGCAATCGCCGCAGCAGCCCTTTCCAGCATCGTGTTGAGATTCGCACCACTGCTGTTACGAAACAACTCTGACACACGGGATGCCCACTCACGGTCGAGGCTGATCTTCATACCGTGTCTAAATGTTCGATCCTCTGCCGGGTTGCTCGTGGTGATAGCAGTGACGACACTGAAATTCGAGTGCGTTGAGTACCAGAATGCATCAACATGGCAGCCGGTCATTGTCCAGAGCGTCCCAGACCCGAAACGCATCTCGCCGTACACTATCCATAGGCTGTCATTCAGGCCTGCTTGAGCCGGATCGAAGAACATCATGCTCAACAGACCGCCGTCGTTTATTGACATCAAACCAGTGTACGCTAGGCCGGACTCTGAATAGCCCTTGTAGTTCAGCCCGTTTACTTGAGGCTGTGGGCGCTGTCTGCCAGACATGCATTAGGTCTCCTGCTGTCACAAGGCTGTTGATATCACTGCTGTCATTTCCGAACCAAACCGACTCGGTCAAATTGTTTAGCAATACTTTGTCAGAGGAGACAACCTTTGTTCCACATCTTTGTTCGACATATGGCTGAAGATAGTTGGACACGAGCACGTTGTCGGAGGCCGTATTCTGGACCCTTTGAAACACCTGGGATAACGGCTGTCCAGGCATCGTGCTCATGAGCGAAGAGGTAAAATTTCTTTCGGCGTCGGTGCTCTGCTGAGTCAAGCCAGTCCAGTAGCCTTCTTCTGTCCAGTGCAGTGTGCGAAACCCACGGTCATCCGTGATTGTTCTTTGCACCTTTCCGACCAAGTCCATAGCCCCTAGTTGATACAGCGAAGCACTTACAGAGTCTTCCATCCTACCAAGGTCAGCATGCGCCACTTTCGCCTGCGTTGTACACTCACTCAACTACTCCGTTAGCCAGGGTTACTTGTGAGGGAAACAAATTGGACTGTTCTGCCATCAGGAACAATGTTGAATCCTCATGATAGTCGATGATTCGGGGGATCATTGCAATGGCACTTGCAGGGCCTACAACTAGCCCTAGCCCAAAAGCTGACGGGATCACCAGAAAGATGATGATTTTGTGCCGACTGGGACCATTCTTTGATGTCAGGCAAGCCCAGTACTCAAGTGACCACAGATATGAGACGTCTGCGATCTGATAAGGGGCAACGAGCACGCCCAAAGGGAGAGGTTGTTGACCGATGGCATTGGATCTGATTAGGTGCAAGATCATGAAAGCCATTGATGCCTGTATGAGTATTTCAAGTCCCTTCGCCGGCAATTGTAAGACTGTTAAGGTCGAGGTAGTCACGTGGCCAATGTAGAATGATCTGAGATTGAAAACCAAGAGAACAATCACCCCTGCCAAAGGCAGAATATGGATGGCGAGATTGAGCGCAGCAATCTTCCGGCTTTTGTATACCACCACTTTGGGATCCTCATGTTGTTGATGCCAAAATCTAGTGACTGCAAGAAGCTGAAGTTGAAGAGTGCATAGGACCGGTGTTAGAAGACTATGAGCAATGGTTGTTGCCCTAGACAGTGTTCGTCGCGAGGCAGTCCTCATTCGTGTCGCAGTTGTTCTCGTCCATGTTGCAGCTGCTCTAATTCGTGTTGCAATTGCCTGCCAGCCTGCCATGATCCAGGGTCGCGGAGCCGCAAGTATGCAAGCCTGGGAATTCCGAGAGCAGAAATGGAGTCTGATGGCTCGATCTCATGAGGACAGATTCCGTCTGGGTCAAAGAGAGCTTCACTGGCAATCGAGGAACCCTTGAGAGTGTTATGCTTCTTTGCAGGAAGCAGGCTGAGGAGAACAAGTACGACAATATGTCCATCTCAAGCTGCGGTTAGACGGCTTGGACCTCCCACGTGTGTGCCTACTCGGCGGTTGGAATGGGGCCAACATGCCGTGGAAGATGTAGGGGAGCAAGTGGCTCGTTAATAGAGGGAGTCAGCCTCACTCCGCAGAAGAGTAAGTCCGAACTGCATGGTCAAGCCGCAGATCAACCTTGGAGCCACTCATGATGGGAAGGCAGGTAGTCGCTTCGCTGATCGTTGTGCGGAAGAAGAGATGGGTAGCCAGGGCAGACAAAGGTAGGTTGGCGTGCACGTCGTGGTTGCCTTTTGAGAGATCGCGGCGAGAAAACAACGCGATCATAACGCTTACCGTTCGACGCAGAAGCAGTGCCGTTCCACTGGTTGCCCACCAGCTATCTATCAACCAGTAATATGATCATCACATCTGATGATGAGCTGTAAATGAGCCAGGGGAGTGCAGGGGGTGCCAGGACCCTTGCAGACTACGCCCAAAACCGGATTTACTGCAGCTCAGCGGGACAAGCCAGAGAGATGCGGGCGGCGTATTGCTCATTCCAGCTCGGATGACGGTCTATCATCAAGGACTTGGGACGAGACTGTTAACACAAGGTGTTTTGTAAGAAACGGCGCGCCTAGACGCCTGCAGTGCGGGCTGGAGATCTAGGTTAAAGCGGCACGACGCTCGCCCCTGGTGCTTAGCTTGAAAGGCCCACTGGCCCATACTTAGTGGCCCGAACCGCCTAAACCTTTTGCGCGTAAAGTGTTTGGATGTTACGGAGTACTCGTGTTTGTGTTCACATATCCAGCCCAGCATATAGACCACTCACCATGGCTGTCAGTAACAAGTGGGCAGTGCTTCCAGACATTGTAAGTCGGAAAGCATTTCCAAACCTCCAATTAGACCGACTGACACCGCCATAGGATGCTGCACCGGAAGTATATGAGACACCAGAACTGGCGGACGATGTTTCCACTGCACGGGTAAACCTCTCAAGAACGCGCAGCCTACAAGCATAGCCGCTGACTGCTTCAGACGGGTACTCTGCGCACCATATCCGAGTCTCCCTCCGACGACGAAGCTCGCCCTGGCCTAGACAGACAACCGCTTGACCGGGACGGAGCAAGACGAAGATTTGAACCTGCTCTCGTGGACGCCCGAGGAGTCGATTTCTCGGACACTATTGGCGGCCTTCACCGATCGTACCGGACACGCTCAAGACGTCGCAGGAGGCACGACAATGGCGCAGAAGAGCTGGGTGACCTGAGTGATAGCGAAGACGAGACTTTGGGCAGGAAATTGGCCAGATTAAAACGAGAAGCTGAAGAAGTGAGGCTCGAATTGGAGCGACGAGAACAGGAGAAAGATGGTGATGGAGAGTTCAGAGACAGCGTTGAGCAGCAACAAGGGGAAGAAGACGACGGTTTCGGTATAGACGGTGTTGAGGAACTCAGTAGAGTGCTGGACGAGTTAAGCACCAAAGCAAGATCCAAGACCGCCGGCTCCCTGGAAGATGAATTTCTGTCGAGGCTGGACTCCTCGAAACGAAACGCCGCGCAGGATACAAGACAGCCTACGAGCACACAGCAGGAAGTCGCTCAAGCAGCACCATCAGCGCTCTCGGCCGTGGCAGCCTTTTCAGACAGGCTCACGGCCTTGGAATCTGCGCTGGGCATTTCCTCTGCGAGTAACGACCCCCAGACATCCATTCTCCCGACTCTCGACAGCCTCTCGACGCAGATAACAGTCCTCAGCAATACTCTGGCACCGAAATCCTCTACGGCGCCACCAACCACTCAATCCATTCCCTCGCTTGACATTGTCTCTTCCAAACTCAAGACCCTCATCGCCGAATCCGACCGATTGACCGCGTCTCGCAAACAAGCCCTTCAAGCTCTTTCAGAGCTCCACGAATCACGTATGCGCAACCTCAACCTCATGTCACACACCAACACTCGTCCACGCCGCGGCTTTTCCAACGCTTCGTCCACACAGCAGCCAGCCGTTGCTGACGCAGCTGCACCAGGTGACGAGTCTTTACAAATCCAGTCACAGCTGTTCCTGGACGAGGAATCCTCCAAGATTAATGCATTGTACCAGCTTCTACCGTCGATTCAAAACCTTCAGCCCCTGCTGCCGGTGGTATTGGAGCGGTTGAGAGCGCTCAGCGTGATCCATGCTGGGGCGGCTGAAGCGAAGAACAACCTTGACACTGTGGACAAGAGGCAGGCTGAAACGAGAGAAGAAATCAAGCAGTGGAGACAGGCGGTTGAGGATGTAGAGAAAGGCATGTCTGACCTGGAGGACGCCATGAAGGGCAATGTCAAGGTCGTTGGGGATATGGTTTCGGGCTTGGAAAGCAGGATAAGCCTGTTACAAAAAGGGAGGTGATATCACGTCTATTGCGAGCATAGCGTGAAGATATCAGTGTCGGAATACCAACCAGGACTCGGTTGCTTCGCAAGTCGCACGCAGACTCTGTGCAACATTTCAACGTAGCAAATCTCGTCAAGGTGCTATCCCACTCTCACTTCTCTTCAAAACATACAACTTCGTCTCCAACCCCCAATGCACCCACCAACCTTTGGTCCAGCTCCAACGTTGCCCGAGCACTTTATCCACTCCGTATCCTTCTCTGACCACATCATGCACTATTCCATACATCCACTTGCCCACAGAGCCGTACATTTCTTCGGTCAATCTTGATAAAGCATCGTCTTCCCTCCTCTGCTTCTTCGGTCCCAGCACCAACAGTCCCCGACCCAGATCAGGTTTCAAGATGCTCGGCTTTCCCAGGCCAGGAACCTTGTCCACGATGTCCCACGCGCCGATCACACGCGCCGGATCTTCGACAACAACATAGTCGAATTGACTCCAGAAGCTGGGTGTGAGAAATTCCGTCTCATTGTCCGTTTTGTCGTACACCCACTGCGTCGGACGTGTCGACGTGAGAGTTGGCCTCCGGCCGTCTGCCGAGCCGGGCAATATTAACACTGGTCGCGCGTGCATTGGTGATGACGGCTCGTCGAGGAAGTGCGTCACGCCTGTCTGCAGGGCGAGATTGGTCAAGTGTACTGTTATCCTGGGCTGGGGGCCGTAATTGAGAGACAACGCGTGTAGAGATGTCAGTGCGTGGCCACCGGGGTATGTTAGTGCGGACAGGGGAAGAAGCAGGCCTGTCGACAGTAAAGCGGACGTCATGGTGGAGAGCACCAAAAGGTAGTGGGTCAAGTTGTACGAGATGTACCGGTGGCGGCGGGTGGTGATGTACCCTGCGCAAAGAGCGACGGCTGCAGTGATAGGCGGGACGATGGGGAAGAGGAAGCGCGTTTCTTTGTGCGGAAGGATGGAGTATAGAGCTGTGTAGGTCATGGAAGGGATGGTGAGATCGAGTATTGAAGATCGTAAGGTCGTCGTTAGGCCCCAGAGTGGTAGTAGTAGGAGCAAGGGGTTGAGAAGAAGTCGTGGAAGGGCGGATGTGAAGTACCAGTGCCAGGGCGATGTGCCCCAGGCTGAAGCGCCGCGGCCGCCCTTCGATGGCAGAACATTGGATAGGAACGCCGCGAGTTCGGGCCAGAGCAGTGATCGTGATTGCCAGAAGAACGTGTCGATGCTGACAGTCAAGAGGAGGCCTGCAACCGTCGCGGAGAGGATGGCCGGGAGGAAAACTGCTCGGACGAGGGAGACGGCATTGTTGAGGGTGCCAGTTTTCAGAAGTAGATAGGCACAGTGAGAAGCAAGGAGCAAGGCGATCTCTGAGCGGAATATAATCGTAGCAAGGGTCAGGAGGTAGAGTGCTAGTCTTGTCCGTCGGGCCTGGAGCTGCACCGATCCTGGGTCCGGGAGGAGGAAGCGCAGAGCAATTGTGGCTGTAGCACGCGTCAGATACCAGAACTTTGGTTAAGCAGCGTGGTTGTCATACTGATCCCGAATGCAAACATATTGGGTAGAGTCCGCGACGCGTAATATAGAATGTGAAACTGGCTGGCTTGAAGCATCGTATACCAGATGGCGGTCACAAGGCCATACGCACGTAGCAAGCCGGACGCATATCCGACGAGTGCCAAACCATTGAAAAGACCTAGGAGTCCTCTAACTGTTGACTGTGTCAATGTATAAACGATGGTGGCGAATATGGCTTTCTACCTAGCATTTGCTGCTGCTCGCCGTCGAGATGGCCATACCAGACCACCGGTTTGGCGAAAGCAGCCAGGATAAGAGGGCCGATGAAGGTCCTAGGCACAGCACCAGCGAAGCTCATATGGTCATACTGGGCTTTGAGCTTGAGGTAGACATTGTGTGTTGGCACGCCGTATTTCAATATGTCGTGCGTGGCCTGGATGTTGAAGGATTCTTCAACCTTCGTATAGCGCGATTGATCTAGGTGGAGAAGTATAAGCGCAACGATGCTCAGACTTCCGAGATACCAGAGCTCTACTCTAGCCATTCGCGCGACAATAAGAGCCAGTCAAAGTAATAGTTCGTCGTCGGTCAGTGTAATAACGTTGGACGAAGTTCATGAGAAAGGGGGTTTGCCTGACGAGGATGACAGTCACGTGATCGACTTGAAGACAGCGAGCATTGTAAGAATACTGTCCAATTCAAGGAGCGACATTTGATTTGTATACTGGTTATATGCTCGCGACATTGAGCCAATAAAGTGAATGAAGATGATGATTTAGATACCGAGCTTGACTACCCAAGCTCTGAAGTCATCACCGGGCTCAAGGCACGTGTATCTCTTCGAGCATTTTGCCAGCAATATCAAACGGCTCGCATGAGATTGTGACGGCGACAAAACGAGCTGGTTCTATTTGAGAGGCGTTACGCCATCGATGATTGGTCCCTCGTTGAACAATATGGTCCTGATGGTCATCAGCATGGCTGACAAGTTCTTCAGAGACATGGTCTTACCCCCGGCTTCAGCAGTACGGTCTCTCCGCTATCGAGCTCGTGTTCAATCTCGCCGACGGTGCAGATGGAAAAGTCAATGGACACTGTCTGATGCATCATGCTCGCTGCCCCTGGTGCCAGATCCACAACTAAAAGATTGGCGCCGTTAGGTGTGACGATCGATGGTTGATACCAGCTAGTGACTGCATCCTGGCCCAGGTATGCCTTCATGTCTGCATCATCTGCCAATTTCGCAGGGACAGAAGCCACTGCATATGAGCGAGCCATTCCCCCGATCTCTCCAACGGGTATGTACTGCTGTGGTGGAGATTTGGTGTAAACGCTTTTGCCCTCGGCATCGTGTGTCGTAATGTGTCGTTTGCAAGGAGGAAGGTCCGAGACTCTTTCAACTCTTTCGGCCATCATTATGGGATAAGATGTTGGTATAGTGAATCAAGGAGTGACTTGCCACGGCTGATCTCAATTGAGCGACGCTTTGAATTTTCCATCTCGGGGCAGCTTCCAACCTTATATAGACCACTTACCTCTCCCGAATGCCTTTAGACTGGGTGAAGGCAGTTCGCGGGAGCTTGTGTCCGGGCCATCCTTCCGCAGTGTCCGCAGTGCAGAGCGGTCGCCTAATCAGTGAACCTTCAGCGCGCCTTAGCTGACGAGCCAACGAGCGTGTTTTGGCGTACACGATAGCGGAATTTGGACACCCCAAGGACGTCTCACCAGCATTAGCGGTGAGGTCTTGCTACAGGAAGCATCAAATGGTTCCTGGATAAACCCAACAAAGGTTACACAGAAGTCTGTGCTCACGATGCACATTCCGAAAACGGTTTCCGCAGGAGAGCAGCTTCCACGAACCCCAGCGAGCAGCAGTCAGCATCGCATTGCTGTCTTACAGGGTTCGTGAAGTACGCGGATGGAGAAGCGGAGGCCAAATATACGGTTTCAGCACTAACACTTCGCCGTGCAATGTACTGCGGACCCCGTGACTGTCAACATGAAAATCTGGCTTCAACTCCGACGACGGCTGCGTTTCAAGAACAGGATACATCTTTCCAGCCAAGAATACCATATTCGACCTGCCTCTGCATCTGCATTTCCGACTCTACCCTGTCACTTTCTTTCTCGACAAAAGTGTCCACATCCCAATCAAAATGCTCAGCTTATTCGGCTTCGGCCCCTTCATCTATGGTGAGCAACCTCTGTCTACCGGATCGCAAAAGTACCCAAGACACTAACACACCACCCTTTTCTCAGCCAGCTGCCTCCTCCTCAACGCTGTCGCAATCCTCTCCGAAGACCGCTTTCTCGCTCGAAGTACGTTGCTTTTCTCGCCATAACCACCATTCCTCAGGGTTTCTCAGAAGGAAAAAGGAGGGGACCGAAGGAGTCGAGCTAAATACTAACACTCTATCTCGCAGTCGGCTGGGGGAAATCACAACTCAACGACCCAACAGTGGGGGGCGCTGCGTTTGGTGCTCCCGCTCAAGATCCCGAGAGCTTTCGCAGCAAAGGCATCAATCTGATATCGAGTATAAGGACACTATGTCGAGGTTCGTCGTCTCGCAACCAAAGTCCCCACGCAAAGGCACATAACAGCTGACCCTCCAGAACAATAGTGCCGTTAATATTCGTGAATACGGCCATAATCATCTATGAGCTGGTATTGGGATAGATCTGCTCACGTCACACGCTACACGAAGGACTGTACCACAATACTATCACCTTGCAAGGCCCCTGGGCCGAAGCGCAAAGACGCCAAAAAGACTCCAACAGCACCACCATCAATATGAACAGACATTCTGCATTGATCTTGAACTGGACTTGATAGGGGCGAAAGTTATCAGCCTCATTCGACCATGCTATCAGATATCGCGGTACCTCCGTATATAGGCTTGCGACGGCCACCTGCGCCCGGGGCCCAGTATGGGATGCGAAATATCGAGCTCTGCGAAGTCTACCGCACATCTCGTCTTCGAAGCTCCACCAGATTGGAAGGAAAAAGGTACCTAAGCAGCAACGCTACGAGCCCAAGATACTTCTGGCGCTTGCGGACCTGCTCTCAGCTCACCCCCTTGTCCCCCGTCAAGAACGAGTATGGACTAGGCACTTGAGCCGTCGGATGACACGTATCGACTATAGTGCATTGAAGCTGCACTACTAGTCAAGTGCCTGGAGGATTGACTTGAGCGCTTGCTACTACGCCGCCCGGTGCACTGTCTCCTGGGGTGAATGCGGACAGTGTGGTACTACAGCCAGATTCGATTAATTCATGGAAGATAGGATGGGACAAATACGAAGTATGAACTCAGGACGCATAAATTGCCATGCGGATTCCAGTTGCAACAAGAATTATATTTACGACAAGCAGAAACCATCCAAATCCGAGTCCGGGTCCGACTCTTGTCTGTCCCTTTGTATATGTACCCGATGATTCAACTCTCTTTTCGTGGTAGGCCGATATCATTATATCATGATCATCACAAATCATGGACATTATGTCACTTGTATACCTTGGGTATGTGCATGGCAACAAGGTCAATGTCAATGTCGAAACAAGCCCATCCAAAAAGCCCAAAAATTCTTTTCGCCGGGATTATGACCAGGCACATGGTAAAACGGTCCATAGGGCCATCACAAACATCATGACAACATGCCGAACGACTTTTTGCGAATACTGAACCGATTCTTCTTCTCCCTGGGCGGAGTATCTTTATCCTTGTCCTTTTCGACGTCCGGCGAGTCCGTTTCCGCAGAAGCTGACGACGTGGCCAGGTTTTCGTCCGAAGGCTTCGGTTGCGGCTTGTCTCTCTTCGTCAGCGACCCAAAGCGCAAGCTCTTGGATCGCTTGAACCTATCGAGACCCGAATGGCTGCTGCCATTTGGTGACGTGACCGATCGTTCCAAGCCATGCCGTTTGTCCTCCTCGGCTTTGGAGGCTTTGCTGGCTTCCAGGGCTGCCTTGAGCTCGGCCTCCTGCCGCTTGTGTGCTTCTGACAACTTGGTAGCCAATTCTTTCCGGCGTTGTTTTTCGGCTTCCTGTCTTTCTTTCTCTGCCACTTTCTCCGCAGCCTTGCGTGCCTTGTCTTCCTTGGCCTTTTCTTTCTTGCTTTGTACCACCGGACTGACAGGTCTGTCGGAGGTAAGGGTAGGTGATTTGGGCGGTTCAATATGACCATTAGTCATGAACTCGGGTGCCGTCATAGCGTGATCAAGCGTAGCATACTGCATGCCCTCGGTACCAGGACTGACGGTTTGGACTCGGTGTAGCTCGGCCGATTGTCTGGTGTCCACTGCCAGCCCATTGGCAAGATCCTGCGAGGCGCGTCGTTTGCCCTCCATTTTCTGTTCTTTTCGAATCGCCTCCATGGTGGTCTCCTGGTAGAACAACACATAAGCGCAGGCAAGTCCAGGTTTGTCTCCAAAGAAATTTCGAACATAGTTCTTGTCGACCGGTTCCACCATTTCATCGTCGAACAACAGCCATCCCCGATCCTGAGTTTTGATGACTGCAACGTAATGTCCATGATAAGGTCCGCCGCCAATGTGTACCACGACTGCGTACAGCTCGTATATTCGGTCGGGATCCTCGGCATCGTCGGTGGTGTTGAAAAGCCGGAGATGGTAGGGATATACGACTTTGTGGAACAGCTTCTGTAATCGCTGTAGGTCTTCGGTATATTTGAATCGTTTCAGGTGAAGTGCCAATATCCTCGGCAGCCTCTTAATCTTCATGCGCTTCTCGGCTTCCTGGAGACCACCACAATTATCACAATGAAACTTGTTCCGCTCACAAAGCATTTCCTCTTCGGAAAATCTGCGAAGACAAGCAGTCACAGATGAATGTTGCTCTAGATCCACCGACAAATCTAAAAATGGTTCATCACGATGAGAAACGTTTTCGCATGTCAAACATCGGGTTTCGGAAGTTAGAGTGCCCTCAAACAATTCGCGCAGCCATCGCGTGCTGGAGTTAGCCGTCGGTGTAGGGAGTACGGAAGGAAAGGAGACGGTCGCTGATTGAGATTTCGTTATATCACCAGAGTCGTCCGCTGACTGTTGAGCGTCTTGAGACTGCTTCTGCGCGATTAGGGTCCTGTCGTGTGCCTCAATATTTTCGACCACAGTATTAAGCAAGAGATTGAGAAATTCATGCGCGTCCTGATGCATGGCGGATCTGAACATTTCGTTATCCTTGCGCAATGTCTCCAGGAACTTGGCCGGACTGATCACGCCCATTCGTTGCTTATCGACGACAACGGCTTCGAATAGATCTTTTAGAGAGCTGAAGAGTGTCGCTGACATTTCATAATCCCGCGAGTTCTCATAGCTCAAGTTGAGTATGGGGCCCGCTAACAGCGCCTGTTTCTTTTTGTATTCGGGCGAATCTTTGTCCTCGGGTTTCTGTTGCTGAGGAGGAGTGCCAGCGTTTCGTGAAGAGCTAGGGCCTTGTGGTTTTTTTGCCGCTCCGTTGGCTTGGTTCGAGGTCTGTCGAGGAGGTGCATTTGCCTGGGCTTTGGCAACAGATTCGGGCGTGGAACGACGAGGATAGGATAGGACATTTTCTCGGAAAGGAACAGAATAGTAGAGACATTGCAGGATTGAATTGCAATAGCTGCGGAGGTCAGCTACACGAACGACCGCGTGAGTTTCAGCACTGACCAGGTATTCCCGAACTGCGGATTGTCCTCGTTAGCAAGACAGGGATACAGACAAGGAGGGCATACTCACATTCTCCATACCAAAGAATTTATCGCTTCCATCATGACGGATTGGACCAGCATTCATGAGCATGCGCTCTAGAGGGGTTGGGACAGGCGCATTCGGGTCCTTCTTGGTCGGGGCGGTGCCCACTGCTGGACTGGGTGCATTCTGGGGTACAAAGCAGTCAGTAGTTGAATGGCAAACGGACGCAGGGCGATGACAGTAGGGTGCAGGCTCCGAGCAAGGGCAGAGGTAGCCAGCAGGGCGGCCTCATTACATACTTGGCTCTTTAATTTCCCGAAGAAGGAAGACATTGTAGACGCGCCTCATCTGCAGCGACCCGAGCACATCGGCAGGAACGGTCACACTCTAGGAAAGCGCATCTGGGATTCCGAAAAGTGCAGGCAGGATCGTGAACAATGAACGGTAGTCAAAAGGGAAAGAGGAGAAGATGAATGTAGGCGCCAGTGCAACGGTAGTTGTGCTCATCAGCTTTGGAAATCTGCAGACTCAAGGTGGTAGTAAGTTAGTGATTCGAGCAGCAGCAGTAAGTAGCAGTAGCAGTGGAAGACTTCCATCCTCCATGATCGGACGAGTACGACGACCGAATGATGAACCAGGCTAACAGAAGACGGGCCTGGGAGCCTGGGGGTGGCCACTCCCACCCACTGGCTACTGGCTGCACCAGGCTCTAGCTACCAAAGAGGGGCAGAGGCGCATCAGGATTCAGAACGAGCACCGGGGACCATCAGATGGATCCAACAGCTATCAATCAGTTGACGTCCAACCAGCGGCTTCAAGTCGCCCATCACATGATGATCGGCTCGCTGTCTCGCAGGGCACTGATGTACGCGTATCTCATGGTGAATTCGCATCACCTGTTACTGCTTCTCAATTGTCGATCAAACTATTATTGCAGTGAGAGGAATAGAAAGGTGATGCGAGAGACAAGGGTCACAGAGCGCCTTAGCTAGGCGTGGTAGGCTCACTAGGCCGAGCTGCGGACAATTGCCGCGTGCCTGTCTGCAGGACCAACGTTCTAGCGCGCAGCAAAGCCTTCGACAAAACCGAGGGGCTTCCTTCGCTTGGCCGCAGCGGCGGCATTGATTATCGCTGGTAACCAACCACAGGGCCTGAGAAGCCACGCAAAAGCCCGCGATGCCCACAGACCACGTTCCACCCACAAGCATCCTCATGCAACTAGGCACAAACTGGGGTCGGCCTCTAAACCAAACCCCTTCTCAATGGTGGCTACACCAAAGAAAACCGGTCACCTACCTTAAGTTAGGCGAGCAAGTGTCGTAACAAGACGTGCCCCTACCGAATTCCCGTGTCCAGGCTTTCCCCTTCGAGTATCGTCGAGCGGGCTATGGACTTGCCTAATGGACAGTATGAATCGAGATGGCCCAGAATTGACTCTCAACACTCTCTGCAATGTCGGTGAGCCGAGTCCTGATGAAAGTAATCATTTTGGGCTCGCCGACCTCCTTTGGTGCAGGAGCTACTACTCCGTACTGTGTGCACCATCCACGTGGAAGGGAGAACTGATTAGTTAGCTAGGCTCTTTCCGAGTGGGCTCTGCAGCTCTGCCTATTCCCATCCAAGATCTCAGATGCTTCTGTTGTTGTTCCATGCATTTGGATGAGGGGAATCGGCTTCTCACCGCATCACAACCGTCAAATGACGTTAGCCCTCGCACCAGCCCCCGACGCCGGACTTTCTCGTCGCAACGCACCACATCGCACAGTATGTGCGCGGGTGATCACCAGTGGTCGACTCGACAATGTCTACTGTACCATCCACAGCCCGTCCATATGATCCTACGAAGTACTGGGAACCTTCCCCAGAGGGTCGCCTATCAGCGGCACTGTCTGACCTGAATATTTGCGGGGTGAGATGTGTCGCCCCAGCGGGCGTCTTGTCGCCGCGCAAGCATAAGTCTCACGATGCAAGATTCAAAGGACATGAACCGCCTAAGAGAGCTAGTGCACTTTCCAAAGCGTCCACCGTCGGTCCCTTGAGCAAGTTGCATGCACTGGATGACGGTCTATGAATGTCCAAGGCATCGTCCTGAGGGTATAACACCCCTTCGACCCTCCATCGTCCTGCCCTGGGAGTAGCGAGTTTTGGATTTCGTTGAAGTCGTCATAATATGGCCAGCGTGCCTTTCCTATCAATCTCGTAGCCGGAGGATCTCCGTCAAGAACTCCTCGAAACTCATAGTAACATAGCCATCGCGGTCGTCATCGTATTTCTTAAACACATCTGTCATCCTTTTTAGACTAATGCAGGCCTGGACGAACAAGTCAAAGCTCATTCCTTGGTTGAGGACTGGACTCCGGTCATTGAAGGTATGGTACAGCACAGTGACAAATGGCTGTGACAAGCGGTAGCCAAACGCCGTCATGGCTTTGGAAAACTCCCCCAAGGATATTCGGCCACTGCCGTCTTCGTCAAAGCGTTCGAACAGTGTTCGCCAAGCGGCAAGAAATCGCCAGAGACTCTCAAACTCGGTGAACGTGATGGTCGGGCCCTGGGGTTGGTTGGGTGGGGAGGTAGTGAACATGCGCATCAGCGACGAGATGGTGCTGCCGTCAAAGGGAGTGAAATCGGCATTTACAAGGGCGGAACCTAGTTCAGTAGTTGTCATCAAACCTGTTCCCGACTGATTTGCTGCACGGAAAAGAGGGAAGAGGTCGGCTGAATCTGGATCAGGAGGCGCAGTCGCGCGGCCGGAGTAGTGATTTGTCTCACTCGAGGACCGTCTTGGTTCGTGTTGAGGTCGATGACCCCGTCCATAGCCGTAGCTTTGTGGTGGGGGGGATTGCAGGCGATTGTACTGATTGTCGACGTAGGACTGGTTGTTAGAAGTACGTTGCTGAGGGTAATTTTGTACAGGAGGCGGTCGATACTGGGAGGCAGGGGATGTACGGCGGTCGCCTGACGGTGGAGGACGAGGAGCGTTAGGATTTAGTTGTGCCTGATTTGTATAGCGCGTGCTTGGGGAGGGGTTGCGGTTTCCCTGCAGCTGACTGAGGGCTTGAGCAGCCTGTTCTGGCTCTGCATGTCTGTCAATCACAGTCAAATTAGCAAGCGGGACATGGCCTGCCGGCTGGAAGGCAATGGACTTACGCAGGCAAGGCGTCAGGATTGAATGCTCTGTTGTAGGCCATGGAGAACACCACGTCAGAGATGAGATGGGATGGAGTGCGCGGAGAGAGAGAAGGACAGTGAGAATCTTATCGTCGATGTACAGGTCGTCAAGCCATGGCGTCTCACGAGGTAGTTTCAGGTGGCTTCACGGTTCGTTTGCCAATGGCTCGTATTCGTGGTGAATCCAAAGCGCAGTCATCGCAGAATAAGAATAATATGCGCCGAGGCGCCAAAGGTGCCCGGAACAAGCCTAGCTTGACTTGTGTCTCGAGGCTGCCTCGCGCAGGCCGTGTGACAGAAGTAGAACCTTGGAGTGAATCATGCACTTGCATTCGAACCATCACCGCCTTGGAGGAGTCGTGTTCGATCTTGATCTTCCTCTGATCGTCCATTACACATACTTAGAGTCATCTTTGCATTCATCATAAATCACAGATTGCCTGCCCTGCCTGTTTCTTCACTAGTTACTTGCTCCGACGAAATCGAATCCAATCCTGTCCGGATCCCTTTTCCCGGCGTCTATCCGATTTGCAAGAGCTTCCTGCGGCTCCCACCGTGGTTCAACGGTGAGGGTCCCTGCACTATTCCCTTGCTATGTAAACTGCCACCAAGAAAGAGCATCGGAGCAGTGGGTGAAAACCTTTTCTGCGCCTCGAAGCAGACCACGGCAGGCCTTTCCACGACCTGCAGATCCTGGAAGTGCGTTATCAACTAATTGCTAGCCGCTGCAGTGGAGGGGACGGTACGAAGCCCGTGAGCATCTGCTCCTGCAGCTACCCTGGGACTGCCACTCAGAATGTCTGCTTAGGGCATCCGGGTACGCGTATCGAGCTTCCGCAAGCACTTTCGCGCTCATCATTCTCGATCCGTCACTGGCCTTGCTTTAATTGATCTTCATATGCAAGCCATTCTCCTGCCACGTTTGCGTACAGTTCATTGACTTAGTACAAAAGGACCTCGACGTTCTTCGCCCAGGTACGGTTTTCTAGTCCAACAATCCAGCATTTCAGATCCCGTGATCTCGCACTCCGGTCACGACAATTTCTCTACTGCGTATCCCTAGATTGAGCTCCAAATCGTCGACATGGGCTCTGATCAGCCTGAGGATTTCTGGCTGTTTGGCTACGGGTATGTTCATCCCAATGACGTATAGTAGCAAATCTGGGAGGAGACTCAGTCTTTAACATTGAGCAGGAGTCTGATATGGAAGCCTCCTCCACACTTCGGTAAGATCCTATGCGAACACTGACGTTGCAATGTGCTCGAGGTTCATGAGGATAGATCGACGCATTCCGGGTTATATCAAAGGCTATGTCCGTCGATTCTGGCAGGTAGGGTCGGACGATCGAGGAATGCTCGAAATATATTGGATATGGCTAACCAAATCGGCTGCTTAGGCCAGGTGAGTACTCTCGAACAAGTCTCACGGTCGGGGTTGAAGTCTTTCTTAGTGAAGACCATCGAGGTACTCCAGATGCTCCTGGAAGAGTGGCCACGTTGATCCAAAGATCCTTTTGGGAAACGCTTGACGATCCTGTACGACCATGACCCGTGACTCGTCTCACCGCAGATTTTCCACATAACTAATCCATAACAGCAACGTCAGACCGAAGAGGATTATGTCTGGGGAGTGGCGTACCATATCATTCCGTCAAAGGTCAAAGAAGTGAAGGAGTATCTTGACATTCGCGAGATGTATCATTCTTCGGTCGAGGGCTTGTGGTCTGATCACTGACCACTTGGCAGCAACGGGTACAGCATCCAGTATACACCATTCCACCCCGCAGACACAAGGCTATCAGATCTTCATTGCCTGGTGTACATCGGCATGCCCGACAACCCCCAATTCTTGGGTGCCCTTCAACCTCAAGAGATCGCCGAGACCATCAACGTGAGCATCGGCCCAAGTGGTGAAAACAGAGAATACCTCTTGCACCTCGAAAAGGCTTTGGAAGATCTGAGCGTCGACAGCTACGATGAACACATTACCGACCTTGCCAGGCGTGTCCGTGCACTGGCTCCGCCGAGCCGCTCGTCACAACCTCCCGTTGCATCAGATGCGTTGAGGAAGGTCAGCAGTACCGAAGAGCAAGAGGAGATCGAGAAGGAAGTATGATTGGGCACTCATTACAAGAAAATCGTTCGGCAAATTTTGCAGGCCTGGACAGCAACGCTCTTAATACAAATTTGAAAATTACGAAAATCTCGACGCCCCGTTAGACGCGTTCTGAATTGACTTGACGGACGAACTCGATGGGTATCTCCATGCAATCATTTCCCGGCCGTGAAAAGGCGCTCATTCTAACGACGATAGGGTCCTTGAGGCCCGTAAGGATCGCTTGGCCCTTGCGACTGTCCTCCACCGTATTGGCCTGGTCCGCCGGGTTGCTGGTATCGAGGATCGTACTGTCCGTACTGAGGAGCGTACGTTGCACCACGTCCATATGGCATCGGGTTCGGGTTTCGCGCTTGGGCTCCCATTTGTGAATATCCCCCCGGCGCAGCGGGTGACGGTGTGTATCCACCTCTTCCAGAAAAGCCGCCACCTCGACCTGAGCCGCCCGCCCTGTTGTCTTGCGCATGGTCTACTCGAATGATGCGACCATCGAACCTGGTCAGGAGGTTAGCAATGAGGCCGCCGTGACATTGGTCCGCCACCTCACTCAGTGTTGTTCATCTTCTCGAGCGCCAGGTCGGCTTCGTCCTTGGTTTCGAATCGCACAAAGCCGAATCCGCGGCTTCGGTTGGTATCTCGGTCTTTGACGACGACCTGGAAAACATCAGTAGCCGGACATGGAGGCTTCCAGCAGCGGCAATACAGCTTCCTCCACCTTTCCGAATTGCTGAAACCCCTCTTGCAGAGTCTCGTCGGTTGTGTGCCAGGCAAGGCCCCTGCGAACGTCACTGTTAATACGAGTTTCCACGAGGTGTCTATTAGGCCACGGTACCCGATGAAGAGCTTCGCCATGCTGCAGTCGACAGGCGCAGGACAGATAGGTCTGCGTCGAGATGAATTGACGCCCTCGAAAGTAAGGTCCGACGGCGGTCTGTGATCCCTTGGGTACACCGCACGAGGCCAGAGTGGTGTAAGGTGAAGAATAGTCAGGCTTTTGCCTGTCTCGAGGATTTTATTGGTCGAAAAATTGCAACGGTTCATGCAATCTATGACTTAGATCATATGCATGCTAGGCCCCAATCAAGGATCTTGCATCAACACCGAGATTCCTCGAGGTTTGGGCACGCGAAAGAAAGAGAACAGCAGGAGACCATTGCACTCCGTAAGGCGGACGAGGACGGCATGAGTTTTAAGTTCCGAAAAGTACTAAATGCTTCCACGTGGGATCTTGCAATGGGACTGTCAAACTCCGCAGAGGCAGGGCGGTCACCAGAAGTTTGACAGATAGATGGTTCCCAGCAAGCGGTCTAGATGACGAGGATCGTCGACGCAAAATAATCCATCCTCGTCCCAGGGACAATTACTAGCGACACGAAGCAGCAAAAGCCCGCAAAAGCATGAACCATGAGTGTGTGGAGTCTGCTGCTCTACCATGCGGTGAACCGCTGCAGGCTCCTTGTGATCCTGTGATGTAAGAATGGCCGGTTCCAGTCAACGGTGGTGTCGATATGGGTGCTGATACGGTGAGGTCTTCGGAAGGCATTTGGCACGGCGGGTGAAAAGTGGGCCTAATCCAAAGAGTACCCCCAGGGAGCACCGGCAGCCTGTCGCCGCTGTCGGCAAGGAAGTCTACACAAACCTTGTTCCTTGAGAATACGATCGGATTCCCTTATCTCTGGATAAGGACGGCATGTCAGCCTTATTGTAGGGTACAGGGTATCTATGATTCGGATACGAGAACATGTTCGCGAACGGGGCCAGAAAACCAGCATCAAGCCACCACGGTGCTGAAAAGGTCCGACGGTGGGACGTGAAGATGAGGGTACTGTCCTCCCCACGGCTTCTACTCTTCTTTTTATGTTCTAAGCGATGTCCGTTGTGATCAATATCGAGCATCACGCGGCCGGAATGGAAGCGATGGAAACAGGTCGAGAGGCAAACTCAAAATGGCAGGGACCGCTGATTTCTAGGACAAGAAAAGATTGTGACTGGTGGCAAGGGGCTTGAAAGCATTGTGAGCGGCCTAATTAGGTTGTCGAACCGCAATTGCCTGGAAATGGTTACTGGAGACTCGAAGTGGATGGTCTTATCGGAGGTTTGACTTGGCACATTCTGCGGAAAGCACCCCGCTGCGCTGGGAGAGAGATATTCACATCGGAGCGCTCGCAAGACGTGACAGCCTCTAGCAGTTGGGGCCACCAGGGCACGCAGAAGGTTCCCTACTGCACAGAACGATGGTCATCCAACTACCGCAACCTGTAGGATTGTGTGCTGAGGGAGCAACAAGAATGGCTCGGTGTGAGTGGTGACGGCAAAGCGGTGGAGGACCTGACGGGGCGCATTCCAGCGGTTGGAGTGGAAGATTCGGCTGGAGAAAGTGAAGGTATGATGCAGGCTCCCGAGGGCTGGGGGGGTCGACATGAATACGATACAGAGTCGAAGCGGTCTCTGAGTGGCTGCTTGGAGATCTGGAGGGTGGTGAGGGAACCCCATGAGGGAACGACTGAGGACGGTGGTTCGTTCGATGAAGACACACTGCAGGAAGACTAATACAGCGATAAAAGCCGGGCCTAAGCAGCAAAGGGAGAAGCCTCAGTAGCCCGACAACTTGGCTCTTCACAGCTCTTCGTTTGACTCGTACCGCTTCTCATCTCGAGCACCTCTAAAGGTTGCCGTCCTCACCATCGTTACCCTAGTAGAGTTGCTACCGCTCTCTGTATCTTGCAGTATGGCGCGAAACTCGTTCTGGCACCCCTCCAAGCCCACCAGCGTCTAAACCTGCCCGAAAACAGCTACGCAAAAATCTACACCGACTTCGCTTATGTGCCCTTCGTCCCCTCCATTCCTCTTTCGAACCGGGATCGACGAACATGTCGGAGAATATCGTGCAGGCTCGAGTCAGCCATTCCGTGTCACTTACGAAACCATCGGGTGCCACCATCTGGTGCATTCGCAATCGGAGATCGTCCTTCTCTATTCGCATTTCGGGCAGCATAGCCAGCCACAACAGAAGGAAACCAGTTCCTCCATCTTCCCTACTCATAGAATTTTGCTAGATGACCACAAAGCACCGTGGTCTGTTCCACCTGACCTTGATATGCATGAGAATCTGCAAGATCAAGACTATTGCATGTAAGCTTGACCGACATGCTGCAGGAATGACTTGCAGCTCGCCTTGAGGGTCTACTTAATCTTGATCCACATTTTGGCCTCCTTTTTGCATCAGCCTCGTCGTGGTGGCCAGGACCAAAACGCCAGTGGTATCTTAGGAGCAGACCTTCAAATAGAGACACCGAGTTGGCAGCGTGAGCGCAGCTTTTCTCGATGCCCATCTATGCCAAGGGGGCCATCATCTTCGGTTGAGGGAAGGTACCTGACTAGGCCTTGCCGTCCTTCTGACGTCTCTCTTTTCCCAACCATACCAACCCGTCCATATCTTAATCTTTTCGCATTGCCCTTCCTCGTACTCTTGCTGCCCTTCCGAAATTTGGTTGGACTACGGTTAATGATCGCATCCAATGCTGATGCATTTCTCACATGTCGTTTTCACAAGAACCTGCTCCTGAACCCTCGGAACTGGTCAAGAGGTGGTTGCAGGGTATCCATCAAGACGCGCCCGATGCAGACATCGTGAAGCCCGATCCCAGTTGGGAAGACGTTCCCACTACTCATGCCGCAGTAAATGCTTCCAGGTAGGACAGCATTCTGGAGCACGGAGTCGAATACTGAACGGGAACGGCAGCCAGGTTTATGAACGCCGTGCTGAAGAGAACAGAGCCGAGGGCATGTGTGCAGACAGTTATAAAGAAGAGCGGGTGCTGAACTGTTTCTATAATACAGGTCACCTGCCGATTCAGACCCATTCACCTTCGGAGAATAGCCGAGCAGCAAAGCATCGCGAGGGAGAATACCACATTATCGAAGAAGCAAGGCCTGGACGAGAAAAGAACAGAAAGAGACGCTACGAGCAAGTTACCCCTCCGCCACAATCTCTTCCTGGCGCGGTCGGCGTTAGAACACAGCCACCAAGGCCAAAAGATGGAAGCGACGTCACAGATCCAAGCGACAAATACGCTCGAAAGCCAAGGCGCAAGACCAGGCCAGACAGATATGAGTACAAGGAGGATTCACGAAGACACACGGCCAGACGAGGATCCGAGAAGGTTGACCACAAGAAGTCAGGGACCATGTTGAACGACGAGTTTCGGGCCCCAAATGTTGGTACAGGAAGACTCACTTTGAAGCCCAGCCTTGGACCGGGTATGTTCGCCAATGGCAAATCCTCTGCTCCTATACGAGGACAAGGGCTACCTGATTTATCATTTTCCGAGATGACCTTCCTCAAGAAGAAAACCCTGCCGCAACATACCAAGCTACCCGATCAGAGCCAGACCAGAAACTTGAAAGACCGAAGCGACAAACCTCCGAATGATGAAATCTCGACTTTCTTTTCTCGACCGCTCCATACCGAACAAAAGATATCTTCAACAACCTACCAGACGCCCTCGTCGATCCGTCCCCCTAATCGGTCCTGGAGACTGACAAACCCTGAGTGTCCATGGCAAGATGATTCCGAGATACCCATACTCAAGCATTTCAGACCCCAATCATCGCATCGCAAGTCGGTGATGTCTCGCAACGGCACTCCGAAATCTTGTGTCTCTTGGTCGACCTCTCCTTCTCGGAAACCTAGGCAATTGGAGGCGCAACAACGAGATAGCGTTGCGTCATCGCATATGTGGAAGAGAGCATCTTCACCGCTAGCCCCAGAACGGTGCCAGATAGAAACTTCTACCTCGATATGCCCTCGGAGTTCGGTCACGAACCGCTTCTTGGAAGACTGGGCCACGAACGCCCTGCTGGGTGGGATTGAAACCTTTAATCAGCAGGGGAAGCTGTATGCCTCGCTAGAGGAGCTAAAGGCTTTGGCAGAGGAAAGGATGCGGCATGACGCTCCGACTAATGCCAGCCAGGCGAAACTTCCAAAACCAATACCCTCACCGCAGCTTGATCGCCAACTGACCGCCACTGGAGATTCGGAAGAGGTTAAAGATTCCGGACAGAGTTCCATGTCATTGCAGGAGCGAAGGAACGACCAATCGACATGTCCACGAGCATCCGAGAGCAAAGTGGGATATCCTCAAGAACACCCTCCGGACGACTGCAAAGAAGGTAAATCAGCGTCGATTGTGTGGCAAGAGCATGACCCAGGACATCCTTGCGATCTCGAAGCGCTTACAGCCATTCGAACAGGACCAGAACATTCCAGCTATTGGCTCTCACCGGTGGCGGACCAAACTTCAAGGGTGTCAGTGCATCCTAGATGCCTTTCTCACCAGGAAAGTCAGGACATGGAGAACGCCGATCCTGTTTGGTCACAAGGTGATTTGCCCTTACTTGCGAATTACAACAGCATAGGAGATATCCAAGCTCGAGCATATCAGCCACAGTGGGAGTACGAAAATGCGGTCGAGAATGTGACAGCTCGACATCATCAGCCTTTGTCAGACGGTCTGGACGAGTTCGACCTCCAATTATTGCAAACGAGTCCAGCGAAGTTCTCTCTTCCAACAAGGACACTTCCGACCATAGGAGAATTTCCGTCGGGTCAAGGAGAGACAGATTGGCATAGACAGGAGAAGGAGGAACGCGGGACACCGCTCCCTCTGCCAGAAATATCGGTATCTGATCTGCCACTACAACACCAGGACGAAGAGCAGCAACATTGGGGATTGGACAGGGGATTCTGGGGTGACGGATCGGTCGACAAATGGCGCTTCGGTCGCAGGGTAGGGACTTCTCGCCTACATTATACGAGTAACGATGTATTGGAAGTCCCGATGGCACCGCAAGAAGAACCCTTTCCGGGATTTTCTCGGCCACACCCCCTGTATTGACCCATCTCGCCATACTCGGTGATGAACAGTACTACGGGATAGTGGGAGCAGTAGACAACTGGAAACCATCTTGTTACATTCTTCCCCTGCAACTACCGGCTATTTGCTCAGCTGACTGTTGATTCGAACCACTGGCCATCAATGCGCTTCTCGCTTGTGTCAGCGATCCTTTGCCACACTCCAATAACAGCATAGGTGCGCCCTGGTCCTTGATCAGCGGATGACTGATGCAAGAATTATCTCAACTTGGTGTGCTTGTTCACTTGACCGCCGCGATCCGCTCTCCCGGCGCTGTGAAAATGTGACAAGGTGTTGTACATAGATAGTCGGTAAGTGAGTAATCATCGCAAGCAGGGACGACGTCGACGAGGTGGGGTAATCGAGGTAATCTCTACCACCCACCATCGCATCTTCTCGAGTCCAAACCTAATGATATGAGGATCCTCACTTGGCCATACCACGGTATATCATGTCCATGACTGGGAGGCACACATGATATGTCACTGTCCGATTAGCTCGGCGCAGTATCACCACAAGAGACCTGGTCCAGGGCTTAGCACAAGAGATAATACCACTCATTTTTGCGAACTTGATACACGAGCACAGACGAGGTGACGAGACACTAAACATGAAGAAAGTCTTCAGATATTTGCAGGATCAAGGTATGTCGTCTTTACAGCCTGCAGCTTGTTGCCGCTCAGTGGCCCCCTATGAATCATACATACCATGTGATGACTAGCTAGTGACAAGGTTTCCAGCCGTCCAAGCCTCACAACAGAAATATTCAGGCGCCGCATATCTCTCGTCATCGAGCAAGGAGCCGCAACAACGGATACGCCATAATGCCAGCTCCTCGCAATACCAGGAAGCCCATACAACTCATCATCACTCCCGATCCGAACATCCCAGCACCGCGGCACACAGCTTTCCCGCACACACGACTGCCGGGATACCGAGATCTGATCATGAACAAGAACAAGAACAAGAACAAGAACAACGAGACCCAGAGGACCTTCCTTCGCCGAGTCCCAGGATCTCGGACGACCTGGCAAGGAATGTCACTCGCCATCAGTACGGACAGGACAACATCTTACAATCCTACGACCTCTACATCCCGGAACCCAAGACCGAGGCTGAGGCTGACGCCGACGCCGACGCCGACGCCGAATCGTCGCCCGGGTATTGGATCTTGTACATCCACGGCGGCTACTTTCGCGACCGCAGCGTGACGTCTTCATCTTTCCTCCCGGCGCTGTCAAGGATCGTGGCTTCTGACGGCCATGAGAAAAGCCGTGTTCACCGTCTGGGGCATCCACATTTCCATCTTAACAGGAACCACCACACCACTACTCGAAGCACCGACACCAACACCAACGAGAAAGAAGGTGTCGACGATATCTCGGCATCCATCTCCGGGTACGCCTCGATAAACTACCGGCTCTCACCGCACCCAAAGTCGCCACAGGACGCGCGCACCACACCGGCCTACGAGCTGCGCAACGCCAAGTGGCCCGACCACATGCACGACGTGCTCGCGGGCATCGCGCATCTGCAGCAAAAACACGCCTTCGGAGAGCGGTACCTGCTCGTCGGCCACAGCGTTGGCGCGACCATGGCGTTGCTGAGCACGCTTGCCAGCGCGAGGTCGTTCACCACCGCCAGCACCAAGAACAACGGAACGCAGCAGCGGCAGCCTGAGTTTGAGTCACCGCAGTTGCTGCCGTGCATAGAGCCGCCGCTAGCCGTCCTGGGCGTCAGCGGCATCTACGACTTCCCGGCCCTGCATGACAGTTTCCCGTCGTACGTCGACTTGACGAGGAACGCCATGGACGCGGATGACGATGACCTGGCGAGTCCGGCGCGCTACACGGCCGAGGAGTACACACAGATCTGGGTCGGTGCCAACGGTTTCGGGCTTGATGATGATGATGATGATGATGACGAGGCGGTGGTGGTGAAGAAGGAAAAGAAGAAAACAAAAAAGAGGGCCGTTGTGCTGGCGCATTCGAGGGATGATGGCCTTGTGGATTGGAGGCAGGTCGAGGTCATGAAGGGTGTTTTCTGTGGTGGTAATGGTGGTGATGGTGCTGGCCGGCAGGTGCAGGTGCAGGCAGAAGAAGGCCAGGGCGAGGGTCGGATCGACGTGAAACTCGTCGAGATCCACGGCGCGCATAATCGGATTTGGGAGGACGGGACCGAGTTGGCCAGGGCCATTGGAGTGGCTGTGAGGGTTATGAGGACGCTTACATAGTAGGTTGACAGACTGTGTCACACCTGCGAAGCAGTCAAAAGATATTATACTACGTTAGTGTACTCCATATATCATCTGGGGATCATGATGAGTCCTAATAATCCTTCTTCTTACATTCGTCAAAACGGCTTCGCCTTCGTCTTCTACGCCCTGATCAGACGTCCCGTTCTCCTACGGTGATGCTCTGCTGCGCCTTCCTTTCCGTGCGGGTCCATATCCTATATTCCTTGGATATCTCGGTAATCATACAAGATATAGGAAGAGAGGATCCCGGTCCAAACAGACTCCATACAATCTCAGCTCTTCATTTTCCCGTCTTTCGGCACGTCAAGAAGAAACGGTCGTGAAACTTGAAACGGTATAGCAGACAAGGAAAGAGAGAGCGAATACTAGTAGTAGTGATTTGAAAAATTGGCGCAAAAGTAGAAATGGCTTCTTCTCTTCTCACCATTGTGCACACTGCAGTCGCCTAGATACTAGTAGCTGAGTCGGGAACAAGCGACTGAGTCTGACTTGGCCAGCAAAAAACAAAGAAGTACTTTCTGAATCCAGCATCCATACTCGAGGTCAACACTACCTAGGTAGGTATGTCTCCTCCTCCTCGTCGAAACTCGACTCCTCAGACCTCTCATGGAACACTCCTCCACCACCCAAAAGGCCCCTTGCTACAAGCCGGTGACGCGCACCATCCCTCCTTACAGATCAGCATCAACCAACGGTAATTCACTCAAGCAATGCATGTGCCCTTCCCACTCAACGCACTATACTCCATTCGCTATGCAGTCAATATTCCAGAAGCGAGAGAGATGAAATATTCCACACAACACCATCGTAATCGAACCAACCCATCTTCCAAATAGTTCAAGGTCGTAACGGGTCGTTAGAAAAAAATAAGATGGCTTGGGATGAAAACCACCGTTGTCAATTAGATGCGAAAAACTTTTCCTCCACTGCCTGGCATCCCAAATCAAGTCTTGACTTTCTTGACATCCCCCTCTTTCTCTGCCATATCCATGCTCGACTTCCTTTTCTCACCATTCGCAGCCGCTTCGCTGACAGCATCGCGACTTCCAAACCCCAAACCTCGCGTGTCCGACGGCGTGGGGAACACCAAGGGACTCGGCAGGACCGCTGAATTAAGTCCACCATTCCGTCCCGAGTCATACCATTCGCTGAAAAAATTGCTCGGACTGGGTAAGAGATCGTTGTTCATGTATCGACTCGGCAGGGCTGATATGGGCGTCTCGATATTATTCCGGTTATCATTGTACGCCTCGCGATTCTGGTTGGATGTCGGTGGGGGTGGTCGAGCGAATGGGTTTGGCGGCCCACTGGCGCCCGCTGACATTACGGCCGATGCGCTGGGTGATGGTGGAGGCAGGACAATGTGGTCGCCGCTTCTAGCTGGGTTTGCTGACGGGTCTGTGGATTGTGCGGGAGACCCGCTTGCTGAATCATTATCTTCTGCTTCGGAGGGGATTTGTAAATTCAACTTGGGTCTTGCGCCTGACCTTGACCCTGATGTGTCTGAACGTTGCGGTGGAGCAAATTCCGGGACAGCTGTCTGCGGCCTGACAGGCTGACTTGTAGCTCGAGGTACAGCAGGAGCAGTGGTGCTCCGTGGTGGAATTCTCATATCTTGCGGCTCTTCCTTCTTCATCGGCTTAGGGTCTGGAGCGCCAAAGAAGTGCTGAGCCAATACCGACCCGCCTTCGTCGATTGGAGTGAAAATACTCCTTGACTTGGACGATAGATGTTTCGGTTGTGGAGGGCTAGCTTGTTCGGGGGGTCTGAGATTTTGTGATTCGGGTTGAGGTGATGCACGTGGTTGCGGCTGAGGTGGAGGCTTGAGGCTAGGTTGAGGCGTTTGCGATTGCCGTGTTTGCTCATGTAGATATTGTTGATGCGCTTGTTGCATTTGCTGGTGTGATTGTGGGGGAGGGGGTGTAGGTTGTGGTGGTGGATGCTGCTGCTGCGACTGTTGTTGCGGATATTGGTATTGAGGCTGAGGAGAGGGATGAGGTGGCATGGCTGGAGCGGCATTAGGATTATAGATAGGCGGGTTCGGCACATAGGCGAACCCATTCTGGGGCGGAGGAGGTGTAGGATGAGGATGCTGTATGGGCACGAGGTTGGAACTTGTTCGGCGCACCATGTTCTGCGAAGGAGGTCTCGAAATCATATGAGGAGGCTGAGGAGTACCGTGTCGAGGCTGGAACATGCCGTTGGGCATGGGTGGTGAGACGGAGTTCATGGGCTGTTGGATGTGAGTGAAGGAGTTGGGATGCTGCATGTGTGGCATGGCATGTTGAGGAGGCAGAGATTCTTCTCTGTTTTGAGCCGCATGTTCCTCATCGTCGTCCTCGTCCTCGTCATCGTCACCGCCCTTGTTCTTGAAGTCAATGGGGCCCTTGTGTTCATGAGGTTGGCCGTACTAAGCACAGTGTTAACCGAAATCGCAGGTGACCGGGTCCCAATCCAACTCACAAATTGATACCTCCGCAGTGTCTCATTGATGTCTCCCGAGGAAAACTCGTACAGTTTTTTGTTATGGCCAAAGATGATGACCGCCACATCAACCGAACATAGCACAGAGAGTTCGTAGGCTTTTTTGAAGAGGCCGCCTTTTCGCTTCAGAAATGTCCTAGACACGAGTCAGCTTCGGTGGCCGGATGAGAAGGTAGTTGCCGGCACGACGACCTACACTGAGCGATTGCGATCATCTTTTATGGCTCTGATTTCAATCTTTCTCCGACCCATTGTAGATTAGGCAGTTTGCATGTGAGGTCTTCCGGACAAGAGATGGAGGTTTCAGTACCCAGCAAACAGGCTGAAGCTAGGCTTTCGGAACCAGGGTGAAGGCGGTCGGGGAACAGGTCAATTGGGTTTCAACAGCTGTCGAGTCGACCGGCGAACAAAGAGAACCTTGGAGGATACTTTGTCGCAGCCCAAGAACGGAAGAAGTTGGGACTCTACTGGCTTGGGTTTCTTTGTCGCAGGACAAACTGGATGGGGACCGTGGGACAGGATATAGGCTGGCGTGGAGAACAAGGGTACATGCGCTGCAAACGAGCACTGCGATAAAGTAGGCCTGTGGCTGGAATGAGGCACAGTGGACTGGATTGGTGCAGTATAGGCGTGTATGCGCAGAGAGAGATGGATGTGGATAAGATGGAGGACTGCTAAATATAGCGAAAGAGGAAGAGATTCAAAAGAGAGGGCGGTGGACGGACGGCGGCGACGGCGCTCGAGGTGCCAATGGCCGACCGCCGTGACGCCTGATGGGTGTCGAGGGTGCGATGGCAGAGGTGCTGCGGTGCAGAGGTGCAGAGGGGCAGATCCTGCGACGCACTCAGCCTGCACCAGCCAATTTCATGCCTATATTTCTAAGCCTAGTAGGCTACCTGCAAGCCTAATCGTGCCTAACCGAGCCTGGAAGAGAGCGCCCGTGCGGTACCTGGGCTTCTTTTCCGATAGCTGCGCGTACTGTAGATGGCGTCCTCTTGATGGTCCGCTTGCCGTAATCTCTGTCCAGCCGTGTGTTGAAGAGGGCCAACTGTTTGCTGCTCTAAGAGGATCATCATTGTCAGCATTGCGAGTATCATGATCCGAGTTCCATGATGCTGGATGCCGTGCTGATGATGCAAACCTGGCCGAGCTCCGAACGGCGCCAGTGTTTCAGGTTTTAGCCAGTCACTCCAGTCCAAACACTGCAACAGCCCAGCGTTGATGGCGTCCACGAGTCTGTAAATCTATAAATAGTGTCATTATTGAGCTCGGGGCAAAAATCGCTGGTGATTTGTCTGTGCTCTATCGTACCTTATGCTTCATGCGCTGCTTCAACCTCACCAGTACTTGTAGTCAACAGAACCCTTCACCTTTAGATACAACCTCATCGACATCTGCCTCCCCAGGATCATGAGATCAACGATTTACTGGTCTTACCTACAGGATTGCTTCGCCGACCGCCAGCGATAACATCACCTCGGACTTGGGCTCGCAGGTGTAAGCCTGAGCGAATCCTTTCAAAGTCAATAGCCGCAAGTGTATGTATCAGCGCGTGCTCGCGACATGACCTACCTGTATATCGTTGACCCATCATAATGCCCATTCTTGGGGCCTCCTCTTCCCTTTTTGGCAGCTCAAGTGTGTTCTATGCTTGAACGAACCTTAAGGCCTGCACTGGAGCGCAGCATTGGCCCCGATTCTTACCATTTTCGATATCAACTCGCGGCGTTTATAGCACTTTAGTCAGAGGAAGCTCGTTGCAGAAAATTCAATTCATCGGCCGGCTAGCATACCGCCCCCTGGCAAGGTACCTGACAATGGCACCCATTGCACAAGGGTACAAGGATGTGAAGGATACATGGGTAGAGAGAGGCAGTATGCCAGCTATGTTCTTGCACCAGTTCTCCTCCAAAATATCTCCCACGGCCATCGCTCGCCCTCACTTGCCGCCTTCGGCAACTCGTGCACGAGGAGGAGACTTTTCTTCGTCTTCCTGCTTCCACCGCTGCTCTATGTTCATCGCGATCCACCAACTTGATATGGCCCGCCGTTGTATCCACAATCGACTCGAGTCGAGAATAAAGGGCGTATGTCGAAGAGAAGGAGGTATTAGTGCGCTGTCCTGCAGCGAGCGTAAATATTGCTAGAACGCTCACTCTCAAAATTAAACAAGGAAGATGAACAAGGACATTCATCCTGTAGAAGGGCGGAAGTGGTATCTCGATCACAAGGCTGAAACTCCAACGCCTTGCTAGGTTGCGTGCAAACTTCCATCCACAAACGAAAGGAACAAGGTCATCGTCAATGTGTACCAGTGCATGTTCTCGCAAAATCAAGGTAAAGGGTGTCGGTGAACCACTCCGGTTCACGTCTAACGGCGGGCGCCGTCCATGTTGCCAGTGAGTTCGGCCACACGAGCCTTGATTCGTGCAACTCGAGATTCAATTGCTATAGCACGTTAGTAGCGCACTCGTCGAAGCAGCAGCTAGCTGTGACTTACTCTCTTCTCCACTGGTCTCCCCATCATCCGTACGAGTCTCGGTCCGACTCCGCGACGTCTGCTCCTCTTGCTTAAGGGCTCGTTCCGCGGCATTTTTGCGAATCTGAGCCCATCGATCGGTGGGGCTCACCTGTTCCGTCAAGGGAGCCCCTTCCTCTTCATCCGCCGAACTCTCTTCACGCCCCATAGTCACGGCAGCATGAATGTTCATTGGTGGTGGGGGCATCTCTTCTGCGGGTGTGGCAAATTCAGTTCGAGTTGGCGTTTCTGGAGGCATAAATGCAGGCTGATCCAGCAATGGTCCTTGGTCGAAGGTTGAAAACTCCCTATCTGCGTGTTCGCGCTCATTGGTGTCCACACGGGAAAGTTGGTCGTACTCCTGACCTCGGTGAACCCTGGGTGGCACAACTGGTCGTTCGTACTGAGGCTCTGGCTGGTTCGGGAGATAAGGGGTCGATCCTGTTTCCACAGGTGCGCTCATAGATACAGTGGCCGGTGCCTCGTTCTGCACAGCTTTTGGAGGCTTCGCGTTCGCAAGACCCATGAAATGTCCTGGACTCAAAGGTGGCGAGGTGGGCCCGTCACCAGGTTCGGCGGGTCGCCCTTCCAGTGCTCGTCTTGCTGCAGCGACTGCAGGATCCTCCTCCACTGGCGAAGCCGGGTGTTCGTCAGCTGGGAGAGGTTCCCGCCCTTTCGGCTCTCGTGACTTGGATCGTTTGGTACCAAACAATCGACGAATGCCGCTCCTGTGTTGCACTGGCGGCGGCCCGCTTGGAGTCTTGCCCCTTTTTTTCTGTTCGGGTGATTTTCTTTGTTGGTCAACGGATTTGCGCAATTTCGCATGTTGCTTGGGAGGTTGCGCCTGCTTAGGGGTCGGTTCCTGGGTTATCTCAGGTGTCGCTGGTGGCAAGGGTATTTCTGCTGCTTCTGCGTCTGCATGAGTCTCAACTGGCACCTCAGGTTCAAAGGGAATGGGGGCCGGCTCAACCACGATGGGCGGCGTGTCTGCTACTGGGTATGTTGGTGCTGGCGGCGGTGCTTGTGCTACCGCAACAGGTTCTTCTGAATGACTTCTTCCCGAAAGCGCAGGGCGAGACTCGTTACCAGGTGGAACTGGCAGATCCTTATTCTTGCTCACCACGGAAAGCGTCGACGTCGACCTGCTGAGCCCGCTCGAAGGAAGAGTCAAGAGTTCGCGCGAACCTTTGCCCGCCAACGTATCACCCAGGTACTTAGCCCGGATCGCTTTCTTGTCATACTGGCTGGCCCATTGGAGTGCCGGGGAAGCCTCATCCTTAATGAGGGGTCCAATGGTAAAGATACTGTTTGTCTTGGATGGAATGACAGTGTCTTGCGTGCGACCCCGTCGAGCGTGGACTGCTGCTTTCTCTCTCTCCTCGGCTTCCTTCTTTCTCGTTAGCTCGGCCGCGGCCTGTTGGATTTTAGCCTGCTGATCTGGTGCTAATGTGGCTCGGCTGGTAGATTCCAAATGCGGCTCGGGCGAGAGGGGGCTTTTCTTTGACTGCGAGCGTCGCCGAGTCAAGCGTCCACGCTTCGTCGTAAATCCCAAGAAAGATTTCTTCGTCTCAGCAATATAGGCACCAGCAGCGGGTTCTGGCGCGGCGCCTTTGACTTGTTCTTCCATCACCATCCAATGTCCGTCGGGCAAGACTGTCTCTATCAGAGCGCAGCGGCCGAAGACGGCTTTTCTGGATGTCGGTTCTTCTGGCGCCAGACTGCTGATCCAAACCCACCAGAAAGAGTCGTCGACAGCCATCCTGATGATACTCGCCAGCTCGCCAGGTTCTAAGTTAGGTTGTGCATTGAGATTCCTCCTGTGTGATTGAGAGCTTTGGCCTCTGATCATCGTAGAATTGATCGGTGGGAGGATCTTGTCTGGAGGCAGTAGGATTGGTGCTGGAGCCGTGTTGCCATGCTCGTCCGTGAATCCAGAGGAGAGGAAGTCGGCCCATGAGGGAGTCGTCGGCCTGGCAAGGTTTTGATACCCTCCTGAGCGGGGCGCAGTACGCAAGGGCCTTGTGTTAACCGGTCGGCGTCCTAAAAGACCGCCGTCGTCATCTTCGTCATCATCGAGCGAGCTCCCAAAGCCTATGTCTTGAAATCTTGACCAGGAGGGATCAGTCAAACTGGTCGAAGTTTTTGCGTCAGAAATGGTAGATTGATTCGCGGACGAGATCGCTTTCAGGACACGACGACACTCGTCCGTCAATGCCTCCACCGGGTCATCATAACTGGCAAATTGCTGCAGTCCACGGTCGTCATCCCTGTATTCGAAATTCTTTGCCCGTCTCAGCAGTGCATAAGGGGTGGGCGAGACCACGTCTACAATCATGACCACTTTGGTAGTACTGTTCGATAACAATGCGCTTTTCGGAGGATATGTAGTGGAGTCCAGAAGCTGTTGGAGGGATCTGGGGAGATTTAGAATACCACTCGCCTTTCCGGCACCAGGAGATAGTGAGCGTAAGTAAGCGAAGAAAAGGTGAGAGGTTGCATCAGCAGCACTACGTTCGGTTAGCATGTGTGAAGCTGGCCGAAAACTTGTGTCTTACTTTGCCCAGGATTTGTATCCAGTCTCGAACCCTTTGCCACTGTCGTAGTGTTCAAAGGCCCACCAACCGGCGTATCTGGACAGCTTGTGACCTCCCAGACCGTTCACTTTACCATGCGCAGCAATGGCTGCGAGTAAATCAAAGTAGTCTTGAATTATCAGCACACGAGAAGGCGAATCTACACCTAGAGGGATGAAGGTGCTGAAGGCATCACGCGCGTAGCCAGAATCTAGCCATGTCAGCAACGTGGACGCCCAGTCGAGGCATGATAGCGCACCTTTCTCTCCAACACGGAAGCCTTCATAGACCTCCCATGTAACGACACCGCCAGGTAAGCGAGCCCAACACCATTTCATGACACTAATCAGGACCTGCATCGTCAGTCAGTGCATGTGTATTGTAGTCCACAGTGTCTTCGTACCATGACTTCGGTCATGCGCAACTCGTTCTCCAACATGGATCCTCGCAGCGGCTCCCGGTCTTGAGGTGGAAGGAAGAAGTTGCGCACGAAGGTTCTCGCCGCCGAAGGATCCGATGAGGGCCTGAAGGGCAATAAGAGGAAGGGGACATCGAGTGCTATGATCTGATCAGAGGTTGCCTCTCATTGTGTCCAAGGCGAACTGACCTCTTGATTTCAACTCGGCAGTGCAGAAATGCAACAACTCTGACACCTCCTCTGGGTCAACCCTCGTCCGTATCCATGCGTCCGACCATTGAGGTTTCTTGTCAGTATGACCGTTTGCGACTGGAGCCGTTGACTTCTTGACAGCCCCATCCTTGCTCTTGAAGACCCTTGAGAAGAACGGCATCGCTTGTTGGGGGAAGTCGCCAGTGTCTAGACAGAGGTGGTGTCGTCGACGCTTTTCATCTGTCCGACAGTACTAGTATGCTGGCTAGTCGGAGAAAGATGTTTGATGGTCGCACGGGTAAATTGAAGCAAGAGGATCTGCGGATGGCTGTGCAAGATGAATATCAGACAGCTTGATGGCTGCAATTAGGCAGGTTGCATGTGCAGAAGGCCGTCACTCAGGGGGACCCTTCGGTACGGGGCGAAAGCGGATAAAAAGAGGGCCCTGGGCGAAATCAATTGCAATAAAGTTGGCATGCAATAGGGTGAACGAGTGTCAAGAAAAGAAAGAATCTCGTGTTGTACAGCACAGCAGGCTGCGAAAACCACAATGACAACGAATTGCGTAAAGAAACGAAAGGAGCCGAGTGAGGATTCGATTGATTGAATTGGGCAGAACAGGAAATGTGATGGGAGTCGCAGACGTGTCGCGCCGTGAGTTTAGCGGGAGCTGGCTTTAGGCGTCGGAGCCACGTAGTGGGTGCCGGGGGTGCCTAGGTGCATCTCTTTAGAGCACCCACAGCACCTACTGGGGTCCATAATGGTGTATGATGGGTCTTACTTTATTTCTCGCACGCCAATGACACTTGTTTCATCAGCCACCGATCACCACCGCATGCTGCAATTCCCCCCAAGCCCGTCGTGCCCGTGGAACCTGCGCGACGCCCATAGTGACGGTTCTGGTTAGCGGTCTAGGCCATTGCGCTTGAAAAGGATTGGCCTCGTGCTGATTCTCGCCGGGCGCAGGTGCACGGCGGACATCATCTCCACATCTCGAGACGAGCAAGTCTCAGAACAAGGATACAAAGACCTGGCAACCTGGGCTGAGAAGCGACCCTGTTTCATAACTGATCAGGGTGTCTGCAAGCCGTAGCTACTATAAATGCGATACTTGCCCGTGTTCATGCAATGAAAGTCCAGCTAATAATCCTCATCTTTGCGAATGCTGGGCGCTGCGATCCACGAAGGCGTCACATTTGGCTTCCCAACAGCCACACAGGTTGTGGGACCCTGCGGCTGCTAAGATTGACCTCGACTCCGGACTGCAGATTGGTTCGTAAACTCGGGACGCGTGAACCAGTCTCAGTCGAAACATGGCAGTCTCACAGATCGGAGTCAAAAGCAGGGAGAGATCGTGCCGGATACCATCACATTATTTCTACGGGACCTTTTTGATGGACTCCTGCATGACTCACCCATCTCATCTCTCCCTTGCATTGGAGGAAGCGCGTAGTCCAGGAATGCAGCGATATGAAATGCAAATTACAGCTTTTTAGCACAAGTCGCTCCATCGGCCAGTCAGTTGAGGAATTCGCACCGCCATCACGCGCGATCTTCAGCCTTGCCCATCACTGACATCTGACTTGACACCACGCCAGATCCGAAACTCCGTTAGCAGCCATGCGTAACTAACTTTGACAGTTGATGCGCTCGCCAAACACCGACACATCTCAACACCCACCACACGGACTCCACCAAATTCCATCCGCAAGTCATGACGTAACCAATCATGTCAAAACTTTGGATTCACAATACCATGATCAATCCCCCATGCCGTGTACTTCAGTCATCTCAAAGCAACTTCTCTTGGACATCATCCCGTCCACCCCAAACCCACAGGTCTCGTGTCCTCCGAAAGGGAGTTCACAACTGCTTCCGTCACAATGGTTAAAAGCAATGAGGATGTCATTAAGTGAGGAAGCAGCATATGCTATGGAAGCCACTCCTGACAAAAGCACAGAGATTTCAACAACACGGTCAACATGACGGCTGAAGAGCTTGAGGAATGGCTGAAGGGAGATGATTCCCAGAAGTCAGGCTGGTCCAAGGATGATGGCTCGGGGGAAAGTATCGGTCATGAAAGGTAAGCCAGAGCCAGACTTGGCCCTACCGATGGTGTTCTCAACGGCCTCGTCTGTGTTGACTAGTGGGAATGTGTTTTGGAATGCTTTTTGGTCGCCAGCTGCTAACAACGCCCATAGCGGGAGGAAGATTGTCGAGATCTTGAGAAAGAACCCAAAGAAGGACCCATCCAAATATGACGAGGACGATCTGCAGCACATGCGGAGAGTGGCTGCGTATAACAAGCGTCATCTGGCTCAGGAGGAGAAGGCCAAGCAAGACACCAACAGCAACAGCTACCGGTCGCTGAAGAACTGGGGTCATGATGCCCAGAAGAGTTGAGGCAGCTGTCCCATGTAGTCCTGTTGGTCAGGCATCTTTGACCTGCCATGTACGAGAGATTTTGTCGAGGAATAGAACACCTCAAACCATGTTCGGAGGGCTCTGGCCTACATTTCTGGTGGGAAGATAAAGTCCTTGACAATAGTCGAGCCAGCGTATTCTGGATTGAGCATGACACAATTGAGAAAATATGCTAGACCTTCGCGCCTTTTCTCGAGGAATTTTGGTCGAAATTTGTAGATTGCGCTTTTCGGCGGCAGAGGTGGCAGAGATGAGTTTGTCGAGTGCGGAAAGGCTTTGATTAATTTGCTCCTTAGCTCGTCGAACTCTGAATACCGCTTTCGAATGGTCATCGGACCGCCATCCAATGTCTGGACTTTGCAGTTCCATACCACATAAGATCCGATACCCGGCGTGGTTCCATGGACAATGACATAGTCGTCGATTGCAATAGATTTTGCCCAAAGAGCGGCTCTACTGGCTGCTTGGGATAAAGTGTGGTCCTCCAGGATGATTGGGGGTGGACGCTCTGAAGACAGTTGGCTTGAATACGAAGCATTTCTGCTGTGGTGCCAGTATGGTGGCGGCGAAAAGATTGGACGAGCCTCTCCCGGGATATTGGAGGTTGGCTCGTGATGATCTGACCCGGGGTCAGTATCCGGTGTGGAGGTAGTGTTCTCCATGCATGTGCGTGATGCGTGCTTGATGCATGTGCTTTGAGCAATGGAATGGGTGGAGAGACAACTTGAGGCTGACCGTCAAAGCACTGCAACAGAACGACGTTGCCCTTCGGACACCATCTCATGACGGCAGAAAATCGAAGGTGCCAATCCGGCAAAGCGCTTCGCTAGTCTCTTTTCAGCGACTACTGTGTACGCCCCATGTTAGTACGATATTGGGATGAGCTGCTCTTTCGACAAACGCTTCATGAAGTGACCAAACCTCGATACTGCAAGTCCAACCAATTCCACAGTGTGGCAACTTGCTTGCCCCTTCGCATCCATGTCAACCTCACCAGTGTTGCTTTTGCAGCCGGGACATTTCAACTCCCACCAAAGTTCAGATGAGTGCGGAGAGTCTCGATCTGCAAGTCAGTCATCGACCGGGGTCTATTGGCGCGTCGATGGAGCTTCGGCGTCTCAGCGATTGGATATTGAGCTCCCGACACGTCCAAAGGAAGACTGCGCACATGAAGCTTGACATATTTTGACTCCTCTCAGAGCCACGGAAAAGTCGTACCTCTGAGACAACTCAACCTCTTCCGCTGTAAAGTGCGCCACCGTCATGCGAGACGACTTCTATCGCAACGCAATATTGCCTAGTCTGGCGTGTCTGGCCCTTGGTGAGTGGCGGGAACGAATCTCGCCTGGTCGTTTGTCGACGCCAAACGAGGACTGGCATGCCGGCCGGACTCATGTCTTGAAGACCCTGCGTCCTCCACCCTTTTTCCGAGCCCTTGTCCTATTTATGCTGTGACTGTCCGTGGTACTCGTACTGTCCACCTCCAAGCAAAGACTCCCTTCTTCTCGTTCTAGAGAATCACTCCGTGTGACTGACTCGGCAGACATTCGTTTTCATTCTTTGAACTTCTTCGAGCGTTCTCACCATCAGGCTTATTATACACCCATTATTTTTTAATTGTCAAGCGTTCTCAGCCTAATCATGCAGTACTTCTTCCTCACCGCGGTCGTCGCTGCATTTGCCCAGGTGGCCATCACACAGACAATTGATCCCAACTCAGTACCGTTATCCACGAGACGTGAGCACCCTACTTCAACTATGGGATGGCTTCCCTTACTGACGGCTTGTTGCAGAGGTGTGGTGCAGCTCTCAGATAGCACAGTGCCCCTTGATCTGTGTCGATCAAACGAACTCCGCCGCCACATACGCAAACGACTGTAATGCTGCAGACCTCAGCTACAGTTGTGTGTGTTCAAATGGCCTCTCACCCAACACCTCCGAGTACTCTCAGACCCTACCCTATTATATTTGCACGCAATACAACACCAACTGCCAGGCAAGCTGTGGGAACGACAACACCTGCGCAGCAGCATGTGTTCAAGATCACCCCTGCGGTGCTACAAACCCCACAAGAGTAAACACAAGTACGATCTCCACGATGCCGGCGACAACCACGACGGCTGGTGCAGCTGCATCAACTGCTTCTGACGGTAGCGTCGTGTACACCGGCTTTGGAGGAGGAGCCGCTGCTACAACTACTGCTGCCGGTAGCTCTGGAAGTTCGGCTGCAACCCGGATCATTGTTAATGTGGGTCAGCTCTATGGTCTGGGAGTCCTCGTGGCAGGCATATTTGCGGGATTCACGTTGATGCTATAAAGAAAGAATGCGTACTGAGAGGAGTGGAAGCTCCTCGACAGGGCATGTGCTTAGCTTGCGAATTGTGCATCCGTTTGATGGTATTCTTTTGAGCGAAAAGTTTGTCATAGCACGTTTGGCCTGGGCGCTGGAATGGCATTGTCAAAGGAAGATGATTGGGTTCTGTCGGGATATTACACACAGAGTCTTGCCGGCACTCATCAATCGATACCGAGTAATAATAATAATGATAATCGTTGAAGGACAAGTTCCCCAAGTTCTTTCTCACTGTCTAGAACAGACAAATTCGTTGCTGTGACGACGAGCCAAAATAACGGAGGTTGATTAACCGATTCCGCGAACGCCTTTGGACCAGTCAAGTCCTCGTATTAATTTTGGCCAATTGAGCGTCGCGTCCTTACGCAAAGCATCCAACCATTCTATTCAACACCAAGCACCCTGCAGGACAATGAGCTCACTCGAGAATATTCATACGCCCCGGTAGCCCTCGCAATGGCTGCGTACATGTCTCCTTCACCCGCAGCCCTTGCTGTCAGCTCCAGCTACCCGCGTCGATCGCAATACCGACCAACAACACGACTCGCAGCGAACCGTGTTCAACCCCTGCCTCTCTCAATGGCGACAGATGCCAATTCACGACTCCCTCGAAACATGACTGGTGATAGCTCCGACGATGAAGACCTCGCCCCCATCAAATTGAGTGCCGAAGCGCAGGCTATACTGGGCGAGGACGAACCACAATTGGAAGCAGAGAAAGAGAACTGGGGACCACAAGTACAGCCTGCGGTCACTACAGGCGCTTCAAGACGGAGGAGCAAAGCTACGCCACTCGAGGTCCTGAAGGCTTCCAGTCCTCCGCAACAAAGGGATGGCAGTCCTGCCCCACGAGTCGTTCGAGTCACCACCGGGCCAAGGCCTGGACTAGGTGTAATTCTGGGCAGAGACGGTTCTTTCATGTACAAAATCCACGACAAGTCAGCTACTGGTATGCACCCAGCACTTCACGATTCAGAGACTCCTGCACCGAGCATACGGCGCGTCCGTGTAAGTGGTGGTAAACGCTTGTCACGATCACCTCCGTCGAAGGCGGATCCCGAGAAGCCTCAGCCAACATCAGCTGGAGATGGACCGAAGACTGGGGGTCTCTCAGCTAGCCCTGGGAGCCAAGAACCACACAGCAGTCCAGAAGAGGAAGGCGCCGCAATACCATCGACGGTATCACGTCCTCGAAGAGCCGATGAAAATGGAGCTCAGAGTACCATGAGAGTTCGACGGCATGGAGGCGCTCTCCGCAACAGACCAGTCAGACGAGGTATGGTCCGCCGCCCGAGTGAGGAAGATGAGATACCCTTGGACAATCAGGATCACGAACAAGCCAATACTCCTGAGACCGAGATGGGTAGAAGGGCGAGAGAGCCAGATTTGGCCGACTTCCCGGATGAGATTCTCGCTCTGCAAGGCAGTCCTAAGCAGATCAAGCAGACTCGAGTATCTCCAAGAGTTATGTCGCCAGTGCGACTCAAACGACAAGAATCACCCAAGCTATCGTCGTCAAGACCAGCATCAGGGCACCAGATTCAGCCAACACCACGCGCTCAAGAGGCTCCGATATCCTCCAGATCCTCCAGATCCTCCAGTTCTCAACGTCATCCCATCTTCAAGATCCCTCCGCTCCCATCAATTGCGTCAGTGCCCGATCAAGAAAATGAGCCGCCGCCAACGTTCCGACGGACAAAGCCTGCTTCTACGATACTAGAATGCCACGAAGACCAGCCCAAACCCGACCAAAAGCCAGCCGAACATGCCTCTCCGTCCCGTCCACCACTCGTCCCAAAATCGAACAACACACCACACCGCCCTGCCCCCGCGCCTCCGCCCAAAATGTCCATCCTCGATGCCGCCACCTCCAACGCTGGCTCCCGTAACAAGAAGTCCGTCCACTATGTGCTCAATGGCAAGACTTACCGGCGACTCGACTGCATCGGCCGGGGCGGCTCCTCGCGCGTCTTCCGTATCATGGCCGAAAACTACAAGATCTTCGCCCTGAAAAGGGTCAACCTCGAAGACGCCGACATGGCTGCTATCGCCGGTTACAAAGGGGAGATCGACCTGCTGAAGCGCCTGGAAAACGTCGACCGCGTGATTCGACTGTACGACTATGAGATCAATGAGGACAAAGGCGTGCTCAATGTCATGATGGAACTCGGCGAGAGCGACTTCAACAAAATGCTCAACGAGCAGCTCAAGTCCGAGAATGCGCGGCTGGATATCACATTCACGCGACATTACTGGAAAGAGATGCTCGAATGCGTGGCCGCGGTACATGAGTACGGGATCGTACACTCGGACCTCAAGCCGGCGAATTTCCTGCTCGTCAAGGGTCAGTTGAAGCTGATTGACTTTGGGATTGCAAATGCCATCGCGGACGATACTGTCAATGTGCATCGGGAGAACCAGATCGGCACGCCAAATTATATGAGTCCCGAGAGTCTGGTTGCACAGCACATCCCAGCGGGATACGGAGGAGCCGCAGGGAAGGTGCTCAAGCTGGGCAAGCCGAGCGACGTGTGGAGTCTGGGGTGTATCTTGTACCAAATGACATACGGGCAGCCGCCGTTCGCGCATATTGCAAAACAGTTTGAGCGCATCATGAGTATTCCCAATCCCAAAGTTGAGATTGCTTTCCCCGGCACGGGGATCGGAGGGGCAGTCGTCCCATTTGGACTGATCAAGACGCTCAAGCGGTGTCTCACGCGCGAGCAGAGTCTTCGACCAACGGTGGCGGAGTTGTTGAGTGAGGGCGATCCGTTTCTCAATCCGGTGGCGATCAGCCCGGACATGCTGGGGCGTGTGATAGGGAACGTGGTGGGGTATTGTCGAAGACGGGAGGAGGCCATGAGGGCAAGAGGTGAGATTAGTGCGGCGGAAGGGGTGAGCTGTCTACCCAAGGACGACGAGATGAAGGGGTGGCCGTTGGCGTTCTATGAGAAGTTGAGACAGGCGCAAGAGGAAGGGACGGCGTGGTAGACTTGCACGACACGACAGTATTGATATTGGATGGCACGGCCTCCGCTGAGACCAAGGGTTGGCTGACGAGCCGCGTGAGCATGAACATGAACATTCTGGATTGACTGCTTTTTGGGATCGCAGGATGGGACGATGCATTCTCCTCCTGGTGGTTGGATTGGATTGTGTTGCTTTGAGTTGTTGTGGTTCTGTTGAAAATGTCCTTTTGCTGCGTTCAAGCGTCCTCGAAGTATAATACCTACTTATTCTTTGTCACTCAAATACTCAAGTCCTTCCATTCTTTCTGCATCGGGAACAGACAACTTGGACCGTCGTTAAGGTGGTGAAATGTGATTTCCGAGCAGGCTGCGAGCAGAGAGATATCCCAAGGTATTCCATTCCGTGCGACCTGTTAGAAATCTGGCAGCAAGCCACATTTTTATAAACGCCCTTACTGTCCTCGAATAGGCAAGCCGGCCTTTTCATAGACAGCATCAATGATCTCCATGATCCTCACGCTCTCATCCAGACTCACAAAGGGCCCTTTATACCGGTACCCACTTTGGCTTCCGGTCTCGGTCTCGGTCTCGGTCTCACGAATCTTCCTCACAAACCCTTCGAGCTGGTACCTATAGGTCGTCCACCAGTCCTCGCCCACGACTTTTCCATCATCGTCCTTCTCGCGTTCCCACACCGGTCCTCCTTTGTAGCACTTGTGCGTGGTGGTCTTCTTCTTGTCTCGGCTCGTGACTTTGCCCGTAGTGCTGTCCCTGGTGACGGGCGTGACGACGATGGCATGGTTCAGCCATGGTCCCGCGAAGTTGGTGAACAGAATCTCCGCCTTCTCGCAGTGGATCGTCAAATCATTGGCGCCGGCCCACAGCCGGGGAACCAGGCCGAACAGTTTTGGGAAATACAAGTCTGCCGAGGTGACGGCCTTGGTGGTCTTGGTCTCGGTCTCGGTCTCGAGCCCAAGCCCACCGCTGCTGCTGCTGCTGCTGCCGGATGGTTCCTTGAACAGGAGTGTCGCGCGCATCGCATCGTCGACCAGTTTGTCTTTCTTGTTGAGTCGTGGTTTTGCGTCGAGGACTTGGAATTGCGTGGTATTGTTGGGCTCGGCAATGTCGCGCGCGGCAAAGTACGCCGCTGCCGAGTAGACATAAGTCAAATCCATCGAGGCGCCACCTCCGAGCGAGTAGTGGAAGCGGATGTCGTCCGGTCCCAGCACGCCGGCGGGGAGGATCATGTCCGGATTGACCGAGCGAACGGGGCCATACTCGCCGCCGAGGACTATGGCTTTGACCGTGTGCGCGGCCGGGTGGAAGCGCCAGTGGAACGCCTCGAGAGCGACCTTGCCCGCACGAGACGCGGCGTCGCGGATTTCCCGGGCTTCACGGGCGTTGGAGGTCATGGGTTTCTCGATCAGGACGTGCTTGCCGTTTTCCAGCGCGGCCAACGCCCATTTGTGATGCAACCCGTTGGGCAGCGGAATGTAGACGGCGTCGATGTCCGGGTCCGACACCACGGCATCGTATGAGCCGTGGGCTTTGACGGCGCCGGGCAGAAGAGACTTGAATGCGTCGATTTGGGCTTGAGCTCGAGACTTGTCGCGTGCGGCGATGGCGGTGATGATGGCCGACGGATGGGTGGAGACTGGGTCGATCTGCAACTCCCGAGGTCTCATCAGAAAAGGCCGTATCAATAAAGACAGGGAGGCATAAAGCAGTTAAGATCTCGTGCTTGACTGGCACACAGCCCTTTCGGCGAGGAGAGGAGAGGACATACGATGGCTACGAAATTGATGTCCGCAGCGCCGAGGATGCCGATTCGAAGCGGTTTGAAATCTGCGTTGTGGGATTCGAGGTTGGCTATCTTTTGTGTGAGGATGGATGTGCGGATGCTGTTCGTGTTATTCCACCAGTTGTGGAAGTTGAGCAGGAGCTATAACACCATGCCGCATGAACGTTAGCCAGGGTGACGGTGGGAGAGTCTTCCTATTAGGCGTCGATGGATTGCAGAGAAGATATTCATGGATGCCATATCTGGTCTCCTTGAGTCTCGCTGTCCCATGAGGTAAGACGCAGGAGATACAATCTACCACTCGCTTGATCGAATAGGTTCGGCAATAGTAGACTGAATTGAGGACTGAACAGTACATATGGAAGTTCTTACGCTTGCGACCCAACTCATGATGTCCCGTCGTTTAGCTGATGGTTGCTGAGCAAAGCATGCACACCTAACACTGAATAGACAGTGCCCGAAAATGATGGTGCCGTCTTTTGACGCTCGCTGGCAGGCCTGATTCTAAAGAGTGCGGAGCTACTGCATCCGTTACTCCCTTGTCTCTACCACGTTGTTTGAGTGGTCGCCTGAATCAGACCTCGACTTACAGAGGTACCGGTATCCAGGTGGTAATATAGATATTCCGTACACCTTGGACCTATGATCCAGGCTGGACAAGGATCATGGAAGAATACTGACATCTGAGCCCCCGGAGTACGAAGTCCTCAGTCCTCGGACCAGAAATTGAGCCAATGTAGGCTGGCATTTCTTCAATCAACCGTAGCAAAGTTTGGGCAAACGCTTACAAACGGTTACAAAGCAGCCTACCTAGTTAAGGTACTCATGTTGGGGTTGTTGGTGATGTCTAAAAGGACGTCGAATGTTCACAGTAAATACTAATTGTACAGGTGAGTTGAGACGCTTATCACGCCTGATCCAGCGACTGTGCCAGGCACATTTCATAGTATCTCCCCTTGATTCTTTGCAGCTCAGAATGTGTCCCCATCTCTGCGATCTTGCCATTGGCGATCACGAAAATGACGTCCGCATTCCGAATAGTGGACAGTCGATGCGCAACTGCGATCGTCGTTCGAGTCATGGCCGCCTCGTCCAGGGCAGCCTGGACCAGGCGTTCCGATTGTGTATCCAAAGCCGAGGTGGCTTCATCCAGCAGCAGTAAATGTGGGCTCCGAATCAATGCTCTGGCAATTGCGATCCTCTGTCTTTGACCGCCCGAGAACTGCATGCCACGAGATCCACACGGAGTGTCGAACCCTTCCGGTAGCGAAATCACAAAGTCCAGGGCATTGGCTTTACGGCAGGCTTCCTTGATCTCGTCCTCTGATGGCTCGAAGTCCAATCCCAAAGAGACATTCTCACGGACCGAGCCCTGGTAAAGTGTCGGCTCCTGCTGCACCAGCGACATATGCGCCCGGTAAAGGCGTGGTGACATCTCGGCAATGTTTTTACGGGCCAGACAGATGCGCCCTGTCATTGGATCGTAGAACCTTTCCAGCAAAGCTACCAGCGTGCTTTTTCCGCATCCTGAAGCCCCTATGAAAGCCACGAACTGCCCAGGTGCGATAGACATGGATATACCTCGAAGCACTCGAGCGGTTTCTCGTTGTCGATAGCGGAACTCGACTTCCTCGAGATCAATAGGGCCTTCACCTTCGGGTCCATTGTCCTTATTTTGATCGGTTTCCGCAATCGTTGGCTTCAGAGTCCGCAGCCAGAGGATGTAATTGGCGCCTTCTTGTGCTTTTGTGAGGCTGGTCGAGTATCCAAAGAATTGACCTGCAGCTTGGCCCGCGAACAAGACGCCCACGAATATGATATAAAATTGGGCCGTGGTGTACTCGCCTGACGCTAGGAGTCGACTACCATACCAGAATCCAAGAGCCATGGCCAGGAACTCGATAGATTGCGACAACGAGAACCAGAACATCGTCCACACCAAGGCTTTTGTCGATCTCAGCACAACGTTGCGCAGCATCCTTGAGTACTCCTGGAGGATATGGCTTTCCAAGGTCAGAGATGCAACCGTCCGGATCGAAGTAACCGCCTCGCTCGCCAGACCAGCACTTTCCGAGAAATTCTCGGAATTTTTGGCATCCAGCTTGGTTTCGAGCCGAATGCGAAGGTAGCCGGCCAAGATCAGGGGTGGAAGCGCACCAAAGACGACCACGAGGCCCAGTTTCCAACCATAGGCCAGCGCAAGAGCACTGCTCGACACAACATTGACCAGAACAATGAATAGAAGCAGAATATTTGCCGAGATCAACTCCTGCAGCTGAGTGGGCAATGCCGACAGTTTCGATGTCAGAGCCCCCGAAGAGTTTTCCGGAATGTCAAAAAAGTCAATGTCTTGATGCAAAACTTGCTGGAACATTTCAGACCTGTAGCGGTGGGTGACTGTTTGTCCGATGATGTTGCACGTCCATCCTATGGTGAAATAGGCCACAAGATTTCCCAGAGCAACAACGAAAAACATGAGAGCGTAGAAATCTGCTCGGTCTCGTGCTTTCTGACCCGTGAGTTCGAAGACGGTCAAAAGTCGTGAGAAGAGAAGGGCCTGACCGGGGAAAGTTGCTCCTCCAATGCAACAAGCAATTGTCGACAGCAGAAAGCACCAGTACAGATTCTTTTGTTCATAGAACATGATAAGAATGCATCGCAAAAGTGAATAACCTAGAGTTCCAACTGGTTTATTCTGCTTCTCGGGATCTCCGGCCTGAGACGTGACATCAGTGCGAGTCCGCTGAAGGGCAATTCTCTCTCCCGAGCCTTCGAGCGTTTTCTTCTCGTTGAATATCTTGTCGTTTTCTTCCTTCTCGTCGCCCCCCAAGTCCTGTGCACGGACGAGTGCAGCATAATGTCCGTTGCGTTCGATCAGCTCGTGGTGCGTGCCTTGTTCGATGATCCTTCCCTGGGAGATGACAGCAATGTTATCTGCGCTTTTGACCGTCGCCAATCTGTGTGCAATCACCAGAGTCGTCCGGTTTTTCGAAACTCGGTTCAAAGCGTCTTGAACTATTTTCTCCGCTTTCGGATCGAGTGCGCTTGTGGCCTCGTCAAGCAAGAGTATCTTTGGGTTGGATACAATACTCCGAGCTATGGCGATCCGCTGTCGTTGGCCGCCACTCAAGGTTCCCGCTCGCTCGCCGAGTTCGGTGTCATAACCTTGCGGGAGCTCATTGATGAACAGGTCTGCGTTGCTGGCCTTGCAAGCTTCTCGAACGAGCTCCATTTGTTTCTCTCGGGGCAATGCCCTTTGTTCATCCACGAACCCATTGGCAATGTTCTGGAAAACTGTGCCTCGAAACAGAACAGGTTCCTGTTGAACAAGACGTATCCGATTTCTCAACCACTTGACATTGTATTCGGCCAGTTCGACGCCATCGAGCAATATCTTTCCAGAGTTTGGCAGATACCATCGTTCAAGGAGTCCGACAAGACTGCTTTTGCCGGCTCCTGACGACCCCACGAGAGCCGTGGTCTTGCCAGCCGGGATGGATATGGTGAAATCCCGCAATACCTGGGCAGATGGACGCGACGGGTACGCAAAAGTCAAATTTTGGACCTCAATTTGTCCGTGACAAATTGCCGGTTGTTTTCCAGTCGGATCCAAAGGGTCTAGTAGTGTTGGCTTATCAATTATGGTGAATAATTCGGAGGCGGCAGAGGCAGCATTGGTGAATGATTGAATCTGTGGTGCTAGTGACGAAATAGAAGTCGCGGCTATGGTCACTGAAAGGACGACTGTAAAGACGTTTCCAACGTTCGATACCTCACCGCTTTGATACATGCGGAAACCTTGCCAGAAGGAAAGTGCAATAGCCGAGTAGACACAGAAGTATTGAAAGGAGAATAATACGCCATAGTTGGGTGACTTCTTGTTGCCTTCCCTGTGTGCTTGTTGAAGGAAGAGATCATATTTTTGAACCATCTTTTCCTGTGCATAGAAGGCATGAACTGTCCGAATAGATGACAAGACTTCTTCCGCGAGGACGGCAGCTCGGGAGTAGATCCGAGTAATTCTGGATTCCTGAACAGCGTCAATTGCTATGCAGATGCCGGTGACCAGGAAGATGCCTGGAATCACGGACATTGTGATCAAAGCTAGTTTCCATTGAGCCGTCAGAGCAACCACAAACGCGGCAAAGAACATCGAAAGTGCCTGGATCGTGAAGACGAGCTTTTCGGCAATGCCCGACTGTATTCGATTTCCATTGGTGGTAACCTGTGTGGCAATTGCACCATTGCTTTGTTTGTCAAAATGCCAGACTTCTTGTCGCAGAGTACATGCCAGAAATGCTCGCCGGAGATTTCGAGTGGTTCGTATGGCTGAGGTCGTAATGGCGGCGGTCGCAATATAGGTGACAACGAATTTGCCAACGAAGAGGTAGACGAACCAAAGGACAAATGAGTCGACCTCGTTTTTGAACGATTCAGGGCTTCCGTTGCCTGTGCTATAGCCATTGAACTTGTTGGTGAAGCTGCCAAAGATCAGGGTCATCAAAGGAAGTGCAGCCCCAGACGCGATGGCGCAGCTGATTGCGACACTGTTGAGAATCCAATCGTACTTGTCAGCATATCTAAAAATCCGCAGGTAGTCCTTGATGCTGCCTTCAGGCTCCTTTTCTCCGGTTGTTGGTGAGGATGTCTTCGAGCCATCCTGGCTTGATCTTGGTTTCTCAGAATCGTCTGCCATTCAAGGGAACAGGAACGAATGTAAGCTGCAATTTTCAGCTCAATACTGTCTCCACGAATTTGTATGCGAAGACCTCGGTTAAAAAGCAGAAGTCCAAGGACGGTATTTGAGCGTGACACGACCGAGCAATATATTGTCCTCACCGAGACCAAGGAACCGCCCCTCTCAAGTGATATGCGAGCAGGCACCCATTTTTCGGGAGCCACGACCGAAGCTCCCGAGATGTGAAGCAAGAATCCAGCTGGCCGTAGTGACTAGCGACCAGTCAAATATTCGTATATCATGAGACGCGATAGGTGAAGAACACGAGGAAACAGAAAATGTCGACGTCAAGACTTGGACTTGGCTGACATTAGTCTGGATCTCGGATCCCGCGGCCGCCGGACCGCTTGGTCGATAACAAACAACAACGTACAAGCGAGCGCCGGCTCGTGTCACAGCATTTTCCAGTGATGAGCTTTGTCCCGAACTTGATGAGGATGCAATTGTGCCCTTGATACGATGGCCGATGCTAGCCAGTCTGATTGTGAGGGTGGCACGTTGAAAGTGGTACCTGCAGTACGATGCCGTTCCCTCCTCATGTCAGCTCAACCCGGTCACTAACATATCGTAAGTGTGATGGTTGTCGAGCTCGAAAGGTATGAAGGCACGCCGGGCCTCTCGGATCAGGATCACAATGTTGAGAAGCATCTTGCTGCAGATTCGATGTGACCGGAAGACACCATGTTCAAGCTGTCAGAGTTCCCGAGTAACATGCCGCACGACAAAACGGAATCCCGAAAAGCGACAGCGCATAATCATCTCTGGAAGATAGTGAGCACAATATAACGCCCTGAGGTCCGTGGTCCAGGAAACAGTCCACGCATCCTCATTCTTCCAGACCGGACGTTCTTGCTTACCACTTCTTCAGTGAACGTGAAATCGAAAATGTCAATCATCGATTGGCTAGTCTCGAGAAGATCCTGCAGGCTTCTGTGAGTGCTCAGGGTGGACCTCAGGCCTCGCCACAGACGCATGCAGGCGCTGTACCGAGTCCTCGCGACAGTCAACCAACTGAAAGAGAACCTGATTTTGCAGGGGATTCATCCTTTGTGGCTCAGTCGAAAGACGTCACGCAGGCGTTTGAAAGGAGTCTCGGACTTGCGCACGACACTCCCAGCTCAGCAGGAGATGTATCAGTTGCAGTTGCCACGCTGAGGAGCTTCCTAAACGACAAGTCAGCCAGTTCCGATGGTGCTGCTGCCATCCCTGTACACAAGCCTTTGCAAGAAGCAGTGCATTATCCTGAGCTCGCCAACCTGGAACTCCCACCAATGCAAGCTGTCCTGAAAGTATTGAGACTTTGTAAATGTAGGTTACTGATGTCCACCAGTAAGAAATTGGCAGTGTCGTTACAGGCGTCCAGCACTCATTTATGGGCACCTCTAAGGTTGTGTGGTGTTCGAAGCCCATAGCTTTTGCCAGCTTTCTGTCACTCTTCCTGGGGAGGAGACAGGTCAGCCTCGTCTCGTCATCTGGGAAGCTATCTCTCGGACAATGCTGCTTACTGCCCAAGGATCTTCCTCATGCCGTGAGCGAAATGCTAATTTAGCTACAGCACATCCATTCCAGTTCTTCTACGAATACCCGGCAATGGACGCCAGTCGCCTTTCCGACCTTTGCCAGAAGATCTACTTTCCTACGGAAGACTACACCATTGCCACATTTGTCACAGTTCATGTCTCCCTATTCTTACTTTTCCGTCAGATGCAGAAGGACACCGCCAAAGAACTGCAGCTTGGTCCCAGCGAGATAGAAATCTGTGTAGCCACGTGCAGCAAGAACGCTCAGACTTCCATGGGAAGTATGCGAGTATACATGGAGGCAAACTTTGAGAACATCGAGGCTCTTCTCCTTGCGGTAAGCCCAGAGTTCTTATATGTGGTTTCATCGGGAGTTCTCCGTTTCGACGGCCACGCGCTCTCCTCCATTGTTTCGTGGTAGTGCCTGAACTTCGCTAATCGACACACCTTATAGGCCATGATGGCGTTGGAACTCTCGCGTCCTTCACTTGCATGGGCACTCATCACGACTGCTACAAGAATGGTCCAGGATGCAGGATACCATCGCCTTCCACCTTATTCCGTTGCTCCTGAAGCAACTAAGAAAAGGCTTCTCTTCTGGTTCATATACGCCATTGATCGGAGTATGGCGCTCACTCTCGGCCGGTCCCCCAGCCTCCAAGACTACGATATCACTACTGAATGGCCGAAAATCCCGGAGGAGCTTGATGGGCCTTTCGGTCGCATGTACTTGGGTTGGATATCCTTGGGCGAGCTTCAGGGGCAAATCTACGAGCAACTATACTGTGCTCGGGCTCAAAGACAACCTCCTGAACTGAGGGCACAGCTTGCTAAGAGCTTGGCTTCCAAACTGCTCGAGATGAAGGACTACTTTGAGATCGACTTCGAGGGCCAACCATTTTCAGAAGCCTTCTCTGAAAATCTGTCCTCTAGTCGGATCTGCCTGGCATCAATTCTGACGCTCATCTATCGGATGATCCCACCTGACCCGCTCCCGTCGGGTATGCCACCACATCCTCTGAAATTCAACGACCTGGCAATTCAGTCTGCTCGTGAAGCAGTGACTATGCACAATAATGCATGGGATACGCTGAAGTATCGCGAAAGAAACGAATGGCATCTTTTTGTCCATTGGACAATGCTGTGGAGTCCATTTATCCCCTATATCGTGGTCTTCGGGAACACCATTGCCGACCGAAATGCGGCAGATCTCGAGCTTTTGAAAGCAGTCGTTAATGCATTGGAGAGTGTAGCCGACATGAGTCCTGGAGTCGGCAAGCTGTATCGTGCCTGTCGAATCTTCTATCAGATTGCCAGCATGTACCTGGCTCAAGATGGCGTGGATGACGAGCCAGTCCTGCAAGGTCCCGCCTATCCTCCGGCGGCTTCCTCGATGCAGGTTTTACCACAGTATCTAGTGCCCGCTTGGCTCCAGGCCAGCTTCTCATCCTCCGATGCAGGCATGCCGGAACTGCCTCTCTTCCAACAAGACTGGAATGATATGCTCGATGGATGGGATCTAGGCACAGACGGCAGAGACTCCAGAGACAATTCCACAATCTTCGGACAGCATTTGTCAGGGGCCCCAGGGACCGGAGCTCATAGACCTTTACCTTGACTTGCCTTTCCCCCTTAGATGTAGCGGACGACAATGACTCCTCACGTTACAGAGTCAGATGAAGTCAATCAGCGTAGATTGACGCTGCATACGCCGAAGATTCGATTTATTGATTCAGATAGCGTTCGATGGGACGTGAATAGTGCAAAGGTGAATTCACAGACAGAAATAAGAACACCACAAAGCTGAGAAGGACTTTTGAACAATCGCATGGCGGAATTAACCACGTGACCCGAACCTGCCTGCGCCGCCATCTCGATTGAATAGAAACCATTCGGTCCATCCTGCACTCCTAAGGCGTTGTTGAAGGACCTCACTATCGCCCCCGAGTTGCTATCGTATTGTTGCATCCATCAATGGCATCGCCGGAGCTGACAGCAGCGTTAGAATCTGTGGCAGACAGTTCGGCTGCCGTCAAGACCCGGACCTACAATGACCTACTCAATCAATTGACCAATGCACCACCAGCGTCAGCTGTCGAACATGCGGCAAACCTGATGGTTTACATTGACGCAGTCCTCTCCTCATCCCTTGGAATAATCAATATTCGACCCATTCTTGCGAGCATCATCAAGTCTCTCTCTTCTGTTCCTGCAGAGGTCAAAGTGAAGGTGGGAAAACATATTGCAGATGCTCTGCAGTCACAACTGGCGTCCTATGAAGAGCAGGATGCAGCAGTCAGGGAAATATTGGCACAAGGATACGAGGCAGAAGAAGAATACACGGCTGCTGCCAAAGCCTTACAAGGCATCCATCTCGATTCAACCCAACGTCAAGTATCTGATCGATCGAAAGTGGAAACATGGGTGAAGATTGTGAGATACTATCTTGAAGACGACGACACGGTATCCGCAGAGACGGCGCTGAACAAGATCAAGAACTCGGCTGCAGCTGCACAAGTACTCAAGGATTCGCCCGACTTGAGATTGCTATACCAACTTTCCCAGGCACGCATCATGGACTCACGCCGAGACTTTCTGAACGCTTCTGCCGAGTATCTTAACGTCTCTTTCAACACGATGACCGACGAAGACGATCGACGACGAGCGTTGTCTGCTGCTATCAAGACTGCGATCCTTGCTCCTGCAGGTCCACACCGGAGTCGTACGTTGGCCAAACTCTACAAAGATGAGAGATCAACAGAAACTGAAGAGTATGGGATCTTGGAAAACATGTTCTTGGATCGGTTGTTGTCACCAGCCGACGTGGAAGCCTTTGCTTCGACATTAGCACCACACCAGCTCGCCAAAACTGCAGATGGTAGCACCGTCTTGAGCAAAGCTGTCACTGAACACAACTTGCTCGCGACCAGCCGACTTTACGAAAACATTACTACCGCCGCTCTTGCCAAAATCCTCGGGCTCAAAGATAGCAAGGATGAAACTGCGGCCGAAAAGGCCGAAGACTATGCTGCTCGAATGGTTGAGCAGGGAAGACTGAGAGGCGAGATCGATCAGATTGCTGGTGTCATTGTGTTTGAAACTGTCCCTGGAGTTGAGCTTCGTGGACCAACTCGACATCTTCGCGAATGGGATTATAATGTCCAAGGCTTGGTCGAGGACGTGGAACGTTGTGCTGCTGCCTTGAGTGAAAGCTTCCCGGTAAGATCAGGCAATGGGGCGCGTTTACAGAGTTAAGGCTGACTTTTGTGTGTTCCAGGAGCTGGTCATGGAACAGATGGTGCATTGAAATTACTACAGAAGTACCGAGTACCTGATCCCATTCAGCAATTGAACGAAAGACGCCCTGGTTCGCTGGAACTGTATGAGGCCACCAGCAATGGCAATCCGAGAGCAACGTTACTCGTCATGCTAGTGCTCACAATTCTCAACCGATGCGGCCTCCAGAGCACTGACGTTGGCTTGACATGCGCATGTGCAATACAAGATGTCATGGTACAACCGGACAAGATTCGGCCCTTTAAAAGGATACGAAGTCGGTAGTTTGGCATGCGAGAAGGAAGCGTGGACCGGCACCGAAAGTCTCAGTCACAGAAGCCACTCGTGCCACTATCCGGGAGAGATATCGGCTAGGAGACAGATGCTGGTGCTGACGGACCAGGGGTTGGCCTACTAGGCCTTGCTGGGGGCAGTCTCACATGCACACAGGCTAGATGATGGGTCATCAGTGGTCAGCTTCTTTGGTCCTCGCCAGGCTCCTCAGGCTTCTCAGGCTCCTCGGTCGCTCGGAGAATAGCCGGATGACAAGATGACAGAGATGGCGGGGTAGAAGCCACAGTGAGCAGCATGGAGCCGAGGGAGGATGGAGCACGATGGAGCCACTCAAGAAGTTCCAAGAACATGGAGAATCCAGAAAACACCTCCAGTTCTCTATCAACTTCTCCAATCATTTCATGCCCATTTTCTTTTCCCATTCCCGTCCTCGGTTACCGACTCTCAGCGACGTGACCGTCCAGCACCGCCGTCCCTTGCCATCATCACCGTATGTGTGGGCACCAATAATTATCCTTGCCTTTTGCTCGGCCAGAAGCACTCGGACGTCCAACGAGGTCAATCATTAGATCTAATATTAATGCGGCCCATTATCACTCTTGAATGTCTGAAGGGATGTCAACCATTCGCATTCTAATATAATTCAGGTCCTTCCAGTCGGTACAGTCCTGTTTGAGTCGAGGCCGGGCTGTTGTAGACATTTGTCAAGATGCTTGTTTCGTCGGTCGTGTCCCCCTGGGCACTTGTTCTCCTACCGGTCCTTTACTATATTCTTCCATATCTCCGGAACTGGAGTCTTCTCAAAGTCCCTGGACCCTTGCCAGCAGCTCTGTCCAACCTTTGGTTGATGTACCAGTGTCGACGAGGACGCAGATATCTTGCCGTGGACGACCTGCACAAGAAATACGGCAAAGTTGTACGGATACAGCCTAACCATGTCTCCATCGCCGACGATTCAGCCATCAACACCATCTACGGACACGGTAATGGTTTCCTGAAAAGGTACGTTCTCATCCTTTCCATGCACAACCCCATAATTTTATGGCCAGAACCCGGTCTCTGACAACGACCAGTGAATACTACGACGCCTTCGTCTCGATCCGCCGTGGCCTCTTCAACACACGCGACCGCGCCGAACATACGCGCAAACGCAAAGTCGTGTCGCACACCTTCTCGGCCAAATCCATCGGCCAATTCGAGCAGTACATCCACGCGAACCTGGAACTCTTTGTGCAGAAATGGACGAAACTCAGCGACACCCGCAAGGACCCCTCGACGGGCTACGCCTCCATCGACGCGCTACACTGGTTCAATTACCTGGCATTCGACATCATCGGGGACCTGGCCTTTGGGGCCCCCTTCGGCATGCTCGAGCGCGAGAAGGACTACGCCGAGATCCGCCTCTCGCCCGACGCGCCGCCCTCGTCCGCGCCGGCCATTGAAGTCCTCAACCGCCGCGGCGAAGTCTCAGGCACGCTGGGCTGTCTGCCCCAACTGAAGCCCTGGGCCAAGCACATGCCGGACCCGTTCTTCAGCAAGGGCGTCGAGGCCGTCGAGAACCTGGCGGGCATCGCCATCGCGCGAGTCAAGCAGCGGCTCGACAACCCGAACACGGACCGGGTCGACCTGCTCGCGCGGCTGATGGAAGGCAAAGACGCCAAGGGCGAGAAACTGGGCCGCGAGGAACTCACCGCCGAAGCCCTGACGCAACTGATCGCGGGCTCCGACACGACCAGCAACACGGCCTGCGCGCTCTTGTACTACGTCGTGCGCACGCCGGGCGTCCTGCAGACCCTCCAGGCCGAACTCGACGCGGCCATCCCCCCGGGCGTGCCCAACTACGACGCCGTCAAGGACCTGCCTTATGTGCAGTGGGTCATCAACGAGACCATGCGCATCCACAGCACCAGCAGCCTGGGCCTGCCGAGGCTCGTCCCGTCCGCGACCCCCGAGAATCCGCAACCCCAGGGCATCGAGATCTTGGGGTACAAGTTCCCGCCCGGCACCGCGCTCAGCGTGCCGAGTTACACGATCCACCACAGCAAGGAGATCTGGGGCCCCGACGCCGATGACTTTGTGCCGGAACGCTGGAGCGACAAGAGGATCACGGCCAGGCAGAAGGACGCCTTTATCCCGTTCAGTACCGGCCCCAGGGCGTGCGTGGGCAGAAACGTCGCCGAGATGGAACTCAAGTGTATCGTCGCCTCGGTGTTTAGGAATTTTGAGTTCCGCGACGAGCACGACGGCCCCATGGAGACGAGGGAAGGGTTCCTCAGAAAACCGCTGGGATATAATGTTGGCTTGAGGCGCCGGGCGACGTGAGCGACGTCACGGCGTGTGTGTGTTGTCGCACAACGTGATTTGATGGGATGACGAACTCAGCATTATGATGTGGGAGGGGATATCGTTGCGGACTTGGATCTAGCATTGTACCTCCTTATATTCAGCCCGTGCCTTGGGATCGCGGAAAATTGGAAAATGCGTGTCTTTACCACTCAGTCTTGCTCACGTATGTAAATAGTTATGCATCCATCCACTGTCACTCTGATCCTACGACAATCAAACAAGACCATATTGTACCAGGTCATGATCAATGCTACAGAACGTATATTGTACCGAGGCTCGAAAATCTATACTGCTTGCAACTGTAGCATACCAACTGATTGATACAGTTCAGTATTCAGACAAGGTCCGACCGCCGTTCTATGCCCTGTCGTGCCATACCATGCCATGCCTAAACCAAAAAGCGTGCCGTTATGCCGTACTGTGCTGCAACTCTTGACTTTGTGTATAAAAACAATACAGAACCATGAACTGAACCCATGCTATCATGACTCCAGATCTTTCCATGTTGAACGCGAGTGTGATGTAGTGGTTGTAGAGGTGAAAAAGTTCGATCGCTTCCAGCATGCGGTTGATTCCACCCGGCGACTGAAATCCAGGATTTACAAGGCGAAAACCCACAGTACACACGCGTTCCCTTTCGCAGAACCCGGTGAAGCTGCCGAAAATCGACGTATCACAGCTTGGGCTTCAGGCTCGCCTTGTCCTCACGTGCCCTGGCTTGGTCAACTGGAATGACCACGAGAACAGCAATATCGTCCACCTTCCCGCCGTGCCACGGATCGTATGGGAAGTGTTTTTGCATTTCTTTCGCAAATGGACCGTCCCGCTTGGCGCTGAGACTCGCTGCCTTCGCTTCACCCACAATGGCCGCAGCCAGCACACTTTGCAGCGTGCCCGGTAATTTGTGCTTTTTAGGACCGAGCGATCTGTCAACCAGCTCCGGGAGTATGGGTGAAATGGAGTATCCCTGGTCCGGTGATCTCAGCCACGCGCCTAACGTACGCATCTGGTTCGATACGATTGACAAGATGTCCTGAGAATTCAGGTTGTCCCAAACGCCATCCGTGCCTAGCACAAGAACATCACCGTGCCGAAGCATGTGGTCTGCGAGATCGGCCTTTTCGGGTTCATCGGCCAGGGGCATGCCGCCGAAGATCATCGCTTGAGCGAGTATCTCTGGTGGGGTCATACTCAATTGGTACGGCGTGTTGAAGGCATGTGTTTGTGGATTGGAGTAGTGGTGAACGGTGCCCAGTCGTAGTTGTAGGAATCCCGAGTCGCCCAGATTGGCAATGCGCATGCGTCCATCTGGCTCACTGACAGCGACACAGGCCGTGGTACCTCCTGCTCTTATCGCAGGGTCATTTTTGACCTTGTCGTAGCCTATCTCCAAAAGTTGTCTGGGGCCGAGTCGTTCCTCTTGTGACCATGATAGAGCCGTCTCAACCATGTGACTGCAAAGGCCGTGGGAGAAGTCAGCCGGGTCAATCCCATGCTCAGTCCATCCGCCTACACCGTCGGCAACGGCAAAGGCTGTGGTATCCGAATCCTGTCCAACTCTTGCGACGAAATATGCATCTTGCCCACTGTCAGGACGTCGTGATCTCTTCTCTTCTATGGTTGATCCTTGCTGGAGGCCCAGGCCGTCGGTGTTGCTAGGGATATAGTCGAATGTACTGGATTCAGGACGAAATTTGCGGCCCTTGCCACTCGAGGACGCCGCAATGTGTAACGAAATATGAGGGATAGCAGACGAGGCCGTTTTTGCGGTAGGATCTGCAGTCGCAGCGACACGACGCGGTGAGGAATGCAGACTTCTTGCGTGTGGTTTGTAGGGATCGAGACCTCGACGGATATGTGGTCTGAGTGCTAAAATAACACTGTAAGCAAGTGCTGGATCGTGACGAGAGGATTTGCCCGCACGATGATTAATGTAAGAAGGAGTGAAGATCAATGAACGAGTGAGAAACGCAGGTCTTCGAATTGGTGCAGCGGAGGTCATCGCGCTGGTGGTAACAGGTTACACGCCGGCAGTAGAGTCTGCGAACTTGAAAGGGTGGAAAAGATCCATGGAGAAGTGATCTCAAGAAGTCTCTGCTACCAGAGCCATAATAAGGCGTGTAAGGCCAGAAATTGGAAGGAGTGTTAATCGAGTGCAAATGAGGTCTTGCGAAGAAAAAAAGTCGCTCAGATTAGATTGCAACTTCGGAAGACGGGCATCATGACGAGCAGCATGGAGGACGACTTAACGTTGAGCATCATCATCCATCCTTACGTCGAGCCAATACTCCATCATAGTCTTGACCTTCTTTATCTCCTTCTCTTCTACGGCCAATGTGAGTCTCAACCCAGCAGAATCACAGAATCACCACCGAATATACGTGCATGAGGCTGCTGGGTTCAGCCCTTCCTGGACGCGTGCTGCCGGTAGTTATCTCAGATGGTCCTGACCAGGGTCAAGCCTGGTGAGCGTCATATCTTCTTGCCGGGACTAGGACTTGCATGGGGAACCCAACGTTGAGCATCTGCCTCATAGGCGCGACCAAGAACTGGAGTCAAATGGCCAGCTTGAGGTTTCTCCTCGTTGGTCTTTTACAGATGTTACACTCGCATCTCCAGATGTCGCCTCCCTCCACAATTCATATCATCTCAAATGCGCCACTGCTGATAAGCTGGCCTTGATCCGAGAGATGAAGCCATCAAGGACATGCCCATCGCCCAGTTAAAGATGACCCAACAAAGAAATCCGATTGGTTTTTGCTGAGGAGCCTTACTACTTCCAGGCATCAGTAACGAATCCCTCTTCTGGGAGACCATATGCACTGACCAACTCGTCGGTGCAATGGTGCTTGAGATGCTTCTTTCCCCATGGAGGAGACGACAAGTTGTCGAGGGTTAGTTCATTGATAAGCTCATGGCAAGATATGACCACATCTTTCCCTTCCCACTTGGGCCTTGCTGATGGTACTTAAGGATGCGTTATTTGCATCTCCCCACTCCTTTTCAGCATCATTCTACCAAGCCAGCCGGACGAGCTCTCTCGAGCTCAAGGCGTATGTGAGATTCTTTGGCACTACGTCTGTCCTTGAGTCGACCCAATACCTCCGAATCATAGCCCTCACATGGACCAAGAAACCAAAACGATGCAAGACGATACGGTCTCAGTCGGCAATGCCGAGAAAATCGTGGACGCTGCCACGGCGGACGACCAGGACGTGGAGCGCATGGGATATGTCGCCGAATTGCCTCGCCCCTTCACCCTCCTAAGCGTGCTTGCCATCGGTTACGAGATTTGCTCAGCTCCGACGGCACTGATTATATCCTTCAGCGTTATCGTCGGTAGCGGTGGACAGGCAATGTTTATTTGGGGTCAATGGATCATCTACCTGATGGCTGCCTGTGTGGCAATCAGTCTGGCTGAGCTTGCCTCGGCTTATCCCAATGCTGGAGGTAAGTACTCGTCAAAGATTTGGACCTGCGGTCTTTCTATCTTACCCTTCATCACGGAGACATGTCGCTGACTCATGGATTTTTGAGAGTATCAGGACAGTACTACTGGGCTGCTATGCTTGCTCCAAAATCATATCGCAAACTGGCTTCCTTCGTGGTTGGTTACCTCAGCTGGGCATCCTCAATGTTCATGTTAGCCTCCATATGCATATCGATGGGCTTCCTGGCTACTGGCATGTATGCTCTTCGACATCCTGACGCAACCATCAGTCCTTGGAACGTTTTCGTTGTGTACCAGGTGGTCAATATCTTGGGGTTCGCCATGAGCTGCTGGCAGAAGTTGTTGCCTAGAATCAGTCGGGTCTTCCTTTTTACTATGGTGGCTACCGCCGCTATTATCTTCGTCAGCATACTGGCTCGGGCACCGGTCAAACAGTCCGCGTCATTCGTCTTCGCGAGCTATACCAACTACAGTGGCTGGAACGATGGCATTGCCTTCGTTACAGGACTCCTGGGGGTCAATTGGGGCTTCTCATGCCTTGATGCCGTCACTCACATGGCCGAGGAGATACCCGAACCTCGCAAGAATGTCCCCAAAGCCCTCTTGGGCACAGTGGGACTTAATGCCATCCTGGCCTGGCCGATGGCAATTGCTCTCATGTTTTGCGTCCAAGATCTGGAAACGGTTTTCGCTGGAGCAACCGGAATACCAGCGATCGATCTGCTGACTCAAATCTTTGAAGCCGAAACTGCAGGTCCCTTGGGCATTGTAGCCGTCCTTTTCATCTCCACTTTCGGCGCCGTGTTCGGTATTCAGGCGTGGCAAGCACGTCTATGTTGGTCGATCGCCCGTGACGACGGCATGCCCTTCTCGAAATACCTCAAGAAAATCGCACCAGCACCCTACGAGATCCCTTTCTGGGCCCACCTTTTCTCCTGTTTCATCGTGGCGCTGCTCGGATGCTTGTACCTTGGGTCGAGCGTTGCCTTCAACTCTTTTGTTGGAGGTGGTATCTTGATGCAGTACACCGCATACTCCATCTGCATTGTCTTCCTTCTGATGAAGGGACGAGACAACATCCCACGCGGTCCGTTCTGGCTGGGAAAATTCGGCGCAGTCTGCAATGTGATTGTACTCTTCTGGACGGTCTTCACAATGGTGTTTTACTGCTTTCCACCATACTACCCGGTCACCCTTACAACAATGAACTATGTGTCTGTGGTGCTAGTTGGCTTTGTGGTTATCTTCACTGGTTACTACCTTGCTTTTGGTCGGAGAGCCTTCACGGGACCACCGGAGGTTGAGTTGTAGGCTTGCTAAGATTTCTGTGTGGTGTTCATGCTGTGCAGAATTGGGGGATTTCGTGGGAAGCGTCAGCTATTGTATTGGCATAGTCTGGCATTTGATATCGTATTTTAGTTGGAAAAACAATGTTACAGCTATAAACATGACCTTATTTCCTAGGTTTTACTAGTATTTAACTGTCAGTAATAAATGCAACCCGACATCATGACTCCCGAGGTCCTTGGAGGCCATGGAGGTCACCAATCAAGTAGTCGAAGGTTATCGCAGATATTCTAGTTACAGGTGCAAAGATAGGTGCCTCGGGTAGGTACCGTACACCAACGAGAGATCCGGCAGCAAACTTCTTTGCCATAACCGCACACTTTGCCGCCGTGGTGTTCAAGTACACTGGGTACTATGGCTGAACGACGTCCATCCTTCCGATTCCTAACTTACACCATTGACCACCTGAGAGTCTCCTAAGGCTTCCTCACAAAACACTTTCAGCTCATGCGACACAATAATGAACAAGCGAGCATCAAGATCCAGAAGTAGATTATCCTCCCCTTGGATTCCTTCATGTTGCTGACCTGCGTCAGATGGATGCATCAGGTGTAAGGAGCGGGTTAGTCCACAAACCAAACAGTACTGCCGCCATTACTTACTATGAAGCGATTGAAATGTGACGAGACGCGGCCATCATGTCACCAATGCGAACGTCGCAAAATGTCTTGTCCTGGTTATCGATCAACTGTGAGATGGTCTGATAAGTATGAGATCTTCAAGGTCAATCAACAACCCAACGAGAAGAAGTCAACCTCGTCAAGCACATCATCCAGGCACACACAATCGCAGATCCAACCATCACAACCACCACATCCACCACCACGGCCGTCGTCTCATAACGCTGACTTTCCTGCTGGAGGACATGGTATACAGCTCGTGACCAGTGTTTCTCCGATCTCTGTGATGCAGGACTGCCCAACCATCCACAATCGATCTCTCCTTGATATCGAAGCTGGTCACAATACGCTGACCTCGAGACCGGTCGACTTCACACACAGCCATGTCAATACGATCGACATGGGCTTCGAGGCTCAGATGGGCGATAGTACCGGTATAGACTTCGAGGACTTTGAACTGGTCCATCAAGAATTCTGGCACGATTTGTCTATCCCATGGTCACTGGATTCGCCTGGGCAAGCTTTGTCGGAGCCTACTCCTACTGCTCTCTCTCAAACCTGTGCCATGTCGTCTTCAACAAACGCGCCCCAGGCACCGGCTGATGATCCTCACATCGACAGTCTCGCCGAAGGGAACGAAGATGCTCGGATCTTGCTGCGACACTATTTCGAGAATGTCTGCCGTATCAACTCGGTATTCGACACTGCCGACAATCCATTCCGGTACCTGGTTCTGCGCTATATCAAATCCTCTTCACTGATCCGCAACTGCGTTCTCAGCCTGGCACTTGTCCACCGGATGCAAAGCGACCAACAAAATATGCACCGCAAGGTCGTGAGATATCATTCTGCAGCATTACAGTGTCTCTCGGCGGCCATCGAGAACCTCGACGCGCAAGAATCGAATATTGAATGTCACTCGAATCGCTCGGGGTCCCCCTCGAACTACCTCGAGCGATTACAGGAAGCGCTACTTGGCGTCCTGCTGCTTTGCAATTCCTCGGTTTGTCTATCTCTTATTCCTTACCCTCTTCCCAGACCAAAATTGTCTGAATCTCAACTGACAATAGTATTCATTCCACAGTCATGGCTAGATCCCGAAGATATCGGCATCGGCCATCTTTTGAGCGCCCGCCAACTGTTCGGCAAATGGCTACATGCACATCGTGACAGTGATATCTCCACCATCACCACCAGCCGTGAAGCGAGTTTCATCGTCGGTGCCATGGCTTACATGGAGACGGTGGTGGCGTTTGTACTGGATCAGCCTCTCAATGCCGCCGACTACTTGGAGCCTTTCTGCCATCAATCGAATGATATCCCCATCTATCCGAACCCATGGACTGGAGTCAGCACCCCCATCTTCATCACCATGGCACGTGTTGGCATATGCGTAAGGCAAAGACGAGCAATATCCAACCTGAAAGCGCTGGGTTGGTCTCAGAATACGTATGATACGATGCTGAACGATGTGTTTGAAAAGGTGAAGCGAATCGAGAGTGATGCTCTCCTCTACGAGCCTCCAGCACGAGGCCGAATCAAGGACCAGAAAGCGTCGGAGAATGTACTCGCAGAATTGGAATGCCTAGCTTATACCTACAAGCTGGCCTCCTTGCTGGAGCTATATCGCAGCTTTCCGGAACTAGGGTCTAAGGGCAAGATAGACCATGGTGAACATGTTCCCTGGAACGCCGATTCATCCGCGGTAATGGCACCTCCTCCTCAGGGAAAGTTGACTGACGCGCCTGACTCGGATCCCGATGAACATCGGAGACTGATCTACGACATTGCAATCAACTTGCTAGGGCTCCTGAAAGCCACTGCAGAGCGCCAGGCGACGAGCTTGATCCACACCCTGGCCTTGCTGATCAGTGGCAGTGCGTTATATCACCGTCAACCCAATCCCCAGCAACAACAACAATCTGACGACAAAACCTCCTTGCGAGGAAGAGTCACCCAGGTCCTCTCCATCATCAACATGCGACCAAAAGTCGTGGATCGCTGGCGCTCATTCGTTCGAGATCGCGTTCGATCAAACGCCGATTTCGTGGGGTTGGAATCGTTCAAAAAGGTCGAGACACTGTTGGAGGAGGTCTGGTCCAGGTTGGATGATCCTTCGCTTAAGCGATCACGGGTGTCGTCGGTCAGTGCAGCCAAGGATCAATCTGCAGCACATTGGTTGGATGTCATGACCGAGTGCCATCTTGAGACCATCTTCGGTTAGAAATCATGGAGACGGTTGAGAAATGGTCAGGAGACGGAGATGTACACAGTGGTGTAGAATCTACTCTCCGCCTGGACCTAGCGCTGCTGATATGAGGGGAGTCAATCGCCTATCTCTGTTCCACTTGCAAGTGGAACTCCAAACGAAGCTTATGAAGCTTATCTGTCTCTTGCAAGTGGAAACTACTACCTGTGGCATGTACTCCATGGTTCGAGAGTCCTTTGCAAAGCATGGGGGAATCCGAGGGAGTGCAGTGCTTTGACCTCCCGCACGGAGTAGCGCAAGGCACCGATAACCAGCCCTTGATAGTGACTGTGAACCCAGCCAGATCAGATGCCAGATGGATCCACAGGCACCGCGGATGGATGGCCTTTCCTAAAAGGCAGATTCCTCAAGCCAATTCTTGCTGTTTTAGGAAGTAGATAAGGCCACGCCAAAGTGGTCCTATCTTTTGCTTCCATATAGACTAGCTTACAATCTGTCAAGAGTACGACTCAGTCTATCGATCAATCAATCAAAACCACGATACGAGATCACATACTGTTAACGTATCTCCTTCGTTCGTTTCTTTTCCGAGGTCATTATCGTCGTTCATTTTCCGAGGTCCATTATCGATCGGATGCTCTTCCCGCGTCCATTGGTAGTATCGTTCTCTTGCTGAGATCATTACTAGCAGTATCGTTCAGCAGACAAGGAATGCAACTGATACGTACTAGTATCGTACTGGCCACCACGACGGACTAGGAACATTCTCCTCCCGCTTATGGTCATTTCAGATACCCATTTTGAATGACTGTGCGATATGTGTGGGCTTCACACAGTGTCTTGGTCAAGGCTGGCTATTACCTGATCGAAAACCCAAGATTTCTGGAACTCACATAGCTAGAAATTCTTCCAGCGAGCGCAGATATCGCGACAAGACCTCAATGTTTCGAGCAAAGTCTTCAGCGCATGGCCTCCTGGCAAGGTGGGTGAGTCAAGCTGAGAGCTATTTTGTATCAGAAACACGGAAACTGTCAGTCCAGCAACAAAGAAGTCAGAGCGGAAGATCCCAATCGGCCATTGCCCGGCCGTAGACTCGGACTTTTCGCAGATGCTTCGCTGAAGAACCAACATCGCAGCCGCACAGTTCGAGAGTACTCCAGTGGGAAACGGAATAGTGGATTGCGGCCTGTGGCTCGTATGCAAATCGTCTGTGTAGCTCAAGGAGTAGGCGCATCGCCTTTCGGCCCCGATGATGCCGTTTGTTCTGCCTCGTACGCACTGTTTTCTGGGCTAGGATGCAGATACGTGCAATGCTGCTCATATTAACAGGCTCGAGACTTGCAGCAGAGAGTCCAGCTGTGTCATCAACAACCCCTGCACGCCTCTGGCAAGGACGAAGCTGGGTAGAGCCAGAGTCGTCTAATTTGGGCCATGATATAGCCAGAAGTGGTAGGCAGAGACACCCTTAAGCAAGACTACCACAGTGAGGGAAGACAGAAAGACGTGCGGGGGACAAGTCAAACAAGAGTGTGCTGGTTAGGGAGGAAGGGAAGAGACGAGGGGAAACTACGGTGTTCAATAAAGAGTGTGAATTTATAGACATTTGCGATGCGTTGTTCTACTGTATCAATTGCTATCAGATGCATATAGGTATTTCGATGGCACTAAATCACGGCGAACCTAAAGCACAAAGCGTCAATCCTCACTCAGACATCAAACATCATGCTTTGGACTCCAAGCCAATAACCTGCGCCAACTCGATATAATCACTCTGCCACAAACCAGGCGAGTCTTTGGGGAATTGTGATCGGAAAGCAACCATCCTCTGGGCTCGCGGGCTCAGCGTCTTGATGGTGTCCATGCTGATCAAGAACGGGTAGGCCTCCTCGGGAGTGAGGTAGGAGCATTGAAACGAGAAAGCCAGACCTCGCCTCTGGTAATCCTTGGTTCTGTTCGCACCGCCTCCATGAACCACCTTGCCGCTGAAGAAGAAGGCGTCTCCGGCCTTCATCTCTGCGGGGACCGTGTCCTCCGGCGTGCCGTAGTACTCGAAGCTGGGCCATTGGTGGCTTCCAGGGATGACACGCGTCGCACCGGTTTCCTCGGTGAAATCATTGAGGGCGATCAGGAAATTGACGCACGCTTCGGGCCCGTTGGCCCCGACCGTCGTGAAGACGGGATATTGCATCTGGTCACGGTGCAGTTCCTGGGCCTTGTTCCCCGGACCGATCTCGATGACTTGAGCCGTGTTCAGCCAATATGTGCCGGAATCTTTGGTGAAGATCTCGGTGCAGAGCTCGTGGATGAGGTCCCTGTCGAGAAATTCCTTGCCGAAGCTGGGACTGTGGGTGACAAGATTGGTGAGTCTTTTGGTGTTGGTGCCGTGGAATTCTTTGGTCCATTCGTCGTCGTGCTTGGAGCCTGGATCCATCTTGGCGAGGACAGGGTCGATGTCTTGGTTGAATTGTTGGACTTGTTGAGGTGTTAGGAGGCCTTCGATGACGACACCGCCGTCCTCGCGCATGGCTTTGAGAATGGCATCGCGGCCGGCGCTTGCTGGAATTCGTTGTAGGGTCGTGGTGCTGGGCTTGGTGCTAAATGGAGGTGATATTGAGCCCATCGTGGAGGAATGTGGTTAGTGAGTGAGGTGAAGTAGTGGCTTCGTGGCAGGGGAGGATTGCTGATGTTGAGATTGCCGGCTTGCACAATTGATAAGCTTGGTTGTTTTGTCCCTTGGCGCTTTCCATGAAGCACATGAAGACTCCGGTTATATAGCACTTCATGGCTTGGATTGGAAGCCGTATCATCCTTCCGTATGTGTAGCGTCTAGGCGTTGAGCAGTCCGGTGGAAGGTTGATGCTAACTCTTTCCTAAAAGGGATATACTTGGCCGTCTCGATCTGGACAAGTGTGGGAGAAGTACCATCCATTCGACAGTGTAATCAGCATACCTATGGAGCGTCTCGTCGGTGACAACCTCGAAGATAAGGTCCGCGTACAGATGATCTGGACAAACTTAGGCAGTGGATAATGTGATGCACAAGGCTCGCTCCATGTCATTTTGGGTCTTATCTGCTGAGAGCCGGTTCCGAAATCATACTCTTTGCAGACACTCATCCATGAAAGATGCCTAAGGCTCAATGGCAAGGCAGTATCTGCGCTTTGCGATTCGTCACCCATTTCGAACGTTGATCTGGATCCGCTCTCGATCGCATTTGAGATATGATGCCAGTCTCGCTAGTGGTTAGGTGACCTTCTCACAGTTGTACACAGTCTCCACAGTATCTCATCTCTCGGCTCTTCTGTCATGCTTCCCTCTCTTCCTATAGACAGCAAAACCGCCATGCGAAGCATGCGTTGAAATCCTCAATCGCCTCATCAAGATCCATATCACAAGCTTGACTTGCAATGTGTTGCAACAGTCCACTCACGAACCGGAACTCGTTGTCGCAGGATGGGCAGCAAAACTTGTAGTAGTCGGTCCAGTCATTAGTGTAGTCCCCGAACTTGAAACCCCAGTAATCAATTACCCAGTCGTCGATGTCGTCGCAGTCCACTCCACTCTCACAATTTCCAGACTCAAGATGGAGCATCATGGCAGAGAATTCAGAGAACCAGCGGTCGCAGCCTAGACACTCGTATTTGAGAGGCAAATGGACTCGTTTGTGCTCAAGAGGCGTTAGCCCGGTATTCGATCCAAATGGCAAGGTGGTAGGATCATAAGGTACCTCTCGCAAATTGTTTTCGTTCACAAAGCGTTCGTTACATTCGGTACACTCGTGGTGGACATTGACGTTGTGGACGTTTAGATCACTCCAATTGCTGTAGTCGATGTTGCAGGAGTGGCAGATGTTGTGGCATGCTGAGTTAGTAACGTGCATATGTAGAGCATCCTGGGAGACGAAGAGCCAGTCGCATCGCTCGCACCATTCTCCGGCATGGGTCGCAGCATGTCGGCAGTGGTTGACCGCACCGCTGAAGCTGCTGAAGAGTCGTTGACAAGGGAAGCAGAAGTAATGATTTTCATCGTGATCGATTTCGAGCTGATTCGGCCGAACCATTTCCTCGTCTTGACTTCTCAGCTCGATGATGAGACAGGAGAAGACAATCTTGAACGATGGAATACATGCTTTGCAAGTGGGCTTGAAGATGTTTGTTGACTTATGTCAGCTGATGTAGCAAACACCGCTGTGAAGACTTCATGCAAGGCACCGCACGCGAATCAACATCCGCGATTCACTTGGACTTGCTACGTGATGTGGCCAACCGCCGTTCTCTGGCCAAAATTTTCATATCCCTTTCTTGATTGCTTGTCAATCGATAGCAGGGGATAAAGTTACGTAGAGTATCTGACACTTACCAAGTTCTTCACGTCTCGAGAGTCGCGAAGGCTATCTACGTGTAAGAAGACGAAACCCTGAAGTAGGACACTCCGAAAGTGCGTCCGTGAGATCGAAAAACTTGCAGTCGAAGGAGAGGACGTAAGTTGGTGTTTGACGATACAAATGCGGAGTACTTGTTGTGCCTATCGCCCAGAACTCCTGGCCAACCAGAAGGACTGCGGACCTGACAGTCCCCGGATCATCTCGCTTAGGCGCAGACTCGCAGCGTCTTCGGGGTCTCGATCAGGTGAAGATAGGTCGTTCGACCCTTGCCCACCTCATGCATGCTTGGATTTACGGTCTCATCATCTTTCCGTACCTTCAGGTAGGTTTTGAAGAGTAGGACCGAAGGCCGCAAGCCACTGATTCTCCTTCTCAACTCTCCTCTCTTCTGCAAATCTGTAAAGCCTGCCGCTCAAAGCACTCACCCTAGACATCGCCATCCCCCCAGACCATCATCTTCCTCTCCCACTTTATCGCCCTGCTCCTTCCGCCTCATATACCTCAAATCCCGCCGTCTTCTCAAGAACAATTCAACCAAGCCGAACAGCACCAGCAAAATCGCCGCTGAGCATGTTACAACAATGATGCCGACTTTGGCACCTTCCGACAGGCCCGAGGATGAGGATGAGTGTTGGTCCAATGCCACGGCACTGGGCGATGAACGTATGCTCGAAACCGAGCCCGTGACTGTGGTAGACTGTGTTGTTGCCGTGTCGCTGAGGATAATGCTCTGCTGACTAGTTGAGATCGGACTGACTGCTGTTATCGCTGTTGTCGCCGTGGCACTGCTCGTACTGACCGGATGCCAGATGCGTGCACCCATTTCAGTGCCCTCTGGCGTCAACATCTTAATGTGGGGTGAAATTACGGGAGTATGCTTGGTGCAATCGTTCAACAGAAGACGCCTCTTGTGCAAAGTGTTTCTCTCGGTGATACTCGTGCAGTAAGTATGATTTTCTCAGGGCGTTCAGGATGGGCGTGGAGGTGGTGTTACCTCAAGAACATCGGGCGCGCGAACACCTTGTAGAACGTACGTCCGTCAGCCAGCCATCGTCAAATGGAAAGAGCAAGGCTGAGGACAGTACTAGTACTGGCGCGAACATCCGGCCAGTGCATATCAAACGCCTTCCCTTTTCGATTCCTGTCGTTCTGTATGGCAGCTTGGTGCGGCTGAACAGGCCCGAAGCGCCAATAGGGAAACCCAACGAAATCGGAACTGGAAGTCTTCAGCTCCCCTGTCGTGCGCCATCAAGTCACGGCACTGCACTGCAAGTCAGATGCGAGCACATTGAAAAGAGTTGGTCGCGAGAAACAGAACGAAAACAGCCAATTTGAATATTTTCAATTATCGTGAGGTCATCTGCCTCAGATCTGGCTCATTCTATGCTAGAGCAGTTCACTTTTCCATTGACCTTTTGGTGTCCCAAGTAGAAAACTCCGTCTGCTGTGCCATTGCATGTCTGTGGCAGTCTGTGACCGAAACCACAACTTTTTGGTCGAATCCCCATGCGCCATGCAATGGATTGCTGATTTTCCCGTCCTGGTAACGCCTCGCTCTGCCTTGAAAGGTTCTCGTCATTCCATATTAATCATAAACACCATCGAGATCACATCAATCTCGCTCGTCTTCGCCGGATGACCGGAAGAAGATATGAAGAAACACACAACGCTGTATCGGGGTATCGTGTCGTCTGCTCGAATGGGAAAAAGAAAAAATACAATCATCCTGTAATCGTAATGTCGACCGCCAATCAGTATGGGGATGGTGCCGGATAGCTGAAGGCAGGCTGTCTGTCTTGTTCGAATGTTCCGAAGAAATTGTCGTCAACCTCGTAGTCCATAGCACCGTCAGGCAAGTACTGGCCAAAAGGGATGTCGGTGTCATAAGATTCAATGTTAGCCTTGTCGTCGTTCAAAGCCATAGTTGCAGCAGCCCTTCCACCAATCGTCGGGTATTCACCAGAAGGGTAATGGTAAGAGCTTCCGTAGTGGTAGATCTGATCTCCGCACATGACCATTGATCCAGTGAGAAGTTTATCGTCTGCCTCAGTGTCCATTTCATTCCCAAGATCGGCATCTCGGTAGAACGGCTCGCCGCCAGGAATTGCCATACTCTCTGAGGGTGCGTAGCCAGTGAGATCAGCAATGACGGAAGTCTTCTTGACACCTTTGTCTGAACGAGGCTTCCGCTTCTTAAGCACTTGCCCTTCAGTGTTGTCGGCATCATCAGCTTGTCGCTCGGCCTTGCGCTTCTTGTTGCGAATAACTCTCTTTGACTCCAACCCTAGATGTGCAGACCGGACATGCTCTTCTAAGCTGGCTTTGCTGGTGAAACTGCGGTTGCAACCATGAACAACAACATCGTCCTTGCCGGCCAGTTCTTCAGGTAGGGTAATCTCGGTCTCGCCGCAGACAAAGTCCCGCTTGTTCTCATGCACCGTCTTCGTGTGGACGTTGAGGTTACCTTTTTTGGTGAACATCTTGTCGCAACCGTCATAAGTACACGGGAAGACCTGCGCCGGCTTGTCTTTCTTGTCAGGCAAGATACCATGCTGAATTTCAAGATGTCGGGTCAACTCTTTGTTGGTGGTGAAAGATGTTGGACAGAGAGCACAAGTTGGCGGATGAACAATGGTGAGGTGAGCTTGAAACTCTCCGTAAGTTGCAAATGACGCCGGAGGCAAGGTGTCAGGATCGGTGTCTGGTGAATTGGCAAGAGTCTCAACATTCTGAGCCATGCATTCGTCACATGAGAATCTCGTAGGATCATGCTTTGCTCGTTGGTGGGTTCGCAACTTTTCGGCAGTGTCGTAGGCTTTGGTACATGGCAAACCAGTGACTGAGTCCAACTCATGGCATGGAAATGGCTTAACACCTTGGTGAACGGCTAGAATGTGTCTGTCAAGAGTGTCCTGCTTGCGGAAAGTCTGAGAACAGCCCTCATAGCCACGACACCTGAACTTCTCTTTTGCTTCATGAGTCTCGATGTGTCGTCGCAATCTTGTACCAGTCGCAAAGCTAGCATCGCATCCTTCCCAGGTACACTTGTGGTCACGGACATCCTCATGGGCGCTCTTGATGTGGTGTTTCAGATGGCTGTCACGGAGGAAGGCTTTGGTACAAGGAGAATATGGACATGTGAAAGGACGCTCATTGGAATGAGATCGCAGATGTTCTTTGAGTCTAGCCTGGCGATCGAAGGCCTTGTCGCATCCTTCCCATGGACATCTCAGCGTCTTCTCTTTGGACTGCGGTGTGGTGGTGGATGCGGGAGGAGTTGAGGCAGGTGTGTCGTCGTTTTCGTCGCCCAGCTCGTCGGCGGAGTCGAGCATGTCGTAGTCATCGACAGGATCGAAATCGTCGTCCGAATCGACCCGCATCGTGACTAGCTGAAATCGCGCGACCTTGATTATGTCGTGGTTTTAGCAAATTCGACGAAATGGGCAGCGCAGTTTTGACCCGCTGCGACCACCTCCGTTTGAAAAAATTGCTTGGCGCGACTTGGGAAATATTTGCGCCGTCCTTCCTTTGAGACTGCGAAGGGCAAACTGAATGCGCCTGCCATCACTCTCATCCGTCAGTGCTGCTATCGCTGTATCCACCTTGCAATCAACATCTCGTTCATTGCTGGACGCTTCAAGATGTCTGACTATGGCGGTGACGAAGGCGGGTAGGTGTTGAAAAACTGCCCTGTTTGTCGAGTCTTCACGTTTCCTGGTTACTGACTTGCCCAGCTATGGCATGGACGAGACTGAAGATGTCATCTACGAGCCAGATGAGAATCTCGAAGAGTTTGCTCCGGACGTCGAGATCGATGAGGCGGCCATAGAAGCCCGCGCTGTAGCAGATGAAGGTGATGAGAAGACAGTCGTCTCTGGTGACCCAAATCAACCCGCGAAACCCTCAAGCGACGCCGACAAGAAAATTCCAGACGACAAGAGAACCACCACCCCTTACATGACAAAATATGAGCGCGCGAGAGTTCTAGGCACAAGAGCCCTGCAGATCAGGTATGGAATTGATGCTGTCCGTCTAGAACAGAAGCTGATCAGCCTCAGCATGAATGCACCTGTGTTGGTGGACCTGGAAGGAGAAACTGATCCACTACAAATCGCTATCAAGGAATTGAACCAGAAAAAGATACCGCTCGTTGTCCGCCGTTACCTTCCCGATGGATGGTGAGCTTGTCGGACCCGAGGTTACTTACTACGCTGACATGCCACAAGGTATGAAGACTGGACATGTGAAGAGCTGCTATGATCAAGCCATGGTACACTCCACATTTTATCGCACGGACCGAATGTCCTGAGGCGATCGATCGTTCGAAAAGACTTGTCACCGGACCGGCCATACTGCCCGGAAGTCAGCTCGACCCGTTCAACGGCTGAATTGAGCTTACAAAGATGGGCATCTGGATCGATCATGGTAGGGTCCACGTTGTGTTCTTATCAGGAATGCAAAACCGCCAGCGAGGAGTCTAAAAACCCAGCCCCCAGTGGGGTTTGGCCCGAGACTGTTAAAATACCCAGAAGCCCATGCTTCGGCACTACGGACGTTTACCCAAATATGCGACGGTCAGAAACTCATTCAGCCTCCCTCTAAGCACTTGAGTCTGTGAACGAGCTCGGTGCTGAGGATTCCTACCTTTATTGGCAGACCTATGCTTGCATGGATAACGTGGTGGCTCAGAGAGGCTACATGCCACAACGATGAAGAACATGTACGAACAATAAATCGAAATTCATTACCGCCAATACACCGTCGTCTTGTCCTGTCCAAACGCTGTTTCCACATGTTGACTGCACTCCCACTACGGCGGGTCAACAGCACTTTTTATATGTTCTTGTGGAGTTCAAAGATGCAGGCTTCTGCGGCTTCTCCTTACGAGGCAAGCTCCCTGAATGATGGAGGCGTCCTTCGCCACACGTCCTGTTAAAGGGATTCGTCGGCTTCCTTCTATCAGACCAAGATTTCTCAGAACGCTGTTGCAGATCTTCAGGCAAGGAATGGTTGATGTGGCGATTCCACCTATCATCTTACGCCGGGCCTTAAGGTCAACATCCTAGTCTTTAGTGTCCGTCATATGGTCGCATGCCCAAAAGAGGGTGGCCTCAACAACCCTTGAGCTTATGCGTTCTTATGGCTCCACGTGTGGCTACTACTTTGGGGCTGAAATGAGCCTAGCTCGAGCTGAAATAGCTCAATGAGGAATCCTGTGCGAATCTTACCGTAACTACTCCACACAATGCCTTTTGTCAATCCTTTCCTATACTTTTTCAGTCTGTCAATGCTATCCATTAACTATAACGCAGATGCAGACGGCCAGGGCCGCTGGGAGGGCCGCTGGCAGTGCCGATATGCCGTCACTAACCCAAGTCTGGCGGCATTCGGTGCCTCTGTACTATCTATATATGCAGCTCGTGGTCTAACCTGCTACTTTTGCTTTCTGCTGGCCACCCAGGAGAGTACCATTATCAATTTCCAGGTATGCCAAGAATGGAAGGCAGGTATCCTGCAGAGTCCCAGGGATCCGTGTCTCCGTTGACGCCAGTGTACTCGCCACTGTCTGAGACAAGCATACCGAGGAAACCACTTCCACAACGATATCCCAGCTTCACAGAACCCGGAAATCCAGCGCCTGTTTCGAGGAGGATACCCAGAAAACCGCTTCCAAAGCGTTGGAACTCGCGAAGATCCGACTCACGACGGCCACAGTCTTCAAGCAGTTTCACCCGCGCCTTTTCATGGCTAGGAGCCGTGCTTCCCGATCAAAGACAACCAGCGTTGCAAGAGCAAGAAATTCCCGAGGACAGCATCTCGCCTGTTCTGTCATCGAACCGGAAATCATGGCGATATACATCCCAATTCGATCCACGCATGGGTTCGGGCCTGACACTGTACGATCCCGACTTGGCGGTGCAGGTCAGGCGGCATTCGTCGACTGCGTCTCATGTCGTAAAACCGCTTGATGTTGATTGGAACCTACCTCCTTTGAAGTGGAGTTGGAGCACGGCGGACTCTAACGATTCCGTCGTCAACATTGCCATCGAGGCGCCAGCCAACTTAACCCCTGCAAAAGGCGACGAGCCGCCTCCAAATGGTGGATGGCTTGCCTGGATGCAGGTCCTGGGAGCTTTCTTTCTCTATTTCAATAGCTGGTAAGTTCGGAACTTTCACTCCCCTAGACATGGTCCCTCGTACAACGATACAACACGTGGCTGACTTTGGCTAGGGGCACTCTCAACACCTTTGGCGTCTTCCAGACGTACTACGAGACTTCCGGCACCCTCCATCAAACAGCTTCAAACATCTCGTGGATTGGGTCCATCCAAGCATTCCTCGCTACGCTGGTCGGAGTCTTCACCGGGCCGCTTTATGATGCCGGATACTTTCGTCACCTCATTATCGCTGGCGGCATCCTGGTTCCGTTGGGATTTATGATGACCAGCCTGTGCACTCAATACTGGCAAACGATCATCGCCCAAGGCATCCTCATTGGCATCGGCAACGGCTGCTTGTTCGTGCCCTCTGTCGCCATTCTCCCTCAATACTTCACCACCAAGAACCCTGTGGCAAACGGCATCGCTGCCTCGGGCTCTAGTATCGGCGGGATCATCATGCCGTTCGCCTTTGTCCGACTCCAAGCTCACATCGGCTTTGGCTGGGCGACGCGCATCCTGGGGTTCTTGTCCATTGCGACGATATCGATCAGCATGGCCGTCATGAGACCACGCTTGACTCCGCGAAGCAAGCGAAAGCTGGTCGATGTGTCGGCCTTTGGGGAACTTCAGTACACGTTCTTCTGCGCAGCCGCCTTCTGCGGATTCATAGGGATCCTTGTGCCGCTGTTTTATGTGGGTCTGTATGCTCAAGCGACCGGGGTGACGAGCGCGGAGTTTGCCTTTTACTTGCTGCCCATCATGAACGCGGCGTCGACGTTTGGACGCATCGCGCCGAATTTGGTCGCCGGGATGATCGGCCCGCTCAACGTACACATTCCCGTTGCCGCCGTCGCGGGGATCCTGGTGTTCGCGTGGTGCGGTATCACCGAGTTCGCCTCGACCGTGGCGTTTGCCGTCTTGTATGGCTTCTTCTCCGGCGGGTTTATCGGCTTGCTGCCAGTGGCCCTGGTAAGCTTGACGCCGGACCTGCGCACGTTGGGCACCAGGACCGGGCAGGCGTTCTTCGTCGGGTCGTTCGGCATGTTGATTGGGTCGCCTGTCTCGGGGGCCATCCTGAGTAAGACCGGTTCTTGGACCGCCGTCAAGTGCTTTGCAGGCACCGCTGTGACTCTGACGGCCGCTTTGTTGGTCGCAGCGAGGACGGCCAAGGTTGGCTGGAGGTTGAAGGCGCGGACTTGAGATACTAGTCACTTAGGTGTCAGTATCTGCTTGTCTTGCAAGGGTTCTGGCGGTGCAGTCTCGGCAGTACTAGTATATGCTCCCGCTCGAAAGGGGTGCGGAACATGGAGTGAGTACCTTAGTGACTCACGAGTCACGAGTACACACGTGGCTGATGCTACAGTAGTAGGGAGTGCAACAAGTTTAATAGAGGCTGGAAGGCAGAGGAACAGTAGCGTTAGTGGCTGTTCTTGCACCGGTGGCATCATATGGGTATATGCATATTAAGATCCCTCCCCTGGTCGTAACTTTTACCAAATGCCTATGGAGTACACCTAGTAAGTACCTAGGTCTTCATGAGCAGGGATGTGCCGATTCTTAACACGCGGCTAGGATTCGTCTTGCGTGTTCGTGTTTCTTATTGCTACCATTTGCCCCAAATTCCTTAAATGCGCCTAGGATTCATCTTGCGAGGTTCCCATTTCTACCATACTAGTATTCTCATATTGGCTGGAGTCATACGTACCTGTCAGGGAGACGTCAGCCGGTATATCGTCGGTGCTCACTGCTCACAGAGGGATCAAGAACCGCAACCCGCCAATGCTTCAGTGCTTAGCCAAGCAAGAACTATTCACTGCAGGATCGGGAATCACGAATCACGAATCACGAATCACGAATCACGAATCACGAATCACGAATCACGAATCACGAATCACGAATCACGAATCACGAAGGTCACTTGGAAGGCTTACTAAGTTGACACGACCACCAAGGGGCCCCCGGAGCCTTGCTAGCCTCCTACGTATTGCTTCCGATCCGCCTTCCAGAAACATCATTGTCAGCGCGAGAAACAAACGAAGGTGAGGTGAAGCGAAGTGCACATATATGTTTCCTTGAATTCTCGTCATGACCGCCACTGTCTGAAGTTACTCTCCCGCATTTCGTCCTTTCAAGTCACCAACTGGCCCGGCACCCTGAGTCGTGCCTGAGCCTGCATCAGCACCGGCAATCGCGCAAAATGTCGTCCTCCTCTCCCTTGTCGGCTGGCGCTCACACCGCCCGTATTAACGGCCTGACCATCCACTACAAAGTCCAGGCCACTTCTCCCAATCTTCCACCACTCGTCATTCACCCACCACCCTGGGGCTGCGGCGCAGACATCTACGTGGACACTTTCGCACGGCTCTCGTCCCATTTCACCCTGATCATCCCCTCCCCTCGGGGCAATGACGACTCCGATTGCCCGGCCGACGCCACCGCCATGTCCACCAGGCACGTCGTAGCTGACCTCGACGTACTGCGTTCTCACCTCGGCCTCGAACGCATAAGCCTGATGGGTCATTCTGCCGGCGGGGCCGTCGCGCTGGGTTATGCAATCAAGTTTCCCGAGCGTGTTGATAACCTCGTGCTCATCGAGACTGACTTGCTGGGTTATCAGCGCAAGGACCTCTCGTTCTTCATCGACGCCAACAAGATAAAGGCTGCTATGAGCGTCGAGAATGATGCCGAATTCCGCGAGTGGGTGCTGCGGGTCATGCCGTTGTATTTCGCACACCCGGAAAATGGGGGCCCCGAGGCGTTTGAGAAGGCCTGGACTACTATGCCGCGTCTCTGGGCTTTCGGGGCGTACTATGGCGCTGATCAGTCCGATAACGGGAAGTGGGATCACATGGGTGAGTTGGATAAGGTAAAGGCCCGCACATTGGTCATTGTAGGAAGGCAGGATCGTACCTGCGGCGTGGAGGTTGCGGAGCGTGTGGCTGCGGGTGTCCAGGGGAGTAGGTTGGAGGTGTTTGAGGAATGTGGGCACTTCCCTTGGGTTGAGCAGCAGCAGAGGTTTTGGGATGTAGTTGAGGGGTTTTTGAAGGTGTGAATGAATGAGGTTAGTGGTGTTGTCGAGGTGATCACTCACTGTAGGCTCTTTAAGCGCAACGAGGACGTAGTCGTTATACGGGTGAGAAAGTGCAAACCCTGCTCGTCGATGAATGAGTGCTCTGATGCATCGCTTCCGGGTTCGAAATTGACAGGCAATAACACTCGACTGGAGTTTTTCTCAGGCGGAAGGTATGGCTTGTGCTCAACGTTTGATTGGGACGTCTCGCTGCTTCATGTGTTGTCTTCTCTAGAGAATCGGACTCGTGGTGCTCGTTTGATAACATAAGCATGCAGGTGCTCATCCCATGTTGCTTTCCCAATTTCCTCCATACCACCGAATCTAGTTGGAATTGCGCTGGTCGAAGGCATCCGTACGAACCCGTCTTCCTGGCGTGTTTCGTATTGCGCAGACGGTGCAGCACGACGGACTTGGACTTTCTCCAACTGTGGCTTCTCGAGTCGGACCTTTCCAAGACGAATCTTCCGTACAGGAATGCGCTCGTATTCGATTATGTGCTCGTCCTTCCTTACTCCAGGTTCTCGAATCTCGTAGATCGGGAATGGCGGTTCATCTGGCGGTCGTCTCATTTCGTTTGGGGGAGCAGGAGATGCGCAAGGTGGTTTGGCATCTGCGAAAACAACCTTGCCTTTCCTATGATGGTCGTCGTGGTGTGTGTTGTCGTAGTGTACAAAATGTTGGTGAGTATGTTCGTGGTTGTGCTTGTGGACATGGTGATGAGTATTGTCACGGGGTGCGGACTTAGGCACATCTTCGTAGACTTCGATGTTTTCTCGCTGCTTTGCACTGTTGGAATGGCGTCTCTTACGGACGAAGCATAGTCTGTCTTTGGAGAGACGCTCTATATACGTGTCATAAGGGGGCGTCCGTCTGAATGCGAGGCTAAATTTGAAGAACATGGCGCATATGTAGCGTCGCTGGCGTGGGTGCTCTGAGCACCATGTGGATGCAGTTGCTGAAGATGGCGCTTGTGGAGGCTGCAGGATTTTTGATGAAATGGTCTCGCCTTTGATATCGAAGAAAGTGCAGTTCGTAAGTCGTCACCGATACTTATCCTGTTTTCATGAAGTCTCCATGTTTGTGGTGGCAAGGCTGTGCAGAACGTTATCCTGTAGATGAAAGGAAAGAAGGACAAAGGATAGGTGGAAGAGTGTATACATGACCTTGGAATGGGGTGAATGACTGTTTGCCTACCTTGGAGAGTTGTCATTCATTGCAGCAGATGCCATGACTGACGGTATGCTGATGAAGTACCAGTGTGGTCGTTTGCTTTGTGCTGGTCCCAAGACCCCGACCAGGAAGGTCTCACCAGACATTGTCTGGTCAGGTGGATGCGTATCTTGGACGGCAAACAAGTCAGGCAGCCTTGGGAGAGTCACTTCATCATAGTAACTGCACTTTGGCAGACCAGATCGTCTTTCTGTTTTCATACCCCAAGCCAGGGGTCATTGCAAGATTCGGATCGAAGTTAAGCTGGCATGAAGTGAGATGGAGGAAGTTGTTGGTGAAGCTGAAGGACTTTGGTACTACGGCGCCGCATAGGGACAGTCTACGGTGACGCATTTGGACCTCATATGTAAGTTCCCTCATGTGATTTCAATACTTCTACAATCCAGTTGAGTTCGATACTTGATTTTTAGAGGTCTGGCATGTTACTCTCCGTCTATTCGTAGCTTGACGTGTAGGATGTCCTCCCTGAGTTTCACAAGTCTTCGCCGACACAGGAAGTGTGGGTATCTTCAAGAGAGGATGATGGAGGTGAACGTCTGGTGTGTATCTCCGTTTCTTATATCCGGGCCTTACTACATGGAGTGCGGTGTACCACGACATAGAAAAGACGGGAGAATTGAATCTCCTTTCCCAGGTCCATGTACTACGAGATCGGCCCTCGAGTTTGACCGGTCTCTCGCACGGTCGGAGTTTAAGAACATCCTGCGGCCGCACCAGCCGTACTGGTCTTTGGTCTTTGGTCGGAGAGCCTCATTATATCCGGATTGACCTAGGGCTCCAGCCTTGTCAGATAGATAACACAAACGGATCATATAAGTTACTGGCAGGTCTGACCAATTTTATACTAGTACAATAGGGGCATAAAGAGGACAGCCCACCTGTCAAGTACATATTTTCTAGCAGACAATCAAAGTGCTATATCTTCCCAACATTTGAAATCCGGTCGGAACACGAAAATATGCCATACATCACAAGCAATCATGATGGCGCCCGCCTCTTCTACCGTGACTATGTTCCGGCCTCATCACCTGCAGCCTTCGCGCCACAATCGCCGCCCGACCCCGACGACCGGAAGAAACCCGTCCTGGTATTGACTTCTGCCTGGCCATTCTCTTCTAAGATGTGGGATCACGTCCTCGTCCCGCTGGTCGAGACTTACCGCTTCCGCTGCATCGCCCCGGACCGTCGCGGTTATGGCAAGAGTGAATGGAGTGGCCCTGATACTTCGAAGGCGGAGAGAATTGACTATGACACTTTCGCCAGCGATCTTGTGCAGATTCTCGACACTGCCCTTGGGGTCTCCTCTTCCAGCTCTGGGTCACCGGGGTTCATCGGCGTTGGCTCTAGCTTGGGATGCGGCGAGCTGCTCATGGCTCTCTCGGCCAGCACAGAGGCCAGAAACAGCTGCAAGGGCTTGATCTTCGTCGCGACCTCCTTGCCGATTCCCTTGCGCACCGCAGAGAAACCCAATGGCCCTCCGCGAGAGTTCTGGGATAACATCCTCTCCAGCCTCCGCCGAGACAAGCTGGGCTGGCTGAGGACCGGGTTGCCATTTATCTTCGGCCCAGACAAGCTATCGGACACGGAAATGAAAAGATACGAACACATGGCAGAGGAAAGTGATCCGATCGCCATCGAGAGGACAGTCCAGGCTTTCTTGGAAAGAGACCTTTCAGACTTGATGAAGAGTCTTCACGACCCGGAGAAGCCGTTGTCGATCCTGATCCTGCAAGGGGATAAGGATAGTGTGAATCCTATTGACGAAGGGCCGGAATTGGTGAGGCGATGTCTTCCAGACACGGAAATCGTAGTGTACAAGGACGGATACCACGGTGAGCGCGATCCTAAGCTAGGCCAGTCCGGACCGAAGCTGCTGACACAAATGCGTACCCAGGTCTCCTGCAAACCCACAGAGAGAGGTGCCTCGAAGATATCGTCAGATTCAGCAAAGGTTGCACCCGTTGATGCTCTGTAGCTCAAGCAAGGCTACGTTCACGCTGCGCGCTCCTTTTTGAAGCAAGGATCAGTCTTTCAAAGATGCAATTCTTGAAATCTTGCCGTAGGACCGTCATCACCCCGTCGCATGCTATGGCAGTGACGAGACCACGCTGCGGGGAGCGGATCGTAATAGCCAGTCACTATGGCATCGCTGCTGTTCAAAAAATCATACACATATGCCTAGATGTCTGTTCCGACTGTCGATGCCGCGCTAGTACCTCTATGCATAGCATGAGGCTAGCCGCTTACACTGAGCCCGTTCTGGAATGCGGCCCACTTGTCCGTTTAGGAGGCAATGACTGTATAGCGGGAAGAATGCCGTCTGATCCCGAGACGTGCGGCCTGCGTCCAAAATGCCGCCAGACCTTGAGGCTAGCGATTGCCAGGCAAGTCGATTAGAAGGATGGTCGGTATGGACCTCTGAAGGCCAGTGTCACTTTCGTGACTGGGCGAGCTTTAACGAATTCACAATTTAGGCTTCTAACCAGCAATGAGCCAAACTGCAACACCTTCTCCGGGAATCAAGCACTGACCACTGTCCCTGATGCCGGCTTGTTGGCATGAGCAAGAATCCATTCTCCCACATCCTCCGCAAACTGCTCACCTACCCCCTCGGGCTCAGCATGAAGTTTGTGGTAAGCATCGGGATACGAGTGGAAAGTTTTGTCACCGCCAGGAGCTTCAAGTACTTCGAAGAGTCGTTTTGCGGCATCAGGTGAGACGACCTTGTCAGCGGTGCCATGTGAAACCCAGAGTGGGCAGGGTACTCTCGTCGTCAGGTCATGAGTTTTGTGACCATGGGAGAGGGCGGTTAAGTCTCCAGCTCTCTGCAACAATCCTTTGAGGCCTTCGAGTGTACCGGTATCGTGGCACAGAGGGTCGTCAATCCAGTCTTGCCGGACCTTGGCCGACCGAGACATGTAAGTTGCGTGGAGCTTCTGCTTCATTTGCATATGCGGAAGTACCAGAGCGGCTAGCTTTCCAGCAGCCACTGTGAATGCGTGAGGCTGTTCGGCCGGGTCGAGCTCAATGTAGGGCGCTTGCAATAGAATACCGGAGATTAGAGGACGATTCGAGTATGCCGACGATGCAGAGAGCATGTAGCAAAGGACCTCGTTGCCGCCCATACTGTGGCCCATGATGAAGATTGGTCGGCCGCGCGTCTCGGCGAGACCAGCAACATGCAGGACGAAGTCATGAATATCCGAGAGAACGAGTGAGGTCGGCCCAGTCAGACCATTTTCGCTTGCTTTGCGCACTGATCGACCCCAGCCTCGTTGGTCAAAGCCGTAAACGGCGACGTTGAATGGTGGAGAACTCAAGGTGGGAAACAAATCGTAGTAAGCTGTTCCTTCGTCAGCGTGATAATCCAACCTGAAGTTTCAGGCCCTGAATACCGTTGATATGGTCTGAGAAGCCGTGGAGGAAGATGAGCACTGCTGAGGACGAATTCGACTCAGGCTGCCAGAGCGGATATAGTCAATTAACTACCCACCTAGAAGGGACTCGTGTACACATTGACCCATGGCTTGGGTATGTTGTGCACGCCTAGAAGCAGGACTTACCTTCCAGGATTTCATGTACAGTTTCGTGCCATCACTTGTTGTGAATTCGGCTTCTGTTGTGACAGTCATGATGAGTTGATCGGCGGGAATATCGTTTGAGAATGAGATTCACACAGGTCGAAATGTATGGTGATGATGTGCAGACGCAAATGTAGCAAAGAACAGGTTGCCGTCGTCAAACAAGACAACCAGACCGCAGAATCGCTAATGCGGAGCGCAAGGACATATGGGCAATTCACTCAGAGCCGAGGTCATGGCCGTCGAATGCAACTTCACATGCTCTTGGTTTTAGAGGACTTTGGGCCTGTCCGTGGCCTTTGTCGTACACATCCGTGTCAGGAGTGAGGTGAGTTGCCGATATCCCTGTCCCGTCGGTGCATGGAACATCCCAGCACGCCCAAAAAGGAGAAGGAGTATGTTCGTTAGGTAAAGCATAGGCTAGCTGAGCGAGTGCAAGACAACTCACGCATGAGATGTACTGCCGACACTCACCTCCCGTTAATGGACGACACCTTCAGCACGCCTTAAACCGGAAGCCAGGATGCATAGAAGGAAAATGATGCACAGGACACTCTCTCCCAGAGATGGGGTGAGTTGCCGTCATTTTTGGGTCGTCGACCCATCAAAATCCATCAAGGCTGAAAGGGGAACTCATGTTTGCCTGATCAGGCGGCAGGTAGGGAGGTTCGTGGGTCCATGAAGTGAGAGCTCGCGCGGCAAAGGGTGACCGCTCGATAGCAGGGTCGACTGAGAGGGCGTATTTGGTCTACGCACAAAAAAATCTCAAGCTGAGCGGCAAGAAGCCTTCGATGTATGGACAGTGGCTCCTGATGCCTTCTAGGTTGAGGGGATTTATGGGCATGCAAGAGATCCCGGATTGGTATAGCAGGGATATCCAAAGGATATCTACTGAAAATAAAGAACATGTCCATATTGAATGTGCATGAATATGGATGAAAAGTCGTGACAACAAGAAGATAAACCAAGTGTTGACATACTGGGCCATCATCGAGACAATGTGGACAAGGGGAGAAAGAGTGTTTTGTGCTGCTGCTGTTGTTGGCAAAGGCTTGCCCATTCACACCTTCTACATCTTGTTCTTGTCATCACACGGTCTCTCACCAGAGGATCCTAATCTATGACTCTCCAAATGAAAATCTTCTTGTCAAAACCACCACTGACCAAGATCTCATGCTTTCCGCCCTTCTCCCAACCTGCATACAAGGTCCGCACTTTGCTTCCAACCTCGTGTGCCTTGAGCACTGCCACAACCTTCCCACTGTGAGTGTCAATGCCTCTGATGACGCCATCGTCCGCATTGACGAAGACGCCATTCCCACCTGGTCGCCAGACGACTTGTGGCGTCGAATACGGCGTCTGGGGAGCCATCGTCGTCACATGTAGTTTTATAGCCGAGTCCTCGCGGTCTTGTAGAGCAAGGTCGGCTCGAGCTTGTGCGGCGGGTGTCACAGACTCTGATCCAAGAACTGCTGCGGAATTGGAACCCAAGTTATACGAGCCAGCTGGGAAGAGAAGGCGGACAATGATGACTTTCATGTGTGGAAGGTGGGATGTCGCGACGGCGAGCAAGGTCGGATCTGTGGGACAAACTGCCAGACAGGCAGGTGAAAATGAAATCTGTAGACCATGAGTACACCGACGTGCTACTGACACGACTGCAGGGAGAAAAAGACTTACCCATGCATTAGCATGTGGCGCAAGATTTTGCTTGCCAGTCTCTTGAACCGAGTACGTGACCTCACTGGCACGAGACGAGGACGCCTCATCCGATGTAGGCGTGATGCAGTAATAATACAGGAATGTCGAGTCTCGCCGTGACACGATCAGGTAAAGGTCGCCAGTATCAGGATGCTGGACCATTACCATAGACTCGGGATTAGTTGGTAGCGCTATCGTGTGGACAGGATCACGCAGGAGGCCTTCGATGTGCGGTCCCTCGCCATTCGACCTTTCATCGGTATTGAACTTTTCCGCCAGCTCTTGCTCTGGAGCATAGACGTGCACTTTCTGGTCCCAACCAGCAGTGGCCACGATCCATCTTCCATCCCGAGTCGTGCCCGACACGACGTGAACAGCATACTTCAAGTGGTCGCGGCATTTATCCAACAGTCTGCCGCGAGAGTCGTGCATCATCAGCTGTCCCGACATTGAAGTCGAGAAGATGAACTCTTTAGTGATGGAACTGATGGACAGAATAGGACTTCCGTGGGCATTTGATATTGATTCGGCAAGTGAGAAGGGCGGCGAACAGCCAACGCGAGACCATGAACGATCAGCACCGGTGACCCAGATAATGGTGTCTTCAGATTTGCCTCTGCCATCACCACTCACACATAGTACATTGGAAGCGACAGAAAAATCCGGTTCGGTGGCTTTGGATGGTGCCGGAAGTGGCCAGCCAGTGGCTTGTTCATCACCTTTCTTTTCATATTGGAGGCTTTTGTCGTACTGTTTCTTCTCTTCGAGGATCTGTTCTATCGTCCAGTCGCCTTTCTTAGTGACGGCTGCATCCTCGGGCAATTCCGCTTCTCGCAGGAATGCTTCTAGTGTCTGTCATCTATGAGGGTTGTTCGCACTGTGATCGGGATAGACCCACCTCGTTATAATGGTTCGCTTTCAGGAATCGGGCTACGATGACTGCTGCGGAATCGGTGGCTGGCATTTCTAGGATGTTACTCCGTATATACAGCATAAACGTCAATCGAGAAGGCGACATTCATACAGTAGATGATTTATCGACGTCAACGAATGAGCACGTGACGTAGCCTCATTATCAAACTACGGCTCGAGGCTATGCGCTGCTATGGGAACCCAACAACATGGACAATCAACTCGTCTATTGAAAGTGACCATCTGACTACGAGTAGTCTCTGGCCATCATACCCATATCTAGGAACGCCTCGCTAAAGTCCGGCAGTAATGGTTCAGCTCATCATGATTTGGTCTCTTGCTGCGGCGTGCCTGAAGTGTACCGCGCCTTGTATTCTCGAGGACTTTCGTAATCCTTCCTCTTGCCAGCCCACATACCTTTCCTCTTGGTCTTGGCCCACCATTCTGCGTTGCGGTATTTCTGTTCCAGGCCCTCGCCGAACTCCGCACCCGATTTGGCTTCGTAGACTGTGGCCAACCCTGCCCTCAGCATTTGGAGCCCTACGTCGCGTCGTAAAAGCCCTCTCCAGACATAAGCTGTCCCAACCACTCTATTGTATTGATCAATCTTGTAAACATAGGCTCGAATGCGCCTGCTCTGCACGTATGCACTGAGCCAGTCGAGTGCCTCTTGCGCATATGGTTGTGAAGGTCGTCCGAAATGGGCAAGCTCTGGGGCGTCGATTCCTGCCAGACGTAAATGAATCTAGGCAACTGTCAGTCCTAGCATATCTGCATAGTCTTGTGTTTGCCGTACAGTTTTGTCTTTCAGCTCCTTCTTGTCCGTAGGTACTCGCCTACCAGGAAGCCAACCCCATCCAGCAAGCCTTCCGCCTGGAGTATGGTAGAACCGAAAGTTGTCTCCGTCTCCCACACTGGTGACTTTGCCAACGAGACTCCTCCGCCGCAGAAAGCCTGGAGTGATGTTGGTTGCTTGAGGAATTCTGCGGAGGTAGGATCTGTAGAACTTGAAAAGACCGAGGCAAGCTGTAGTCAATACAGCTGTTGCTACGATTGTTTGAGGTTGGCTGAACGCTTTGAGGTGTGAGGGCAGCGTAGCGGGAATTTCGTGCCTGATCGATTCGCGAGCTTCATTCACCGTCTCGGTTGCCGATTCCCACGCCTGGGTGGTTTTAGAGGCAACCGACGCTTTCGAGTCCGTCTCATCCTTTGTCGATGAGAACCACGACTTCGGCCATGGCATGACGAGTTTCCCGGACTCTTTGGCGAAGGCCGACCAGAGAGATGACTTGCAATGCAGTCGAATTGCGGAGGACAAAGGTGAAAGGCTCACAGTAGGCCAACAGCCAACCGCACTGGCGGATGAACCTCGGCAAAGTATCCCAAATAAATACACAGCTGGTGCGTCGCACTCACTTCCTCATCATCTCCTTTCAAGAGGGATGCCAATGACAATATACATCATGATCGTACATCGCCCGCCATATCTCGTTCAGTGTCCACTTCAGGCGGTTCGAGTGGGCGTCTGAGCAATGGTGCTCGAGTCTCGTAAACCGTAGCTACCTGGCACCCATTCTCAGTTTGGCTCCCGGACGACACCCATCTCAATCAAGGGCCATGCTCGCATGCTACCCTTCCTTTTGTATCATGTACAGTCTGATACCGATAGCATCGGGGCTCATCGATGGCGGCAGACTCATGAGCCTGGGAGCTTGCGCTATGGCGTACTCCTAGTGTCAATCCTCCACCCTTTCCACGCTGCTCCTGAAGAACCCGCCATCTACATACAACACCCGTAAGTCTGGGTGCGGCAGAGCTCCTTCATTATCCTATTGTCACTCAAATGCATGTGATTGTCGCCATTCAGACCTATTCTGCCAAGGCTCTTCTGGCTCCTATTCATGCAGCCTTGCCATTGAGATCTATGCTGCTACATCACTCCATTGAAGCTTCACATCGTCCTGATTGTCGAGATCTCAGGCCGATTCAGCACAATACGCTTCAACAATTGCAGACACCACCCATTGACAGCTCTGAAAAGACAATAGGTAGGTCCAACAGCCATGTTGCCTGCAGCATCTTCTCGTTCCTCTCTTCTCCTTCCCCATGCCACAACCACTTCCTCCACCACCACCAATTTGCTCTTTTCCCATCGTCAAGATGACCTTCTTCAATGCCAACCAATCTTTCTTCCTGGACGCTACGGCGTCTAGTCAACTCCCCATTGTCGTGAACGTCCTGCCCCTCAACGACGTTGAGGTCTTTCAATACCTGGATGCCCATCCAGATGCTCTCGTCCGTTACTTGACGGAGCGGGTTGGGCTCGCGGAGTCCCTCATCAGGACTCTCGCGCCGCCACAAGACCGAAACGACGAGGCCGCCCCTGCAAAAGGGAGCAACGATGCCTCAGATGATGCGGTCGCCGACGACGATGATTTGGAGTCGGTGATCTTTGTATCATCTGGGGCATGCGATGAACAGGCCGTCGTTGAGGGTGATGAGGGCGACGACGACAATGGGGAGGTTGATGACGACAATAACTCGGTCGACAGTGAGGCCTCTGAGGAGGATGACTCTCAGGCTGGTCCTGAGGTCAATCCGACTCATGCCGAGGAGGAGAACACCACCACCAACACTCCCCTCTCTTCTTCCCCCAGTTCTGGCTCCCCGTCGACCACCACACCATCAGCCCCCATAACTCCTCCCCAATCATCACCACCACAAGATGCCTCCATCCTGCCATATCCGGCACCTCCCAACCTCGTCGCCGCCTCCAGACAGCAGCCGGATGGCAAGAAATGGCGTCTGTTCGAGGAGGAGTCCTGCATTCGACACATGCTTGACATCCGCAACGAAAACCAGTTGCAGGGAGAGGCTCGTTTTGCTGAAGCGCAGCGAAGAATGGCAGCAATGGATGGCATCAAAAAAGACGGAAAATTCGCTATCAAGAACTTCTGGAACCGTGTTGGCCGTGCTCGCTCTGGGTTTGACGAGAGAAAGAACAAGAAAGCACCACTGGCGACGTCTCGACAGGGCAAGAGTGCCACAACATCATCCTCTCGACCAAGGTCGACTCCTCGCAAGCGCAAGGCTACAGCGTCAACAACCAAGACGAAGCGCAAAGATGAAAGCGGGTCGGACTCCGAAGAGGAGGGTCCAGACTATTCGGTCCCATCAGAGGACGACGAACCATGCAAACCACTTTCCAGAAAGAGAGGTCGAGACGACGACAGTGAGGATGAAGGAGAGCCCGATCAACAGACCATCAATGCAGTTGCCAAAGGGTTAAGAACACCAAAGAGAATGCGCACTGCTGTAGAGGCGTGAGAGCTCGAAATTTGACATCAAACAACACCACAGGCATTGAGAGACTTGACTGAATTTATCGACATGAGGGAGGTGGATTGGACATGTGTTGAAGTCCATAAACATGGAACCATTACCCCGGCTGGTCCGGTGCATTGGCAGGAATGGAGAGTTGAAAGATGTTTTGAATCGTGGCAAAGATCACCACCAAGGAATCGATGAAAGTAGAATGCTATCTAACATGGGATATGCTCTTGGATATTGGATAGGCGGGTGTGATGGCGAGGCCTAATGAAGAGCATTCAGACAATTTCCCTACCTTGGTTTATCCCCCGCCAAAGTGATCCGCAACATCCTTCGCCTGAATCCGTGGTAGTCGTTGATGGGATTATGTTGCACACACCGATTGTCCCAGAACGCAATGCTACCTGCATCCCATCGAAACCGGCACGTCAACTCGGGCTTGATCTGATGACTGAACAAAAACTTCAACAATGGCGCCGATTCGTCCTCGGTCCACCCTTCGAAGTGCGACGTATGCGCGACATTCACATACAGCGCCTTGCGGCCCGTCTCTGGATGTGTGCGGACCACGGGATGCACAGCTTCGAGGGACTCTTTCGCCGCACTGTTCCCGCTGTCCCGAATCCGGTCTTCGCGCGTCTTGCTGGCGTCGGCCTTTGCGGACGTATTCACGGCCTTGAGCGAGGAGAGCGTGTCCTTGAGACCCTCGGAAAGAGAGTCATAGGCGGCGTACTGGTTGGCGAAGAGCGTGTCGCCGCCGAAAGGGGGCACTTCCTTGGCGAGTAGCACCGAGGCCATGGGCGGCTCGGCGAAATACGACGTGTCGCTGTGCCAGATGCCGCCAAAGTTGATGGTTTCGTGCTCCTGTTTGAGGACCTGAATGATCGTGGGGAAGCCGTCGATGCCCTTGACGAAAGGGTACTCGACGGGCTTGCCGAAGTGCGATGTAAAGGTCAGGAATGACTCAGGACTGAGCTCTTGCTTCCGGAAGAAGATGACCTGGTGCTCGAGGAAGGCTTCGCGGATTTCTTGGACCAAGCCGGGGTTCTCGGGGAGGAGAGTCAGGTCGACATCATGGATTTCGGCGCCAATGGAGCCGGCGATCCGCTGGATGGAGATGTTTCTTCTTCGACAAGGAAGACGGACCGGGACCGAGTTGCCATAGAGCCGTGATAGGGGACGAGACTTGATGACGTTCATGAGGTCGAGACGAGGAGGAGCGGCCAGGGCAAAGGAGTAGAACTTCTACAGAGGCTTACCAACTGTCTAGCACATCAAAAGAGACTGGCGATTCCTACCTTGGTAATGTACCTCACCTATGATGCCTCCAGACCTGCCGAGGCTGCCCAGCCTTGCACCTCCGCATCGGTGTCTCCCCGCGTACTGCGGGATATCGGGCAAGGGCGGGTTTGCGTTGTGTCAAGTTTCAACCGACGGTGTTTTGGAGAAAAAGTGAAAGCGACGATGCCGAGGGATGCTTGCTGTGGCTGCTGTGGCTGCTGTGGCTGCTGTGGCTGCTGTGGCTGCTGTGGCTGTTATGCTTAAAGTGGCGCCAGTTGTCTACCACATTGGGAATTGGCAATCGATATGCGACTCGAGCCTCGAGCACAGGTCTTTGGACATCCCGCAACTTTTTAGACATGACAATGAGTTGATCAAAGCAAACATTTAGTTGCCCATATTATTTATACCCATTGCAGCTTACAGTCACTTCTGTGCGACTTGTCCATTAATCGATTCCTTCTTTCATCTCACTTGGTCTACGATTGACAAACCTCCATTACCTCACTTCCGATATCACCACCACCTTTCTGCCCGCAACACGCGCATCGACCTCAACGACCATGTACAAATACCCTTGATTAATACCTCGCAATCGATCTCTTCACAAGTCCTGCCTCTCAAATCACTCCCCGACATCTGAACATCTCCAACTCCCTCTCCCTAGACATGGCTCTCGCAATGCAGTCCACACTGTCGTCGGCGCAGGACGCCGACCTCATGGATATTGATATTGATATGGACATGGACGATCAGGGTCCAGCCATTGACGAAGAGTTCGAACTTGAAGTACGATAGCTCTCCATGTAGAACCCCACACATCCTCACATATCACACAGGAAGGCGAAGAACCCTCATTCATACCGTCAGGCGCTGGAGCCCAGAACACCGCCGACCTCGTCCCGGCCATCTACACTGAAGATCCCGCTCTCGAACCACAATGGAACAAGGTCCACATTCGCGGCGTCGATGACATGCACACCAACGACATCCTGGCCTTTGTCCACGACCACTTTAGTGAAGTAGGAGAAGATGCACACGTCCAGTGGATCGACGACACCTCCGCCAACATTTGCTTCAAAGACAAGGACAAAGCCAAACGAGCACAGCTTGCCTTCGTCGCAACACCCATCACGGAAGATCAATTGATCAATGCACCCTTCGAACTCCGGGCTGCAAAGCCCTTGGCCAGCAGACCCGGCAGCATGCTGGTGGTAAGAGTAGCTCAGCAAGGCGACAGGAAGAGGAAAAACGCCAGAGATGCAAGTAGATACTACCTTCTACACCCCGATCAAGACCCGGCAGAACGAATGCGACACGAGTTCGCAAAGTCGAGAAACGAGAACGGCGACTACCGGCGGAGAAGATTTGACGATCGCGAATTGCACAGACGACGCAGAGATAACGAAGGACCCGACGGAGCAGAGTTCACAGCGAACATGTACGATGACGCACCGACAACAGACACAGAGACATCAGCTCGAGGTCGCGATCTGTTCTCGCGAGTCACCAAAGGCCGCCGGCGGAGCGCCAGCCCTAGCAGGAGACCCCGCAATCGCGATGAAATCGACATTTCCGACTCAGAGGATGACACTCGAAACCGGAGGAAAGGATACCGCGACCGTGGTGATCGAGGCACTCGTTCGAATGCAGGCAAAGAGCTATTCGCCTCGGGATCCTCGGACCGAAAAGGGGGCGGGCTGCATTCAGACAGGATCGAGCTGTTCCCGAACTCGGCCTCCGATGTAGACACGTCCATGTCTACCGAGCCCGTGAATGCAAGTTCATCCGGATCAAGACAGATGTCCGACCCCGCCAACTCCCGCGCAAACGCCGCGGCGGCGAAGCGCTTGAAGGCCGACCTTCTCAGTGCGGCGCAGACGAGTCCACGCTCACACCATCGACGGAGTCACGCCATGGACGCCAAGAACGCAGAGGATCTTTCGGAGCGGTTTGCCAGGAAATCCATCTCGATCGACAGCACAACCTCCTTCAAGAACGGCGGAGTACAGAACAGTGGCGTGGAACTGTTTCCATCGAACGGCAATGGCGGCGGCTTGAGTATCAAGGGTGCTGCCGCGGATGGTGGGTTCAGCATCAAGGGTTCCGGAGGGTTGAGTATTAAAGGGAGAGCGGAAGTGAAGGAGCTGTTCCCCGCCCAGTACCAGCGTGGGACGGCAGGGAAAAATGAAGGAAAGGAGTTGTTCGATCAGCCCGTGAGGGAGAAGAGGGTCCGGAGGAGGGCGGGAGATTTGTTTGATTGAGGCTCTGAGATTGCGATTGCGATTGAGATGGAAGCAAAATTGCAAGGGCTGTGCAGGAGGGAAAGCATAGCACGCGAATGGGTTATGGGCGGCGCTTTCTCAAAGATGGGTCCGGATCAAGAGCGGCACTTGGAAAGGGGAAAAGGAAAGGAAAGGAAAGGAGACAGAAGACAGAAAAAGAAATGCGAATGCCCATGTATCGTGCAGGCCTCGCGCAGCCTGGCCTGACTTAAAGCCAGTTTTGAGGTGAATCAGCCAGAATATGATATAATATCAAGTGCGAATGATTTTGACGTCTCTCATCTTCAACGCGATGTCCGTTGTTGCTGTTGACTAAGTTCAGATAACCGCATGTACGAGTACAGACATTATTTAAGAACTCATGACTACATACGGTACCACCGGTACCAAGAGTACAATCCATTTTCATTCACAGGTGCCGAACCGAAGCGCGGAGAGCAAGCTGCTTTTCAGCTCAGAACCATACATGAGGCGAGGTTCTGGGCTTCGCCGACTTGACAATGTAAAGCATTCACTCCCGCTCGAGAGTGTGCTTTGTCCTTGCACCATCACGCAGCATGGCGTGGCGGTGTTTCGTTCCAGGCATTGATTGGAATGGATTGGATTGGATTGGCTCGGCGATGCCTCCTCTTCGTCCTGTTCGTGAGTGGATGAGCTTTATATTTCCGAGTCAGCGAATAGGACCGCAATCTCAGGCTCGAAGTTGGCAGAGCTCGTCCTACCCGAGCAGCGACGTATACCTGGCCTGCCATACAAGTCGACAACTGGAGCGGTCCGATAAACATGCGTGGCAGTCTGGAACCACTGGAGTCGAGCAAGGGCTTGCTGAGCATGAGTCGACAAGCGCTTCGCTATCTGCGGGTCGCATGAATGCAAGATAACCATTCGCTTCCCCTTTAACAACGCTTGCTGAAGCTAAACTTGAAAATTCCTGGACAGGAAGGACGTGTGAATTTCAGAAACCAACCCATTCAGGGCCATGACCAAGTCGAGCACTTCCAAAAGGGAAAGAGAATTGGATCCCCAGACACGCCAACCTCATCTCTGGCCCAACTCTGCCAGCGCCTCTCGTAATTCCCTGATCGCTGTGGGAACGTCCTCAAAATTCAGCGCGGAGATGGCCCACCGCGCATGCTTCTGCGCTTTCATCATGGCTTGATCATCCACTCCACCCGCATTCACGTTCACTGGAGTCGCAGCTGCAGCCAAAGTCGACTGTACAGGGTAAGGATGAATAGGCTGTGGTTGCGCCTGCGGCACAGGAGGCACGGGACCTCGGGGGACCTGGCGGAGTTGGGGAGGATTCTGAGGGATCTGTGGTTGCGGGACTTGAGGCTGGAAATTGGGTGGGATCTGGGGCGGTTGTCCGGGCCCAGCTTGCGGGAGAAATTGCCCGTGTCGGTGTGGTGGAGGAGGTGGGGAATGCCTATGTTGTTGGTTCAGAGCGGCCAGCTCGCCACGTCCTGAGGCAAGGGAGGAATCTGGCGGAGGGGCGGGGAGGTCTGGAGGGTGCATGTGCGTGTCCATGTCCATGGTCATGGGCGCGGGAGGCAGGTCTGGTGCTGATGCTGGTGGTGAAGGGATGCGCGGGAAGTAATTCCCTCCCACTGAGGATTTTCCGTCTGAAGGTGGTTCGAGGGGTGAGATATCGACGGGTTCGGTTTGGTTGGTGTAGAATGCCGCCGCGTCATGTGCTGCTATAGGAGAGACGTCGTTTGTAGGAGAATGGGGTAGGGATGGTGCGCGAGACGGATGGAGAGATTCGTTGGTGATGGATTGGTGGGCTAGTTTGCTTTGGGCGCCATCTGCCTCGTCGGGGACCTCAACGACAGATGGCTGTCGTTCCCTTTTGGCCGGCGGTGGCATTGACGTGTCTCTTGACGGGTGTAGCGACTCGTCTAGGGCCGAGTTTTGTGCAAGGCTCTTTTGTATCTTATCGGCTTCGTCTGGGATATCCACGACTGATGGCTGCCTGGGTTTTCTAGGCCCGCCTTCCAATGCTTGTACATCTGCGTCGTTTGGGTCCAAAGGAGGGAGTGCTTCTTCCGCAGGAGTCTCTGGTTTCGGGTTGGACAGATTGGGATCTTCGCCAGCTTTCAGCGCTTTGGCTATCCTCAGAGCATGGTATTTAGCGAATTTGATTTTGGCACTGATCTCGGGATCTATTGGACCCCATATTTGGAGGAGGTCGAGGAATGTAGCCGAGGCCTGAAATGTGTCCGCGGTCTGCCTTGAAGCCTTGTTCGCTCGTACTGCGTTGTCTGCTCTTTCAAATGTCTCTAAGCCGAATTGTTCAACATATGCTTTGCCGGCTACATCGTCGGTGACTGCGGGTTCGTCGGCATGTTCGGATTTGAACTGGGAGGCATTCTTAGCCACGTACCTTTTCAAGGAGGATTGCAAGGCTCACCTGTTCAAGCTTGTCCATGAGGGTTGTGGTGTAGACAAGACACTCTTGGTCTGCATTGTGTAGGCCTTTGGACAGAATCTGGTTGACAATCCAATATTCACCTGAGACGTCGTCAACATGCCTTCTTGCTCCCAAGGGATCGATTGCTCATACACCAATAAGCTAGGATGGGCTTGGGCTTCTCCAGCTGCGCTGCTCGATGGGCGAAACGCGTGATGTCTGCTGCCTTGAGGGCAGCCGGAACCTGAGCGCTCATGCGGTGCAGACTAGCCACTCGACTTTAGAAAGTATTTCGGTACAAGATGTTCCAAAGGTATCGCGACCCGGTCGAGGGCAAGTCAGTTGAATATGACGTGCAGCGGAAGTACGAAAGTTGACAAGTCAAGTCAAGCTGCGCCGATTATTTGAATCCCCGCAAAAAGCCAGAGAGCCGTGCTCCACATCTACTGACTACTTCAGGCTGCTTTCAATTGTACATCGATTCCTACCTACGCTTGCCTAAGTCACTAAAATTGTCCTTGAGAGCTTCGCCGGTATCATGAGCCAAGGAACATCCTATGGAGTTGCTCCTGGGGCTCAAATCTGAAGTCATGGGCTACGATCAAGACTCGGGCAGAACACGAATACAAAAAGACATGGAAGATGTGGTAGGCCTGGTGAGAAGCATGTTCCGTTGAGGAGAACCATCTCTGTAATTTGTATCCTGGATCTGTGGTCGAGATGTGCCATCCTGCTCAGCCAAAGGGTTCCTCTGCGGTCCCAGTTTGATTGATGTTCGCTAACCAGAGAAAGTATCGGTCACGCCAACACTCGTCTGTCCCGCAGCAGCCTTGTCCAAAGCAATGTTGGTGTTCAATTTGGTAGTTTCCTCGTCAATCTTGTCCTGGTCGGCGTTGCCTTGAGCAGCCTCAATCTGCAAGCCCAAGACCTCAAGTTGCAGCTTCAAGACTTTGTTCTTGATCTTTCCATTTTGCAAGGCCGTGGTATCTCCATTTGCAGCGGCAGCAATCTCGTCGTTGAAGCCACCCGTACCAGTCTCTGCATCTTCCGCAACCACTCGAGCATCCTGGATGATTTGCAAATCTGAGTCGGAGACATTTGCAAGGTCTGTCTGATCAATCTAAGGAGAGTTAGTAGCATCAGCAACGGCTCTGTTGGCCACACTCACCGGGAATTTGGCGTTGACCTCAGCCAGAGCATTCCCAGCAACTCCATCACTGACTTGGAAGTCGGCATATGATTGTGCCGTGAGGACTGAAGCTCTCTTGGTTTTCAAACCAGCCGGCGCAGCCGTGGAAAGAGCAAGGATGCTAAGGAGAATAGTAGCGGAAGAGAAATGCATGGTTGCTTGTAGGTTCGGTTGAAAGAGTGGTATGGAAAAGCGGAAAGGACAGTATGGAATTCGATATGTCAAAGAACGAAAATGACAGACCAGCTGTGCTTAGGGACAAAGAAACCAATGGTGGCGGACGGAGAGAGGCCCAACCTGCAGTGGGCAGAACCTACCATTATATAATCCTTCAAGACCGAGGTCAACATGTATCTCGATCAGATTCTTCGGCAGCAGCAGTGAGGTGCAGGTCGTGTCGGAGGCTACACATGTCACCACGTGTGATCGTTGCCGTCGTGGTGGCGCTCGCCTGGGTGTTGAGACTGCGATTGTTTCCAGAAAAGTTTGAGGTCAAGTCGCAGCCTTAGAGACTAGGAAGAAAAGAGCATTTTCGCGGCGGAAGAGCGTATGCTAGACAACCACGAGGCACTGGAGAGTAGACCGGATCTCTTGGCAGTGTTTCCTGAGCTTGGTGGGCTTGTTGCTCCGTCTGAAGTGCTTCTTAGAACGGAGAGAAGTTTTCTGTAGAAGGCGGAGGGGTAACCAAGGGGGTCATCATGGGTCAAGCGTGGAACGGCGCCGTTATACGCTAAGTGGCCAGATGAATACACTGACTCCAGGAACTGGACATTCATAAACCTCACAATCACGGCCTCATCGTCTGACTCTCAACAAAGATGGCGGTCATTCGGACCAGAGCCATCTGAGGTTCCGAACCTACAACGGCATTATGAACAGGCGGAAAGGCGCAGCCGTTGGCAATTCAACCCTCAAGATGATACCCATAGCAACGTGAAAATCTTGGGAAAGCGCATGGGATATACGAAAACAAGGATGGAAGTCTCTTATGTAGGATCTGCGCAGATATTAACGTCTCCCTATCTCGGTATTTGATTTACATGCAATCGCTTATGTACTCAAGGCATTAGATCCTGTCCACTCCCGAGATACGTAGTTCGCTCATGGGAACCTCCCACCCTCATCGACTACGCACAAGTAGAAACAACGACCAAAAAGCAGTGGGCTTGGATCATTTCCCATCGCGCGCCCACAGACTCGGCACCACTCCAAAAAGGCTGACCAATGCCAACCACCACCACGCCCAGCCCACGACGCCCTTCTCCAGCCCTTGGCCATACCAATGACCTGCAACAATCGGCCCAATGGTCCTGAACGCGCTCGACGTCGCGGCACCCATGCCGTGAATCGTACCCAGCAACTGCGGGCCGGGGCTCGAATTGTTGATCAGCAGCACGGAGCCGGGGATGGCGAACGTGCGCGCCGCAACCTGCAGGACGACGACGATGACGATCGCGAACCACAGCATGACGGTGTTGTTGATCAGGAGCGACAAGTACGGGGCCAGGGCGTAGGCCATGGGGAAGACCAGGAGGGACCAGCGGAACGACCTGAGCAGGCCGAAGCGCGCGTTGATGGACGGGTACAGGGTCAGCTGCAGGACGATGCCCACGAAGCCGAGAATGGACATGGCCAGGCCGATTGTGGGCAGCGAGAATTGCAGGCCGCCGGTGAAGTAGAATGGAAGGCGCACTGTTGCTCGCTCTTCGTCGGTGCGACGAGCCGAGGACAGGAAGACGGTCCACAACTGAGCAAAGCCGCCCATCTGGAAGTCCATGACCGCCACGGTCGCAAGGACCATGAGCACGTTCGGTGTGAGCGCGTGGTAGAAAGGTGGTGCGGCCCTGAGGGGCTCCGTGGGACGAGGTGGTCGCTTCGAAGCCCCTGGGTCGCTGTTGTCGAAGTCTTCCTTGGGCGGAAGCGTCGTGAGTGGCGTGCTCGAGGGCATGTGCTCGTCGTCCATCGTGTCCGGTCCTCCGGGCGTGTCGATCTGCCCGAGCTGGCTGTACCCAAACCGCCGGAAGATCAGCCTGTTGATGCGGTATCTGAGGGTCTCGGCCAGCTCGAGGCCCCGGTCTCGCGAGTATCGCTTCGCTGCGAGCGTCTCCCGGAGCCCCAGGTAGATGAGCAGGGCGTCCGCGAACAAGACGAACGTGCAGAACATATTCGGCGCCGCGTAGGGATATTTGCTCAGCCATGACACCCCGTCTGCACCACCAAACGTCGAGTTCTCGCCGAACAGGCCTGGATAGTTGTAGACTGGCTCTGACAGGAGGCCGCCAAAGAGCGGACCAAATATGTTGGCCACGTTCCATGCCAGCGGCAGAATCAAGAATGTCCGCGAGTGGTATCTCTTCTCGGTACACTCTGCGAGTGATGTTCTCGCTCCGCCGACCGTGGCATTGACCGCACCGCCCAGACATCGCCATACAGCTGCTGCACCGAAACTTCTTGAAAATCCTACGCCTATGCAGCTGATTCCTTGTCCGACCAAGCCAAAGAGCAACACCCTCTTTCTCCCAAATGCTGGCGAGTCTGCAACTCTTCCCCAAAGTATTCCCGTGAACACCTGCGCCAGGGTAAAGACGCCCTGAAGAACTCCGGCCTCGAAGGATATCTCGCTATCCGGTGCGTTGGGTTTGAACGATTTTAACTGGTAGAACATGTACGCTTGCAGCGCGGCTTGCTGGAAGAAGTCGACGAACCGTACAGAAAATAGTAGGAAGATCTGGAATTTATTTGGTATAGAGGCCCAGGACGGAGGGCCGTTCGGCTTGTGCGCCTGGTTCTCCGCGTCTCGCGGCATGTTGGCTGATACGTATATGTCCCTGGAGTGTGGTTCTTGGATTGTTTTTATGTATCTCCAAGCATTGTATGCCGCAGCACGCAGAGTGGCTCGCAGACCGGGACGCAAGCTGAGGGTAGGGTTGTTGCGTTGGTTGCTCGGGTCGTTCGTCTCGCCGTATGGTTCGTATGGTTCGTACGGATTTTGAGGCTGAGGTACAAGCAGCGTAGGACGCTTTCCGTTCTGTAGACACAAGCGGCAATTAAGTGCTCGTGTGGCTGGGAAGATGAATATGTACAAGTTTTCTGTTGCAGAAGATCGTGAACAGGGTAAATGACTTGAAAGGAAAGCAAATCGATAAAGAAGCCGAAGTCGGCAAAAAAGGCAGATGGAGATCCGAGATAGAATGATGAGCCCTGGACAAGCAGACGTCAACTTACCGCCGCGCACACGCGCAGCTAGTCTTACCGTCGTCAGCTCCCTATCAGGGGTTGGCCCATGCCTAAGGCCTGGCTTTTTCATTCAACGTTAGCAGGCGGCCCAGTAGGGAGCATTGCTGCGGGTGGGACGCATTAGACGCGAGGGCCAGGGCGAGGTGGCTCATGCGAGTTCCCGAAATCAAGGCCTGGTGCCAGTCCTGCCTCTGCCTGTCCGGTTTTCTTGGGGGCATCATGATGGCCGCTAACTACTGGGCACAAGCTGATCTTCGGGGGGGGGGGGGGGGATCCTTAACCAGCACACCCATCAAGGAGAATAATGCCACTGGATACCTACCAGGTACCTTAGCGTTAAATTAGAGAGCCCGGCATAGGGAGTACGGCCGCCTGCACCGCCCCTATAATCGTAGAAATCCCGTTTAAAAAGGACCCCTCTAGGTCCGGACGGGCGCAGTCATAACCAAAAATCAGAGCATGGTCGTGTAACACTGGCCTGAAGAAAACCCATCTTCACGGGTTATGGATGTTGGCGCCTTCACGTTCCCATTGTTTCCGGCGTGACAGAAAGGAAGTCTATACCAGTGTAGCTTAAAGTCAACACCTCGACAGTGCACACTGCCTACAGTATGAGGCCTCGCCCACACTCCCCACCACATGGATTGCAGGCTGTCTACAAAATTAGGCCAAGCTGTCTCTTGCGATGTCAACTACTGTGTACTGTCCTCGTTGTCTCTGCGAGTAGTGGCCTCGACGGCAATACTACGTACACTGGCAGCACGGAAGGAGACAGCCGCGTCGTACTGTGAAACCATGATACATAGTAGCATGGACATTTTTTGTCCCACAAGCATACGTATACACAGGGACATAGTACAAACCGACATGAACCACTCGCGTTCAAAAGAGCCTCACACGAAGCCCGCAAGAAATTGAGTACAGCACCTCCGCTGGCTGTGAGATTATTGACCGCGTCTTTTGTCCCACTGGAGCCACTCAGGCCTGTGGTACTGCGCCAGCGTGGCCAGCTTGCCGCCTCGCCGCCCATGTGGCATATGCTCCGGGAACAAAAAAGTCGACGGCTTGTCTTGGCTGTGAAGCCAACACGGATACGCGGCATCGAAGGCTCTTCGCAAGCGTCCATGGGTCAGTGTGCGTGGCCGAAATGCTGTTGTAATGACACCCTGGAATTTGACATCCCTAAGGTACCTAGGTACCTTATGCTCCGCAGCAGAAGAAGCTTGTTCTAGTTAGTTTTGTGCTTGGGACCATTCAAGCTTGGAAGTGGAGGGCTCAACCCCTGTTGAAACCTCTTCTTCGCAACGACTTCCCGACATGTTGCAGAATTGCTCAAGCTGGACGACCTCGACGAATATCTTACAGGCTCTGCAGCTGGCTTGTGCTCTCCGATGCTCTTTCACGCCCAGCTCGCCTGGTCCGTGGCGGCGGCTGCAGTAGCGCCTCAAGCCAAAAAAGTCTATTACCGCCCTATATGCGGTAGGGTAGAGAATGGTGACGTTTGGTGCACGATAACGGCGAAAAGAGCTTCGACTTGGATAACAGGCACGCGACAGTAACATCAAGATCGCCCAGACGCAAATGTTCTGAAGGACTGTGGCGCGGGTAAGTATCATCAGTTCGTTGATTATAGTTACTAGTATTTGCAATATACTCGTTGCAATGTAGGGAAATCCTCAAAGATGCCTAAACCAAATGCTCCGAATATGTGCAGCCGGCCACTGTGGCCTTCCTTCCTTCTTTCCTTCATGGATGTCATGAAGGATCCGTTATCATCGGCGCTCCGGCGCCATCCTGATCATCCAGCGCCAAAGCCTTGTATCCTGCACCCACACCAACATCTCTTCCATCCTTCTTACCAATCTTCGTTACAATCGTGCTCCACGTGCGATGGACCAAGACATGGATAGGCCGAGAGACGAAGTTCCTCGTGGCCAGCACGATGAGCAAGATGATCAGGACCACCAAACCACCAAATGTGCCTCCATAGATCTCGGCTCTTCGCTTCGCTTCCTCTTTGGCTTCTGCCGCTTGCTGCGTCGCGAGACGCTCTTCCTCCTCCCGCTGCCGTTGCTCTTCGGCCTTCCGCTGTCGCTCCTCCTCGCGCTCCTGGTCGCTTGGCATGAACTGGCACGCGAGGTCGTCACAGTAGTTGAGCATCTTGACATTGGGCGTAAAAGTAACCTCGACAGCTGACTTACCCAAAACCTTGCTGTTTTTGTCGAGAGCTTCCGCGTACGCGTACTTGAATGTCGAGTCGTGTCTGAAGATTGTTTCGAACCCAGTCTTGGGTGCCGTAGCTATTTCTTCCCATGGTCCCTCCTTAGAGCTAGCTCCATAGAGTCGCCACGATCTGACTTCTGTCGCGCCGTTCCACGAAACGTACAGTACCATGTCGTCGCCCTCCTTCGAATAACTCCAGAGAGCAGGCTTTGTCAGCGGCAAGCCGACCCAGTTGTCGAATTTGTGTACCCGGTAGTTCATGACGTTTTGCCAGCCGAGAGCGCCGTAGAAGACGATTTCTCCATCAGAAGTATATTCGGTCCAGAACGCGTCATTACCCCAACCCATGATTATGTTGCCACCGGGGAGGCGTTGGAAGTTGCCCTGCGACTTGGAGATGTGGGCGTGGCCATCGACGAAGGGCGGGTCGAGATTCAGGAGGCAAGTTGCGACTTTGGTGTGGTGGTCTAGACTGATGATCTGTCCGGTGGAATGAGGCTGAGTCTGATTGAAGCCATTCGATCCATTGTCGAAGAGCGAGATGACCGTGTGCGTTGCATTGTCGGAAATGAATCTCGCGTCATGCTGAAAGGAGAACGAGAAGCCGTCAAGATAGTAATCCGACTTGGCTCCATGCAAGCGCCAGATAACGTGGCCATCAACGCCCGAGATTTTGTACACGGCAGACACGTGCCGGGCGGAAATGAGGTAGTCACCATCTGCATTCTTGTCGATGGAGTTGATGTGGAAATAGTCCCAAGGACTAGCAGGATTCTCGCCGCTCCCACTGATCTCGGTCGTGCCCGGGTCGACGTAGCTCTCCGACGGGTGGACGTGATCCAGACTCGTCCACTCGAACAAGACTTTGCCCGAGTCGACGTCAACTTCTTGAAAGGCTCCTTGTTGAATGTACCCCAGCCCGTCGCAAAGGCTCCAAGGACATAGATCGTAGACGCTGCGAAGGTATTGTGTCATCAATGCTGATTTGCCGTCGTTGATCACCATGAACTCATGCATGTCTGATGACGCTTGATAGCTGCCGGGCTCGACGGACTTGACGATGCGATAGTGCTTGTCCATAATGATGCCGTGGCCGTGACCCCAACCAATCATCTGGGTGCCTTGGTAGAAGCACATATGGATTTCGTCTTTGTACATGCATGTTTGAGGTGCATGAGAGATGCCAGGCCCGGCACTCCCGAAGCCGCTGTATACCAGGTTCTGGATGAGGTCAGCGAGGCTACGATGTGCAGTGTCAATATACTTACGGCGTCATTGTCATAGATATGCACGGATTCCTGGATTTGCTGGTAGGGCGATACAAAGTAGTAACCCGGCGCTTGCTTCTCGGGTAGTCTGTCGAAGACTGTAAGGATCGGTGCCACTAGGTCTGGTCGCTTTGATTCAAAGAATGATCAGTCTTTGCGTCGTGTGAAACGGGAACAGCCCGCCGACTTACCGAGCGAAAAATTGAGATGGGTTGCGAGTGGTTGTCAGCCAGTATCCTCCAAGCAAACAGGCAGATCAGCCAGCACTGTAAAGACGGAGAGAGCCTCATAACCGCTCCTCCTTGGGTATCGCGTCCAGCATAAAACCCAAGAAACGACCAGATGTCTTGCACGATACTCCGTAGTCGAACGTCAAAAGGACACTCGAAGCAGATTTGATGGGCGACCTAATCAAACGCCAGACACGGCACTCCCAGAACAGGGTGCCTTACGCGCGAGGCCTAGAGAGCCCCAACTTCAAAGCCAGGGATGAGCGGGCTAGGTTGGAGGATGGAGCGTGCCAAGAAAGGTAATACTTCGAGGATTTCCAGAATTGTCCGAAGGAGCGTAAAGTGGTACAAGATACTCCGTATTAGCCTGCCATATTCCTATAGGGGCAGTCTGTGGATGAGGTTGCGAGATGTGAGATGTCAGGTGTGAGACGTGAGATGTTATCGAGATCCTCCGTCGATGGGACAAGGCAAGTGCCCTCTTGGCCCGTGGCAGGATACCGGGCACCCGGAGTTGCACTGGTCACCACCGGGCTTCGGTGCTGTGGTGCTGTGGCAATTGAAAACCCATTACGAGTAATATAAGGTGGAAGCACTGACTCGTGTTATCGCTTCCATATCCGATGGACTTGGTTCTCCTCTCACTAGCCACCATGGTGCACTAGCCTACCATCTGGGCGCCATCCAGTGACCATCCCAGCCATTGATCCGCAGTCCGGTCCGGCGAGTGAAACTCTTTCGCAGCTGCCCACGTAGCCGACCTGGATAAATGGAAGATCGCTGCAGCGTCGTAACGGGGGTACGCAATCATCGGGTTGATGAACTGCTTAGGCCGTGTGTGGTCGTCTCAGTCCGAGTGTCGAGAGTCTGCTGGTATGGACTATGGAGCAGCGAATGGACTTCCTTTCGAAGGCATAACTTGGTACTTGCTACTAGTGTCCATCAATCTCCATGCCCTCCTATCTAATCTGTCATGGCATCTCCCGGCACGCTATAAGCGAGATAGAGATGATAATTTTCTGCATCCTCCGTGATCCTGTTACCAATTATACGGTGGTCGTCCCGCCACCAACACCATGGATTAAGCGAGCGTCAACTCGAGCACTGGCTCCTGCTTGTAAGTTATCCGTGCCTACTCCGTAGCAGATAAGCAGATACGAAGCGCTCGAACAATATAGTGTCTAAGTCTCTTCAATTCATATGCTTGATAACACGGTCTATCGTCGGACACTGCCGAAATCCGTCTCCCAGGCATTATGCATCCAGACAAGTCCTGCTCCTAAAGACAACAACCAACTCCAATGTGCAATTTTTGTTTGCGAAGACCTTGCCCAACCCAGAATTATGTCCAGAGACTGAGAATGCAGGCGCCCTGCACACCCGTTGCAAGAGATACACACGATGGCATGAAATCCAAACGCCAAACTATGTACAGACCATTGCCATAGTCAAAAATGAAACATACAATTTGTCCACCTCTTGGTTCTAAGAGGACGCTGTTGTCCACAATGAGGTGTTCTGTGCGAATTTTGGTAGGTAGTGGGTGTAGGCAAATGTCGCAGATAGCGCGGTCGCGACCACCGGCACTCCCACGACCAGAGCCCTGAAGATGACGTTCATCATTTGCTTGCGGTTCTGTGTTCGGCATCGTTGCACAAAGTTTTCCGCGTCGTTGGATCTCGGGAAGGGCTTGTCAGGAACGGGCTCGCCGAGGTACTCGCACAGAGGTCTCCAGCCGGAGCTCACGCGGTACTCGAGCAGCTGGCCGGGTGGGACAAGCTCGCGAATCTCCTTGTAGTACTCGTGGAACCTTTCCTTCCCAGAGTTCTCAAAGTCGTCGTTGAAGAAATACTTCCAGAACTTGCGCAGCATGGGATGGTACAATCCAGCGGCCCAGTCGAAGTTCGCGACAGCCCTGAGCTCGGGGTCGTTGGCGCGCCAGCACACCGTCTTCATGACCGAAGCGTGCCAGGAGTCAACGTCTCTTGTGGTGATGATAACCTTGGCCTCGGGGTAGGCCTCGATCAGTTCTTTGGCAAACGCGACGGCGGGCCAATCGCAGACAGCCTGGCAGTGGCCGAAAAGAGCATCCCACTCCTCACGGCCGAACTTGCCTTTGCCTTCGAACTTGGCCGCAAAGGCGTCCATCCAGCAGAGACAATCCGGCGGGTTCTCAACACTGGCGGACATCATGTGGTACGTGTCGGTGTAACCCAACTCTTTCAAGGCCGATCTTAACGAGGCTGTACCCGTCCTTCCGAGCCCGAGTGCCAGCACTCGCATAGGTACAATTCTCTTGCATTCTCGTCGGTTAATGTCGGTTTGGTATGGGGTGAAGATGTCGGTCGCAGGTTTGGGGGTATATGGGATGCCGGAAGCCATGGCGAATTGTGTAACGAGTGTGACCGGCTTCTGCGAGATAGTCAGATATCCAAAAAGTCCGTGGCCAATTGATGCCAGAAAAATGGACAACGAGATCAAAGCAGTGTTCTCGAGAGCAAAAAGGTTGGATAGCGAGCGTGAGTTCTCAGTCCTTGGGCTAGTCTGCCAAGAGATAAGGACCGGCGGTTGACTGGGGAAGACAAAGTGCAGCTGCAACGTGGGGATCGAAAGGAGGGTGGTAACGCAGAGTAAACGCACCGGAAGGAAGGTCTTGGAGGCTCTTCTTATGCGAGCTGTTGCATACGAGCCGAGGGGCGAAGTCGCTCAACCCTGCGTGACCCTGGCAGGAACCAAGACGCCCAAGAGAAAACCGACGGACTGACATGAATAGGAGTATGGGAAAACGTGGTCAAGGCGGAAATCAAGATGTGCAAGCTAGCAGTGGAGATGGGTGAGATGGGCACCGGAACCTGAGTGTGAAGGATGGGAGGATCGCGAGTCGTAACGCAAAGGCAAGACGACAACACCCTGGGACGCGGTGGTCATTTCACCTGGTTTCCAAGTCTTCCAAGTCTTCATCTCCCTCCACTGCTCCAAAGTGACAATCGTAACCCGTTTCGAAATTTTGATGTTGCCCTGTGCTCTGACGGTCGTGGCCGCGGTGCTAGCTTCAACGCAGCCTCCACGTAGCTCCAACGTAGGCCTCTGAGGTGGCCTGCCAAAGCGAAGTGGGAATCTCAGGACGGCGCACTGTCCAATGAAAACCCCACCTTCTAATGACGATTCGTGGGCGCCAAGACCGCCGCGGCCGCCACTGACACCTGCCTGCACCTCCCTGTAAGCTGCATCACTTTTGGCGATATCCAGACAACCAGTGACATCTGTCGACAACCGACCGAAAGGTGGAGCTGATGTCGATGTGTGCTGGATTGGACAACAGTCCTTTCCTAGTCGTAAATCTTTTGGTCAAAGGAACGCGTAAGAATTCCACCCTCACCAAATTGCCCAGCGATCAAAAGTCCCTGGACTGAGGACTCGGGTGGACGAACCCTTCACAATGGTACACGGTACTCCAAAATCCGTGACCATCAGAGGCCGATCCTCGTAGGGTTGGCGCAAGTCGTACAGTAGCATCATTGCAAAGCGCACCCGGCGATAAGCTCAGTCGATGACGCCTCTATCCGTCTATCGTATGCACACGCGACCAGGGTGTTAGGCGACAAGGCGGGAGACGGCCGGCAACTCTTGGACATTTGGGGAGTTTCGGCTTTTCGGGACCAAACAACTTGGTCGGAACCTCAGGCGCCAAACCAATTCAAGGGAGTTTCCGCAGCCCCAAAACATGACAACGATGTGATTGGGCTGCTCTAAAGATACGTCTGATGAGCCCATGCGGCAGCAGGAGCTTGCGAGCAGAGCAAATATAGATAGGAAAAGAAGGTAAGAATACCTAGTTAGAGAGGAACACTCATGACTTATAGTGAATATCTGTGATAACCTCATCAAGAAGGCTTCTTGCGACATCGATAAACGAAATCAACTGGTGATCTTGGCACTTCTTAGCCAATGCTTGGCGGTTTTCGTGGCTACTTGGAAGCAAAGAAAAAAAGAATGGATCAACTGACTGCGTCGTTGATTGAAACTAACGGTGAAGACTCCGCGGCAAGCGTTTTCAGTTGGATCAGCTTGTCACGGCAAAGTCGCCAGTATTTCCAAGGTGCTGTGGCGGTGGAGCACTTGGGGTGAGTGAGGAAGGTTGTCTGAATCCTTCGTGTTCAAGAGCGACTTCACCACTCTTCAAGGGAGGAACAATCGTATCAGCGACCCGATGGCCCATGGCCAATATTTCCGGGTCCAATTCTCCGCACTTGCAGCAGCGGCAAAAAGTCGAATGAGGACGGCTTGACCGTTCATGTCGAGAGCCTGGTGCATGGAAGCAAAGCACAAAAGCAAGCCACCATCGATGAAATTTGCCTGTACGGATGAATACTGGTTGCACCGTTTTCTCGTCGTACTGGTACCCCATGCCTTTCATGGGGCAGAAGATGTCACCGTCAAGCATTGAAAATGGTGCGTTGGCCTGCATTATCTCATCATACGATGGGCACCAATCTGAGCAATCCTTGACTCGGACAGGCGATTTGCCCTCATGTGGGTGGTATGGCACGATCCTGTATGTGCGAGAATTTCTGCTCGATCTCCCTTCTTTGATAACTTGACCAGAAAGGAATGGGAAGGCATCGAGCAGCGTAAGTGCTGCATGGTCGAGCTTTGCTGTGATGGACTCGCGAGATCCGTCCGGCGTTGTCCGGAAACCGAGCAACCCTACCGTATAGCAGTTCCATATCAACTGTCCAAAGATACCAGGCTGACGCATGATGTCGTTCTGACCGTTTCTTAGCGACGTCAACAGAAGTAGTATGACGGGGAAGACGCTGATACGATGCGATGTGACCAGGAGCAAGCTCACGGGAGGACTTATAGATATGTGCAGCTCAGCTGACACTGCCGGGCGCACACTGTGCTCCTGATCAGCATTGAAGGCCTTAGCTGTCCTCCCTCGTATGCCGTTCTGCGTAAGGCGTGCAACTTGGAAGATTAGCGAACTGTCTCCGAACGGTGGATAGTTTCATCCGCAGATCAACGGTTCACAAGCTCATTTTCCAAGGTGCTGACGTCGCTATCGTCCAAGCCTGGTAGGCCATTCGAGCTTCAGTGAACGCTTCTAGTATCTATGCGCTAATGAAGGAAAGCCGGTCGTCAGCCTCTCAGCCTCGTCATTAAGTCAGCTCGTTTAAATGACGTTGTTCGTAGGGGATAGCGTGATTCTTTATCGAGCTGCTGTAGCTTATCGGTGGGAAGAAAGTGCGCTGGCAGGGTCAAACAATGCCGCCCGCTCGAGAAGGTCATGGATCAATTTCGAAGATGGCAAGATACTTCCAGCACCATAATGACAAGGAACGCGGAGGCCCCAGAAGATATGTTGCGGCACACGGATTCAACAAGCCACGCGATATTGGCTGCTCTGACCAAGTCACCTAAAGTTGCACCGTATTCGTCTACTGTGAAGCATTTATGGCTGTTCAATCTGCCTTGCTGCCAAAATTTCATTCTCTTCGTTGCCCATCATTTCTGCCCTCTCCTACAAGTTGATGAAGCTGCCCCTGTCATGCGACCGGGAAACTGTTGATCCTGATGGTGCGGAATGGTACGTCTATGGCCAGTGTAAGCTGCGGGTAATACTTCGTTATTCCCCAGCGTCACTTTTCCCAGGTCTTCTGCGAACCTGAGATTGCTGAACCAAGAGACCTGTCTACGCGTGCGAACACTCCGGAAGAATTAATTGCAGCCTCCCACGCAACGAACAGCTCATCCAGCAACAAGTGGAAAAGCATCAATGCGAACTCGGGCAAAGTGCCGCCTAATGGGTAATGGGAGGTGCTACGCATTCCTATTAAGGAAACATTTAGCACCAGCAACATCTGACAAGGTTGGTCTCCCAGTTGGCAGTGGGACCACCATCGCCGTAACAAGGATCGAATAGTCCACGAAGGCGCCGCACGTCTAGACAACGTGTTTGGATCCCCGAAAATGATTGCAGTGACCACACACGCCTGGAAGTGTCAACATCCGTGGCAAGTATACTACCTCTTGTGCTTGCTTCATACAAATTGTGCTTATTCTCAATACCCAGGTAAAATTTGTCTGAACTTACCACCATCTCTCTCTTCGCGCCTTATATATTCTTTTAAGCAGTCATTCACGTTCCAGGTATTGTCATCCCGAATTGTCTTTCACGAAAGACGGCATTTCAGACATGGCTCCGTCAGCGATTCCTATGGATCCTCAACCGACACATTCTCACACCGTCAACGGCCTAGCCAAGGAGGGCATGTTCAAAGCAGGAAAACTCACAGAAGGCGTCTCTAGGAGAACGTCTGAGCAGGACCTCGTTCTAAGAACATTCAGACTCTTGATAGCCGACTTATGCCAACAATTCAAAGGAGGTCATCCAGGGTCAGTTGAGCGATCTTCAAATGCAAAACCCAAGCATTAACAAGCGATTAGTGGCGCCATGGGGATGGCAGCAATCGATATTGCTCTTTGGAAATACATGATGCGCTACGCACCACATACCCCAGACTTCCTGAATCGCGATAGATTCGTCTTGTCAAACGGGCACACCTGTCTCTTTCAATATACGTTCCTGGATCTCACCGGGTATAAGGCTATGACGTTTGACCAACTCAAAAGCTACCACTCCTCCCGGGTGGATGCCCTTTGTCCTGGTCATCCAGAGATTGAATATGAGGGCATTGAGGTTACGACAGGCAAGGAAAGTCCTCAAGTCTTACAGGCTAATTTCTGACATCTGCTCCAGGGCCACTTGGACAAGGCATCGCCAATGCTGTTGGCCTGGCTATGGCGTCCAAACATCTCGCGTCGAAATTCAACAAGCCAGGCTTCGATATTGTTTCAGACCACATCTGGTGTATGGTTGGGGATGCATGTCTTCAGGAGGGTGTCGGACTGGAGGCCATCTCATTTGCCAGGCATTTACGCTTCAACAACATGACTGTGATATACGACAATAATCAAATCACCTGCGTCGGCCTAGTGAGTCTGACAAACACCGAAGATGTTGATATGAAAATGAAAGCATGCGGGTGGAATGTCATCAATATCGAAGACGGCTGCTTCGATGTCGAAGGGATTGCGGCCTGCTACAGGCGGTCTTCTGGTGCTACGCGCGAATGGACCTTTGTGACGCGATCATTGCGGATGGCACCGAGAGTACTGTTCGGACGGTCAAAAAATGGGCACTCCTTGGTGCTGAAGGCGCGTTGCACGAGACTGATGCAGCCCAGCAGCAAGCCATCGGAGAGGAGTTTCTCAAGCGAGGCCACCAGATACCAGACATGTACGCCAACTACGCGGTGTACCTTTGTGCAAGAGTTAGTGATCTTCTGGCGCGTCGCACAAGGCACATTGAATTGGGAGAGGACAACGGCTGCGATAGCAATGCTTTTGGGCACTAGTGGACTCGACTCTGGGACGAATTGCAGGAGTGGCTGTCATGCCGACCGACGGAAATGACTCCCGTCAAGTCGAGCACCAACAGCAATGCCTCGCGCTTCCAGAGCATCTTCTTTGCCCACTGGGCCACCATCTCCAGCAATCAGCTTTACCACACCGCCTGCATTTTGATGCTTGAGATGAAGGACATCGACACCACGTCCGCTCGTTCTGATGAACTGTACTCAACGCTTTGGTATGTGTGCAGAGTAGTAGGCATCTCTCTTACCAATCCGCACCCCGGGTGTATCAACAACGCTATTCAACCACTTTTTGTGGCCGGGAAACTGTTCACGCACCGCGAGGAGCAGAGGATCATTGTCAAGCTGATTGACTCAATCGAGGCACGCACTGGCTGGGGCTCGAGATGGCGCATCAAGGATTTAGAAGCCGCTTGGGGCTATCGCCGCGGTACATTTACTCGATAGGGAGTTTAATGGACGGCTGAGCTGGGTTCACGACTGCTCATGATCGACGAACATCCCAGGAAACGTCCAATGGTAGTCGCCCAGGACCATTCAAGCCGCACAGATAGATCCGAACGCCTCAGTCTATTACACGCAGCCTGAACATTTCAGTATCTCGCTATACAATGATCTGAGGGAAGGCGTAGGAGAGATGTAGAACAAAACGAGACCGTCACGACCGTCAAGGCGACAGGGAGACGAGGAAGGTGGTTCTTTAAAGCAGCACCACTTCGATAATCATCACGTGGGCTCCGATAAGATTTCGGTCTGCTTTTTGCCGCCAAAAATATTTTTTGAACTCGTAGCGCCCGGCCTTTACAGGCAACTGGTGTGCTTGAGTGGTTGTTTCCTTTGGCCATTCAAAATGTTACGAGAGATGTATGTACCTGCGAAGTCGATGTAGGAAATGACTGACCTGCTTAGAAAACCTCGAAATGCTCGGACTGCACGAATCGTCAAGGCACGAGAACCGCAACAGGTCGAATCGCGCAAACGAGTTCTCCTGCTACACGGCGGTAAGTGCCCGCAGCCAGTCAGTTCGGTGCTCAAGACCGTACACACTTTGACGAAACCCGACTCGGTGCTCCTGAACAAGAAAAATAACGATGTTCATCCATTCGAAGACACTTCTTCCCTCGAATTCCTTGCGCAGAAAAATGACTGCGGTGTGGTTGTCTTTGGAGCACATTCGAAGAAGAGACCGAATAATATTATCGTGTTACGTATATTCGACGGCAAGGTCCTCGATATGGCGGAACTCCTGCTTGTCTTGCCGCCCGATCAGCCGGAGAAGGAACAAAAGTTACAAATCGGCGTGGAGATGAAGCCCTTGATGCTGTTTGCCGGCTCTCAATGGGATGACACTTCGTCCTCTGAACAGGCTGCGCTCTACGGAACCCTCAAGTCGCTCATGTTGGATCTCTTCCAAGGCGAGGAGGTATCGTCGATTGATGTGGCTGGCCTACAGTATATTCTCATGGTCGCTGCGGGGGAGAGCTCGAGTGCTTCCACAGACCTGAATGATCCTGCCAATAAGCCCGTGTTGCACCTTCGATGGTACCGAATCCGAACCATGAGATCCAACAATGCCAAAATACCGCGCGTGGAGCTCGATCCGATCGGACCCAGCTTCGATCTCCGAGTTGGACGCTACCGAGAAGCAGATCATGGAGTGATGAGAGAAGCGCTCAAACATGGACGTCGGCCTAACGACGCACGCACCAAGAAGAACATTGTGACGGATCTGGTTGGTGACAAGATCGGTCGTGTCCATCTCGGCAAGCAGGACCTCAGCACGCTGCAGACACGAAAAATGAAAGGTCTCAAAAGAGGTCGTGATAATCTCGAAGAGGATGAAGTCATGAACGGAGGTGAATCTGACGGGGATATTGTCAGTCAAGACGAGGATATGATTGATGGCGGCATGGACATCGACGATGAGCCCTCTGAAGGGGGTAGCAGTGCAGGTGGTAGTGGCGATGAGATCAGTATTGGCGATGACGACGACGAGGAAATGGCGGATGAAGAGCAGAACGAAAAGCCTAAACGACAGCGAATATCCTGAAAGTGAACCCATGGAGCTGCTACACCTAAGATGGAGAAGGACCGAATCCGTCTAAGCAGAGTTCCTTGCAGATAACAGTCAGATAAATGGTCTGACTCGATGCCTGATATCACAGGCCTCCTTCTGCCGTTGCTCTACAGGCTCAGGCTGGACGAATCGTCGTGTCCAGAACTCCAAAGACTGCCATGGGCTTCATCCTCTTGGTCATTGCTGTCACCAGTCTGTCTACAACCCACGTAGCACGAACGTGCTTTGCGTGCGGAGAGGAAAGCATCTATGCCTCGAGTCGTTTGGTGACCTCAAGGCACTCTCCACGTCAAACAAGGCTGAAGGAGAAGGTTGTGGGGATGTGGTATTGATGAGTGTGAGGGTATCAGGCACGGCTCATCATAGCTTAGAGAGGTACAGGAGGTGCAGGATGTATATTAAGTCCCTCTTCGACTATGGATCAATATGGAATTACGGAGGTGGATGTAACTCCGTACCTAGGCAGTGATGGGCGAGATATTACCGTATGGACCACAATTGGAATCTAGCAGAGCCGAGGCAATGAGGCTGGCAATCAAGCAACCGAAGTACTGAACTACCCGTAGTGCGTAGTACGTGGTAGTTGTGGGGGAACGAGACCCCCTCGACCCCCAAGCTTTGCCGTTCACATGCGCCGAAGATTGATTGATGATGTCGTTTTCTCTCCCATCGCCGAGGCCTTTGTCTCTTTGTTATTCCTACCCACCACTCTCTCAGGTGCCCCCTGCCATTGCATACAATTCGTTCATGCTGTTGCTCGCCTCTCTGCCTTGCAAGTACCCCAAATCCGAACGTCTCACATGCCAATTTTTCTCCTTCTCAGCCTTGCTTGGTGCCAATGACCTGAACCTCTGCGGCGACATTCTCTCACACGGAGTTTGACCTCCCTCGGATGCTTCACTATCTCGGAGACTGCGCCCCTTGACCCACGACCACACATCCATTCTATCCTTCGAGAACAAGATCTGGGCCCGAACAGGAGAGGATGGACGTCCTCAAAGTGCGCCGCCTACTTGACAGACTCTACTGTGGAACAATGGTTGACAAGAACAGGACACAGTCGAATCGATCATTCTAAACCCGGATCTCGCTCCTCTCCTTGCAATCGTCAAAGCCGCTCGCAATGGCGCCGTTTACGGTGCCAAGGTCCGATTCCCTCATGCTCTTGTCATGGTGCTGCTGTTCCGATCAGGATCGTTTCGGGAAAAGATACGGCTTGTCCTAAAAGCCACAAAACAACATGCCTACAATCTTGCAACTTTTGCGGTTGTTTACAAGTCTGCAATGTTGGTGTTAAGGCTGCTCAATCCTGTGAGGCCAGGAAAAGAAGGACCATACGATACATTCTTTGCCGGCCTACTAGGTGGTTATACTGTGTTTGGCCGAGCGAAGCAGGGAAGGTAAGGATCTTCTGTCAAGATACCTATGGACTAAGAGCTGAGAACATGCAACCCCAGTGTGAACCAACAAATCGTCATATACGTCTTTGCCAGAGTAATACTCGCCCTGGCGAGACTCAGCATTGAACCGCCCAGCATGACGAGCACAACGCCGACCCCCACCTTATGGACGCAGAGGCTGTCCCCAGAGACCAAAGCGATGGTGCAGAGAAATGCATGGCCGCTCTTTGCCAGCTTCAGTTGGGCGTTTGTCATGTACATCTTCAGATGGCAACCTGAGAGTATTCAGCCGAGTTTGCGCAGCAGCATGAAGTACATGTACGTTTTCAGCTATCAGGATTGTAGGAGAAGTACTGTACTGACCCGAACATTAGTTATGTCAATTCCGACTACTGGGATTCTTTCAGGAATTTCCTCATTTACAACACCTAAGTCGCCACGACTTGGACACTTAGACGGATTACATTTGACGGAGTTCAGCCAAGTGATACAGGTCATGCATGCATATTGGGTTTAGAGTGTGTAAGGAGCACTTGGGGCATATTCAGACTTCCGGCACCTCGAACACCGTGTCGATTTGGATTAGGCGGCTAGTGTTTGAAGCGACCACTCCCGGTGCCGGCACCAGCTGGAATTTTTGTCTTTTGCTTTGTGCCGCGTTTTACGATGGCCCCAGGGTGATGACGCAGCATTGACTACAGCAGATCAGACTAGGGATGACTACGTATGGACCCCGGAGACCTTCTCAATGCTAGAAGACATAGAAGAGACACGAAGACCGAAGGGCAAGGGCAATGTCGGCTGAGTTCAAAGAGCCGAATCGTCGAATCCGCGTCTTTGTTGCGCTGAATGACCGACTAAGACAACATCTTCGAAGCGCTCATAATCTTATTATGTTCAGCCAAAGGCATGTGCTCGGCAGATTATCTCTAGGGCAGGTCGCTGGGAACGCTGCCACTGATTATTCTGTATAGGCAGCAAGATACGCATTGGAAGTTTTCGCTTCTGTGTTGAAATCACTGCAATCTATATGCCGCAATGACGGCTCGATTCACGTTCCACATGTCTCGCTTCGCTCTCACGCCAGACCACCAGCCTAGCCTGAGGGGTTCGTATACTAAGTACTAGATGTAGTAGTATCGAATAGGGGCAATATCTGTTCTATCCCTCATTTTCTCCAGCAACATGGTCTACCGTGGCACGCTCCCGCTTCGGACTCTCCGAACGCCATACGAGCGATCCTGTTCAATCTCGAACCTCGAATTCGATCTCTCCCTCTGCGCGCGGCGCATCTCCTGCTGACTAGCCCTGCGCTCTGTTGGCGTAGGCCGTCTTCGCAACTCGGCTTCTTCCGCGCCTGGAGGAGGCTGGTGAGGAGGCAGACCCTCTTCGGAGGTCGACGTCATGGCAACCTCTTCATCCCTGGCTTCCTTCTCCTTTTCCATAATCACCTCGGGCAGCTCGGGCCTGCCGCCGAGACTGACCAGCACGACCTCATTCGTGGCCGTCATGTTGTCCATGATCTCCAACTCATCGCGCGAGAACAGACGCGGCATGACTTTCCACCGCAACGGGATCAAGGCCACAATCAACACGGGGAAGCCGATGGCCGCGATGGTCTGGCTGATGGCCACGGTACACGCCCACCCGAGCAGTTGCCAGCCGATGAAGTGGTAGATGGCGCGCTTGCGGACTTTGAGCAGCGGGTCGTCGGGCTGTTGGAAGCGCTTTTCGCGAAGGAGGAACAAGATCTTCTTGACGATGCCGTTGCTTTCGATCGAGCCCCACCCGACGATGAAGAAGACGCCGCTGAATATCGCGCGCGGCATGAGGTGCAGGACGGTCAGGAGCGGGCCGGTCATGGTACCGATGATGCCCAGGGCCATGAGGAAGTGGCTGATGCGCTGTTCCGCGACGGACTCGGCGCGGGTCTGTTTGCGGACGAGCACGGCGCCGGACTCTTCCTTGATCTCTTTGACCTCGTCCACGTAGTTGGTCAGCGCGTCGGTATGGACGGGCGCCTGTGGGACGAGGCCGTTTGGTAGCGGGATGTCGAGAAGCCCCGCGACCAGACAGGTCCAGCCCAGCAGGAAGAAGTCCCAGTGGAAGCCGGCGGGCTTTTTGAGCGGAAATGCCCGAGCCTGTGCCGTCAGGGAGGAGACGTTGTGGTCGTAGTAGAACAGGAGAGTCATGAGGAAGCCAAAGGGGGCGGCGACGAAGACCCATTTCACCGAAATGGTCCAGAACTCGACGACCCAAGGCCGATCCACAGTCGGGTAGAAGGCTCTCGTGATGGGCAGTTCATTGAAGTGCACGGCGGCGAGATTTCCCGGGAAATGGGCAAAGCCTGTCCAGAAGATCGTCGCGATGGGGAAAGCGTAGTCCGACAATAACGTGCGAACGAGCCCGTTGAAATACGTCGTTGATCCGATGCCTTCGAGGCCGTAGATGGTCAGCGTGAATAGGATAGCGATGACGACCGAGGCGAAGCCGTTCAGAAACGCGCCATCGTAGAAGTTGATGGTGAGCTCTTCGACGCCTTTGATCAGATAGATTGTGCCGACGTACAAGGCGAATGTCTCGGACGAGAAGTCGGTCACGGTGCGCATGTAGTCGCACCAATTGAAGAGCGCGGTGAGCCAGTGGAAGACGGCGCTCCAGATCCCGACCTAGCGAGGCGTGGATTAGTCTAGTACTACTAGTAAGTGGCTTCCGAAGGTTGATGGAACAATAGTACTACTACGAGTAGTAGTATTCGAGCCACCGACAGTACTAGTACCTACCCAGACCATGAATTGAGGATAGATGCTGACATCGTGCATCTGAATAATGTCGAAGATGGTGTAGTTGAACAACGAGATCAGACCGGTGACGCCGACGACGGTGATCGGCTGGACGGAGAGGAGACTGAATACTACAGCCGCCAATGCAGAGGATAGTAGCGCTTCGTTGATGCCGTAGAAGCCATCAGTGTTGTGGTGCATGTCCAGCTGGAATGCTAGAGCAGGCAAGAGACTGTTTTTTTTTTCAAGATCAGCATGTGTCGGTCAACGGAGACGGCCGCAGCAGCCTTAGCTTAGTACTGACTTGATGAAGTACATCCGCACGGTGGCGGGCAAGATCCGGTAAACGAAGCCATCTTTGATGTCGCTCCAGTAGTATGGTAGCCGCCGGCGGACGTCGTGGTACATGCCACGTCCGGGGCTGCACATGCGCCAGCCTCGCCAACCGTTGGGCTTGCCTTCCCACTTGTAGGGGTCTTCGGCGACATTGAGCGTCATGCTGGATTCCTTGCCGCCGTCGTTGTTGTCACCAGGCATAGTATTCTCCCAGCACGACTGGTGGCGCAGGCCATAGACTGAATGCGAGGGCCCCCGGGAGTATGGAATTGTAGAGGACGTTCTTGGTCTTGTCAGTGTTTCTCACTCCTGCTGGGTGCCTGCGCTTGGATGAGCACAAGGATAAGGTGCAGCAACGCAAGGGAAGGGTTCGCCGACGAGAGCTGTGAGGCTGCACATATCTATATGTCTTTCGATAGCTGTATGTGTCATTGGCATCGTCGCCAAGCTGTAAAATTGCTCCGAGTCGCGAATAGTATTATGGGTCGACGTCATGAAAAGGGCACCCAACGATTGATGCATAGGCGATGCATATCATCATTTGCATGGCAGTTCTTTGGTCTTTGTGTGGGGGG